CAACGACAATCCAATTCCTACTTCCACCGCTCCTCCGACTTTCCCTTCTTTCACGGTCACAAGGATCTTCATTGCAAGCTGTTTACCGTCCTCGACTTCCCCGAATTCTGCGTGGTCCCTACTGCACTAAACGGTTCTTTTGACCGTGACTCCGCCCGCCGTTTTCAGGCTTGACCACCCAAACTTCTTCACGACTACGCTGCAGTACACCAGATCCAAGTCCGAGAAAGGAAACACTATTTGGATAGAAGTGCCTGGCTAGTTTTCAGGCTGAGCGAGCGGCATCGAAAACAGCGTTGCCAGAACCAGAACCGTAAACCGTGAATCGCTTTGTCCAGCATCTATCAGTCGCTCAGTCCCAACCTTCGCTAAAATCCCAGTTCCACCCCTCCAATTCAGTTCTTTCAAGCTTCCTCCCCTTCCCCTGGATCGCTCAAACGGTTTCTCTCCGGCTCTCTTTTCCTATTTCTTTTCTTTTCTTTTCCTTTTCCCTATCTCGCCTCTGCCGCCTGTCTATTTTCCATTCTTCCCTTTCTCTTACCGGCTTGCTGGTTGCTCCACCTCTGCAAACCCTCCCAGGGACACCCTTTCGAGCCTCCACGACAGCTACCTCCAGCGAAACGCAGATTCTTCATCTGAGGTGATCGCTAGAGGTAGTTTTCAACCTGCGGTGATAGTAACTGCCCGTCTTCTTCTACAAGTCAACCTTCTTCCCCATTGGGTTCTCGCCCACCGCAGACCATAGAACCCCTTCAAACTCGACCACAGACGTGCTTCCCTAGGAATATGGCATCGACGTCAGCGGTGCATGGTTCTTCCCCGGTTCCGACGCTACCTCAGCCGAACGAAACCAACCGTGCCCATATGTCCTCGCTCTCGTCCTCGTCTTCCATATCCGACGCGGAGACCGATCGCAGGGGCCGCCCTGAACGTCCTCGTATGGCCAGTCGAAAACCCAGCGCCTCAATACTGGTGCCCCGGGACCATCCCGAAATTGAAATTGAAGAGGAGGAGTTTCCGCCCGACGACGCGCGAGCCATGAGTCCTCGCCGCAACTCTGCGGATCTTGAACGACTGGGCAAAGAGGCCAGGCAGACTCTACAAGAGTGAGTATTGTCTAGAGAACCTTTTCCTCTCACCATTACTAACATAAATACTTCTCAAAAGACAAGCCAAGGCCCTCCAGTCGTCTCTCCAAGCTCTAGCAGAACGAATCGATGCAGTGAAAACAGATCACGACAAACTCGAGAATGAGAATAGATTCCTGCAGGACTATATCGGGGGACTGACACGGAATATGAAGAGCGAGATGTCGAGATCCAGTACTAAGGTCAAGAAGTCGCACAAATAGGGCGACGCGACGTCGTCATCCCGACTCGGAGTCAGCACGGTCGGGATTCTTTTCGCTTCGGGTTCGCGAAAGATCGAATCGCTTTTATGATATACTTCATACGCATATTTTCCTGATGTTTGGCGGGTATCTTTTATGCGGTCATTCATCATCATTCCACCTTGAACAATCTACAGTTCGAAGAACACATCCAGCACTACAGATGGTCAAATGTCGGGACTGAAACCAAGTCCATTGACGACTTTCAAGGAGGCGGTATTCGCGAGATTGACCATATTTTTCCCCCCACAGATCGATTTTCGAATACCTGCCGACCGCGCAGCCGTTGATTCGCCTTGAGTTCGTTCATCAGTCACATTCCCACCCGACGCTCTACTTCTGTTTCATTCGCCTCCCGCTCCGTATTCCTTCTCCCGATCCACACCCTGTCGAGCACTGTGACATCATTGCTTGCTATGTGTTGGCTGCTGAGGTCTGATCACCGGCCTTGGCGCCGATGCGTGAGAGCGAGGGCCAATCTTTGACCGACCTGGCGGCAGTGTGACACCTTCGCTCAGATAATTCGGGTTTCAACTGTTCATATTGACCATTATCCTTCTCCACCGACCTCGCATTTCTCCGATTCTTATTTCCCTCACATTCTACGGGCGGCATGGTGTATTTTTGTGGCATAGCACGCTCGGCGTTAGGACAGCTTCTTTACTGGGGAAATTCTGATTTTTTTAGACGTCGGGAACCGTACTGGGGTTTTGCATTTGTTTCTCACGGTCTTCAATCAATCTCGCGACAGCAATCTTCACAAAGCAAAAGAGGGCGAAACGGGAAAGCATTTTCAAGGAGCAGCTATCTCTACCCCCTTTTCTCTTCTTCCCAACTCAATTTTTCTCTCACACATGCGCCCGATTATACCTTTTTCTCTTCTGTCACCATCACACTTGTATATTGGAAATCGTCCTGGTCTGACGATTCGTCCGGGTTGACTTTAACACTCAGCATCATTCCACTTGGGCTCCGAAGACATTTGCTTATCATACCCCAAACCAAGCGGTTATCTATTCATCTTAGCTTAGCAAAGCACATAAAAAAAGCAAATAAATATACATTACTACTCATCCTCTTCTTCTAATCACATCTGGACGAAGTTCTTCAAAAAGGTATTTACCTCAAATGGACAAGTACACCGTACTTTGCAGTCTGCAGAAGCTCAGAAAACGGTTGAACCTAGTTCCGTAACTCAGAACCAAAAGCAAATAAATTCTCCGAGTCCTCTGGACAGAATATGTGCTCTGTACATCAGCCTATAGGTACGGTACCTATTAGTGAAGCAACAAACGCCACAACCCACAATCACGCTCCCAATTATCAAAGCAGCCAGCCAACCGCCAGCCACTCAGCCCCTTGGACCAATGGCTGTTGCAAAACGCGCTTTGATGCTCACTTGCGCCCACGCCGCGAGGAATTGTTCTCCGGTATGACGGTATGAATAATATGATACGGCGTATCTTACCTATAGTTCTGGATACTAAGTAGGCGAGTACTACTATTATGCTTGCAACTAAGTGCAAGGTACGTACTGCTTACGGAGCACTACAGTAGTACATATAGGTAGGAATCCGGACTATGGTTGCACTGACGAAGCTTGTATTTATACTTGCTAGGGTAAAGTTCAGGCCTCGATTATATTTGAGGAACATATACCTCAGGTAGCTGGAGATCTTTCTAGCCGTACCTCTGGCGCTATATGGTCGAGATGTAAGTCTGTGCTTCGTGTAGATGAAATACAAAGTATAGGGGATGAATCGACAACCTTTCACTCTCTTTCACGCAAGTCTCAAAGGATTCAATGAGCTCCGCTACCTGCCCAGTAGACCTCGGCAAACCTATATCCACACAAGGAAGCCAGCCAGTCCACCAGTCCATCATATATGCCATACATGACCTCATCTATCTATGAGCAGTTCCTTGCGCTGCGCCATGGGATCGAGATTGAGTGTCACGGGAGTACTCCGCAAAGAGAAGGACATGACGAGCCTATGGGATTGAGTAAGTAGGCACTGATTTGGGTTATCATTTTCATATGCTAGTTGACCTTGTCACGCACAACGAGGGCTGCTCGGAAAACGGGTAGGTAAGAGGCCTAAAGAAAGGGGCGGAGCAGAGCATGCAGGGCGTCCAGAGGTTCGCCCTGTGTTCTGTTTGTTGCAAGCCGCATACGTCATTTGTGTTCTTTGTTCAACCAACCTCAACTGCATGAATGGATGGTGGATGGTGGATGGTGGATGGATGTGACAGGCCTGCTCCTATCGGAGGTTGGTTGCCTTTGTGCCCTTGAAGGGAGGTAACGAAGACTAGCTGGGTGCGCGGCTAAGGGCCTTGCGGAGGTCGGTAATAGACTTGTCCCTCGAGCTGCATTAAAGTCGTGCCTTTCGTTCGGGAGCATAAGGAGTACGGTACACTACGAATTGAATGATGAATTTCAACTTTCTTTGAAGCCACTGCCGGACTGAGATCTAAACTCGAGCTAAGGCGAGACAAACGCCATGGTGGCACAAAAGAGGTAAGACCAAGACAGATTTCATAACATAGTCAAGGCTTGGGGATGGGAAACAATCCGATGGGGTAGTGGTAAGGGAAAGGTATTCTTTGAGACGTGGTAATAGGCAAAATGTAAATTAAAAGAAACCAACGAATATATGAATCGACGTGCGACGGATTGAGACAACCGGTTCACCAGCCATGCTGCCGTCGAAGGAAGCTTCGGCCATCGAAGGGCAAGGGATTCAAGGAAGCACCGCGACCGACCACATCCAAAAGCGTCATGTCAAATCATGCATGCTGGTGGAATTGTGACCGTACATCTCCCTTTGATCTGGATACCTTCGTAAGGACCTTCACCACTTTCGCGCGGACAGTTTAGCCCGGTTTGCCGTGATTGATCTTTGATCCATGCCGGACGCGAGTCCATCATGTTTTCTTTACTCGGCAGGCTTCTCCTCACCCTCGGCGGCAGGGGCTTCCTCCTTCTTCTCGGCGGGGGCGTTCTCGGCAGCAGGCTCGGCCTCGGAGGAGGTCCAGAGGGTCTGAACCACGTCAGTATGAAAATTTCCAAGCGCTACGTTATAATTGACTAACCAGGTTATCCCTGAGGAGCTGCATGATCAGGGTGGAGTCCTTGTAGCTCTCTTCGCTCAGGGTGTCGAGCTCTGCGATAGGGGTTAGCGAAGGCCATACATTCAACGACACTGCTTCACATACCGGCAATAGCATCGTCGAAAGCAAGCTTGGCAAGGTGGCAAGCCTGGTCGGGAGAGTTGAGGATCTCGTAGTAGAAGACGGAGAAGTTAAGGGCCAGGCCGAGACGGATGGGGTGGGTAGGAGCAAGGTCGGTCTGGGCAACCTCGGTGGCAGCCTTGTAAGCCTCAAGGGAGGAATCGGCGGCACCCTTGCGACCGTCGCCGATAGCGAACTCGGCGAGGTAACGGTGGTAATCACCCTTCCTATTAAGTGGAAGAGATACGTTAGAATGTACTCGATCGTGAGCGGACAACAAAGAGACATACATCTTGTGGTAAAAGACCTTAGACTCGCCGCTCTGGGCAGACTTGATCAAGTGCTGGTCGAGAACGTCCAAGATGTCCTGGCAGATCTTGGCGAGTTCGGCCTCGATCTTCTGGCGGTACTCCTTGATGAGAGCGACCTGGGACTCGTTGCCCTTGGACTCCTCTTTTTGCTCAATCGAGGTGACAATTCTCCAAGAGGCACGGCGGGCACCGATGACATTCTTGTAGGCAACAGAAAGAAGATTCCGCTCTTCAACGGTGAGCTCTACATCGGAGGAGGCGACAACCTTCATATTCTCGACCATCTCTAATGCATTTCCGTCAATACTGAGGATGTAGATTCCAGGAAAGACCTGAGATTAGGTAAATGACGAACCCTCGTAGCGCTCAGCCTGCTCGGCGAGCTTGGCCAGGTAAACAGCATCTTCGTGACCCATTTTGAGAATCTAACAACAGAAGACGAGAGAATATGTTAGCGAGCGTCACTTTACACAGATGTCTGTGGGAAAGGACTCGAGCGACAAAAATAAATCGAAGTTGAAACTTGAGCAGCGAGAAAAATGGAGGAAGATCAGGTCTAGATTGTGGGAGACATGTGAGGGGTAGATGCAAGTATCACGGGGTGAGGGAGAGTGAGGCTGTGAGCGATGGCTGCCCTGGTCTGTCCTGCACTAGGGAACCCCGTCTGTCACACGGCTGATAGCACAATAAAATCGAGAACTCGGTGGAAGACCGCAATTTCAGGCCATAAAATAAAATGACGATATCGCGATGCCAAACAAGTCGCGAATTCTGATAGCAGTGTATATATCGAGCGGGCTGTTGTTTCGCGAATCCTCCACACGGGCTGGCAGCGAGTAAACAGCATCGCGGGTATAGTGTCCAGCGTAGTCGGGGGCGGGTTGGGACACCGCAATTCCACCCAAGACCACATTTATAGACAGCTCGAGAGACTCGACAGAGACCAGTAGAGGAGTGCGAATATGGCAATCGATGAACTCGTAGATAACATCGATAGGGGTGTTGAGGCGAAGGATAAGGGCGAAAGAGGGGACTGTGAGGGAAACGGAAGGGGAGTAATCGTTCACTCACCTGTGTAATGGCAACGGGAACAATGAGGATTCAGTTATTGAGGTATTTGGAGATTAAGAGGATGAAGAGAGAGTGGGAAAGAATGAAGTGTTGGAAGTGGTAGTGAGTTGAAAAAGTGAAGGGGGAGATGGATCGAGAGAGCGAAATCGCAAAAGGAGGAGAGGAAGTCGAAGTTGGAAGAGGGGGAGACCGAGAGGTGGGAGGGGAGCCTTCTTCCTGCCATTTGCTGGGGGCTTTCGCTGCCTCACCGTTAAAACCGCCCACTCGCCTCTGCTAGATTGCTAGAAAGGCACACTACACGTCCATCTAGTCTACTATTACTTCGATCCATCGAGTTGTCTCGCTATTTTGATCTGTTCAATTGCCGATTCCACTACCATGCCTCCATAACGAGGAGAATCTCCTCTTCTCCCCCTTCTGTTGAGCGTGTGTGGTTCAACAGTGGGCCACTCCGGCGTCATCCCTATTTTCCCTCCGCCAATCGCCACATTATTGAACGAGCCTCGCTGCTAGTGATTCCCCCTTCCTGTTTACAGATAGAGCAGAGCTCTGGTGAGGCATAGTTTGTTTGACTCGTGCATCCATGTCTTCCATCGAGTTCTGCAGCCGTAGTCTACTCCGTAGCATGACGAATCTTCAGGTGCTCCTGCTGCTCTGGTTCCGTGGCTACGCTCATTCCTCCCGCCATTATGGCTCCTTGTCTCACTTTTATAACGACCTAGAGTTAGGGTGCCCTAAAGAATTCATATTGGCAACCCTGACAGATCTAAGTACTTCGTACTCCGTTGACCTCAGAGATCGCCTGCCTTTCCCTCCTGTCCCATAATAAATAAAAGCTCACATGACCAGCACTAGCAGCTGACTCATCCCGTTCACTTCGGAGAGTGCATGACGTCACAGTGTCTTCTGGGCTCGGCCTGGCTTTCGCGGCGCTGCCATATTTCCAAGGCAACAAATAAGGTACTTGTCGCTCAGCATCTGACCACCACCCCTCTTCTTCCTCTCTCTTCCATCCATTTATCTTGATACTCTCATCATCGAATCTAAATTCTCCATCTTCGTCTATCTCGACATACCAGTCACCATGCTTCGTCAATCCATCACTCGTCCTCTCGCCACGACATCCTGTGCTATCCTCGCCCGCCCTTTCTCCGCAATTGCTCCCAGGATGGCTGAAGGTGATACCGGCGCTACCCGGTCTGGTGGTTCTGCTGCTAGGTATGGATACGGACTATTCTTGCTTTTTCCTTATCTACAGCTCTAGCAAACTTTTTTGTCTCAACTCACTATCTCACTGCATTCTTTGATGCATCTGCAATCGCATGATGTCATGTCCTCATCCAAGATTGAATCACACCATCGAAATCGCTTCAAGTAGCTAACTAGACCTCAAAATATAGCGACACTTTCCAGAAGCGTGAAGCCGCTCAAGAGAACCTCTACGTCTATGAACAGGAGAAGAAGAAGTAATGACTCCGCCTCTAGAGTCCTTGGAACGACTACTACATATCACGGCGCGATATTTTACTAACCTGGGAATCTGAAAATAGGATCGCCGCTCTCCGAAAGAAGATCAATGAGCAGCGTGAGCACTTGAATGAGCTGGACAAGCACCTGTATGCTTTCCTTCCCTTTGCTGCCCTCCAATGGCATTCCCTGCTCGGTTGGTGGTGCGTGGTGATTGATATATTAGCTAACGAGTACGCAGTGACGAATTTGGCAAGGAGGAAAAGAAATAGATGTTTATTGCTTTAGCTATTTGCGAACGCAATGCGTTTTCTTGAAGTTGTCGCTCAGTGGGCAAATGATATCCCGCCTGTTCGCGCAGCACATACCACCCGCATCATCTAGCGCTGATATTGGCTCAATGTATTTTAGTTAATTGACACTCATCTCAAAGTTATCAGTTGGCTCCAGTGTCATGTACAATGTAGGAAAAATATAGTACCATTAAGCGGCCTCCAGCTCAACCACTCGAAGTAGGAATTGGATGAAGCTCGATAGACAGTAAATAAGCGCCAAATTTCATCAAACACGAATTTCATGTAATGCGCATCAATACCTAGAAAGTACCATCCCATTGCCGTCCTGAATCCTAAAGATGATATCAAATGAGAAAACGAACACCTATGAAAAACCAAACTTTTTACCGGCGCCCCATGTAGGAGCGGTAAAAGTCATCCGCGGCACTTGCACTCCCGACACCTGACATACTAAGTCCGTGCCCGAAGCGTGCCGACACGCTCTGCCCAGCCTTCTGTGCCGCAGCGACTTTGGTCTGGAGTTCAGTGGTACCCATGTCGATGGACTGCAACTGGGAGAGATGCGAGTTGAGAATGCGAACGATTTGAGAAATCTAAAGGCTCAGTAAGTAAGGTTTCAACACTTCGGAAGGGGCAATCAGGCCAGGTTTCCTTACCGGTTCGTCGGCCTTGTTTGTTTTGCTGAGCGTTGACGAGGCGTTGTTGACCTCCTCGATCATGCTTGAAAGATCTCTGCCCATATCATCTAGGCGTTCAGAGAGCTTCTCGGCGAGTTTGTAGCTAAGCAATATGTTAGCCAACGGCACGAACACAAATGTTCAAAGATATATAAGCGGCACGTACGTTCGCTCACGCTCCTGGTCAGGCCCTTGTAGACTCTCGCCAGGGCCGACCTGCTTGGACATCATCTCATCGACCTCGCGTTCATACCGATCAAGCCACGAGCTCAGCTCATCTTGCTGCCCCTCGACAGTAGCGAGTTGGCGTTCGATTTCCTGGGTGGCACGTTCGGCGTCCACTGTGCTGCCATACAGTTTTTGCACCTTGCTGCCATTCTCAACAATCAACCTATCCCATTCAGCGACCTTCTCGGCTTGATCCCGGAAGTCCTTCTGGTATTTGGTCAAGTCTGTCGCCCATCGGGTGATGATTTCATCCATAGTCTTGTTCTTAAGGCGCGATTGTGCCGGGGGAGGCGGGCCAGCAGTCGATGCGCCAAGAGCAGGTCCGCCAGTTGCGGTGGTAGCACCCGTACCTGTGGTTGCTGTAGTGGTGGCGGCTGTGGTAGGACCAGATGTCGCAGTCAACGATGGCTTGGCGGCAGTGCCGGCTGTGGTGGATTCTGCGGATGTGCTTGGGGGTTGCGTGGTCGCAGTCTCGGCGGGCTTGCTAAACAAGTTCCCTGTTGATGCTGCGGGCTGTGATGCAGTGGTTTCTGCGGGTTTTGATGTGCCTAGGCCCCCGAATAAGCCACCGGAAGGAGCAGCTGCGGGAGTAGAAGAAGACGCAGCAGATGACGTTGTTCCACCGAGAGAGAAGAGAGGTTTCTGTGGAGTAGCCGAGGATGTGGCTGTCTGGGTGTCCTTCGATGCTGCATCAGCGCCAGATGACGGAGCCGCAAAGACAGAAGATGTTTGTGTGCTCGAGGCGGGGGCAGTTCCAAAGAGAGATTTCGGTGCGTTGTTTGCAGGTGTCGCAGGCTTTATGGGTTCGGCTGGTTTGTTTGCGCCGAGATTGCCAAACAGGTTACTGCTAGTAGTAGTAGACGATGGGGCACTCTCTTGTGTTGTCGTTTTGAACAAGTTGCTGCCACCGGACTGACCAGCCCCACCGAAAAGTGAAGGTGCAGACGTAGCGGGCGTTGAATTAGATCCTGACGAGGTTGTTGCTTGTCCAAAGAGGCCGCCAGACTTTTGCTGTCCGAACAGAGATGAACCCTGTGCGGCAGCACCTCCCTGTGGCGGAGGACCAGCAGGAGTAGTAGACGGCTGGCCGCCAAAGAGTGGGGTTGAGCCAGACGATGCAGGAGTTGCTGTAGTTCCAAAAAGGCCGCCTCCAGGTTTGCTACCACCACCGAACATTCCACCGGTGCCAGTTGCCCCCAATGCTGGCGTCTCTGCTGGCTTGTTGGGTGTTTGTGCGCTAGAAGCCGCGCCACCAAAGTTGAATGGAGGAGTGCTGCTACCACTGCCAGCGTTGGCACCAAATAAAGAGCCGCCTTGGTTGGACGCCGCGGCGGTTCCAAATGGCGAAGGTGAAGCAGTGCCGCTTGTGGTTGCTCCTATATTTCCAAAGATACCGCCGCCTGAGCCCGTGTTCGGGGCGCCAGCCGATCCAAATAGGCCGCCGCTTGAAGCCCCCGACGAGCTCGGTTTACCTCCGAAATTGAACGGCATGGTGCGGAAATGTATTAACAAGGATGTCGCGATAGGGCAGCCCTAGGAAACAGACAATCAAGTTAGCAAGATTCGAGCCATTCGCAAATAGGAGAAAAGATTCATGGAGTCGTACTGCGCCCAAAGATGGAGGAAGATTCGGTTATCCGGGAGTAAGTGCAAGACACCACCGGAAGTGAAGCAATAACAACACCGGACAGTCGCTCTGAGCGGATAATAAAGCAAGATACCCTACCGCTGGAGAGCTAGTCACGAACTTTGTTGCGCTACCACAGCCAATCACATCAAGGCGCGCTTATTAGCGTCTAGCGTCTATATCTGAGGCCTTAGGCAATGAATATACTTGGCCTCAGGCGCTCAGGCCGCCCACGGTCGAGGCTGGACTTCGTCACCAGACGATCTGGATTCCCTCCAAGCTGCAACCCGCTCTCGCTGGCCTTGCTTCCTTTTGTGCTTCTTTTTGTCTTCTATTCAGCTAAAACGCATCGTTTCTACACCTATATGACCCTTTTTGGAGCCAAGAGCCTACTCTATTTTCATGTCGGAACGCCCCTCTCCTCCGTCCAGCTCGTACTTGGAGCCCCCGAGGCAGAGCGTGGAGCTTGAGGACCCAGGGGCCCCTGACCATAGTAAGCGCTCATGCAGTCCCACGCTTGATCATTCGTCGGCATCTTTATGTACTGACATCTGTATTTAGCAGTCTCCGATAGCGACGAAGAACATTTCTCAGATGCCAGCGAAGGCAACTCACGCTCTCGCTCCCGCCCAACGTCTCGTGCTTCTCCTGTACCCCGGACTCGGGTGGAGAAAGTGGACGATGTCCCTTCCCATGGTGATGTCCCTGGGACCAGCGCCTATGAAAAAAGAGAGCAAGATGCTGTTCCTGACGAGGTTGAGGTGATCTCACGCAGCAGGAGCCCTTCCGCTGCGGGGCAGCGCCGCCGGTCTGTGACCCCAGGCGGCACGCGCATTCCCCGGACTGTGGTGGAAAAGGTTGACCCCGGTCAACCAAGTTACGGCGATGTTCCTGGGACAGAGGCGTACGAGAAGCGAAGAGCAGATGCTGTCCCAGATATGGTTACCAAAACCTCAAAGTCAACAACACCTTCCGGGTCTCCCACAGAGTCCGCCGAGGCCAACTCCACGACTACGCCTGTTCCTGGAACGCTGCTCTCTGAAGTTGACGACACACCGGACGATGGGACACTACATTCTGGTCCGCATGCCCATCGGAGACGCCCGAGTGACACATTGCCGGATGCAAAAGAGACGGTCTCAGACTCACCCGGTAAGTATCCAGTTCTTTACTCCCTTGGAGGGCTCAAAAACTCAGGGACGATTGACCAATTCAGATCTTGCGCCTCAATCAAATAGCCCCACGCATCCGACTCACACTCGACGAAAATCAACATTAACGGGAGGTGAACCTCCTGAAATCACAGGCGGCGATGACTTTGACGATTTCGAGGAGGGGGGCGATGATGACTTTGGCGACTTCGACGAATTCGACGACGGCTTCCAAGAACCAGATACGGTTCTCGACGAACCCAGACCTGTCTCTCTACAGCCCCCTCAACAAACAGCGCCGCCTTATGTCGTAAGCCTTCCGCCGTAGACAGTGCTTGATTCCCCTGTTAACTCGCGAAATAGCCTCTATTAGATTTTGAATCTATTCAATCTGTATCCGACCTACTCACCATTCTAGACGAACCCCTTGACCGACTTTTCCCTGCATCTAAAGCCGCGCTCTCCGGCCAGTCAGACCTGCAACCTATTTCTAATTCCTCTGCCATCTTCAGCACTGAGCGTTCACTTTCTCTATGGTCTCAGCTGGTTGCCCCACCCCCGCTTCAGCCTCAGAACTGGGTCAAGTCCCGGATCCGCCGCCTCTTCCTCGTTTCCCTTGGTGTTCCGGTAGACCTAGATGAAATCCTACCTGCATCAAAACAGAACAAACTCATTCTTCCATCCATCAACATCGGCGCTTCCAATTCGGCCGCCACCGGCACGCTATCCCGCTCTCAAAGTTTAGCCAGAAAGGACTCGCAAAGCGGGCCAAATAGTCCACGCACATCAAGCACCGCAACTCAACAACGGTTATCTAGGCGGCGCGAGCCCTCCCCCCCGGAGCTCGATCTCACGGCAGTTCGGCGACTTTGCACAACCACCGACGCTGCGCTGGACGGACTGACCGACATGGAGCTCCAAACCCATGTCAAGGAGCTTGAGCAAGCCACTTTGCGCGCCTCCACTGTCCTCGAGTTCTGGCTCAAGCGCCGCGATGGCCTCGTAAGCGAAAAAGAGGCTTTCGAGGGTGTAATAGAGAATCTAGTAAACCACGCCCGGCGTGTACGCAAATGATGAACGAGGAACGAAGCAAAAGAACAATCTTCGTGAACTATATATGTTTTAATCATCCATCCACCCATCCATCCATGCCTTGACCAGCCCATAGATAGCGCTTCTTCTTTCCCTTCACCTCTTGTACCTGCTACTTCTTAACATTGCTCAGACCTCCTGGCTCTCTGCTCCCTTTCATGTTTGATATTATGGCCCAAGAGCGAAGCAAATGATATCGAGCTCCTTGGACACTTACTTTTCTCTCAAGCCTTTTTGGTAATCTCATCGCATAGCAAGCGTTGACTTCTTGTCAAGTTGCATCATGTAATCAAACGTTCTCTTGCATAATACGTATGTCAACAAGCCTTTGCTCATCAATGCTCGTTGAACACGGCATCGGTCGTGATACTCAACATATCTATGGATGGGCAGGGCCTTACGCCCATCAGCTAGAAATACTACATCTCCAAGGCATCAAGCCATCAAGTCCGGGCGCGGCAGGGCTATCAGTGCGCTTTAAGCAACTCTAGAGGCCTAAACGATGCAACTACGAGTTCGTTAGGTATTTCAAAAATACAGTGCATTCCTCGTTCATTCATGACGGAGTGCGGGCTACATACAGTAGAAGATAGGTAATCAACCGAACCCTGCTTTTATCTAAAGCGCCAAAAAATCGACGAAACCCGCCATCATAAGATACAAGAAATGGATCCGGTACACCATGTATACCAATAATAATAAGTCGGTAAAATGATTCTGAGCGCCAGGTGCAGTTTAGGCCAGTCTATTCTAGTTGAATGACTTCTTATTCGCCGCTGAGAGTAATGTACTTTGCGACGAATGGTGCTTTCCGGCAACTGGGCATGATTCACAAAAGTGACGGGGCAAAGATAAAATAATGGCAGAAAGATATAGAAGAAAACACCAAAATGGACATTGGATCTGAAATCGCGGGGTATCATCCTGCAACAACCGTTGCGCCAGTAACTGTGCAAATGGGAGAGAAGTCGACTGAAAAGAGCCGAACGGGCAGAGAAAAAAAAGGAGAAAGGAACCATAAAGATGCGGAGTTAGGATGAATCAGGCTAGTAGATCGAGCTCATCAGTCCAGGACAATGACTGTGGGAGACTGATTCGGCGTGCGATCTGGCACAGAGGCGGAGCGATCAACCTTCGGCCGTCGGAGGCCGTTCTCATGAGCGCTTGACTTTCGCTTCAGAGTCGTGCGGGAAGGCTGCTGCTCAGAAGAAGGGACATCATCGTCACTCTTTACGTCCCAAGTACCGTCGGCTTTGATCTCCAGGAAGCGGGCGCCATCACACCGATTCATACGCTCCAACTGGTTGCGCACATCGGCAAGAAACTCGTCAATAATGAGATTCTGGGGACGAGCATCTCGGCTGCAGATGGGGCATTTCCAGTCCGCTTCTATGGCAGATTGATCTCCAGATTTAAGAAGGCGAGTCTGCAGGAACGTCTTATGGTCAAAACATTCGGTGTGTTCACAATGACGACCGCGCACAGGTACATCAAAGATGCGTGCAGTATACGGATCGACAAGGGTGACCTTCAGATCATCACTAACAATTCTTAGCTCGTCATCATCATTCTCAGGGTTGCGTGCAAGCCTGGCATGGATACGCTTTTGAGAGTCAGCAGCGGGCAGAGGTTGGGCGAGGGCTTTCGCAAGGGCGAGGGAGCGGAACGTGAGTACTTCGGCAGCCACAGCGAACGTAAAGTTTTTCTGTTCAGCTGAACTCAAAATGAAGCTAATCTCAATCTTATTGACACCTTCCAGGAGAGCTGGAGTGATGTCCAATGGGAGATCCCTGGTATTGTGGATTTTCCGGCGCGGGAAAAGCTCCATGTTGTTGACATGCACGTATATTGCGGTAGGCCACGCAGTCTCAGCAACGCACCAGGAATGTACATCCAAGTCATTAGTTAATTTTGGGACCTTGACGCATCTGATGCGGTAGGTTTGAGTGCCCTCCTTGAATGTCCGAAGCACGCGACCCCCCTTATCTTGCTCTTGATAGAATGCGCGTGTTCTCATCTCATTGTTCGATAATGAAACCGCCTCTTTAATGGGGCCGTCTTCCTGGCGGAGAATCTTTGGTTGCATGAGAAATGAGGTCATGTGCGGCAATAGCTCCGTTTCGCTCATGCCAGTGGCATCGATCGAAATGAACCTGTTGACCGGATCGCGAAGATGAGCCTGATGGATTGCAAGTCGATTAGGGTTCGGCCGTGTGTTCATAACCGGAGGGACATTGGGTGGGGGCAGAAGCGGCGCCCAAAACTGATGGCGTTGCCGTTGTGGCTGCCGGGAATGCTGTTGCTGTTGTGCCGCATATTGTAGCGTTGGGAGCGGTATGCTGTGACCTGCTAGCGTCTGCGACCGCCGAGGTGGATGTTGAACGAGCGTCGGGCTCTGTATCCCTGTTTGTTGGGGAAGCTGGTGACCTGAAGAATGCTGGAACTGCGGAGGGCGCTGAGCGTGCTGGTAACGTTGAGCATGGTGGAGTGGAGGTTGAACTAGTGCTGGGCTCTGTGATCCTGTATGCTGCGAGGTTCGGCGACTCTGAGGTTGCTGAAGTTGCTGAAAAGGGGGCTGGGCAAGTGCCGGGCTATGTGGCCCTGCGTTCTGAGGATGCTGAGAGCCAGGATGCTGATACTGAGGCTGAGGCTGAGGTTGCTGAGGCTGCTGAGGCTGCTGGAGTGGGGTTTGGGCGAGTGCCGGGCTTTGTGGCCCTGCATGTTGAGGCTGTTGAGGTTGAGGTTGCTGAGTATGAGGGTGCTGAGAGTGCTGAGGGTACTGAGGGTATTGAGGCCGAGGCTGGTGGGAATACTGTTGACATGGGTGCTCTGGAGGTAACTCGCGCGGCGTCATGAGTTGAGGCGTCGTAGTGGTTACGACGGATGGTATCATCCGCGGTGAACGCATCTGCGGTTCTACACCACGTTGTTGAGCGACCGCTTGGTGGGGAATCGGCTGTGAAGGAAGCATGGGCGATGCTGCAGCGAGGGGGCTTCTGACTGACGCCGGAGATATGCCGTTTGGGCTTTGCGCTCCAGAATGCGACTGCATATATGGTGAATTATACTGCATATTCGACTGGCCCGCTAGTGCAGACACAGGGGTAGGTACAGCTTGACCTGGAAAGGGCACGCTGTGAGGAGCAGTGACACTAGGAGGCCCTGTACTGTCCCTCTGCGTCGCCGCAATGGCCTCACGGTACATAGCCACGATTTCCATGTTCTCGCGGCGCCTCTGTTCAGCGGAGATCGGCTCCTTGAGGCTGCGCATAAAGTAATCCTGGTCTCGCATGTAAATTGCTCGCAGCGAGCTCTCGCCCACGGCGCCAGGAATCCGCCGGGCTAAGCACAAAAAGATGTTCAGCTGCAATGTAATCGACATAACGCCGAGTGATTTCATATCATCCACGAGCGGTGGATGTCCTTGACTCTGTACGTGTGCTTCAAAACGAGGCCACTCCGCCACTAAACTGGCCAAGAGACGCAGCATTTGATGGTATTGGGTCTGATACCGCCAATCCTTGAAGATCTCAGACAATGGATAGGGAAAATCAACACACCATCGTAGAATGTGAGGCGCGATTCGCTGATTGTCGACCAGGAGACTCCGGATAATAGACAAACCATGCATATGCTCCAGAGTAAACCCGGGAAGTTTCGGAAGCCCTGCCGGGTCATAGCTGCTAAGGCAGTAAACTTGATGAAGGGTAAGATATACGACGTCTCGGTGAGTGAGCGCGTGGTCTAAAAGATGAAGCCGTGGTGCTTCCACCCGATCGTTAGCAAGCAACGATGGACCCTCACTCGCCATGAACGCTTCCAAGTTACGTTTTGCGCGCACGCAAAAATCCGGTGTGATGACTGAAGGGCGGTTGGCAGCCAGTGCGTGAATGGCGGTAATCGGTTGCTGTTGCTGTGATGGAGAAACTGCAGTGATTGGAGCAGGGTGAGCAGGGTGAGAGTGGCCAGGCCGAGCATATTGTATGATGGGCGGGCTTCCGCTAATCGGTGGTTGCTGTTGCAGTGATGGAGAAGCTGCAGTGATTGGAGCAGGAGAAGCAGGGTGAGAGTGGCCAGGCGGAGCATATTGTAGGATGCGCGGGCTTCCAGAATGAACCAAATGAGGATTTCCTTGTTGAATGGTCGGTATAGAGTCCGGAAATGTCCCTACTGCGGGACCATTCGGTCGCGCCGGCAGTTGATTCGGAGGAGCTTGCTGAAGGGGAGGCGACGGAAATGCAGTTGCGGATGGACTGGCAATAGGAGGAACATTTCTTTCAACAGCAGCTATTGGACTAGCATGCGGCCTAGGGGGTATGGAGGGATCCGGGGAAGGGAGGGAAGCCGACTGCTGCTCCAGATGAGTCTGCAATTGCTGTTTCTGCTTTTGTTTCTGCGGCTGGTGGCGTTGCTGTTTTTGCGGCCGCGGTTTCTGTTGCTTTTGCTGTTGCGGTCGAGCATCGACTGGTCTAGGAGGGAGAGTATGGTTTTGAAGGGCCGGCGAGCGCGTTATGGATGGATGTGGTGTATTGGAGGTGGCCGAGATCTGAAGACGAGGAGGCGCATCTCGCGTAACTGCGGGGGCTGACGAGGCGACAGGATTTTGGTTACCGCGGAATGAAGTGAGGTTCTCTTGTGAAGGGGACAAAAGATCGCTCATGCCTGTCGGACGCGTCGAGGGAGAGTCGTCCGCGGCCAGGGTCGGCTTCGGGGCGGGGGGAGTTGAACGAGCAGTCGAACGAGCAGTTGAACGAGCAGCGGCCGGTGAGGCTGGACAAGGCGGAGAAAGAGGAGCAGAAGGTGAGGGCTCCGGGAATTGTACCGGCTTGTCGCGCTGGCGGGGAGGACGAGGATTCTTGTCGGGAGGAGTCGTCGTCAACCAAGTTAAATTCCGATTCCGAGCGGCGCCCAGAAATATGCTGAGGGTGGAGTTGGCCGAGCTGGTCCCCGACACGGTCTTGCGACGGGCTGGCTCGGGCGGACGACTGGTCTTATTAGCCATGGGCGAAGTCATCCTGGCATGTTGGGAGCACTTTAATAGGCGAAGACGATGCAGGATGTTTGATGCCGACTCCCGTTGTTTGTCCGCAATCAAGTCGCAGGTGGTGAGTTTCCAATTCGGGAGGGCCTGAAGTCGGTGAGGAGAAAAAGAAACAAAGACTCAAAGAACAAACACCAGAGGCGCCGGATGGCTTGCTATTTATGCTGGGTCCTGCTATTCATTCAGGGTGGTATTCTGGTATTCACAGGGCTGGTTCCTTGACCGTTCACTGTGTTTGGTGCCACTCTAGTGAACATCCTATATCACTAGGCAAGACTACTCCAACTCAGCGAATGATGGATCTACACCAGGCTCTCTCCATTAGCCAGCTAAATGGCTTGGACCAGGGCCTGACCCAGGAGCAGAAGGCAACAGATCTTCTAGATACATTGGTGGCCTTCTTCTGGATGGTTCTACCAGGTCCTTTGACCACAACATCAGCCGCTCGGCTCTGGCTTGCCATTCGATTTATGCCCATGGCTACCTACATATCATCACTGCAGCGAAGTCGTGGCTTCATCAGTGTCCTGCGGTCGGTAAGCACATAGCCGGGAAAAGGCAGTCCGCCCTTCTGACGAGTAATACTCCTCGAGTGGTCTCTTGACTTTTGGCGCTCCGAGACAAGAGTGTGTTTTGAGACAGCAGCAGTATGGCTTGTCGGGGTTTGAGCCGTACCCCAGAGACCTCAAGCTCCAAATTTAAGGCATTGGGCTTAACGCCAGCTCTTGCTGGTCCAATGCAAGCACCTGTCCATTTACACGGCATACTGCCAGGATCATGCAATGAACCGCGATTTCGAGGAATATATCAGCAATTTGAACCAGTCAGAAAGACCGTTTGGGGCTGTCGCCACTGGGAGGAGCATCAAGCTCTGTCAATTTGAAGGCAGGCGATTGCCCGGCCACTGATAGCTCGGAGTATCCAGAGCACTCTCGACATATGCGTTAGAAGGTACGCAGAGGTCGAGAGTAAGATGAATCATCTCAAGATGAACGGAGGGAAATGGACTAGCAGTGACTCCCGTGGATGCTAAGGGCTTGCCAGGCTCACAGAGTCGAAGTCTACATTAGACATGTTCCCCTGTGACCCCTGGTCTTGGCTTGGAAGCAGATTTTGGTCTCGTCTGGAGCAGAAAAATAGAGGAATGCAGGGATCCGTAGACCACACAGTACATAGACAGATGTTCAGCACGAGTCACAACCTACAAGAGTTATCTTGGGGCCTCATTAAAGTTGGACATTCCTCGTTGGGAATGACTTGACGAGGTCAGTCTCCGATTGCATTTCATAAAGTTGTCGATCGCTCACCTACGGAGCCGGGAGTATATATCAGAGCAGAACAGTCTAAACGAGCAGAGGCTCTGCCACGTTCAAGGATATGACGCGCTAACCCTCTGTCGAGAATACAATCCAGGATCATTGATCTGTGCAGCAGCTTAGTATCAAATATAGAAAGAGAGAAAGTACCCCGTAGGAGTCAACAAAGAGATATGTTCAAAGAGGTCACATGACCTATACCCATCCAGCGTCTGACGTTTTCATCAAGAAATAATGGAGACGACAATTATCATTTCAGATACGGAGAGCTCTGGGTAACGATTCAAGCATGTTAAAATAGAAGTCTGTTAGCTCAATTGTACTCCGTCAGGTAGTATGCTGGCACCAATCGCAGACACGTCCGAACTGACACTTCAGCTTCGACTTCCAACTCTCTGGAGTTCCCATCCTCGCCAATTGTCCACTTGAAAGGACCATCGACGTGACAATAGTCGTTCCTTCCTCGTCCTTCCCTTCCTGGCTGGAATTCTGGTCCGGGCCTCGACCAGAACCATACCACCACAGAGTCTACCCCCCACCTCGAGCAGGGCAGTCCAGAATTTAGAGCTTGGATCAGGGAAAACCCTTCTGCTACTACTACCAGACACTCTTTTATCTTTTACTATCTTTATCGTCATATACTACTCCATATCCATCTCTCGAGTGTCCCCATTAAGAGCGGTGGTGACGCCCGCTGCGCAGATCCGCCCTTGCTCTTATATTAAGCCCATATTGCATCGACTTATTACGGCATCGGAGGACGGAGAATTCCCATCGCCTGTGACCTCTCCCTTTCTTCTCCCTTGTCCTCGTCGTTTCTCTGCCTGTTGGTTTCCCTGGGGTCTCCTCGGGCTGAGCACCATGGCGCTGTCTTCCGCGCCTCGTGCGTATCACACAGGAGATCTTCTCCTCGTTATTCGTGAGTTTCTTTACGCTCGTTTCCCGGTCGCGAAACGCTCCTCCTACCCCACTCTCTTACCTTCCGCGCCTCGGTCTCCTCCGCTTCTCTGTTGTCTTACTATGTGACTGATACATGCCAATTAATGTATAGATGATTTCGCCGCGCGCTCAGAGGATGAACTCGACTTGCGAAAGGGTGAGAAAATCGAGTTGGTCGAGCTGGATGATGGCTTCGGCGATGGATGGTACCTAGGGAAGGACATGAAGACTGGAATGACCGGTCTTTTCCCAGGAGGTGTGTGACCTGTCCGATCCTTCATACAATGACGCGATTGTTGATTTACTAATGTGGACAATTGCCGTTCCTAGTCTATACCACCAGAGCACCCAATATCCCTGTGCGACCTCGGACCGATACGTTAGATTCGAATGCGCTTAAGTCAGACGGAGATGGGGAAACATCACTCTACCAAGGGATAGGCACACCGGACTCTGGAGACTTGGTTTCGACTTCCAAGAGCGAGGATTCGACTCCGCATGCGTCTCGACACGTTAGCATGACCGACCTTGGAGGTGCTCACGGACAAAACGAAACGAACCCGTCCTTGCTAGCGCCAAAGCAGCAGCAACCTCCAAATCGGTCGAGTTCTTCCCCCCTGCCGAACAGCAAGCTAGCGAGCGACATCCAACAATCACTGCGACAGACACTTGATCCCCACCCCAACGGTCAGGACAGTCCAGTCATGAACGAGACACTAAGTGTCATTGATGAGCATATTACGGACCTCAGCACCCCACGCCACAGCGTAAAGCCACCAGCTGACCAAAAAACGTTAAATGACTCCGCTAGTGAGTACAGTAGCCATCTAGACCACCGAATGTCGTACATAAACGGCCATGAAACCGATGAGGAAGAAGGCAATCAACCCTCTGAGGAAGAGGTTCGAAGGTGGGAAGTTGGAGAGACCGTTAAACAACTGCGTCAGCTCGGGGTGGAAGACAAGCATTGCGATATCTTTGAAGAACAGGAGATCTCCGGAGACGTGCTTTTGGATATGAACCAGGATTTCATCATGATGAAGGAATTCGATTTCGGTGTAATGGGACGACGACTGAAAACCTGGCATAAAATCAAATCGTTCCAGGAAGAGATCAAAGGGTACAAAGACCAACAGTCATCGACTGCCCGAGGCTCGGTTGCCGCGTTTTCGACAATGTCTGAAGAGCGCTCTCAGAGCCGCGCTGGTCAGACAGGGCCGCTGCGTCCGCGAATACCGAACTTTAGAGGGTCATTCAGTAGCACTCAACACCCCCGTTTGGTCAGCAATAATCTGCAAAGTGAGACGAGCCCTCCTATAACCCCGCAAACACCATCAACAGGGTTTATGGACCATACTCGCCGACCTTCTGCCGCGTCGATCCGGGAGATTAACCACCAAAGGCGACATTCGTCATTGGACGCTACAAGTCGTTACTCGATAACCGGGGAAACGTCTCCGCACGTCGGAATGTCTCACGGAAAGAAGGGATCTTTCGATCGTGGTTGGACCATGTCTCTCGGAGCGCAGCGGGCAACCCCGCGTCCAGGAACCGCCCTGGGGGCTCCCAGTGCCGGAGTTCAATATTCCAATGGAGTGGACTCGGCTGTAGCTGATGATTTGGACCGTGGGTATTTCTCAGGCCCGGAGACAGACCACCGAGTGCAGCGAAGAGTTCTTCAGAAGCGAACATCGGTAACCGGTAGTGCTCACTCATTGCAACCAAACCAACCCGATGAGCAACTCAAGACCACTCGAAGACATTCGCGGATCAGCAGCTTGGACTCAATAACAGACCCTCCTCCCGCTTTGAATGCGGGTACTACCTACCCCCTCCCTTCTTCCAAAGGACGATTGCGGAGTTTGAGCACCCGTATTTCTGCTCAGCAATCCTCTCACAGTTCCGGATCCAAGGGATCTAGCGGTGGATTCCTCTCTTCATTTGGTCCAAAGGCCGGAAAGCCGGACTCGGATTCTGCACGTACCGCGCCGCAACCGTTGCAGCAGATCAAAAAGGCGGGACCTAAATTCCGGCGTGCTGTTGGGCTCCGAACGTCCGAGGCAACTGGCAAGGGCGCCGATGCAACTGCGGTTCCGGCATCCCCTGTTAATGATGCCGATCCGGCCTCTGTTCGAACAGGGTCGACGACGCCTTCGACGTCGAAGAGCTCTGAACGACATAGCACTGATGGCTCTGGGAAAACAGCAGAAGGCGGTATATCAGTGCCACGAGCTCGACCGTCTGTCAAGTCAGGGGTGAAATCGAAAAAAGACACCAGTGCCTATACTCGAGGCCTGGAGAAGAAGACTCCACAAGAACAGATGGATGGCTGCGATTTCTCCGGATGGATGAAGAAACGGTCTTCAAACTTAATGACCACCTGGAAGCCTCGTCTATTTGTTTTGCGTGGTCGTCGCCTTTCTTATTACTATTCCGAGAATGATACAGAGGAACGGGGCTTGATCGATATCACCGCTCATCGGGTTCTCCGAGCTGACAATGATCCAATTGTTGCGCTACATGCGACGATTACGGGCGCCACAGTCTCGCCTACGTCACCTGCAGGTAGCGCGCAGACTGGTAATGGCTCAGTCTCAGAAAACGGTTCGACGTCGGAATCTAAGCGCGGGTCGCGCTCGGACAAGGAAGGTCCCTTCTTCTTCAAACTCATACCGCCAAAGACGACTCGCACGGTGCAATTCACGAAACCCGCGGTCCATTATTTCCAAGTTGACAGCATTCAGCAAGGCCGCCTGTGGATGGCCGCGTTGATGAAGGCAACTATCGAGCGGGACATCCATCTTCCGATTGAAACAACAAACAAGCAGAGGACCATCAGTCTCAAGGAGGCCCAGTTGAGTAACCAGCGACCCCCGGCCTTGATGCCTGAGGGCCGAGTAACAGCAGAAGACGTCGTGGTCGAAGATGCCTTGGTTGAGGATGCACCAATCGAAGATGCCACCACGAAGGACGAGAAGGGAGCCGGATTAATGATCCAGGGTCTTGATATCGAGCAAGTCGACTCGCCAGTGGATGTGGACGACCTCAAGAACTCCAACCCACTGGGAGACCTTGATACCGGCCCCTCGTCTCTGCTTCCAGATGCGGCTCGCACATCTCCACCAAAATGATGTGTTGATGACTGCTTTTCACTCTTTCCACATACCTTCTTTCTTTAAACTTTATGTTCGTTTGGTCCCCTTTGTCTACCCCTGGCGTTAATGTGATATACCCCCTGTTTCGCAACATGTTTCAACGGTCAGCATCATCCTATTTTTATAATCTGACATGGGTTTCCTTTGGAGTGATTGGATTTTGATGGGACATTGGATGATGATTTGGAAGTTGTTGGACAGTCACGACGCAGCGAGGACTTGTAAGACTGGATCAGTGTATGCAGAATTATATAATAACAGCGACTAGCTACTAATCCTGTAATAATCGATGATTGTTAACTGCCTGCCCGGTTAGTATAGGGTCTCTACTGTGGTCTCTAACTGTCAAGAATGATCTGCGCCCCGCCGAGCCGCCATCAAAATTAAGTCTCCAGGTCAGTGCATGTTTATATTTTCCTTTCCCATCTTCAAAGGATTGACTATTATTGAACATGGCTCGATGACATATGTAAATTTTCTATTCTCTTTTATGTCGCCTCCATGTCCCTGCGTCGGCTCCTTTCTCGGCTTCTCCTCGGCCTTCTTCCGCTCGCCGTCACCACGACCGTCTACCTGTACCTCTACCCCGTCTTCTCCGGCTGCGCATATCCTCTCCCTTTCGACAATCCCAAGACCTCACAATCTACCAGCGCATTCTTCCACACCCTCAAACAACACCTCACACCGCAGTCCACTTTCAATCAAGACCCAGCGATAGTCCGCCTCCTCGTCCTAGCCGACCCCCAGCTCGAGGGCGACAGCTCCCTCCCACGCCCGGAAAACGAACTCGGAGCCCGACTTCAAAAATACTGGAACGATACCCTTGAATCTGTCAACAACACGCCGTTCCTTGCCAACCTCGATGCTTGGAAGACGATTTCAGCAGCCCTGCGGAGCCTCGTCGCGCAAGATATCCCGCGCGCCTTTGCCGCACAGCGAAAGCGACTCGATCTGCTAGGGAACGATTACTATCTCGCGCACATATATCGCACATTACACTGGTGGACAAGACCGACGCATGTTACAGTCCTGGGCGACCTTATCGGGAGCCAATGGGTCACGGATGAGGAGTTTCGGCGGAGGGGAGATCGGTATTGGCAGCGTGTCTTCAAGGGGGGAGAGCGGATAGATGATACGATTACCCGAACGGGGAAAGAGGACTACGTTGAAGTTGCTGGGGTCGAGAGCGACAAGGAGCTACTGCCCTCCTCGCCCTCATGGGCACACCGGATCATCAACATCGTTGGCAACCACGACGTAGGGTACTCGGGGGACGCCAGCGAACGCCGTATCTCGCGTTTCGAGAAAGTCTTCGGCCGTGCGAATTGGGACATCCGGCTCCATCACCCCCCAGTTGGGAATCTCACGCCTACGCTACATCTGATTAACCTCAACAGCCTGACGCTCGACGGACCGGCTTATTCCCAGGATATCCAAAGCCAGGGATACGCATACATTAACAGCCTTCTTGACAGATCCTATACAGTTGATGACCGAAGCACGTTTACGCTCCTGCTTACTCACCTTCCGCTCCATAAGCCGGACGGCGTCTGCACGGATGGCCCTTACTTTACCTACTTTGAAAAGGACGACGAATCAAGTAAAGAGCGGTATAAGGCCGGTGGACTGCGCGAGCAGAACCATCTCAGCGAGCACGTGAGTTCCAACGGGGTTTTGCAGGGGATCTTTGGAATGAGCGGGGATGAGACTGCGCCGGAAGGTGGACGGGGGCGAAACGGGCTTATTCTAACGGGCCATGATCATACGGGATGCGATGTCGTTCATTCGATACAGAAAAAACCACCGTCGCTTGCTGAGAACAACGAAGATGCTCCCCCTGACGAAGCCAACGACGACCAACCGGCCTGGACATGGAACACCACCCGGTACAACCCTAACGCCCAAAACCACGATCAATCATTCTCCCCGTCAATCCGAGAAATCACCCTCCGCTCCATGATGGGCGAGTACGGCGGCAACGCAGGTCTTCTGTCTCTTTGGTTCGACGCTACCACGTCAGAGTGGAAGTACGCCATGACCATGTGCCCCGCCGGCGTGCAGCATATTTGGTGGGCGGTGCATGTAATTGACCTTATCACGCTGGTTGTTGGGATCCTGTATGCTTTGGTCTGGGTGCTTGGATATTTTGGGTCTAAATTGCCATCCAAGCGACTTGTCGCGGCTGATAAGAAGATGAAATAAGAGCTTGATTTGAGGCTTTGATTATCTTATGAGAGGGACCCGATTTGTTGTCCGTTTTCTTCTGCTGTATAGTATTCTTTTGGTTTCCCTTGTGTGTATATTAATAGAGCGTTGGAAAGACGGCTAGAATGACTGTCTAGTTCGAATGGGTGAGAATTGTACATGACCTTTATTTACTCCGTTTTTAAAACGATACAATTAACAGCCAATAAGAACGAGGGTCCTCAATAAGAGGATGGTGAACTATACGAGGCACCATTCCCCTTTCTTTGTAATCGTTGCTCATCGATGCATTTGTCCAACATACGGCTGCCCATGTAGCTTCGCCCGAACGGCGGATGCAAGCGAAACAAGAAGAGAGGACGAATGGAAAGAGTATCAAGATCTTTTTCATTTTTAAAAAGAAGCCCGCTGGTATTTCGTTCTAATACATCCCATTTCCCGTTGGACACCCGTTTACATAACAACACCGGAGTTGGAGGCAATACGCTTGAAAGAGGCATGTCAGTACGGAGCCATACATGATATGACGGATACAACTCACAGGCCAAAGCTCAGCAGCCTCCTTACCGACGGGGCCGGTAATGGCGGAACCCTTCATTTCACCCTTGGCGTTGACGATCTGAACGTATGAATGTTAGATAACTTCCTCTAAATCCCAGCGACCCTATTGAATTCGACGGCCGCATTCCAAAACGATTCGCGCAGGGAAAACGTACAACACCGGCATTGTCCTCGAAGTAGAGGTAGATGCCGTCAGGTCGGCGCCAGGGCTTGCTCTGGCGGACAACGACAGCGGGCATGACCTTCTTACGGAGCTCGGGCTTTCCCTTCTTGACGGTGGCCATGACCATGTCACCGACACCGGCGGCGGGGAGACGGTTCAGGCGCGCACCGATACCCTTGACGGAGATGATGTAGAGGTTACGGGCACCGGAGTTGTCGCAGCAGTTGAGGACGGCGCCGCTATTCGAATGTTAGTCCTGGTTCCTATTCAGGTCGGGAGTGATTTCGGTGTGTTCGTTTGGAGGGCAGAGGAGGGTAGAACGGATCGAGATATCGGATTCATGTTCGATGTTCGATGTTCGGCGTGCAGTTCAAGTTGGTTCGGATTGGGTTGATGGTTGGAACGTACCAAGGCAGACCGAGCGTCATCTTCAGCTTGTTGCCGGCAACACCACGACTATTGAGGAAAGATTGGTCAGTTATTGCTCTTTTCAAAGCCGTGGTCATATTCCCAGCAAAACTTGAATCTCGAATCCATATCATTCTAGCCCCGGCCATAGAGAGAAAAAAAAAGTCGATCAATTGTTCTGTCCATGTCGTTTCGTCCACAGCCCCGTTCATTCCCCTCTCTTCCTCGTCCAGTTCATCATCGAATCGCTTCTTCTCCGCGTACTGGCAGCGTCGAGCCGGATAATCGAATCGTCCATGGCGTAGCATATCCCAGCGCAAACCACAAGCATGACGGAATAAATTCAAAAACTCACCCTCTCTTGGAAGACATCTTGGCTATGTATTCGCGTTAACGGTGTCGGATAACGGGTTTGGCGACAGAAGGGAGGCGACGAGAGGTCGAGACGGAGTTGGATGGCTTTCCACTTGGGTTTCTCAGTGTTCTCGCTTAGTGCGGGTGTGCTCTGTAAAATCTTGGCGGTGGGGCCTCATTGGCTCTGCTGGGTGGGGCTGTTGAGCCCTAAGGCTTTGCTGTTTCGGGAAGACATCTCTGCTTTAGCTTTGTCAGCTGGATTGTTAAGGGCATAGCGGCATAACCTGATGGTGAGAACTGGATCTACTCTTGGAGCGATAGGTAGATGGCTGATTCTCCCTCCTTCTGGTCTGTGGACAATCCTTTAAGTGTGACTGAGAACTAGACAACGTAGAATCGACATAATACAAGAATCGAAATTGAGTACATAAATTATCTCTTCATCAAGTTCAGATGTAAAGCGGTATACCATAATGCGAAAGAACAACCTTCCTTTAAAAACAATGCCAGATAGTCTCCAAAGTCCGAACACCATATCCTTTGCGCCAGGAACCCGAGTACAAACGCCGCTGCCATTATTGCTGGGCTAGCCCTTACGCCTTCGAGGCTTCGGGCTGAGTCTCTGCACTTGGCTCCTCGGGCTTGGACGTCTCTTGCTCCGCTGTCACCGCGTGGGTGACCTCACTTCGAGGAGCTTCAGGAGCCTTGTCTTTGGTCTCGGTTGTCACCGTTGTAGGCCCGGTCCCCTTCGCAGTCTCTGATTCTTTCTGCTCCGGGCCCCCGTTGTCATCGGATGCTTTTGTTTGAGGCGTCGGCTCGGGCACGGCATTCTCTGACGCGAGTGTCTCTTCCGCGGGGTTATTATGCAGCGTCTCGTCCACCATTGGCGCTTGCTCCTGGTTTATATCAGGCACGGGGACATCTGCGTCTTCCATGGTCGTATCTTCATCTGCTGGTCTTGCAGAGTCTGGGCGAGAAACAGGAACAGACGTAGGGGCTGGTTCTCTCGCATCGATAATCATCTCGGATGGCTCGTCAGTGGATCTGTTCTCCGCTCTGGATGGAGCCTCGGCAGCGGAAGACGTTCCCTGGGCTTCAGAATCGGCTTCCGGTCCAGGCGCTTCTGTCATCTTCGCATCGGCGCCAATGTCCATCTCATCATCGGGGACAGATGAAGCGTCCTGTGGTGTAGCCATTCCACTTTCAACTCCAGAATCACCAAGATCTAGCCGGTAGTTGGCTTGGTTGCGTCGTTGTAGGTGAGTCGGTTTGCGAGTGACGCCATTTGCAGCGTTCTCATCCTCATCCTCGCTATCGCTCAGCTCGCCTGACTTTTCGACATATTGATCAAACCGTCGCTTTGTGAAACGTTTGTCTTTGTTTTCATCCTCATCCAAATCGTCGAGGATCGCCTCGGCTTCGTCGTCCATGCCGTCTACCAGGGATTCACGTGGAACGTCAGTCATCTGCACGGATGGAGCAAAGGCCGTTCGCTTGAGGTTCTCGACAACTTGTGTTCGAATCTTGTCTAGGTATTCTCTTGTGTTGGCGTTGTCCATATTTGATGGCCGGACGTCCAGCTCATAATCAGGTGCAAAGTACTGTCTTGTGTAAGCATGTTGGTTATTACGCCATCGATGCGGCACTCACCTCGTAATAGTCGTTGTAAGGAAGTTCAGATCCTAGGTTATCGCCGACAAGTATACCAGTCTCGAATGCCCAGGTTCGCGCAACATTGCGCATGGTATAACCACCACCTCCGAGGATCAGCGTCGGTAGATTGAAACTTTTCACATAGTTGACGCAGTTCGCGTGGCCACGCATGCTGAGGTTGAAGCATCCTAGGCGATCACCCGAAAGACTGTCGCCGCCGCATTGGAGGACAACAGCCTCCGGACGGTACCAGTCCATTACGCTCTTAATGACAGGCTCGAAGATGCTCTTGTAAGAGACATCATCAATACCATCACGGAGCGGGAAGTTGACGGCATAATATTTACCCTGTCCAACTCCAATATCACGCAGTTCACCTGTTCCGGGAAAGTACTCGCCGTACTTGTGAAACGAGACTGTCATCACGCGGTCTGTGGTGTAAAACGCCTCTTCCACGCCATCACCGTGATGAACATCAATGTCAATGTATAGAACTCGCTGCTTGAAGCGGAGCAACTCAAGGATACCGAGAACAATGTCTAAATGGGTTCATCAGTGTGGTGTAATACAAACAATAGCATTTGACCTACCGTTCACATAGCAGAAACCACTAGCTTCGCTTTTCTTAGCGTGGTGGAGGCCGCCAGCCCAGTTCACGGCGATATCGCATTTATTCCGATTGAGACGGGCGGCACCCTCCATACTACCGCCAGCGCTGATGCCACAGAACTCAAACAGCCCGTCGAACACAGGACAGTCGTCACCAACATTGTACTTGCTTTGTTCCTTTGCATATGCCTCCATGTTGTCGGGGGTAACTTTTGAAAGAAAGTCGATATATTCATCGGTATGGAACTGGGTCATTTCGAATTTGGAAGCGGGCTTCGCACGCTACAAGGGCTAACGGTTAGCGCACAGCTTCTCAATACAACACATACATAATAACTCACGTAGATCTCCATCTTCTTGTAAAGACTGTAATTCATCACCAAGCTGTGCGTCATCCTGATGCGATGCGGCTTCATAGGATGCCCCGACACATACGCATAGTTTCCCACATCGGAGTCGTAGAAATAGGCGACTCTCTTGCTGCGATCTGAAGGTCCATTCAGGTTAATGGGATCCAAAGGAGGCCCTGCAGGCCCTGAAGTTCCGGAAGCCATGTTGAAGGTTGGCTGGTTAAAAGGCTACAGTTAATTCTTGGTTAGGACGGCGGATGGGAATATCTCCAAAGCGCGGAGTTTCCTCGGGGAATGAGAAGGCCGTGGTAAAAGATAATAAACGCAAGATCCGAGACCAAATCTCGCCTAAAAGAAGCAGACCGACCCGTCTATTAGGTAAAGAGGTTAATGAGCATGCATCAGAGTGATTGGAGCTATGAGTTGAATTGGGTTGGATGAGAATCTACTCCGGGCTGGGAGGAAACGAAGGGGAGGGCCGAGCGAAAGGCGGCGCCCGCACAGGAGCTGCCTTCACCGCCTTCGTCAGCCTCTCATGCCTGCGAAGCTCAAGCCTGGATCACCACGGACACGGCATCTCAACCAACGCCTCATTCGATACCTATCCCCCATCTCCGTCCTTCTCCTCTGCTCTCTCTCGTCATCTGATCCGACCTCTGTACGGCTTTGGTTTCTTTTCCATTTTCTACTCTCATCCCGTTGGCGCCGCTCCAACGCCTACAGACCGTTCGGAGCTTCCGCTGAGGAAGTAATCCTTTACTTCTTGATTCCGATTAATTTGTCTTCCTCTAGACTTCATCGACAACAATGGATAGACTTACTCGAATGATTCAGGCCGCCCAAGGCATGGGCATGAATGGCGCGGCCCCAGGTGCTGTGAGTGGTGGACACCTCCCGGCCACCTTACCCTACTGCTTTTGTCTGAAGTTGAGCACGATGTGTCAAATACTCGGAATTTCAGGGTGTACATAAACGCCGAGTCATTAGATGCTAATGCCGTAATGACATAGGACACGAACCTCCTCGATAACTGCGAAACCGTACACATTTCATCACTTGCGCTATTGAAGATGCTAAGGCATGGACGAGCAGGTGTGCCCATGGAAGTGATGGGTCTGATGCTGGGTGAATTTGTGGATGAATATACGGTGCGGGTAACGGATGTGTTTGCGATGCCTCAAAGTGGTACAGGTGTCAGTGTCGAAGCTGTCGACCCTGTATTTCAGACCAAGATGATGGACATGCTTCGGCAAACTGGACGGTAAGCTTCATTTAGGAGATATGCTTGGCTTGGGCTGAGAATCATGCTTTAGACCGGAACCCGTTGTCGGCTGGTATCACTCCCATCCCGGTTTTGGATGCTGGCTCTCCTCCGTCGATATCAACACCCAGCAATCGTTCGAGCAGCTTACGCCACGCGCTGTCGCTGTAGTCGTTGACCCAATTCAGTCCGTCAAAGGCAAGGTTGTCATCGATGCCTTCCGTCTTATCCAGCCCCAGACCGTTGTTATGGGTCAAGAACCCCGACAAACCACCTCTAACCTGGGTCACTTGAACAAGCCATCGATTCAGGCTCTCATTCATGGATTAAACAGACACTACTACAGCATTGGCATCAACTACCGCAAGACAGGACTGGAGGAGAACATGCTGATGAACCTTCACAAGCAAGTCTGGACCGAGGCGCTGCAAATGAATGACTTCCACGACGAATGCCAGCACAACGTTGACCGTATGAAGCAACTCGTCAACCTGGCAGAGGGCTACGAGAAACGAGTGAAGGAAGAGACTGAGCTCACTAAGGACCAGTTGAAGACGAGATATGTCGGCAAGGTTGACCCCAAGAAGCGTAAGCACTATACATCAATTATAAAAAGATCCGGAGTATATTCTAACGAATACACCAGACATCGAGGACGTGAGCCAACAGTTGATCGAAGACAACATTGTCGCTGTCTCACGGCAGATGATCGATAAGGAGGCTTCGGTGGCACGTCAGTCGAATGGAAAGGGCCCCCAGAATGGCACCGGTATGGATGTGGACGAGGAGCTATAATGGATATATGCTGCCAGAACATAGCTACAGATCTTACTGACTTGACGAAATGACATTCTGAAGGTCGTGTGTTATCAACGACCTAGAGATTGAATTCCATGGTTTATCAATCCTTTGATTGAGGAGGCCTAGTGGCAAAAAAGCTATATACAATACTCTTCAAGGGACTTCCAAGTTATGTTCACACAACTTCTTCGAAGAATGAAGGGTTCTCCCTGACATAAGTAACTGGGGGTCTTCTGGCGGTACTCTGCAACCCGTAGACAACCCTCTCCGCAATCATGTCCTCCTTATCGTAGTCCGTCCACCCTCTTTGAGGACCCCACACGATCTTTTTGCCCGCTGTTCTTGCTTCATGCAGCAGTCGCTTCATTAATGCCCCGCCCTTCATGACAGACGGGTTTCCATCAAATTCGACGTACCCCAAACGTGGCAGTTTTTCCAGGATTTGCTGTAACAAACCGCCGGCAAAGTCGGAGTAAAAATTATTTGAGATACGGAAGCCGTTGAATACTGGATGGGACGGATCGCACTCAACAAAGACCTTCAAAACCCGGAGACGGGTCATCTCTTCCAGCCCTAGTTGACGGGTAACCCTCCATGAGCGAGGCGGTGCCGTCCAGCTTGATCCTAATATCAACTCAATTGTACCGATAGAGGAGCGATATTTAGTCGGTATACTCCTGATAGTAGGTATCCGTGAATAGTCTTGAATATGGAAGATGCGGAAAGCCTGTGTCGAGTAGAAGTAATCAGATGCTTCATCATGCAGTTGTCTCGAAGCGAGGAAAAGAGCAATTCGGTCGGATTGAGGCGAACGCGAGGGGTTTCTCGCGGATGCCCCCACGTTGCCGTTAGTCTCCCTGCTGCGACGCCGGGGTGTAAACAGGGCAAAGTGGTAGATGCGTAGACGGATCTCAGCCGGTAGATCGAATAAGCGAAATGGCTCACTCGGCGTGGGGTAAATCTTCTCCTCTTCGTCTTCGTCGGAATCGTACGCCGTCGACGCCATATTGCGAAGCTTGTATCGACCATCTTCAGGTGGAGGATCCGCGAAACGTACTCTTCGCAAGGGTTCTATAAGGTCGTCGGCCATCGCAACAGATTGGAAGATTGTGATCTAGAGGATATACGCAGGAACGATACGGAAGTGTGCAAGCCGTCACTAGGCGATTGATGGTCTATAACATGCCATTATTGATTTTAAACTGAAATCGAGAATGAACAGGACGATACGTTTTCAAAAGATGGCAGGCATGAGCCTACCACTTATCAACGAGAGACAGATATATGAGATTTGTATCCCACTAACGGGGCTGCGGCTGCACAAAAATTCTTCGCCGCGGCTCTTGGGTGTGGGAATATCAGTCTCCCCAGCTAATACAACCCAGCATGCATGAGAAAAGTGGCACGATGGGTCAAATTTGTGGACTGGGTGATCAACTTTCAAAATTGGAGAAAAAAAAGAAAAAGTCAAGAAATTAGCCAGCAGCGGGGCTTTATATAGGCCCGGGAAATGCGCAAGTGGCCCGTGACCTTCCGCCGTAGCAGCCAGAGCGATGATGAAACTTCAGGTTTTCCTGGCTACGACCTCAACACTCGGGCCGGTTTTCAGCTTCAATTGCGAGTACTACATTGTTGTTTTCCTCGCCGCCCGAACCGACTCTTTATACCCCGAGCGGCGTCATTTCAGGCCCGGAGCCAACGCTCTCACCTTTCTTGTGCTGAGCAGGTGTATACTGTTTCCTTAACTTCCGTTCATCTATCACAGCATGCTTCGCCGTGCCATCTTACCCTTGACGAGGCCAAGCGGTCTCGTCTCCGCCCCTCGCCTATCAGCTATCCCTGTTTCACATTCGCGATGCTACGCGAAGGCCTCCAAGCCCAAGACTCCCTACAAGCTCCCCGAATCTGTCAAGTCCTCGAAGCCTGAACAACCCGCCAAGGCCTCTGAACAGGAGCAATATGCCGCGGAACAGGCGGAGTTTGAAACGACACCAGACCCTAAAGCCAACACCGCAAACACTACATCACAAGCCCCCGGCTCAGTAAGTTAGGACTCTTCGAATCGGGGGGTAAATATTGATCTAATTTGATAACTTAAGCCGGAATCATCTCCTACACCACCGGAACAAGATGCGCCTCGGAGACCGCTCCCCGACCTTACACAGGGTATCCCTTCCACCCTCGCCGCTGAACTGGAGGCTCGCTCTAAAAAAGGTGGCTCCGGATCATTGAACCTTACCGAAGACCCCTCCCGATTCGAGGAAGATTACAACGATGACGGCCGTGGTGATATCCCCAAGGGCGGCTACGAGTCGTCTCTTGACCGCAAGCGAGCCCGTATGGCTAAGCTGATGTACGCACTTTTCTTGCTGGGAAGTGCTGGTGGCATGGCATACTTCGGACGAAACTGGGATACCGCCGAGGAGGAGAACGCCCATCCTGAAGCCCCATCAGGCTGGGGCTTCGGACTTTGGTACAACCGTATTAAAGCTCGATCGGGCGACATCACAAGCTACTACAAAGATCCTGCCTTCCCAAAGTTGCTTCCCGATGAAGACCCCAACCTTCGCCAACCCTACACACTAGTCTTGAGTCTGGAGGATCTGCTTGTTCACAGCGAGTGGAGCCGTGAGCATGGATGGCGCGTTGCCAAACGACCTGGAGTCGATTACTTCCTTCGCTATCTCAATCAATACTACGAACTTGTCCTCTTCACCAGTGTGCCTAGCATGATGGCCGATCAGGTACTCCGCAAGCTCGACCCCTACCGTATCATCCGTTGGCCATTGTTCAGGGAAGCTACCAGGTACAAGGACGGCGAATACATCAAGGTATGTAATAGACGAAACCTGCTAGAATAAGCTCTTTGTGACTAACTTGGTTTATCAGGATCTCTCCTACCTCAACCGTGACCTCTCCAAGGTCATTTTAATTGACACTAAGGATGAGCACGCCCGTCTACAGCCTGAGAACGCTATTATCCTCGACAAGTGGAATGGGAACCCCAAGGATAAGACTCTCGTTGCTCTGATCCCTTTCCTTGAATACATCGCAGGTATGGGCGTGGATGACGTGCGCACAGTCCTCAAGTCCTTTGAAGGTCAACCAATCCCTATTGAGTTTGCCAAGCGCGAGAAGGCCATGCGCGAGCGTTTTGAGAAGGAGCTTGCCGAGGAGCAAAAGAAACGCCCCAGGAGTGGCGTTGGTAGCTTGGCCTCAGCGCTTGGTCTGAAGTCATCTACTCGCACCCTGGATGGTGAACAATCACCTTCCGCGGGTTTGCAGGAGGGCAAGATGCTCTGGGACCAGATTCGCGAGCGTGGGCAGAAGAACTACGAGATGATTGAAAAGGAGATCCGCGAGAACGGAGAAAAATGGCTGGCTGAAATGGCTGCCGAGGAGGAGAAGCTTCGCCAGGAGCAGATGGAAAGCATGAAGGGCTCGTTGACTGGCTTCCTCGGCGGTAGCAAGAAGGAGTAAATCAATACTGCCTCATGCGGAATGCTCGTAACATCTCTTATCGCTATCTATTCAATGGCAAGGACGGGTATCCCTTGCTTGTCTATACGCCTTTTTTCTCTCCCCTCCCATCATAATGTGCGCCTAAGATGCTTTGCCAGATTTCTTTTCTCGGATGTGGTGTATTAAATAGAGGGTTATTTTCTTTTTCCTTGGTTATTGGCTACCTGAGCATCATCGGTGACTGTAAAATAGCATGCGAATTTTGAATATAATGTTGTATAAACTGAATACTATCTCTAATAGTCCCGTGTATGTATTTACCATCTCTCTCTCGGCGTTTAATTGAGAGCCCTAAGCTGTAATGACGGGCATATATTTTATGAACCTGCTCTTGTTGAACATGCATTTCGCGACTCGTGGTCGCGAGCCATCTAGACTGGGTATATATAATTAAATTGTCTTCAAGGAGGCGCCTGTTAAGAGGATCATCGCCTTCCTTTCCCTCCTCCCCCCTCTTCTTCACCATCCATATCTCGTAGCTTTAGTCGAGTAAGTTAAGTTAGATTCACATCCTGAAACACCGATACATCCCAGATCCCCGTCATATCAAACGGAAACCCATCCATGGTCCCGAAGGTATTCGAGATCGACATCATATCATCTACAATATCATTATTCGTCTGCGTCTCAGGCAACGAAATCGAAATCGCTGCTGGGTTAACTAGCCCGTTCGTATTATCGGGCGGACCCATGACACCCGCGCCGCCGCCGGCCCCGTGCGCGTTAGGGACGCCCAGGGTAGATGTGGTGCCGTTGAGGCCATTTCCGGGGAGGCGGTTGAGGATGCGCTCGCAGTGGTCGAGGCACATGTCTGCCACATCCCAGTCGTATTCTTCGCGGACGCGGCGGAGGATGGCGCGGAAGGATTCGACGTTTGCTAGGCAGGTGCGGGCGACTTCGGGGTCAGAGGTTTCGAAGGCACAGCGGACGAGGAGCGTTGCTGTTGAGGTTAGGTGGAAGGCGCTATCTGCTAGGGGTTAGCTATATTGACGGAGTTGTTGAAGGCTGCACTGGGTGGTTACGTACAAGGTAGCCAGAACTCTTTGAAGTTCTCTTTCCGGAGGGATGTGATGAACTGCACGATATCTTCGGCTCCTTTTCGGCACTCGGTTTGGAAGTACCGGCGGGCTTCGGGGAGGTCTGTTTCTGAATTGTTCACATCCTGTACCAGTTTAGATAGGTGTATACAACCGCGTAATCCTGAGGCGGGGTACTTACATTTAGTTCTACCCGCCCAACAAGCAGCTTCACGGCCAAGAAGGCTAGCTGTAAGCTACTGAGGCCTGCTATCCGATCTTCTGACGAACCTAGAGGAGATCTTAACCAGTCTGGGAGCGAATCTTCCCAAACATCTAGATCTGTGCGAATCTGGCGGATTTTCTTGGTTGTCTCGCGAGGTAATCGAAGTTGAAGACCGTAGACGAGCGGAAGCAGCTCGCCCAAAATCTCGGTCAATCGACATAGCGCAATATGACAATGCGCTGCTCTTACTCGTTCAGGTGTGCGCGACGCTGGAGGTACTAGGACTTCGACAGTAGGGAGAGGCACATCGTACTGGTTTCTGGCGATTTGGGGAGGTACGCCATGTCCGAAACTCCCCCTTGACGGTATATTAGCAGCCGTATGATACCAAGAGTCAAATTCAACACTAACCAGCGATCATGAATAACAACAGCCCACCAGAGACGAACACGCTGGTTTTGCTCCTGTTGGGACAGTTTCCAGTTGCTAGGATCTCGATTCAGACCAAGGCAATGAGCGAGGGATACCATCCGCCCACAGCTGATCGCATTACCGGTCATGGAAAATATAGGTCGCCCAGACAAATCGATGAGAGCTGCACTGATAGTTGACAGCCCCGGGGCGGAAAATTCTTCGTGAAGGGCTGCCACGGTCAGATTTACAGCATACCGGACATCTGGTTTTGGATGGCAAGCAAGTTTAGGCGTGTGCTTCCAGTGAACTAATGACATAGAATAGACCTGGCATAAAAGAGATGCCGGCGGTTCGCTAGGCGAGTCTGATATGTAGGCTTCCCAGAAGGCTTCGCCGTCGAATATGGGAAACGCTGCATTGAATCGGTCGAGAAACCTATGATCAGCGTTAGCAAGTTGCAAGGTCACATGTCCAAAAAAGCGTACAATCTGACTAAATCGTCTTTGAATGGTCCAAGAATCTGCTCCAAGATCTCTTTCTGATTCTCGCCGGGAGGTATGCCAACACGCATGCCTTGTCTCCTTCTGGACACGGTGGTGTACAGAATGGGTTTCCTAGGGTCGTTCGAATAAACATTGTATGGGTGGTTTTTTGGCTCCACCGACTTGTTGGATTGCCGTGGAGGCATGTGTTTTTCAATCACATTGGCGTCGTCCGCTACTACTGGACCGACTATGAAAACAGATTCGTTATGAGGGTCCTCGACTCCTTGTCGTCTGGGCTCACTCCCTCGACGGGGTACTGCTGAGTGGGACCGCCGGACTTCAGACATGTCATCCTCCCGACGGGAGGTCATTGGAGGGGAAACAGTGTCTGGAGAGCGCTTGCGTTTCTGGCCTGTGGGGAAGCCATCACCAACGGGGTCCGAGAGCCATGCAGCAGGGCCCTGGCCGTGAGCAGCAGACAGCTCGTTTCCGGGTTCCTCTTGATAGTGGCAATCTGCTCCTTGGACTCGGCATAAGAGGCATGATTGGCCCGGAATATCAACTGTACATCTTGATTTGCGCTTCCGACACAGATCACAGGCCCTGACCTTGTGTGACCGGTACGGTCTCGCCCCAGTGTTCATTGTTCAATGCCGGTGTGGCGACCTTTTGGGTTGGGCTAGGCTTGACAGCTGCAGGAGGCATGTTGTGCCCCGACGACGTGTATCTAACTGGTCCAACGCTGTCGCATGGATTATACGACGCAAAGAACGACAGTGGAGCACGTGACTCACCCGCTTGTCGGGGCGGGATTCCGATACTCTTGACAGGGCCAGGCGGAATCGAGCAGGGAGATGAAGATAGTGTTTGCCGAGATCTCTTGTGATCTGCAGCCGGGAGCAGATTGCCAGATAAGAACAGATAAACCGTTATCTCGGGGCTAGAACATTAGGCCAGGCTTCTCTCAATCCGAGACGGCCTGACAGGGCAGTTTGATCGAGCGCGGCATCCAATTGCGGAGTCATTCAGCATGCGACATAGTCTCTGATCACAACAATGACAAGCCGACAGAACCAGATGGCCAATTGATAGGTCAATCCCTTTCCGAGTCGAGAGCACTTCGGTACTCTAGCCCTCCTATCACCAACCAGCAGCTAACGGCAGAGTTTGTTTCTTTTCTTTTCCTGGGAGACCTGGACCATTGGAACTTTCTTATCGCCCGCCAAAAGACAAATGCTGTGGGGGAACACGCTGAGTCATCACCTTGGCCAACCACGTGCCTCTTATTTATAGCGGCCTTGAACGATGAACGATGGACACCATCAACCCCAGGTCGCTTCTGCCTTGTCACAACTACTTGCGACTCGACGCACCGCAGTCTTTGGCCACCGGCCTCTGTCACTCATCCCAGTCGTGTGTCAGGCCGTGCTAGCGTGTTTGAAATTCCTGCGGGGATGCGCTTCTGCTGCAAGTGGGCTTAGAGTTGAGAGCCAATAAAGCGGCCCCTCTTGTGATCGGGCAAGATCTCCGTCGAAGCGACACAGCCACCAGCCCAAGTCGCTAGCAAGCACCTTTGGCTTTTACAGGACCTGCTCCCCCTGATTTCTCTCTTGGATTGGCATAGAAGACCATGCGTGCACGCAATTGATATTGGGCATGCCTTTGATACATGCAATGTACCTCGATTGAAGATGGAGGAGGATGTCCGGCTCCATCCGCCAGAGCGACTTGGTGGTGGCGGCGAGTCGCTCGTCGAGTCTGATACCACGCAACAACGCCAAACCACAGAGTCACATGTATTGCACAAAAAAGCCCCAGGGATGCCAGCCCCCCAGGATATGCCGGGAACTCCTTTCAGTCGTTTGCCTCGGACTGTGATTGAGCAGTAAGTTCTGCGTCGCCTTCCTGCAGCTGCGAGGCTAGGGCTTCTATTGAGACCCCATGTAAAACCTAGCATTTTTTGACTCAGTGTGCAGAATTCTCCATGTAGCTGATGCAAGTACATTCGCGTCGCTGGCTTTATTGAACCGAAAGTGGCGGCGGATATCCAACTCGCCTCTGCTGTATGGGCATCACTTGTCCCAGTGCCCATCTTTTGCACTATCACAGAAAGCTACCGATGCTAACCGGGTTCAAACCGGAGACCTGGCTGTTCTCAAGCGGCAATTCTTCTCTGAGATTAGGCGCAATGGGTTCGATGTCTATTTCCGCCCCCACCAGATTCTGGTCAAACTCATTTCCACCTCAATGAGCTCGTCGACAGCGTTCCCTCGCGGCGAAGCTTTTCGGTTTGCCTTTTCACAGAATGGTCAACTTATCCTTTGCATCAGCTCTTCTCGCATTGTCGTGCTTGATGTGGCAGCAGAACCCCCAGCCGTGAAGTATGAGCTCAAAACTTTGAGGCGCCCGCTGCATGCCACTATATTGGACGACGGGTCGCTTCTTGCTGTTGTGTCCTCAAGTCACCAGGTCAACATTTACACCCTTTCTAACGCAGAAGCCAAGCTTGTTCAGAATCTCAAACTAAACGACGTTCCGCGTACTTTGGCTCTCTCTCCGGCCGGTAGCGTACTTGCTATTGCGTACAATGATATGATTGAGGTGTACGCTGTCGGCGAGGGGGCTTTAGCAACCGAGCGAAGGGCCGTTCGCTGTGCAGGGGTTGACTCGCTTTCGTTTTCCTCGGACGGTGTCATCCTTCTGGGCTCTTCCGACAATACTTCAACGGGAAGCCTGGTTACCATAACAGTGCCCCTCTATGGCGAGCAGGAGCCCGAGATTTCCATCAAAGATGTCCAAATCCAGATGTGGACTACTCAAATACTTTTTCCGGAAGTTGTCCACGACTACAGTTATGCTTGTCTGCTGCCATTGCATACAGAAGGTGAAGGGAGCTGGATCATGGGATATGACAACAAACTCGGGACTTTCAGAGCCACTGGGCTCAACAAGTCTAGCTCCGGGACAATATACTTCGCTAGTCCTGTGTCTGAAGATACGAATAAAGAGCACCCGCCGATGATGCTCGCCTCTGCGGATTGCGAGGGTGAACTTGTTGCTTTAGGATTTCAAGACTCTGGGGTCTGGGTCTACGGTCTACCTGATCGACTTGATATTGCTCCTGTGACGCAGAATGCCAGCGAATCACAGGCACGGCCTCGCACTGCTCAAAGCCAGTCAACTGTCGCTACAGATACGGGAACCAACATTAGTCGGCTGCAGCAGACCATAACACGACCAAAAGTACTCATTAACGGCCATAAGGTAACTGATATTTCTGGCATCACTGCTGCTCACTGGGTGAAACGTAACTACAGCATCGGACAACCACGGAGATTAGCCGCTGTGGCTCCTGGCGGAGTCGACAATGCTAGCTTTGGTGATGAAGACGTACCTTTGGACGGCGGACGGATTTTACTCTTAGACTTTGCATGCTCGGCCACGAATGGGAATTCGACAGAACTCACCATAGAGATCGGCGAGGCAGAGCCTGTGATGCTGCGCGAACCGAATTCCAGCTTGGACACTGAAGTTGAACTGGAAAGAAGAAGAACTCGTATACATCGCGGGAATACCGGCAGAGGAAACCGCGAGTCATATCCGGCCGCCAGCTCGAGTAATCGTCCTCGCGCTCGCAGAATCAGTTCCTATCTCTCTGCCTCTTCAAGCGAAGTTGCGGACGGTGAGATTCCTCCTATCTTGGATAGTCCTTACGATAACACACAACCGCGATCTCAAGACACATTACGGCGTGCTGCTACTGCTGCCGCCGCAAATCGCAGGCGAGTGGCTCAACTGGAAGAAACCCGCCGTGCGATACAAGAATCCCCTGTTCCTGCCGTCTTCCAGGTTCCTCACGAGAGCGATGCGGACAATTGGGTTCCTCCGCCTCCTCCCTATTCGCGCGAGGCAGATGCACCTCTTCCCGACTACCTAAGAAGGACTTTACTTCCTCCAACGCGAAGATACGGTCAGAATGCAGCGGAGTCATTCCGAAGGTCACTTTCCACTCGTTTCTCCTCAGAGTCTTCATCTCGACCCTCATTGCACAGACTGAATACCATTACCGGCCCGAGCTTGACTTCACGAATGAGACGAAACGTTGGGGAGACCTCGACTTCCGATAACCATCGGAGACACACCAGCTTAATTCGAGGAAGAGCAGGCCCGGGCTCTCAGGCTCAACCTCTTAGTAGCGTCAACGAGTCAACTGTACCGGCACAACCACGGGTTTCTCAGATGGTGCCGATTGCTGTGCCAGCGGCGCCAAATGGGACAACATTGATAGATTCTATTGCTCCGACAATACAGACTCAAGCCCAACCTATGCCCATTCAAGTTCCGAACCACACGCAATTCAACAATTCTCAACTTGATATGCCGGCAGTCCCACCAACTCCACCTGCAATGAATAACTACCTCTACTCTCTATCTTCGCCAAACCTTATCCCGGAACATTTGATGCCGGAGACACCCGAAACGCCAACACCAGTCCAACATACGAGCGCCCGACAGCACGATCGCACGCAATCATACGACTATCAACCACCTCTATCAGCAGCAGCCCTCCGCAACCGCCGGGCATCCACCGACCCTACGCACTCCAGCGCGCAGTCCGTCGCGCCGGAACAGCAGTGGCGAAGGCGCATCGAGGAGTGGAACGAGCGCACCATCTATGAGAGAAGCAAGAAGCGAAGCAAGTGTGTCATCATGTGAAACACCCCTTTGGATCAACAACTCTTCGTTTCTACTGTATATTGTCTACCTACATATATTTTTTCTCATGTTGGCTATTTTCTTGAATATATCCGAGCGATACATATTTGTTGTCTTGGAAGCAATGATACCAGATGTTGATCATCTATACGGGCTTAGGTTTTGTAGATACCCATTTGGACATTCGCTTGTGGTTTTTTATAGCATCGGGGTTTGGGAGGTATAAGTTCGATTCGCTATCATCATTAAGGGCGGAATATTCCTCATAAGTAGCCATTCAAATTCCAAAAAAAGAGAAACGACTGGCAAACAAACAACAAACGCTCATGTCATCACGCAGAGGCTCAACAACCCCCTCCACCGCCGCCGCCGCATCCACCACCACCACCACCGCCGCCACAGCCTCCTCCCCCGCAACCACCCCCCCCTCCACCACAACCACCACCCGCACAGCCACCGCTACACCCGCCTCCCTTCCCACCACATGCTCCGGCCGCAACCGCACCCCCGCAGGTCCCGGTAGCACAGTTCCCAGGATGCCCAGGTTGAAGACTCATGCAGCTTGGATCCGCAGCATACGCATCGCAATGCACACCAGGGTCTCCAGCATAGGGCGCATAATAAGGTACGTAGACGGGATACCCCCACATGAGCGGGTACGCGGCATACGCATCCGTGTCGTATTTTGAACTGCGCTTCGCCTTGGTGTCCTTGTCCGGCAGCGACTTTCCGTTTCGCTTGTCGGCGCGCCGGCAGCTGCGCTCGTAATCGGAGCGCAGTTTGAGGAATTTCATCAGGTTAGGGTCTACGGCTGCCATAATATTTTTCGTCTTGACGGCGCTGTGCGCGGAGATATGTGGGTTCTTCTCCGGGTCTGAGGAGATCTCCGGATTATCATGTAGGTTGACAGCCGCCGAGCGGGCCTTTGCGCCGGAGGAGGCTGGGAAGTGCATGCGGCTGTAAATATCTGCGCCCCGGGTGGCCTCGCAGTACCAGCAGGTGCATTCGCTGTAGATGCCACCGTCCGTGAGCTTCCGGTACATTTTGGCGGTCCACTCGAAGCCGTCGGAGAGTTTGGTTTCGCTGACTTTGTCGTCGTGGTCGATGAAGATTGGGCAGCGGCCGTCCTGTTTGGTGTGGTGTATGGAGAATTCGAAGTAGCGGCCGGGCGTGAGTTGGTGGGTGTGCCAAGCGAGGTCGACGTCGAGGGTCGGTACGGCCATGCGGCCTGGGTTGCTCGCCATGATCTGGAAAAAGACGGCGTATTTGCGGATTAGGCGTAGCATTGTTTCTGTTAGGGTTGGCGAGTGCAGCCAGTCGATGTTGTCCATTTTGTTGATGAAGGTTCCCTGGCGGACGACAGCGCCGACGAGTTCGAGGGCGAATTGGGAACTGTTGTCCCAGTATCGTGACATCATGCGGCGGAAGGCGATCTTCTCATCTTTGTAGAGGGAGGTCCCAACACTAGTTGGGTTCGCTCTACGCATGACCTCTTTGTCTTGCACCAAGGCTCCCAGGTAGTCGCGCAGCATGGTTACGCTAGGGCTGACCCACAGGGTCGATCTCATGTACTCGCGGATATCACGTTTGGCCGTTTGAAGAAGCCGATTGGGGAAGTTCGCCTGCTGCAGCCGTCGACGTGTTGCGCTCTGGGGTTCCGGTATGCCCCATGAGTTAAGTATGGTCCCTGGCATGGGAAGATTTCCATCCAAAAGATCACTGATGTCGTTTCGAAACTTCTGGACACGCAAGGTATCGTGAGTGATTCTAAGCTTGCAATGACTGCAGTATATCCGGAAATTCTTGTCCGTGTAACCTGTCCAGCTGTCAAACGTACTCTCAAGAGGGAGACTTAACCTCCCGCGAGCCCAGGGTGCAAAATTTATATGGCTGCAACTAGGACAATCTAGCATCTTCGATGGCATGTCTTGAAGGATATCCCATTCCAGATTGGTTTCGCCGTTAAAGGCCGTGGCTGCCTCACTTCCGGTGTCATATACCAGTGCTTGGTCGTCGATGGAGGCATTTATTGCTTCCCATGGAAATCCGGCTGACCAGAAGCTAATCTTTCCATGCCGAATGCAGTCTTCAAGAAAGGCCCTAGGGTTGAGCATATGTGCATGCCAAACCATCAGGACGTCTAAGCAGATCATTAGTAGACAAGACGACGCACAAGATTTTAGAAAGATGAAGACCAACCTAATGGAGGCAGTTTGTTCCGGGCCCATGTTAAGGGACTATTACATAATATAATATCGTTAAATTCAGAGGAGGAAAGCTGCTGGACAGTAGGCCGCGGACGAGATGCTGGAACGCATGCATTCCACCAGGATGTATAACGTGCAACAGCCTTAGCCGTATAGACAGCCCACCGCTTCTCCTTGACGAGTGCCCACGCTTCGTTGATATGAGATTCACACTCTCGTGGGTCGGGATCTGGTATGTCAAAAGTATTTGGAATGCTCGTTACCGTATCACGCAGATCAGATAGCGCTGCGAGAAACTTGAGATGAGCGATGCACTCCGAGTGAGTGACTGTCGTATAGGCTGCAGGTCCGGCATTCTGAGCCAAATTCAATGAGTAGGAAGCAACCCCCGGCTGTTGGTCTGGAGTTTGAGTATATGCCGGCAGACTGTCTCGTGACAGTTTCTCTTCAGTCTTGGTTGCTTTGCTTAACAAGCCCATGGTCATATGTTATTCGGGATTGCAGTTGAGGTGTACTCAAACGACGGAGATGTTGGGTCTCCCCTGCCCTTTATATTCGGTATCACCCACGGGGTTGATTTCCCGCCAGCCCGTAAGGTTCAGCCCGTAAGGCTTGCAACGCCCGGCAGGTTGAGAAAGGCAATGACAGCCGAATGCGCCGTCACGAGGCGAGTCGATCTTCAGGGAACCGTTGCCCCGCGTCTTACTTACCCAATGATCTGAAGTGATACAAGCACAAGCGAGATATCGGCTTGGCCAAGATGCTAGGCCTTGTCTGCAACGAGAGACGGCCTTGAGCCGAAGGAGACACAGCCCCGGAACGGGGCTTTCTGCCTTCTACTAGGTAAAGTTCCGGGCGCATTGTTCTCCTCACTGCCACACTACAGACGTCAGTGGCGGGAAACATGACCCTCAGAGCAATATTGCTTCGCCAAAGGGCAACTACGGGAACTGGGGCCTCGGGTGATGTTCTGGAAGGTATAGAAGCTTCTTAGGTGTGCATTGTGGGTACAAGCACCAACATAGTCGATGATGCAAGTGATCTGCAGCAAGATTAGATCAAGATTATCAGCGCAACATAGGTATTCTTCGGGCAGTCGTCACCCGGTGCAGGCCAAGGTTCTTCTCAGTATGGACGGAACAAGGCTAACAGAACATGAGAATGCGACCTCCTGGACCCTGGCGTACCTCTGTAGTACAGAGGGTCAAGTGGAGCGAGGATAGAGCGACTATAGAGCTAATGTTCCCGTCACGTGTAGCACGTGACTATTAGTGGCCCCGCCCTGAGCCCGGACTCTGTTACTCATCGAGCAGTCCCAAGACTCCGGATCATCCCACCGACACCGCACTGACAGAAGAAGAAAAAGTGAGAAGCCGACGTGGAAAGTTGGAGTCGGAATCTGCAGTAGCTCTGCGTCGTCAATTTAGTCGTTGATTGGCAGTTTACCCGCGGAGCTCGACAAAGCGTGACTCCATTACCCGGGACTTTTTTTCGCCTCGCAGTCGCATGTTTTTTACTTATCGTTGTCGAGCGAAACCAGATCGACCACCACACCTCTTCTCGGGCCATTCGTTTTCAATCGACTGTCTCTTTGCCTCATAATCCAGCCTGGCGTCGTTTGGAGGACTGACCAGCGGAATCGAAGACGGAAGTCTGCAGGGAATTACACCAAAGCCGAGTTCGCGAAATAATGCTTCTGTTGTCACCAGCCCCGTGATGGGAGGTATCGGTCATACGTCTATTTCACCGGCCGTCGCGTCTGATGGCGCTGGTCAGGCCAGGAAGCGAAATGTTGTTATGGCGGGGCTCGACAGCTCACCCGGGAGTATCGATGATGTTGAAGAAGGCGAAGCCCGCGACGAGAAGAGAAGACAGCCGGTCAAGCGGGCCTGCAATGAATGTCGCCAGCAAAAGGTGAGTTTGTTTGCGCTCTTCGCCCATTGAACTTGACGACTGACTCTGGTTGAAGCTCCGATGTGATGTGGTTCAAGATCCATGGACGGACTGCTCCCGCTGTCGCCGACTGAAACTCGATTGCAAAATCGAATCTAACTTCAAACGGGTTGGGAAGCGAAGCCGAAATGCGGAAATGGAGCGAGAAATCATCGAGCTCAGGAAGCAGATTGCGAGCGTACAATCCGGGCCAGTTGGGCCGCAACAATCGCATCTTCCTTCGGCACAGCAGACCCCAAAACAAGAAAACCTCTCCACTCAAGTCAGCCCGGCTAGAGCTTACCAGACGCCCTCTGCCATGTCGACGGCAGATCAATTCATGGGATCACACGAAGCCGTTGCCTCGTTACTCGATTTGCGCTCGGGCTACGACGGTTCGAACTACATGAGGAATGGGAACCAGCACTTTAAGCGAATCGAAGATGTGGCGGTGGTACCAGAGAGAGTGACAGAACTGTTTGATCTGTAGGTTGGATCGGATCATCGTGCTGGTTAGTGTGCTAACCGGGCTAGATTCTTCACGTACTACCATCCGTTCCTTCCATTCCTTGACCGCGAGCAATCACCGGAGGAGTACTATACTGTCTCGCCGTTGCTATTTTGGACCATTATCAGCGTTGGCGCTCGCCGGTATCAACCCGATCAGAACCTTCTAAACTCATTGGCCGGACCGGTAACACGACTGGTTTGGAGTACGCTAGCCGACGTCCCACAGAGCTATCATGTCGTCAAAGCGCTCTGTCTGCTCTGCAGTTGGCCCTTTCCTACAAGTAGTACTTCTTCGGATCCCACATTTATGCTATGTGGTTTGATGATACAGATTGCTATGCAGCTTGGATTGCACCGGCCGTCACATACGCAGGATTTCAGCAAATACAGGGTGGAGCTCGTAGAGGAAGAGCTCAGAGACAAAGTCCGAACATGGGCGACTTGCAATATAGTTGCACAACGGTATGCCTCCATTTATGTTCTTGCAGGGCCTGGCTAATACTTGTTAGGGTTGCAACGGGATATGGCCAGCCACCGTGTACATTGTATGATTGGACGCTGTCGTCCCAGGAGTCTATGGATCCGAATTTCAAGCTCCCCGAAAGCATCAGGCACAGACTTGATATTGAGAAGTTTTGCGACAAGGTCACGAAAGCCCTGTACACCAACCGCCGCGATCCTGTTGGATTGTGCGGTAGTCAAGAGCGGTCTACATTAACGTCTCTCCTTTCGCGAGACTTGGATGACCTGGAGACTGCACTGAAGCCGCACAACGATTGTATGTTTCATCGCCCACTACTGAAAGCCTGACTAACCGGTCCAGATGTCACCGATCTGTATTTGCGCGCTTCGAATCTCCACCTTCATCTCTCTGCTTTCTTTGACGATTTTACCGCCAAAGACTACCGCGAGCGACTCCTCTCTCTTTTCTTCGCAGCTACCTCGTTTCTTGAAGCTGCAATGAAGCTACAGACTCAGATTGGGCCGATGCTCTCCTACACGCCATATTACATCTATCAAATGATGGTTGCTGGGGGCTGTACTCTATTGAAGCTGTGCAAGAGTTTCTTTGCATCGCACATTGACATGGACTACGCCAAGGGCCTCTTCAATCGCACTATTTGGGCTATCCGTAGCGCATCAGTGATATCAAACGATCTTCCGGAGCGACTGGCCGAAGTGCTGGCTCAGATGTGGAAGCTTGGAAGCGCACCGTCTCCAAAGGCGCCTCCCGATAGCGTCGAAATGGACGATTCGTTAATGCTCAAGGTACGATGCCGCATGAGCATGTCTCTATTATTTGACTCAGTGTGGCGTTGGCGGGAGGATACGCGGACCAAGGGCCGCAACATTGAAGGTAAAGCAACCTTATCATACCTGTTTGATCCATGTGATTAACCTATATTGCAGCGTACCTCAAAAACCCAACAAACCCCGACTCAAATGCCGAATCTTCTGCTTCGTCATCAATAGGACCGCCACGCACATCACCTGGACTTGCCACTGGGGACCCTAGTCTCGCTCCGGCTCTCCTCCCTCAGCCCAACATGGGTGTGCAACCCGCAAACAACCTTGGCGGCCTGCCTAGCGGATTCATGGAGCCCAACTACGAGGTTTTTGATCCCCTGAACTGGCTTCTTGACGGCTTGGTAGACCTGCCGTATCCTTACTCCGTTTCTGGTATGGAGACACAAGGAATTGCATAATACTTTTATCTTCATTATCGTGACTCACTTGGCGCTTGTATTCGGGTTGGCTTTCTTGTACCACTATACCAATGGGTGTATCACGGCATCTTCGCGGATAGGTGTGAGGCGTTGGCGCTTGAGCATTGCTTTGATTATTATCTGGGCTAGCTATACGACTGATGACATATACTACTACTTTATATACAATGATTCTGACAATCCTACTTCACCCATGCGTACACTGCATAATCGCATAAAGCGTAGTCCCATACTCATCCAACCCCTCCACCCATCTATCAATCCTCACCTTCCTCCTTTCCCTCTCATCAACCCCCACCCCCTCCGGCCAGAGCTCCTCAATCCTCAACCCTCCCTGACCTCCCCACTCCACTAGAAACAAATTATACTGCGCCTCCCACTCCCGTCTACATCCCGCGCGCCAAAGCAGCCCCCCCGCTGGCGCCGGGAGCCCGCGCAACTCAACCCCCAAGAAAGTCGGCAGCCCCTCCTGCGCTGAGAGGATGCTGTCGAACAGGTACATGACGAAGAGCGTGCGGCGGGTCGCCTCGGCAACGATCCATTCTTCCCAGCGTGGGCGCGTGCGGTGGGCACTCGACTCGGCGGTGCAGAGGAGGCCGTGCCGTGCGCTGGTGCAGGCGAGGTCCTGAAGGTTTGTCATTGCAGAGCAGAGAGATGTATTTGCCGTTCGATGCAGATTGAGCTGGAAGAAGAGGGTCATTGTGTAGAGGAGGTAGGATTGGAAGGTTGCCAGGGCTGTCAGACTATGCCCGCTTCCGTTGTCGTTCGTATGCTGGCTGTACAAAGCGCGCATCTCACGCTGCAGGATCCCCGCCGCGGCGTCTTTGCTACCGGGCAGAGGACTCGAGTTCGCGCAGATCCGGAGCACACTCAAGCATGTCGTTAGCGGGGAACTGTTCAATCCCTCCGCTTCTCCGCTCAACTGCTTCGGGTGGATGAATGGGAGGAGCGCCCCGCGCCCCTTGACGGCAATAGACGTATATGACTTGAGTGTCCGGTAGATGAATGTGCTCACCCCTGTAGGATACTTCTTGACTGCTTGGCCTGGGAGGGGGATATATGCTTGGATCCAGCGGTTCTTGATATCGTCTGCGTTGATGGGGCAGATGAGGGCGAGGTTTGAGAAGTTGAGGACGTCATTAGATCTGTCTGTTTCGCAGGGTATAGCCGCAGTCGCTGGGCCGGCATATCTCGGGCTGGTATCTTCTGGTGCTGGGGCTGGGAGTGGGAAGGCCGAAGACAAAGATGCAGTTGCGCTGTGTCTCTGCGGCGTATTCATCAGTTGGGAATGGGCTCTGGGGTCGCTAGTGTCTGTGTTAGTGGTGTTCAACGGCCCCTCGACCCTCCCAGGGCTTGTTAGCGACGGCTCGGAGATTGAGAATGGACTGGGTGGCTCTGCCATGTCCAGACTCATATCAGTTGTATCGTTGCGATGTTGGTCAATAGGATTCGCCTGAACAGGCGCCCTCGAGCACGGCAGCCCGCGCTGCATACATCTCGTGCATGGCCCATGTCCGGGACCGCGCTCGCACCGAGCTTTGGCGGTAGAGCATTGTTGACATGCTTTCTGGCGGGATGTCGAGTATCTTGGTGTTTGCATCCTGGACTATGATGTCTGGGGTATAGGTGGATCGGAATGAGGTATGGTCGGAACTCCGAGGTGGCGGAGCTGAGTGCGGAGTTGAGAGTGCATAAAAGGGTATTACCTATTACAGAGTGTATTATCTAAGCTATTCAGCATTACTGCTTCGCATCGTCAGCCGCCTGAGCTCTTGCTTTCTCTCTCTCCTTCCTCCTCCAACCCGCCGCAAACGTCCACTGGACCCACGGACCAACCAAGGCAACAATCTGCACAGCAATACAAATGGTGAAGGCAACGCCAACACCCACACCATTGATCATCGGCATAACAAAACTCGTCCCGCCGGCCGCAAACAGACACCGAGCCAGATTCAAGCTAGCACTGGCCGCTGCACTGCGGTCGGGAAACAGGTCGACGAGGTAAGTCATGATCAGGCTCTGGGTCGAGACAGCCGTCCACCCCGTGATGAATGTTGAGACGATGGGGACGGCGATGTGCACTTTATCCGCGTATTGGATTGTCCAGCCAAACAGGAGGATCGAGAGGCATTGGGCAAAGGAGAAAATGGGGATTAGGCGGAGCCGAGCTTTCTCAAGGGGGAAGTTCTCTTCTCTTTCGGACTGAGTCTGGGGGTTTGACTGTTCGGGGTCCGATTCAAACGACGCGTCGAATCTGGTCTTGACGCGCCGGTAGTCCGCATCCAAAATCTTCCCCGTGATCAAGGTGCCGACCATCGAGCCGACTCCGTTCGCGATGAATGTGAGTCCAATCTGGATCTCGGATAGGCCGTACCGGCTCTTGAAGAGGGAGGACATGGCCGTGATGCTCATCTGCCAGACGGCGTAATATACAGCCAGGAAGACGATGATCGGAGCGGCAGACTTAGTGAGAAGCATGCGCAGGGGACCGAGGAGGTCAATCTTCTTTGTTCCTGCAGGCTGGCTGACCGGCGCATGCTGCCATTCGAGCTTCGTCGTCCGTTGATAGACTACAAGCGGGTGCTTGGTGACCAGGCTCGCTGGTGTGCAGCTACCATTCGCAACCTTGGACCTTAGCGTTTCTGGCAGAAGCAGAATCAGCAGGCACAGGAAAACGCCGCCGTAGATGGTCAGAAACCAAAATATGGCCTTCCATCCCAAGGATCCAGCGATTGCGCCGCCAATGACTGGCCCCACGGCAACGGGCACCAGCAGGCCAGCCTGGAAGATGCCCATGTACCCGCCTCGTTCAGCGCGGGTGGTGATGTCGCCGATAACGCCGGAACCGATGGCGATGGTACTGGCGCTGCCTGTGCTCTGGAGACATCGCAGCACAATTAGTGTAGCGTAGTTCTTGGTCTCGGCGAGCCCGATGCATGCGCCAACAAAGACGATGAAGGTGCCGATGTATGCGGTTCGACGGCCTTTGACGTCAGACACAGGACCCCAAAGACTGGGCGCGAGGCCTTGGAAGATTAGATACGTGGTCACTGTGAGGTTGACTAGTTCGAGAGAGACGTTGAGGTCGTTGGCAATCGTCGGTAAAGCTGGAAAGTAGATGTTGGATGCGAAGCCGGAGACTGTTAGGTCAGTAACTATTATACAGTCATAATGATGGAACATACATGTTGCGGCGGTGGAGACGATGACAATGATCAGCCATTTCTGGCGCTTGTCAAAAATGCTATATGGTGGTTCAGAATTCTGCAGATCCATGTTCTTGTGTAGTTGGATCGATCAGAGAGGTCTCAGGGTCTAGGGTCCATTAAATAGAAACTGGCAGCCTCAACTCCGGCGCCTTTCGGAGTTGAGCACACCCCTTCTTTCTCAACTCCGCCCGTGGTCCATCACTCTATAAACAAGATATCTAACCACCATAACGCCCCTCTCTTTTCTATCTTTTCTGTGCTTTATCATCTCGGTCCTAGCAGTCATGCCGTCCATAAACCCCTCACTCACCTTCGCCGCACCCTACGCAATCCTCAACCTCGACTGGATGACGGCCCTAATCACGGCTGTAGAAGACACGCCCGCCGGCCAATTCTTCATATCAAACTGCACAAGATAGAACGACGCCATCCACAGGAAGCAAGACCGCTTCCTGACCATCTTCTCCACACTCTCCTTCAAGGCCGGACAGCCAGAAGTCACACCAGGCTCACCCTTCGCCAACCCGATTGCACCATACGGCGAGTTCAGAACCCGCTCAGCGTACAAATTGACAGTCGGTTCTAAGTGGATGAGCATGACATCGTGCTGCAGAAGACGAGATGGTCCGCGACGGCTGGAAACGCACTGGAGCAGATTCTGCGGGCGAGGGGTGTTAGTCCGTAATTGTGGTATGCCCGCGCCCACTTGTCTATCTACCCTTCTTGTTGTTACTGCCTTGTTCTGACGCCCACATGCACATGGGCAGTCCGGGCTCAGCCTGTCCGGCGTCGTGATGGCTACCATCTACAGACTGTTTGATCTGTACTACGACGTCTACGTGATCTGGGGTAATGTACTGGAGCTACCGGTGGATCAGACGGCGGAGGTTGCGCATGTTATGTTGGATATCCTGTTGCCGAAGATGGGATTGAGTGTTATTTTGCTTGCGGGGGTTTTGGATCGGTCTTTGATATCGGATGTGTGATATAGTGCTAAAGCTATTGTTAGACCTTGGAAGGTAATCTGTTTCTTTCATCTGGGTGAATGAGTATTCAATCATAAAATAAGTATCATGGTCCAGCAAGTTGCTAATGGTATGTAGAATGGATAGCGCTGCGGACAGAGAACTAAACGGAGTATATCTCAAAGACTAAGCCACTTTCGGACTAGCCCCATCTTAGGCTTCTCTAGTGGGTCTTTGCCTAATCCTATCTTATCCTCCGCATTCAAGATTCAAGTCCCATCTATGATCTATCTCATTCAATAACCTCACCCACCGGCCTCACACCGGCCCAACATCTACAACATCCATGGCAGACCCCCCTAAAGCACCAACCACCTTCTCGTCACACCGCCCGAAACCCACGCTTGCCATCCCATCCAAGCGCCCTCTCTCCCGGCCCGCGCCGCCCAACCCAAAGCCAAACCCGACAGCTCCAACGCTCACGATCCGCAGCGCAGCGCCGACGGAAGAATCAAGGAAGAGAGAAAAGGAGAAGGAAAATAAGCGGATAGAGGCTGATTTCTCCGAGGCGCCGCAGCCGTTCCTGGATCCGGCACTTTGGGAGACGTTGAAGGATAAGGTTGAGTGGGCTGAGTGATGGGCGGTTGATCCTTGATGGTTTATGACATAGACAGCCATATATGTGGAGGTGTAAATGATACCGAGGGAGCTCTGGGTTCTGCTTTCGAAACTCAGTGGATGCCTTAATACATACGTGCTTGACTCGGTAGTAGGCTGAAGACAGAAGGCGTCCATAACTAAGCAAATGAATTCCACGCGTAGATCAAATCGCATCGCTATAGAACTAAGGATATGATACAAAGTCATCATTTTCGTCAAGGTCGTCATTGATGTCCCATAGTATTTGGTTCATTTCCATCCCATCCCATCCTGTCGTAATTCATTTCATTCCATCAAGGCCCACGTAAATGTCCGAATCAACAATGCATAAATCAGAAAAAATAAAAAAAAAAGTCATCAATCATAGTATAGGTGTATCATATCGCGTCGCGTGAAATCTAATGTCGTGTCTCGTGATATTTATGTTGGTTTCATAATGTGGCTTTCCGGACTTGTGTGCTCGAGTCCATCAGAATCGCCTCGCCGATGCTCTGCTTAATCCTCTCGCGCTTCACCTCGCGCCTGCTGTCTGCTCGTCGTTGAATTGAGCGTCGGAGGCGCCAGCGGAAAGATCGCGCTATACCAGACCGGAATCGTAGTCGCCACCATGACACGGCTGGGAAATGGCGTTGGTGAAGAGAGGTCTGGGAGTACAAAGCCTCCGGTGAGACGATACGGCTTCCCATAAGCGTTTCTCTGTTGACACGGGGTTGACCGTCGGTCCACCGTCGGGGGCCTGACCGGGTACTGGACACAAAAGGACCGTCGAACACAATCCGCTTTTGCGGCATTCCTAACGAGTTGCTGATAACCTCGTCTGGCTGTTTGGGAGCTTGCGACCGGGTGCCGTCCTCCTCCGGTGACAGAGATTCAGGAGAGTCGTCCCAGAATCGGCGCGGGCGCCAGAATGGTTGCAGTCGCCCGTCGATGTCCTCGCCGGCTTTAGGGTTCTTAGCCGAACTGAGAGAAAGGGTTCGCACGAACGAGTTGAAGGACTCTGATCGCGGTCGGGCAATCCATGGCCGTCTTTTGGACTTGGGTCGACGGCTAGTACCATCAGTTATTTCACTAGTACCCACGTTTCCAACCAACTGGTCAAAATTGACAAAGTCCCCAACAGTTGTCGAAACTGGGGGTTTTGGCGGTGGTCGTGGGTTTCTCAACGGGGAGTCCACGCCCGCCATCTCTTGAGTGTTGTCGGGTGTCTGTGGCTGTTCGGTCTGAGGTAGCTGCCCTCGGAGGCCACTCTCTCCGTGTGGATTGACAAGCAATAATGACTCGTTGTTATGCGGGAAGATGGCCACTCTTCTGACTTCGTTAATCTCGAATGGGCCAGGCGATGACGACGGGACCGAATGTGGCGTAAACGGTACTGACGGCGGCCGCAGGTAGCTCAGGTCTTCAACTCCAATCACAATCGACTGGGTTTTCATAATACCACCAGTTTCATGCTTATCTCGGCTGGGAGCATCCAGAATAGGAGCGGGCTTCAATTCAGGCTGTTGGCGCTTCTTTGAAGTCTGTTCTACTGCGAGATTATGGCTCCGTAGACTCTCCGAAGTCAGAGAAGTTGCTCGAGAATTGTTTTGGCTTGTGGGCGCGGATAGTGAAGAGCTGCGAGGAGGAATATGTGGGCGATTCATTCCACGACCACGGCCATCCGCCGAAACACTACTAGTACGCGGATCGGAAACGCTACGTTCTCCACGGCGTGGATGATCCAGCGAGCCGGCTCGGGTTTTGGGTACGGCGGGCGCATGCACGGACCGTCCAGAGCGCGATATAGACGGGTTTCTGCTCGGTAGGCTTGAAACACCCTTGAGCGACGAGTGTCTTTGAGGGATCACGACCACTGGCACGACATCTACATGCTGCTGCGATGCACCTAGAGTCGAACTCCCAGAGATAGATATTTCAGATGCAATGCTCCTTCGGTCATTCTCTGTAATCCGAACAGGTTTGTGGCTCAGGCGGCGCTGCAGGTCCAAGCTGGATGCGATAGACGTGCGCTCGGACCTCGTGATCGGCGAACTTGCGGAGCGCAGAGATAGTCTCTTTTCTGTATGTCGCAGAGCCCGTCTAGCTGGCTGGGGCTTATCAACAATCATTGCCTCGACCGTCGAGGTCGTCGATACCCACGAAAGGCGTCGAGAGTCCTCTATCTGATCATCCGCGGAGGGCCAGCCGATTTCTTGACGGAATTGATCCAATGCTTGGCTATCTTCGGCATGCTGCATATGAGCCACACGGTCCCGTAAGCTTCTTCTTCCACGCGTGGAATCATCGACATCAGCTACATTAACATCTGTTTTGTTGCGAGTCTGCTTTGCCTTGTCACGGGTAGGCTTGATATGTATTTCTGGAGCCTGGCCGTCTGCGAATCCTTGTTTGCGGGAAATATCGGTCGGAGCTGGAGATTGCATTTCACCACCGTTTGCGGCCTTTGAACGCGGCGAACCTCGAAAGCTGGGAGACTGGCCCTCTGCGGTGGCCGTGCCTCCGGACTTGCTTTTTGTGCTTTTCGTACTTCGTTGCGTGTTAGAGCGCGAGAGCAATGGCGGTGACGGACGAGGGGTCACAGTTTCAGCATCGGATATCGTCTCATAGGCTGTCTTGAAAGACTCCGCCCGCGATGAGGACGAGACATACCCAAATTGACTCAGCCCCGGTCGGTTCGACGGCATAGCTCGCGGAGGTGTTGTCTCGGGCGTCGGAGGATGTGAGGGTCTCGATGGCGTAAGCACAGTAACCACTGAGTGTGAAGACATTGACGGTTTTTGCGCATCTGCTCCGGTCGGGGATTCGTAGTGCGTGATGCCGGGTGGTGTTAAAGGAAGAATTGGAGCGGTCGTAAGAGGCACGGCCTCCGGAAAGAGGCCATCGTGTTCCGGAGGTGACAGCTGGGAGATTTGACCACGGCGATTGGTATTTGTCCGACGAGGCAGCGATTTGTGGGACTTGAACAGCGGCCGATCTGGATGTTCTGACGAGGCGGGAGAGGGAGCGACCTCGATGCCGGGCATTTTAGCGACAAGCTCGCGCGACGGATGAAGTTAAGAAAAATTCTGCAAGACGGATCGGTGCTGTCACATATAGCTGCGAGTGTCAATTGAGTCAATGGTCATGACACTTAAGCCGTTTCAAAAGAAGTTGGAGGGGACCAGTCGGCGAGGGCGCATAGCGGAGCAGGGCGTCAGTCGAGACCAAACCTTGACCTCAACTGAAGCGGGAGGAATGTACTCTGTATTTTGGTGCCTCTCGGAATTCTCCCTGAATTCCCCTGTCCTCAAGAATGAATCGGATGCAGGTTGGATGAGGATTGCAGGGTGAGACGCCAGGAAGTGAAGACGAGCCGATGGACGACGAAGCCGCTGCCCGCCCGCGTCTCACAAAGCAGTTCAAGTAGCAAACAAACGAATCAAAGTCGACCAAAGGCATTCAAAGGGACAGATCATTCATACTCCGGAGTAGTCGAAGGGGAGACGCAACCCTGAGTGGTGGACGGAGCCAAGCGCTGACTGCAGGAAGCGTTCGTTTAGGTAGTGACGGCCTCGACGACAGCAAACAGACGGGGCGAATCTTCTTCCACGTTGCGGGCAAAAGCAATGCGTTCCTGACTCTGAGTCCACTTGGGAGTCGGATGTTATCAGCGGTGTTATAAATAGGAGAATGAGGCTGCAGAGATGAAAATTGGGAACTATCCTAACGCTGCAGTCCGTGGCTATGGGTTCATGAGGGACAAGTCACGGGACCGCCCTTCAGGCCTGCTCCTATCCGTACATCTACCAAATAGTTTACAGGCCAAGAGTCTATCTACAAAGCTTTCATTCCTGCGGAGTAACAATCGGATTTAATCATCATGGATCTTGGATAAGATAATAATCTCCTGTTCGTCAAGAAATGTATGTCACGTGGAGCCATACAGTCTGCTCCACTAGCCTCATGACACTGACATAGCAGATCCTCCAGGTTCTCTCTGTAATCTCATACTCGCAGACTATTAGGTATAACTATTCCCTACCTGCTCCATAGTAATTAGCGCTCTTGATCACCAGATCAGACAGAGGCAGCGACTACTTTAGAATCGTTCTCTGAGTAGTTTGCCCAGCCGAGCCCTAGCTGCTGAGTCATGCATGATCGCGGGCGACGTCATTGCCTCCAAACCAATGACGAGATGCCTTCATAATTGTTGATATGATGGCAGAGATAGTGGTCGGTAGTTATAGTAGGAGACGAGCTTATGATACCATAAGGGCGCCGTTACTGCTCTGCGTCTGACGTCGTGATCCGCCATTCCGTCATTTCCCAGCTGCAGCAGCAGTCGGGTACGAGGGTCAAGTGGCCGACTCCTGTAAGTCACAGCTCCCAATTCCCCACCATCACCGATTTCTGGCATATCACTCTGCTTTCCAAACTTGTCGCCTGGCGCCTCTGATTGACTGAAACAAAACGGCTTCCGTTCCGACCATTAAGGTTCGCTGTCTGCCCTCACGCTTTGCCGTCTCGCAACCGCAATCTCCTGTTCGGCTCCGTTGGCGGGGTATCAGTTTCAGAGGCAGTCAGTAGCTGAGTGTTAATTCAGAGACAATTTCCAAGTGCAGAAAATCTGGGTGACAAAGAAGGAAGGGAAAAGATAGCCAGCCATTCACGTCATTGCTTGGGCTGCTCTAGTCTCCTCCCAAGTTGACTCCCCCCGAGCTTCAGCCATCATTCATCATCATATCATTTGCCTTGCCTTGCCTCCTTGACCTCTTGCTCTTTTTTCCCTCATTTCGCTCCATTTCCCCATTTCTTCTGCTCCTCTCTCCCTTCCCTCTCCTGCTCACTTTCATACTCTTTATTTGTTGATTCGATTGACTGCCCTACTTTCCTCTCCCTCGCGCCTCCCTTCCCCCTCTCCTACCATGAGCACAATTCAGAGCCTGAAAAATTTCATACGTCATGGGAAACAAGCCCGCCTTGTCACCCCCCATGCAGAGCCCACGACCAACGTCTCTGCTGTCCACGCTGAACAACAGCGCCAGCCTCAGGGTCAATTTTCCCCTGCTGCTGGGAATTTAGACGCAATTGACAGCAAGATGGGGGGTGGTCAATCCCAACGCGATTCTCCCGAAGTCCCCGTTAAGAGGGCTCGCGAAGCCGAAATCGAGCAGATCATCGCTGAAGAGAAGACGAATCGCTCCAAGATGCCGAACTATCCGGGTTTGGAACGCTACGTCTTGCTTGAGAAAATGGGAGATGGTGCGTTTAGCAACGTCTATCGGGCCAAGGATACCACTGGCGAATACGGCGAAGTCGCTATTAAGGTGGTCCGAAAGTTTGAGATGAACAGCACACAGGTAGGTCAAACCCGATTTGTCTTCTTTACTTGCTTGCCTCGATCCTCCCCTGGTCACTGCCGGTTCCCTCTGTCGCGAACCATTTCGCCAATATCTTTTTGTTTTTAGTCAAACGCCCATCTACATCCCGACTTCAAAAAGAAGCCTAAAGCCGCCGAGGTGCGCTATAACACTCCTCACTCAACTTGCACACCCAGTCGTCGACATTTGTCGCCTTAGCCCTTGGCATACGCCGCTCAAACCTTTGCGCGCGAAAACACTCCAGCTACATGAAGCATGATAACTGACTGATGTATAGCGAGCGAACATCCTGAAAGAGGTCCAAATTATGCGCCAAATCGATCACCCCAACATCGTAAAGCTAGTCCAATTCTCTGAGTCCCGACAATATTACTACATCGTCCTCGAGTTGTGCCCGGGCGGAGAACTTTTCCACCAGATCGTTCGCTTGACATACTTCAGTGAAGAACTCAGTCGCCATGTTATCGTGCAGGTCGCCAAAGCAATTGAATACCTACATGAGACATCAGGCGTTGTTCATCGGTATGAATTCTTTCTGATCAGTCAAGTGCACAGCTAACTTCGTTAGTGACATTAAACCCGAGAATCTCCTGTTCTATCCTACCGAGTTCGTCCCCTCGAAGCATCCGAAGCCACGTCAACCTGGCGACGAAGACAAGGTGGATGAAGGCGAATTCATACCCGGCAAAGGCGCAGGTGGCATTGGTGTTATCAAGATCGCCGACTTTGGTCTTTCCAAGGTCATCTGGGACACTCAGACGATGACGCCGTGTGGTACAGTTGGCTACACTGCTCCCGAGATTGTCAAGGATGAAAGATACTCCAAGAGTGTGGACATGTGGGCCATGGGCTGCGTCCTTTATACCCTCCTTTGCGGGTTCCCGCCTTTCTACGATGAGAGTATTCAAGTTCTTACGGAAAAGGTTGCCCGAGGACAGTACACTTTCTTATCGCCATGGTGGGACGACATCTCAAAGTCAGCCAAGGACTTAATCTCCCATCTATTGACAGTCGACCCCGAGGAGCGGTATACTATCAAACAATTTTTGGCCCATCCCTGGATCCGAGGGTCCGATGAGGAGACGCAAGCTGCCTCGGATGCCCCGCCACTGACGACACCTGCACCACGCGAAATTCGCAACCAGCCCCTCGACGCTATTGCAGCCGAACTTGCACCACCAAGCGCTGGTGAACGTCCGATGGATTTCCGATCCCCGGGTGCCATCAACTTGCGTGAAGTGTTTGATGTTGGTTACGCTGTCCACCGTCAAGAAGAAGAGGGCAAGCGCCGCAAAGCTGGTCGCGGTTTCCGGCAGTCCAACCCGACCGCCGCATTCCAATCGGCACTCAACCCGCTCAATGAAGACTACGATGATGAGGATGGAATCGCGTACCAAACCATCAACGAAGAAGGGCACCCGCCGGCTAAGATGCAAAAGTCCAGTCAGCAGTCCGGCGATGTTGCCGCAATGGAGGCAAAGATGCGACAAACCAACCTGGGCGCTACGAGCCATGCGGCGCAGATGCGGCAATCGCACCAACCGCGTCAACAGCAGGGCTATGGGCAACATAGCGCTCAGGTCGCAGCCGCTGTCAAGCAAAACATGGTCCGCAATGCGCGAGCACCATTCGAGCTCAGTCTAGACAATGCCAGTCTGCTAGAGAAGCGCGGCAGAAGGCATCAGGAACAGCCTGCCATATAGATATTCTCTTTTCGTCTTCGATGAGGTCTACGAACTCATGATATCGCACAGCCACATTTCTCCTCTGAATTTGATGACGTCATATGTCTGTTTCTTCTCTGCTGGTGGGAGTCCTGTTGATCGGGGCATACCCGCATTTGTTCAGGCGTTTCCTGTATCTGGTCTCATCTCTGGGTTTCGGGTCGGCTAAGCGTTTGTTATTATGCATATATTGTTTCCGAGTTCCTCTACTCTGCTACCTTTGATGCTGAGTTCATACTTGGAGGGATACGGTACGGATACTTGCGGTTGGACAAGTGCAATAGTCCTGGAGTTTTTGTTTTTAGTTGCCACTCTACATTTTATCATTTCCTGCTTCCTTGCTTGCTTGCATAAGACCATGAACTTTGATGATACACCTGCCTCGTTGAATCCATTTGCTACGATTCCAAAGTTAGTGCTCATAGATGACGCGCTTGTCACAGGCTCCTGTTCGTTAGCTTGCTGTCTTGCCCGCTACATTGGGAAGGGAACAGCGTTATGATGTCTGTCTGAACTAATCGCTGTGGACTGCCGTTGTGCATCCATCCATCCTACTCCGGTATTTCACAAACACTCCGTGTAGTCTACTATTTTTTACCTGTACTGGTGAACAACCCCAGCCACGACCCCAGCACCCATCCGCGTCAACGTAGATGTCGGCGTACGTATGCATGCTTCTCGGCAGTGGCAACTTCCCCTCCTCCCCCCCGTCCACCAAATCAAGGCCCATTCCTTGTTTCTGCCGACAGTCCTGTTCGATGAACCCTGGCCATGTGGCATTCGTGCCGGACTGAAATTCCCCAGTCGAATCCTCTTCGTTTGTCCGTCTTGAACCACGGTCTATTCTATGGGTCAGATGTGTAGCCGGCCCTGCACTCGGCTAGCTTAAGAGCCTACGCAAGCACAATCCCGACAATCAATCACCCTTATCAAGATCATGCCCGTCATTGCAGGGTTTACTCCAACTGCCATCTCTACCATCCCTGCTCGCCCGGGCGTGAGGTTAAACTGTCTCGACGGGACCAGATTGATCCAGCTCTGTATTTATCCGGATACTCCTCCGACTAAGTCTGACGAGGCAATCACTTACCCGACCCTGCCCTGGCCATGCTGATAGATAATAGACTCGAGCGGAAGACGTTTCTTTCGGGCTTGTGCACAGTCGAAGCAGGTATCGATTGACGGGCGTAGATCAGATTGCTTCCTTGGTCTATTTGGATGTATGATGGGCTGGCTTTGTCCAATGGTGGTCCACCATACTATCTTTGATATTCAGTCCTCTTGCCTCTACTGCCTAGGATTACTGTTTGTTGTGTGATGCACATATAACCATGGTTTAGTGCTAGATGATCAAATCGCAGCCCATATTACAGCAACGCATGTCTTCGTAAGTATTCGCGCGAGTATTCCACGCACGTAGACAAATTGCTTCGTGGGAGTTATTGATATTGAGGAATAGTTTCGTCTATTTTCTAGTCATCATCGTGCAATACATGTACATCTAAGCCAAGCAAGCCAAGATACAACAGAAGGATTCCGCGTACCTCCAGGTATTCCAAAAATAAAAACATAAACAGTCGCAAAGGCGTATATAATATGGCCTGAGACATGGTATCAAAATGAAGAAAAGACGCTAGCCTAGACACTGCTACGTGACGTGTGGTGCCACGCTTGCCCGCTCGTTCGCTCTAAACGCAGCAACAAAAATGCAACCAAAGAAGACATAAGGACAACAAAATCACAGCGTCTGCCTGCCCCTTGTTTCAATGGGAAGGAAGATCATAGCCACAAACGCAGCAAGGATCAGCGCACCAGAGGCATATATCGGTGCGTCTGGGTTCGAGCCTGCGCCGTAAATCGCCACGAGCGGAGCACACAGCCCAGCAATTCGGTTCAGACAGCTGGAGATTCCACTGCCGGTACCGCGGTTCGGAGCGGGGAACACCTCGGGCGTGTAGGCGTAAAGGACACCATACATGATGTTCTGGAAGAACGCCTCGAGAGAGGAGCAGAGGAGCTGGATGTCGGGATCTGTGGACGCGGTGAAGCAGAATAGGAGAACACCAGTAACCAGAGTGCCAGCAATCATTGTGCCTTTGCGGCCGATGTACTTGATGTCAACGGTGAAGCAGGCAAGTACGGACCCAGGGAGACCGACGATGGAGGTGATGGCGTAGTTGCGGTAGACGATGTCAGTAGACTGGCTTTCTCCACCGCCGGCTCTTTGTAAGTATTGCGGGAGAAAGGCGTTGAAGAGAGGGTAGCCCATTCCGATAGTGGCCCAGCAGAACCAGAGGATTATGGCTGTCGCGGTAAGCTATGGAATACTGTATGTGCACAATTATGTGAGACTTACTGGTAACTCCGAGCTTCTTGGTAGCAAAGAGACCCCTGATGCGTTCTAGAGAGAACTTAGACATGTGTCTCTGGATAATCTCCTTGTTACTGAGTTTCTCCTGAGTTTGCTCTTCTGGGTGGCCGCCAATCTCATTGAGGATATCAACGGTGAGCCAAGTTGTAGTGCGGTTCTTGTAGGCGATACCTTGGACTGCAGCAACGGCATCCTCCTGGCGCCCGCGTGAAAGCAGGAACTTGGGCGACTCGTATAGATGGAAGAGGAAGAAGCGGCACAGGAACATGACAAAGGTAATAGCGCCCAGTGTCAAAACTAGATACCTCCAGCCCATGTTGTCCTCCTTCCTGCAGGGTCCGTCTCCGGAACAGGTGTAGTTCGGAATGAAAGCCCAGGCCAGAAGACTAGAGATGAGGTTACCCACTGGCCACCACACACTCAGCATGGTCAGAAGATTTCCAGAGGCGAAGGGCAAGAATTCGAGAAAAAGAGCACCATCAACGGGCAAATTTCCACCAACTCCAAGACCCAAGCAGGCGTACAGCGCACAAGTACTGCTTGGCCGTTAGTCAATGTTATGAGCCGGGTACATGTGAAGACTTACCCAACCCAGTTCGGTCCACCACCAGCGGCAAGACCGAATGCGCCGGTTATCATGAGGGTGAAGTTGAATGCTGGACGACGGCCGATGACATCCGAAGCAATACCCCAAAAGCATGCGCCCAGGCAGAGACCCAGGAACAAAGCACAGGTCGTGAACCGGACTCGAGTATCGTCCACGCCAAATTCCAAGGACAATTGTGGCAGCGTCAGCGCAACACCCTGCATTATTAGCACTATCACATGATGCAAGTCTACAAGATCACCCTACCTGTAGCCAAAGACTACCATTTTGTCAGCAAGAGAAATAATCCAGGTGAGATGCAGAAGCTTACTTGTCCGCGAGCCAACCGAAACCACAGAGACAAAACAACTCCCACTGGTAGCGGCCCATACCAATATCTTGGATGGCCCTGTTGATTACTTTTGCTTTGCCTAGAGAGTACAAATTAGACCTGAAACCGGGGTGATAGATAAAAGGTTCTTTGAAGCAAGACCGACTCTCTCAAGGGAAGGTCAAAAATTAACGTACGATCATAGGCAGAGTCCTGGCCAGAGGCAACCAAATCATTCTCCACCTCAGCACGCAGAATCTCTAAAGTAAGATGGTCATCCTGGTTTTGCCGGTGGCTGTGAATAGAGCCCACGCCGTTCTCTGCAGAGGACGACCTGTCGAGGCTTCCAGCGTCAGTGTCTTCAGGGCCTACTTTCTTTTCCGGATCGGAGCTCGTTTTCGAATGCGCGGGGGCACTGGACAGAGGCACGATCACTCCGGGAAGGTCGTGCTTGTCATTCTTCGAGAAGGGGTTGACTCCGAGCGTCATGGTGGGGTGTTTGCTGCTATGGACAGATGGTGCCGCGATCAATTCGGTTCGCAAGTGTCTACTGATAAAGCGGTAGGCGCAAAGGCAAATCTATATCATCCGAACGGTCGACCGCGAAGTCGCTCGGGGTCAATGGTGAAAAAGTCGTCGATAGGGCCAGATGGCGGGCGCGATGGCACTGAATCGAAGCTGAGGCAATAGAGACAGCGTCGTGCTGCTACGGTACAGCTGAAAATCTATCACCTTGTCGGAGCGCAAAGTTCGAAATAGCAACAGGAGTAAATATATCGTATGTAGATAATGGCGGTGAACTGAAAACTAGACGTCCAGTTGGCCTAATATGACAAAGATCGCGAACGCTGGCCCTGCTGAATCGTATACAGGAAAAAGAGCGTCGTCTCTCGAGGCGGAAAGATCCAAGTGTGATGCGAAGCGTGAAGAGTGAAGAAAGGATAGACAGAAAGGGAAGAGAGAAGGAGACAATGGGAGAGAATGGAGATCTCGGTCTACTTATGAGAGAGCAGAGGTGCTCGTGGCGGGATGAGAAAGAAAATGCGAGAGATGAAGAGATCACCCCCGGACCATTCAGAGTGCCTGCCAGCAGCCATGGGGCCAGTCTACGGACCCAGTGGCAACTGGCCACCTTCCGACGGTTCACCACCTGCAGTCCTATCTACAATCCTACGGGTTACTTGTATCTAAGAGCCAAAAGATATAGTGCAGATGGTTATCTTTGACTATCACCAGAATACCCATAAAAAGCCACATTTTTCAACCTCAGTGTATTCAAGCATTGTTGTGCCATATGGACCCTAGTAGTTCACGGATGGGGCGTCGGAAGAGTCCGCCCCAGACGCCATGCGGGGTATCCCCAAGATCTTTGAAGTTCGGAGAATCAGAGGCAAGCACTGTGGCAGCGCACCCGACCAAGGGACCAGCAACCTTGAGGTCATCGCCACCCCTGATCCAAGGCATGCCGTCCTGTCGGACCAAGGCGCTAAGGAATTAAGAATCCGCCACCATCGCCATCGGAGGCTCATTTTATGCCTTAAGTCTGAGGCAAAATGGTTGCCGCATTGGGCCCGGAACTCTCGGAATCCACGTGCCGGGCTGCCCTACGTCATGCGCTATTCCCGACGCATCTTGGGGTTCTTCTTGGCCCGCAGGGAATATCGGAGTCCTCAGTAGTCAACTCTTCTACTCTATTAGAGTCTATCTGCTGCCTTTCTTGTTATGAATTGGGCAGATCGAAAACCAGATATAGATTTGAGCAAATATGAGCAGGTAAAAGATGATAGACTCTAAGGCAGCAATTCATTTGTCACTCGTGCCGTCGTGCGGCGTCCATCAGCCTCGAAGATCACCAAGTGGAAGGTAACATCGACTTCCTCCAATCTCCAACCGCTGTGACTGTACGGAGTACGGACCGATAATACAGGTAGCTGCCTCAATCTGTTCCGCACGATCTCCTTCTCGTCAGGACATCAACACCACAGTTTTTGTCTTCTTTGCCTCCCTCCTCGTCACCCAGTATCTATCCAGATAAAACGCCAGCATAACAGTGACTGAAATTGGTGCGATACCTCCCAGCTAAAGCTTAGGGCTGGGACTGGGATCAAGTGGTCCGAGCTCCCCCGCAGTCGGTCGTTCTTTCCTTCTCTTGTGTGACCAACATTCTGCAACCATTTCAAACTCATCCAACAGCTCCCAAGTTGTCATTGTCGTATCCTTTATCCATTTCTCTCATCTTCTGCGTTTCTTTCGATTTCGAGAAGCGATGCAAGTGCTTCAATCCCATCTTTTCCGCCTTCTCCGGCCGCTCCTCTCACCTTCCTAATCCCGTTTAGTGTGATCTCACCGCAAACAACAACCCAAAATGAAGACGCCAGAAACGCTTGGTCCATAGGGCAGCCAAGCCCCAGTGCAAATTACCAATCGAAAATGCTACGCTTGGATAGCTTTCCCGAGGAGAACATCCACCGGGCATCCAAGCCAATAACAGTGATTTGTTGAGATCCGTTGCCAATTTTTTTTTTTTTCACGAGACCCTCGGCCCCCTCCCAGGGTGTCTGTCAAAAGAATCATGGCCTTGCCGCGAGACATTTTGGACTCTCCTCCTATCCAGAAACTTCCGTCCCTGTTCATCAGCATCGGGCAATCCAAGAAAAATAAGCTTGGTCTTGATTAACGCCTAAATTCACGGCAGTGTGGTTGTGCGGTGGAGTAGAACAAGGTCTACCGTGGTCCACTTCGCTCCAAGCTCTATACTAACATGTCATCCGACCTCAGGCTCTCCGACGGTTTTCCATCTGAAGGAGCACGGAATGAATCTAAGAATATCTTTGATGGCACAATGCATCTCCCGGTGTCAGGCGGACAGTTGCCCGACACTGACGACCACATTGCACAAAAGATCAACCCCACGAACAGCATAGTGGATTATCCAGAAAAGCCAGAACTGTCACCAGACCAATATGAGCGTCAACCCCAACTGTCCGAACATGGACTCGATAGACACTTTTCAAATGCCACTGCTCCCGACGAACTCAGCCATCAAGCTCCCGCCAGTCGAGTGACTACTGATGCCGATGGCAACACCTATCCCGAAGGTGGTTTGGAGGCTTGGTTGGTTGTCCTAGGCTCGTTTTTGGGTCTCTTCGCCTCCTTGGGTTTAGTGAATACCATTGGCTCTTTCCAGGCATACCTTCAGACCAACCAGCTCAGAGACCACAGCTCTGGAAACATAGCCTGGATTTTCGGCATCTATGCGTTTTTGACTTTCTTCGGTGGTGTCCAGGTAGGACCTGTGTTTGATGCCAAAGGACCGCGACTCTTGGTCTTTGGCGGATCAGTATTGGTGATGGTGCAGGTGGTAACCATGGGCTTCTGCACTCAGTACTGGCATTTTGTCCTTTCGATTGGAATCGCGGGAGGACTAGGGACGTCCATGATCTTCACTCCTGCCGTGTCTGCGATTGGACACTATTTCAATGAGAGACGCGGAGTCGCAACCGGTCTCGCGGCAACTGGTGGCTCTGTAGGAGGTGTCGCATTCCCTCTGATTTTGGAGAGCTTGTTTCCCAAAATTGGATGGGGATGGGCAACCCGAGTCATTGCTTTAATCTGCCTGGTTTCGCTAATTGGCGCATGTTTGTTGATCAAGTCCCGCCTACCGACAAAGCCCGCCTCGAAGGAGAATGTACTGCCAGACTTTCGCATCTTCCGCAGCCTCAAGCTTAGTTTCACCACGGCGGGAATCTTCTTCATCGAATGGGGGCTTTTTATTCCAATCAGCTACATCTCATCATATGCATTGGCACATGGTACTTCTGAAACCCTTTCATACCAGATGTTAGCATTTCTCAACGTGGGATCGGTTCTTGGAAGAGCGATTCCCGGCTTCTTCGCAGACCATCTCGGCAGATTCAACACCCTTATCGTCACTGTTGCGTTATGCCTCATTTGCAATGTGTGCCTTTGGCTTCCCGCTGGAGACAGTGTGGCTGTGACGATCGTGTACTGTGTGATCTTCGGCTTTGCTAGCGGCAGTAACATCAGTCTAACCCCTGTCTGCATCTCACAGCTTTGTAAGATTGAGAACTACGGGCGATACTATGCCACTTCGTACACGATCGTAAGCTTTGGGTGAGTCGGGCAGCTCTCAATTCCGCAATCTACGGTAACTAACTTGGTGATAGTACTTTGACAGGAATGCCAATTGCAGGTGAAATCCTTGCCCGTTGCAACGGGGACTATTGGGGCCTCATCACCTATACGATCTGCTGCTACGCTGCAGGTCTTATCTGCGTCACAACAGCAAAACTAATCCACGTCGGCTGGCGCCATCCATGGGTAATCTACTAGATGAACCATATCTCTCGTCCGTCAATCTGCAACTGCGATACGAAAATTACTCCGCATCATCGCGCCCCTCGCCGAGACACGCGGCTAAACTTAGAAATCCATTCTTCTTGTCATAATCAGTGCTTGACACGTATGCTACTAATCTAGACTCATATTGTCTGATCACAACACTCAAAATAAACAAGTCATCGGAAACTCTCTTTCAGCCTTTCGCCGCCGTGACACAAGCCTTCGGGTCCTGCGGATGCCCATAGCACCAATCATTCCCAGCCTGAGGGCAGGATAAGCTTAACCTTAACGCGGTTCTTGGAGCCTTCCTTGACCACATCACAACTTGAACCACATAGTCTTCTATCATGCTTAGTCGGACGAGTAGCCGGCCGCTTCTCTTGATGTCAGCCCACGGCTACCTCACCATTCATCGTCGCCAGCATAGCGTCAAGGTTACAGGGGTGTGATTTCCCACAGGACTAGATCATCAAGCCACCATTCCATGACGGTCTGCCCGTCAGTTTCCGGTCATATTCAGAGGCGATATGTCGCGTCAAGGTTTCGGTGTCCGTCATTCCTCTCCAGATGACATACACGACGGCCAATGTGCAATACAAAAGCCGCGCCTCGTATCCGACTTACGCCTTCCATAGTCCTTCTGCTACATTTTACCTGATTTGCATTGCTTCCCATTGTGTCGGTCACTTTTGGAAAACCAGTCTTCATTCAAGATGGCCCCGTTGCCAAGCAAGCTTGTCCTCCTCCTTTCCCTGGGGACACTGCTCCATCAGACGGGTGCTGCACCTCAAGCACAGCAGTCGAAATGCGCTAACTGCGGACAAACGACCGTAACTAGCGCTGTTACTGTGTGTAGCTCGACGCCTGGAGGTGGAGGAGGCGGCGGCGGAGGTGGCGGAACCCCGACCCCAACCATGCCCATCGTGACTCCAACTCCTTCTAGTCCAGGTGGAGGTGGTGGTGGTGGAACTCCAAGTCAGCCTGGAGGCGGAGGGGGCGGAGGGGGCAGCACCCCGAGCGTGATTGTACCAGTTCCCTCTGGACCAGGTGGTGGAGGTGGAGGAGGAACTCCGAGTCAGCCCGGAGGCGGCGGAGGAAGCGGAGGAGGTGGAGGAGGTGGTTCTTCTACTCCAAGTGTGCCTGGAACTATTATACCAATTCCTTCTGGACCCGGTGGAGGAGGCGGTGGTACTCCTAGCCAACCTGGAGGCGGAGGCGGTACTCCCAGTCAGCCAGGTGGAGGCGGTGGTGGTCCCGGTCCCGGACCTAGTACTGTGACCGTGCCCGTAACAATTGTTCCAATTCCTTCTGGACCAAGCGGGGGCGGAGGCGGAGGCCAGCCTCCCGGAGGAGGTCAGCCTGGCGGTGGTGGTCCTGGAGGTCCCGGTGGTTCTGGCGGTCCTGGAGGTCCTGGAGGTTCTGGCGGTCCTGGAGGAGGTCAACCTGGCGGAGGTCAGCCCGGTGGTGGTCAACCCGGAGGTGGTGGACCTGGAGGTCCCGGTGGTGGTGGCGGTCCTGGAGGTCCTGGAGGAGGTGGTGGCCCTGGAGGAGGCCAGCCTGGAGGAGGTCAGCCCGGTGGAGGCCAACCCGGAGGTGGTGGTCCTGGAGGACCCGGTGGTGGTGGCGGTCCTGGAGGCCCTGGAGGAGGTGGTGGCCCTGGAGGAGGCCAGCCTGGAGGAGGTCAGCCCGGTGGAGGCCAACCCGGAGGAGGCCAACCCGGAGGTGGTGGACCTGGAGGACCCGGTGGATCTGGAGGCCCAGGAGGCTCTGGCGGTCCTGGAGGCCCTGGAGGAGGCCAGCCTGGAGGAGGTCAACCTGGTGGAGGTCAGCCCGGTGGAGGCCAACCCGGAGGTGGTCCTGGAGGACCCGGTGGATCTGGAGGCCCTGGAGGCCCTGGCGGTCCTGGAGGCCCAGGAGTCATTCCCGGTTGGCCAGGTGGCCAACCCGGAGGTGGTGGACCTGGAGGTCAGCCTGGCGGTGGCGGTCCTGGAGGTCCTGGCGGTGGTGGAGGTCCTGGTGGTCCTGGTGGTGGTGGCGGTCCTGGAGGGGGTCAGCCTGGCGGTGGTCAACCTAGTAATCCTGGAGGGGGAGGCGGCGGCGGCGGAGGTGGTGGTGGTGGTGGAGGCGGCGGCGGAGGTGGAGGTCCTGGAGGAGGGCCTGGTGGGCCTACCTGTTTATGTCCGTGCCCATGCACAGGCGGAAACAAATCTCCAGAAGGACCTGGAGGCTGGGGCGGACAAGGATGGAGTGGCAACGGATGGAACGAACAGGGATTGAAGGTTTCAGGTTCAGGCGGACCCGGATGGCCCGGACATGGAGAGAGCGGCGGACCTCATGACGAAGGAGAGAACAAGGGGAAACGGCAACTCGCAGGAGCAGGCGCGTCCGGACAGGGTTCTATTTCCGGCCAAAAAGATTCCGATAAGAAGGATTCCGACAAGAAAGACTCCGATAAGAAAGGTTCCGACGAGGGAGATAAAGGCGACGAAGACGACGAAGGTCATGGAGATTCTGGATACGATGATCTCGACGCCAAATATCCCAAGTACCACTGCTACAAACACCCTTACGACATCCGCTGCAAAGACCCCAAATGGATTGGCTATATAGATCCGAAGGCCCCCGACTATGACAAGTACGCTCAGCCCGGCTACAATGACCCTGGCAGCGGAGGCGGGTACAATGATGCTGGCCATGGCGGCGGTGGTGGTGCTGGCGGTGCTGGCGGTGCCGGTGGCTACAATGATGCTGGCCATGGCAGCGGTGGTGGTGCTGGCGGTGCTGGCGGTGCCGGTGGCTACAATGATGCTGGCCATGGCGGCGGCAGTCAACATGGAGATCAGGGCCATGGGGATCAAGGACAGGCTGCACCAGCAGCAGGTGCCAATATTGCCGGCGCTGGAGGCGCCCCGGCCGGAGCAGGACTTGGAGTTGGGGTTGGAGGTGCAGCGGGGGGTGCAGGGCTCGGAGCTGGAGCTGGAGCTGGAGGAGCCAAGGGCGTCTTGGAGAGCGGACGGGACTCGTCCACTTTCAGTTCCACCACAAAAGCAAGCCCGACCTCGTCGGCGGACGCATCCTCTACAAGCGAGCTTTCTTCCACAAAATCTTGGGACTTCCCGACCATCAGCCCCAAGCTCTTGCGCTGGTGGTAGAGGGTTGGCCTGTGCGTTGATTCACACTCGCTTGTCGAGTATGATACGCAGCCGGTGGGCATATAGACTGGGAGATTAAACTGTTTCCCTTGTCGCAATTGAAGAATGAGAGAAAAAGGGAAGAAGCACCTAAAAGCATGAAAGATTCAATTGACTTGAGACTGTCTTTGTTGGATTTAACACGGGTTACTGGACTGGCGGGCATGTAATATAGGGTATGTCTTCGTTGGGGATGGATATAGCTATACTGTTGTAAGGCAGATAGAGTCGGTACTTAGGGCCAGTCCAACTATTCCGATTTTCTGTTCTATGTTCATAGGCATTCGAGCAGTTATACGTACAACTGAATAGTAGAGTCTGATCTGGCCATAACCTGGAAAAGAGCCTATTCCCTTCCGTCGTTCTATTTTAGGAGGCAGATAAGTAGGTAGCTTATGTCTTCAAATGGGGAAGAACTTCGCACTCTCCCTCCACAAATCTCATTACCCCTAGCAGCATAGACGTCTGTATATATATCAAGCACGACCGTAACATTCTACCTCCACTTTAAGCATATCAGAGGTGAAGGGTGAGGGATTGGTATCGTTACCAACATATATCTGTCCGGACCAATCCTGTAACAAGACAAAAAAGCGCGCCGAGTAGGCCGTGCCGTATGAACAGGCAGGTGCCCTCACTAAGTAGCCCTGGAGAATTAAATGGAGCTATTGCTATGCATGAGTTGATCTAATCATTGAAGACGTCTTCCATTTGCTTCGTTCCCAAGCTTCCCAAGCCAAGAACCGGAATGTATGTAGCGACATATCTCGAGAGAAGATATCCGTAAGAGAAGAGGGAAATGAGCCCAGCCCAGCAAGATATAAATGCAATACAATACAGAGAAGAAGAATCATTGTGCCCCCGAAGCGAGCGTGAGTAGATAGATAGGTAGGTAGATAGATATAGAAACAAAGGATAAGAAGTTTAAGTATGCAAACGACAGAAAGATGAGACAGGGACCGAGTCCTCAGTTGAGACTTTGCACAGATAGATGCGATATTGATATGTTTGAGAAGGACATGTCTCAGAAGCAAAAAGCGCTACGCTGACACTGCGCAGAGTGGGCCTCCTCATGTCTGACTGACACGCCGGTAGAAAGATTCGTTTAGTTTAATCGAATATCGAAATTCATGAGGATTGTTAAGATTCCTTCCATGCCCTTCGCCGAGGTTTCCATGCGCCCAAACACCATTACACCAGACGAAAACGGGCACCGCCACCGCGTGACTGGATGTAGAACTGCCGAAATCACCAAACATAATATACTATGGAATAGGCCAGGGGAGAACAGAAAAGGCCGCGCCGTCGACGGGCCCACGAGCGACCACAATATGCAAAATTCGAAGAATTGGACGTGAGGTGTGGCCGAAAAAGACGGGGAGGAGATCGAGGTTAAATGATGGAGATGATAGCGGAGGTTATGAGATGAGTAGACCGACGGAAGATCACAATCCCCAGGTAATAAAGGTTCTTACAGACGTGAAGAAAACAGGATGGGTATATAAGATCTGAACGAAAGGACTCGTGAAGATCAAGCAGAGCAGAACGCAAAAGGATGTTTGGAGAGCCCGCCTTCTCATGAGCTGTTGGACCGCAATAGCGCCTGCTGAACGTGAGCTTGTGATGATTGTAGGTTGAGGGCTTTATGGTCTTACCCTATCCATGGAGAGCTGCTCAGTTCGATCGACACTTGTGGTAGCCAGCGTGCGGTTGGTGGCGCTCGTTGAGGTAATCGATCGGGCTTCCATCCCCGGGCGTTGCGACTTGCCATCTGGCCCCGTATGGACATGATGCATCTCGCCACTGCTTGAGATGCGAGACTCTTTGCTCTTCTCCAGCAGTGACCCACCGAGAGTAGCACATTTCAAGATTGTCTGCATCATTTGGTTCTGCTTCAGTGGCTTGGACAAGTATTCGTCCATCTGGGCCTGGATACACTTCTCGCGGTCACCCAACATAGCGTGAGCCGTAAGAGCGATGATCGGCGTTCGGCTCAGGCCACTGTCTCGTTCGTACTCGCGGATCTTGCCTGTGGCTTCAAAGCCACCCATAACTGGCATTTGGACATCCATCAGAATGACATCGTAGCGGCGCTGCTTAACAGCTTCCACGGCTTCGAGACCGTTGCCAACAACAGAGACGTTGTGGTTGTGTTTCTCGAGTATCTTGACAGCTAATTTCTGATTCACATCGTTGTCTTCTGCGAGAAGGATGTCGAACGAGCGCGAGTGGTCGGTAGTAATCGGCGTCGAGCGTCCCTCGAGCGCAGGTAACATACCATTGCCCAGATCGATCGGCTCGCATGGTGTTGTCATGTAGGAACTGATTCCAAGGTCTAGAGCCGACTTCAAGCTGACGCAGACGAGTGGGCAGACCAGCACGATCGGAACATATTTAAAATCATCGTACGTTCGAAGCATTCGAGCCGTGTTCACAGAGTCCACGATTATTACGTCGTAGGCGTGACCAGATTCTTTGCCGGAGGGGTCTTGAATCTCTGGCGGTGGCACATGATCCTCATTACGCACAACCAGCGGTTCCAAGTCCAGCTTCTTGAGCATCTTCAGGACATTTTCTGCCTCATTGCCATTCTCTCCCTTGTCAATGAAGAGCACGCGGTGGTTCTTGTAAGGCAGGATTTGTGATGCAATTACGTTCAGTGACTGGTCCGCCAGCTTTACGACGCAGGTAAAGTGGAATGTACTTCCATGGCCATATTCGGAGGTGACCCAGACGTCACCACCCATGAGGTTAACCAAGCGCTTAGAAATTGAGAGACCGAGTCCAGTTCCGCCGAACCGTCGTGTGGTTGACCCGTCTGCCTGCTGGAAGGTATCAAAGATCAAGTCGAGCTTGTCCTCCTCGATACCGATACCAGTATCTGAGACAGAGAATTCAAAAGCGTACTCATTCGCCGCACATTGCTCGCGATCCGATTTACATATCGTAAGCTTGACTTCACCATGCTCGGTAAACTTGATCGCGTTACCGACCAAGTTCAAAATAATCTGTCGTAAACGGAAGGGGTCACCAATGACGTAGTCGGGAACCGTATTGTCGACTTGATATGTCAGACTCAGGAACTTCTCGTTCGCCTTGACGGCCAGCGTCTTCAGGGCGTTGAAGACAGTGCCGCGGACTGTGAAGGGAATGCTCTCGATAACCATGCGGTTAGCTTCGATCTTCGAAATATCGAGTATGTCGTCGATGATCGTCAGAAGACTGTTCGCCAAGTTATGCACGACATTCAACATCTCTCGAGTGTACGGTTTCAGGTCGTCGGTGTCCAGAGTCAGCTGGGTCATACCAATGATACCGTTCATAGGCGTCCTGATTTCGTGACTCATGTTTGCCAGGAATTCGGACTTGGTACGGTTTGCCAATTCGGCGGCTTCCCTGGCAGCCGTATTTCGTTGAATACTATCCCGGAGATTCGACACCATCTTATTGATTTTGCGCTTTAACTCGTCCATCTCACCGGAAGCGTTGACGGTAATGAGCTTTGTAAAATCGCCATCTGTTGCAGCATCTGTAATCTCGCCGAAGGCTCGCACCTGCGATGTGAGATTTTCGGCCATGGTATTGACGTCCTCTGTGATCTCCTTCCACGTTCCGGCAATCCCCTCCACGTTCGCTTGGCCGCCCATTTTGCCATCGACACCGACATCGCGGGCGACTTTTTTGAGTTCAGTAGCGAACTTGGCCAAACGGTCCACCATGTGGTTAATGGTGACTTTGAGAGTTAGGATCTCTCCCTGGGCGTGGACTTCAATCTTCTTGCTCAAATCACCCTTGGCAATGGCTTGCGTGACGTCCGATATACTTCGGACCTGAGAAGTGAGATTCTGGGCCATGGTGTTGACGTTGTCGGTGAGGTCCTTCCATTTCCCCTCCACATTGTCGACCTTGGCTTGACCACCAAGCGTACCATCAGTTCCGACTTCCCTGGCGACCTTGCTGACTTCAAAGGCGAACGTATTTAGCCTGTCCACCATGCCGTTAATCGTGCTCTTGAGATCTAGTATCTCGCCCTGGACATTGGCGGTGACCTTCTTGCTGAGATCACCCTTTGCAACAGCGGTTGTAACGTCCGCGATCTCCCTGACTTGGGTTGTCAAATTGTTGGCCATGCGGTTGACGTTTTCGGTCAAATCCTTCCATGTGCCTTCCACATCATTCACGGTAGCTTGGCCACCGAGCACACCGTCTGTACCAACTTCCTTGGCAATCTTCGTCACCTCCTGTGCAAATTGTCGAAGTTGATCAACCATGGAATTGATGATATTCTTGAGCTCCGCAATTTCACCCTTGCAGTTGGCCTGCACCTTCTGAGTAAGGTCACCCTTAGCGACGGCCTTGGTAACCGTTGCAATGTCGCGCACTTGTGTTGTCAAATTGTTCGCCATGGCGTTCACGTTGACAGTAAGTTCATTCCACATGCCTTGGACGCCTTCAATCTGAGCCTGACCACCAAGAACACCTTCCGTACCGACATCACGAGCGACGCGAGTAACCTCCGTGGCAAAAGTCCGTAGTTGATCCACCATGGTATTGATGGTTTGTTGAAGTTCAAGAATTTCACCTTGAGCGCGGCTCTCAATCTTCTGACTGAGATCACCGTGTGCGACAGCCGTTGTGACCACCGCGATTTCACGCACTTGGTCCGTAAGATTCTTGGCCATAATGTTAACGTTTTCTGTCAATTCCTTCCAGATACCATGGACCCCAGTAATTTGAGCCTGTCCACCGAGTATACCTTCCGTTCCGACTTCACGGGCGACGCGAGATACCTCGCTACCGAAAACCTGTAGTTGGTCCATCATAGTGTTGATTGTCCGTTTAAAAGTGGCGATTTCAGGGTCCATCTCCAAGGGATGGATCTGAACCTTCATCGACAAATCACCATTAGCGACCTGGGTGATGATACCCCCAATTTCCCGCAGAGCCTTCTGGAAAGCTTCGTTCGCCTGCTGATGTTTGCGCAGCTCTCGTTCCAGAAGAACCACGTCCTCATTTTCGACCTTGGTAAGAGCTCGCCGCGTCTGCACTTCCTGCAACTGAAGCTCTTCCCGGACCTGGGTTATGATATTTTTCTGGAAACTTATTTCCTCCGCTTGTTTCTGAACATAGTTCCGCAAATAGCTGATGTCTTCCTCCCGTACTAAAGTTGCTACTCCACCTTCCTCATCTTCATCGCTAGCCGCACCATCGCTCTCGTCAAGGATCTCAGGCTCCGTATCTTTGGAAGACTTTCTCCGTTTATGGATAAGTTGTGTGTGTTCGTTGGGTTGTGTGTGGTTTTGTTGCTATAGTGCAGAGAAGAGTCAGCAGGAGTAAAAATGGAACAGGGAAATATGCGAGGAACGGAACACAGGGAGAAGAGATAGGTGAGGGCGACTGACAGATTGTACTTCTAAGCGATGAATCCGACGGACCAGAGCCTCTAATTCATTTTCGAACCTGACCTTAGCTAGACTGGGCTCTCCCGGTAGCTTTGGAAGCGAGTCCACGCCATTTGTAGAATGCGGAGAGAAGTTGAACTCGAAAGAAGGAGAACCGGCCGAAGGGGCTTCTCTAACGAGATTTTGTATGATGGCAGCAGCGGCCGTGAGGGTATCGTCCGCGCAAGCCATTTTGCCCTGGGTAGACTCAGTTAAAAATCGGACATGTCAAGATGGAATGTCAAAGCGAAGAGGTCGGCTCTCGTGTTCAAGGTTGACAACGCGTGAGATGCAAATAATGGTCCGTGTGATGAGCGATGAAACCAAGATATTGGGGGAGGGGGGCCGCTCGGAGCTAGAACAGGGGGGGACAAAGTCTAATAAGACGGAGATGAAAGTATGAGCTCGCAAACAAAGAAAAAGAGAGAAAAATTGAGACCCTCTAATCTCTGAAAAGGAGATTAAGGAGAATAAGAGATATAAAATAATGCGAAGCTCGTCGGATGAAAAAGGAAAAAGGACAGAAAAAAAAAGCTGGGGGCGAATGGTTGGAGACGGAGAGACGAGGGGAGTGGAAGTCGGAGAGTTGGAGGCCGGGAGTATGGGAGCTTGGGGGAAGGAGAAACGAGAAGGGTTAAAGCGGCGGCAAGGGAACTCAGAACTGGGAGTACTGAAAGAGAAAGCGAGCAGCAGGATGAGAGTCCGTACCTGGCGGGAATCGCGTTATTGACACGACAGACGGAGCGGTATCGCCTAGAACGACATTGGTGACTGGCGAGAAAGGGGCTCGGGGAGGCTCTCGGAGGGTTGGAGTTTGGTGCAAAGAGTCTGAAGGGGAGCGTTTCAGACTTCGAGTTCGCCGTTGATCAAGAGAGGAGAAGATACGGAGACCTCGAGAACCAGCAGAATAATTCGAGTCGAATCAATGGCAAGCAGCGAACGGCGAGTGGAGAGAGGAGCACCGAACAGCGGATAGAGAGGGGTCGGAATGGAAGATTGTGATAATGCGCCCTGCCCGGGTTGGTTTGGTTTGACCTGACCCAGGGGAGAACGGCTCCAATAAGGGGACGATGGGCTGAATTGGTTTGATCAAATCTTTCTTGGTCTTAACTGTCAGCCTGATGGCGATGGGCTCCCCGGCGGATGGTGGAGGATTTGGCTTAAGAACTCGATGTCCGACTCCTGCACGAGTTAACGTGACCTCGACTGACAGCTTACAGTAGTTGAATACTCTCCTGCGCATGATTGTTTGTCATATACACAGATAGGGGCTTCTATACATGGGTATTGCAAGTTCAACTGCTTTATCCACCCCAGCATGTTCTCATTATTGATCCAAATCGATCTTTTAAGTACCCTACGAAGCACAGCCCGGCAGAGTGCGTGGCCATATGCCGAGCGCTGTGGAGGCAGCCCATGGTTTGTTCGCCGCGCTAACAGGCGCCGGCTCTTGGTGGCAGGCAGCCAAAAAAAACCGCGCGCCCGCCGCCCTGATTAAAGAATCCTCTTGACCGCTGTGCGTGCACTATGCACACTGCGTGCACATCTTGCTCCCATTTTTCCATCCACGCTTTTTCCTTATTGGTGCGCTGCTGATCACCTCCCCAGTCTAGTGGCGATCCTTGGGATGTCTGATGCCCCGGTGTTTGCCTATCACACCCTTTTGACTGTTTCGAGATGGATGCTGAGGGAGGGGCATGTGAGACCGGCAAGCAACTCCCCGAGTTATGACTGGTTGCTCGACGAAAGTACGAGTTATCAATGGTCCATAAGAAAGAAAACGGTCCGAGTGCAGAACAAGCAATGTCACGGGACTGAGGTTACTGAGTTATTCTCCGATGTTGAAATCCATGCGCTCAATGTCGAAAGTTCGAAAAAAGAAGAGGGTGTCGTTTGCATGTCATATGATAGCTCCAGCTTTCTCAATAAGTGACCTTTCATTTGCACAGTAGTATACTCGCCAAGGGCAGAGAGTATCCATTCATTTGCTTGAAGATTTGTATATACCATGATCCGATTCTATTTACTATCATAACTCGTTAAAGGTTTAGCGTCACGGTCATGCTATTGCTGTGGACCAGCAAGCAAGGTGGCAAACCCTGCCACAAAACACTCAGATCACTCAGATACGACTGGCTAGCAGTTTCGCTGTCCGAAGTGCCCTCGACTGGTGATGGCAGAGTCGTGAAAATTACAGCCGTATCCCCGCTGTGTTTAGCTATCAACTCATTCAGTATCAGATGCTGTGCACGGCTCGGAAGGTCGTTGAATGACAGCGGAACGGAAGCTTGCTGCGGATACCCAGAGGCGCTCGTCCGATCTGATGATACCTCCGAAGCAGAACGACGTTTGTAGATGGACTCGACAGCTCTTCGAGATGATCGAGGAGGCGACATGTTTGTGGCGAACATGATGCTTGGACCGGCGCCCTCTTCTGTGTTGACCTGAGCTTCAGGTATTGGTGAAGAGCTGAATCTATTGCTCGATGCTGAGCGGCTCAGAGACGGCCGGCTCGTTGCGGATCGAGGAGATCCCGTCTCGCTAGGCTCAATGATGGCCGGAATGTTGTGTCTCTGCATTGTTGGAAGATCCGGATCCGACGTTGAAGGGTTAACCACTCCCTGTGGAGTTGTCGTCCTGTGTATGCTCGTGGTCTCTCCATCACTTGCGGATTCCTCTGAGTCACTGCTGCTGCTGCTATCACTAGTTTCGCTCGGGGTACTGTCATCATCAACGAAAGCATCCAGTAGTCGGTGTGTCTGCATGCCTAGATTGACACCTCCTAGACCCCTAAAGCTGGAAATAGAACGTCGTCTTCTCGAAGATTGTATCAACTTCCTCACTCCACCTGGCAATGGATGACGCGCCTGCCGTTGCTCCTGATTCAAGACCTCGAAGCGAGATGAGCTTCCAGCCCTGTTCATCCAACCAAAAGTTGAGGAGTCGTCCGAGTTTCTCCGACCACGTTGAATATCCTCCCACCAACTCTCATCCTTTAATATCGTATTTACCATATCTCTGATATCCTGAGACCCCGGGGCAGCGTCTCCATTGACTATCAGGCGATATGTCTTCAAGTCACCAGACGCAAGCCAGAAGACCAGGATTTCTGCTTCAATCCGTAGCTTCTCAAGGAGAGTCTCAACCCTTTTTCTTTCGTCCTCAACGTCAGCTTCGTATTCCACGAAAACAGCCACCCTCAGCTTGTATGCCCTTTTCCAGGAAGGAACTGTGTTTAAAATGCAACCAAGCTGAAGGATGAGAGTATATGTGTCAAAATTTGTAGTAAGAATATTTCGTTTCGTTTCACTGTTGGCGTTTATCTCAGCAGACATCTGGATGGGCCAGAGATCGATGTATTTTTTCGAGTTCGATCCGTGCTGTCCCGGCAGTCCGAGCTCCTCAAACCCCTTGGCTACCGCAACATTTATGCGTAGTTGGAACAAAAGGTCTTCCAAGACCCTGACGTATGTCCTGCAGTCTGCCGACTTCCTCAATGGCTCATACATGGGACTATCTGGCGATTTCGGATTCGAATTGTGTTTATGGTGATATATTGGCTCGGCAAGAGACCGACCCTCCCGAAATTGATCAATTATGACGATATTTGGCCGCATCCCCCCTAGGCCAGAATTCAAGACAATATTTCGAACTCCCCATTCGACAGCGGGGGACACTGCAATGTTCACGAAGGCTTTGACCTTTGAATTCTCGACTAGCTTTGTCCAAGCGCTCTGTTGTCGACGCGCTTCCGGGACGGCAGACGAGAAATCATCGGTGACAAGAACATGACCAAGTACAAACAACGCACCCTTTTTCAGTGAGTTGCAAAAAGCAACAAGCTTGAATTCCTCATCAAGATCATTCACGAATAGAAGGATCTGTGGCCTCCAGAATTTGACGTGCTCTTGCTTCAAACGAAGCAGATACTTACGCACTTGATGGTAGATCAGGCTCTGGCTGACATCACCCCACGGCTTCGGAGGAGAAGTATAATGAATCAGTAAGAATAGGGTGATTAAAACACCAAAGCACCCAGTGGCGTAAATACCATCGACGAAAAACATACTAGCGCCGCAGACCAAGGTACCAGTTGCGGCGGTCTGCCAGTTGAAGTAGTGGAAGGAAGGACGGAAATTGGGGGCAGACCCAATTTTCAGCAGGAAACAAGCCAAGTTCATCACTAAAAAGGTCATGAGATAAGCCATTGTGACAAAGGACGCGATCTGGTTGATATCAAACAGCATTGTCAACTGAGCAGCGATGAAAGTGACAATGATTGCGCGAACAGGCTCGTCCTTCTTCTTCGTGCCTATGCTGAACAGATTGAGCCCAGGAACCAAGTTGTCTTTAGCGATCGCTTGAAGCAGTTTAGCAGATCCAATCAACCCCATCAGAGCAGAGAAGAAACTGGTTGCAAATTCGCCTGCAAGAACGACGGCCCCAGAAAGATTTGCCTAGAAATATGTTAGAGTGAGATGAAGCAGGGCTCTCCAAAAAGCATACAATCTGGACAATATTGGCGCTGTTATAGAGAGAGTCTCTTGTCAAAGAAGCCGCCATCGCGAGAATCACAAGGGTGTATAAGACAAAGGTCAGAGCAAGGCCATAGAGTGTACCCTTCGGTATCGATCTGCTAGGATTCTTCAGGTCGCCTGACATGCTTGCACCACTACGCAGATAAGCCTGATATCCCAATTGGTTAAGATTGAATGCTTACGCGAAGATCCCCCCAGTCGCAGGGAACAAAATCCCAAAAAGGTCTTGGAAGTTCTCCCGCGTGGAGAGTTGGCTCCCGGCCGCCCCCTTCGTGAGCCTAGGCTTAAGATTCCCCAAGAGTGTATGGAAACTGATACCGGTAAAATGGATCCCAAGCTTCGAGTTTCGAAATGGTTCCATGACGAGAGCAGACACTGGAATACTGAGTGTCGCAATCAAAAGAATAATAAGCAATCCATTGCTTGCTCGAGCGAAAAGAGCACTGCCCGCCAAGCATATCCCAGTACAAACGACCAAGATGATAGTTCCCCAAAGGTATTGCCACCAAAATCCTTCCTCGAGGAAGTTGTACCATGTGCCCGTTTCAGCTCCAAAGTTCTGTGTAAAACAGTCGATCAAGCCCACGGCATTCATTCCTGTGTTCAATACGGAGCCGAGATAGAACACTAGACCAATAGAGCCACCAAACTCGGGCCCTAAAGAGCGAGATATCAAGTAGTATGCTCCTCCTCCTTTGACTGTGCCATTGGTTGCTATGGCTGATAAAGACATTGTAGTGACTAGGTTGATTGTGTACGATATTGCAAGCAGTCCTTAACATTATGGTCAGCAATGCTCACAGACTAGAGAACTAGGGTAGCAACATACCTAGCATTCCCAGTAGACCAGCCTGCCCCAAAATGAACCCGAAGCGAAGGAACATGAGAATGCTCAGGACATTGAGACTGGTTGGCACAAAGACTCCTGAAAAAGTCGTGAACTTGTCAGAAGCATCTGACGAACGATATCTCTCTCCATTCCTCCCTTTATGATCAACGCTCGCGTCCCGGAGAGGCCCTGCCTCAAGCGATGTGCTTGGTAAATCAGCATCGTTCTCAGGTTTCCTCCACCAGCCCGAGAAATAAGACAGAAAGTTCGAAGGTAAGGAGCGGCGCCGGCCAAATGATTCGGACACCTGAGGAGTTAAGGACCCGTAATTTTGGAGTTGTCCAGCAGGCCGCCAATTCAGTAGCCTTGCAGTCTCTTCCGGGGAAGCATTTGCAGGCTCGCTCGGGTCCAATCTGGACTCATCTTCCTGTGCAGTGCGTGTGGCGAAGTTAGGTCTCCTCCAAGAGATGGACCCTGAGGCACTGCCCTCTTGTGAGCTCGTCATCGAATATGAAACTCGGCCTCTTTGCCAGCCCGCTGCTTCAGGAGGAATGCAGTTGTTGGATCACGACATGGACAAAGAACAGTTTAAATTGACAAGGAGCAGGACAATTGAGACCCCAAAGTATCGCTCACGCGACGTTGAATTGAGAATGTCGATCTTCAACAGCAATGACAGCTGTCATAGGAGCAAGCACCCCCTGTTCTGCAGCTGTTGGGTATTTCGACGAGCGACCTCGGGACGGGATTGACGATGACTTCATTTGCCAAGACTTGTTCCTATCTGGTAGCAAACAATGCAAACCCCAGTCCGTTGCGAAGTATACGCTGAAGACGACTTGGAAATTCGAGGGTATACTTAATGGATGCGCAATAAAACATATAATAAGCTAGGCTGTGCTATGAGAGCTAGTGCCGTAGGTTCAAAACTGAGCAGCCTCAACATATGCGCCGTACATTACACAATTCTATGTACCTACCAAGCAGAGGGGAGTCTTGACTTAGCCGCACAAGCCATGATTCATCGCAATTGTTAACAGCTACACCATACTAGGGAGATTTTGATGATGGATCTTAGGTAACTATGTACCTTGATCACGTCTGTGGGTCGCTATGTGGTAACCGGTCCTATCAGTTACGACTGATTCCTGCGGGGTACAGTAAACCCGGCCTATAGTTAGATGAATAAGGGACACTAGCAAGGGATTGTCCATGCCCGGGAGCTTGCAAAGACTGCATGCTCACTGCATACTTATCACTTGGTGATCTTATTGCCCGAGGTCTTCTCTCGCGTCTTATACACAGGTATTTTGACTTGGTAGTGCGGAGCTACCTTCCTCGCTCCGACATGATTACACAAGAGGTTCCTGGCTGTAGTGAGTACCAACGTTGCTTTGTCCATGGCTCCTTCAGGCCTCCTCGTGGGTGGCTGTTGAGAGTCTTCGCTACGCGCCCAGACAAGTAGACAGGTCATCTCAGGTGTGAAAAGAGAGCTTTCCAACTATTCATGCAACGGACAGTGCTGGTAGCAACCAAGATCTGTACGTGTTGGATCGGTGGAACAAAAGTGGACGTAGCTTACGTGATCCATGACTCTCCGGCCTCGATTCCACGTGATAGCTATCCATCCACCTGCATCCTTCACACTCTCCGCCAGAGCTTCAGATTCCTTTGTCCTAGCAGCTGCACGACCCTGTCGTGCTCAACCTTAACGGTCGCTCTATAAATTTCTAATTCGACCGTTATGGCATCACCAGGAAGGTATGACAATGGGGAGGGTCCGTCGTCATCTCCCAAACTTGGGTCATCTCCGATAGCGACCTCCGCACGCCGTTCACGGTCCCCAGCTCCAGACTCTGTAAGGCATGCCTCGATAGCTCGGCTGGCCTCTCCAGTACCGTCGATATCCAACTCCGTTTCCTCGAGGCAAATACCAGTTCCAGTCTCCACAGACGAGTCACAAGACCTCGGTCGAGTCGATAACCTCTCGTCTCTCCCCGGTCCCGGGCAGTCCATGATTGCTTCTGCTCTTCAGGACAGTCTTGGTCGATCACCTCCGAGATTTGGGACTCCGCCAAGACGTACTGAGTCCCCTGCTTTTAACCAGAACCTGCAAATCAGATCGAACTATGGCTCTTTTGACCAGAAACCCTGGAGGGAAGGTTCGGAGTACTCTGCAGCCCCGTACGAAGACCCGGAAATTGTCAAGAGGCACTTAGTGCAACCACTAGAGAGCCGGGATACTCAGTCCTCCGGAGACGGTACGGATAACGCGGACGATGAGTTCTCTAGCTTGCGATTGCAAGGCGGCGACATCACCAGACAAGTCTATAGATGGGCTGAGGATGCGGAAGAAGGAGGTTCTGTGAGAAAGCCTCAACGGAGCAGGAGTTTTAGCCTGAATAGACCTACCCCCGAGGAGGAAACTATGAACATCAGCAGCATTCGCGTCCCAGGAGGGTTTCGAAGAGACTACTTGCGCAGGGCCGCAGGAAGCCCGGCTCCACGAGATTCTGCTGCACGGGACGGAGCGTCCCCTGCTCCGCATCAGATTCCCACAAGTAGTTTCCTTGAATTCCTAACACTCTATGGCCACTTTGCCGGTGAGGAGTTGGAAGAAGACGACGAGATGCTTGGACCCCACGAGTATTTCTCCTCCGAAGCCTGGGACGAAACAGAAGAACGAGAGCCTGGTGAGGACTCTGCGCTTCTCCGTCCTGAAACTCCTGGCAAGAGGAGGCGCAAGCCCCGTGGAGGAACCGGAACGAACACTAGAACGGGGGCAGCGCTTCTTCTCCTTAAGTCATTTGTGGGCACTGGGGTCCTGTTCCTGCCAAGAGCCTTCCTCAACGGGGGTATGCTTTTCAGCAGTCTAGTACTCCTCGCCGTCTCGTTACTCAGTTTCTACTGCTTCATTCTTTTGGTGAACGCGCGACTAAAGGTTGAGGGCTCCTTTGGTGACATCGGAGGCGCACTCTATGGAAAACACATGCGTCGAATTATCCTTGGTTCGATCGTTCTTAGCCAGTTGGGGTTCGTGTCTGCATACATTGTGTTCACGGCTGAGAACCTCCAAGCTTTTGTCCTTGCTGTTAGCAATTGCAAGTCTTTCATTGACATCAAATTCATGGTGTTGATGCAATTGATCATCTTCCTGCCCCTCTCGCTAATCCGGGACATCAGCAAGCTTGGCTTCACTGCGCTCATTGCGGATCTTTTTATCTTGCTGGGCCTGGTTTACCTCTTCTACTATGATTTCCTCACAATATCCGCACAGGGTGTCGCCGAGATCTCCTCGTTCAATCCTTCTACATGGACTCTTTTCATTGGAACTGCTATCTTCACCTACGAGGGTGTTGGTCTCATCATCCCTATCCAGGAGTCGATGAAGCATCCCAAGCAATTTACAGGTGTTCTGGCCGGCGTTATGGTCATTATCACGATCATCTTCCTGGCAGCTGGTGCTGTCAGCTATGCGGCGTACGGACCTGCAACCAAGACCGTGATCCTCCTCAACCTCCCGCAGGACGACAAGCTTGTGAATGCGGTTCAGTTCCTCTATTCATTGGCTATTCTCCTCAGCACTCCGCTCCAACTCTTCCCCGCCATCCGCATTATGGAGAATGAGCTCTTTACCCGCAGCGGCAAGTATAACCCTGGCATCAAGTGGAAGAAGAATGGCTTCCGGTTCTTCCTCGTCATGGTCTGCGCGTTTGTTGCCTGGGGTGGTGCCGAGGACCTCGACAAGTTTGTTTCTCTTGTCGGTAGCTTTGCCTGCGTTCCCCTCATCTATGTCTACCCGGTATGTCACTTGCCCTCTCTATCCCATTCATAACTAATCGCAGCCAGCCCCTCCTTCATTACAAGGCTTGCGCGCGGACCAGAAGACAGAAGCTCGCAGATATTGCACTCACCATCTTCGGAGTCGTCAGCTGCATCTACACTACCGCATTGACCATCAATAACTGGGTTAGTGGCGATAATGCCAAAGCCCCAGGGTACTGTGACGCCTGATCCTAGTTCTTGCTCAACCGACATCACCCCTGCTCTCTTTCTTTAGCTTAAGCTGTTCATAGAAGGGCCCTTCATGTATAGACGAACGACATGCCACTGATCTGTTTCAAATTGTTATGGAAGCAAGCAAGCACGCACGAAAGCACGCCTGGCTGATGATAAAGCCGGCGAGTATCTCATTTTTTGGAATTCCACTGTCCCGTTTACGAGATTGTTTGATTAGACATCTAGCGATGATTTGATTTGGTTTGATTTACATAGCTTGAATACATTCATCGATTCTTGACACGGCTCATAATGACATAGTAGATGCACACTTTACGTTGGGAAGCAGTTTCGACCTTCCAAAGATGCCGCCTACCGAAATATAATAGGACACCTATAGAACTACTCTCGGCCCGTTATCTCCAACCTAGAAAAACACCGTCGACCAATCACACCATCCATTCTTAGGCAAGTATAATGCCGGTCTATGATAAGTATATAGGTAACAAGGGGATGCCAGATCACCACTAGCGCTGCTTCCTCCTACATATCTCTTATTTACCCGCCTCAGTAGCCTCCTTGCCCTTCTGCGCACCTTGCGCAGCAAGCGCAGCTTCACGGCCTCCCCAGCTATAAAGCATTAGCAAAGTTCATCACGGCGTATGGCAGAACAGCATGGAGGAAGCGCAAGGAGCCTGTGACATACTTCCAATAGTTCAGATAACGGTATCCCTGGGTACACTGGGCGGAGAAGTTGATGGCGTGGCAGGCGAAGAGGAGGTAGTTCTTGGGGGAGACGGCGAGGGCGTAGCGCATGAAGGTTGCGGAGTAGATGACCAGGGCGCCGGTCATTTGACCGGAGATGCTGCAAGGGTAAAAGTGTTAGCTTGGTGTTGCTTATGCTTATCAGGCGGGTATTGAAGAACGATTGCCAAGTATCGAATTCCGCGACCGCAGAGCCGGCTGCTAGAGACACCTGGCAGCGAGAAACAAGGAATCCATTGCAGATGTAAACGTACATTTCCGGGTCTTTCTGGGTGTCCATCACGGCCGCTACAGGGATACCGAAGTTGGAGACGGGGCCCCAGAAATCTAGAGAACAGGATTAGCCATTACTTCTCGGATATTTCTTGTCTTCGTATCGCGAAAGGAATAGTGTCTTTAGATGGCAGATAGCACATGCGGATGTCGTCGTATCTCGACCGCAGCTTGATGCAGCCGATTTCGGAAACGGGCTTGGAAGGACAAAAGACGGAACGCCAGGCAACTTACGTGTTGAGCAGACATAGTCCGCAACCTTGTTGGACCGGATCTTTGCATTGATTGCTTTAATAACGGCGGCCATCTTGCAGGACGTGGGGTGAACGTGTAAGACAGCTGCTGGTCAGCGACTGAATGGACAAGACTCGAGAGCTCCCGTTTTGGTCATCACCGAAGCCCGCCCGGGTTCGCTGCCGAGCGGAGCCTTCGGCGACATCACGTGAGGTACTACTATACGCACTAGGACAGATACAACAAAGGCTTTTGATTTGGTGTATTAGAATAACTGAATAACTAAATAGCGCTTGAGACATCTCTAGCATTACAGGCCTCCCCTAATGTGTGTCCATTTTATTTCTCTCGGGCAGTCCTTGCATCCGCACACGCCGCAACGCCTTGGCCTTGTAAAATTTGAGGTGCTGCTCCCAATCCTAGAACAGCCGGGTGGCTGAGGAGCTCTTTTGGTTCCAGTTACATTTCCCTTGTCCTTAGTCGGTGGTAGTGCACAATGCAGTCGCAGTTTTATTGTTGAGCCATCATATTACACCGTCAAGTCAAATCACCGTCCTCCAAACCCTGGGGGAGGATATCCTCGACCCTGGCCGGGAGGCTGGAAGCCAGGTGGAGGTTGGAAGCCGCCAGCTAGAGCAGGAAAAGTCAGTTGACATAGCCACGCATTCTCGAACAGATAAACTTACGACCCTGGGGAGCACCGAATCCGGGAGGAGGAGCGAAACCGGCTAATGCTTGTCAGTCTCATGTATCAAGCACCAGTATAGAACCAAACTTACGGGGTCCTCCAGGGCCTCCACGTCCACCGAAGCCAGGCGGGGGGGCACCGGGGAAACCACCAGGAGGGAATCCGGGGAAGCCGCCTGGCGGTGGGGGTCCACCGACACCAGCAGCAGGTCCTCCAAGTCCGACAGGCAGACCACGTCCAGCGGGTTTGCTAATTCCAGGGCCGGCGGCGAGAGTGGCAGCGGCGGGCACATTAGGACCGCCACCAAGTCGTGCTGAGGGATCGGCCGGGGGAGGTCCGTCGACAGAGCAGGAAACAACGTGAGTGCCGCGCACAATTGTCAAACCAAGGGTTCGCTTCTCTTCGGCTTCGACGAGGGGCGCGTTTCCGGGGGCCGACTTGGCTTTCCGCTTGACGCGGCGGAATTCTTCTGTATCGGCCAGGACCAGGTTCAGGTGCTGGGAAAGTCAGCAACAATGTCCATAGTTTCCAAGCGCATCAATTGCTAGTAGACGCACCTTATCGAAGGCAAGCATCTGACCCGTCATTTGCCGTCCATCATTTAGGGTAACTCTCATCCGGTAGTTTATCTAGACTCATGTTAGATTTTCACGCGGAGAACTATGTGCGCCCATTAACACATACGAGGTTTTGCTAGGTAGAACGCGAAAGTCAGCTATGTCACCAGGAATACATCTCCAATCGCTTAATTGAATAAAAGTAAGAGTGGTGTAGGCATCGTAAACTCACCATCTTTCCCTGCTTGTTGGCCGCCATGTTTGCTGAGAAGTGCGCACGAATGCGACTTGAGAGTAGAACCAAAGAATGTGTATGACAGAATCAGCAGAAGAGGACCTTCTAGCTTGTTGTCAGACGCTCCAAGGGTGTTTGGCCAGGCAAAGAGCTTAGTTACTGACACTTGCGGCGCTCGCTGCTCAGGTTGGGCCTGGCGGGTATCGCGACCCGTGACTTTGGCGCGCGGCTCCGCGGCTGGGCGCCAGCCCAGTTTTGCCAAGCCGCTAAGGGCTCTCGCTTCCCACACATCCACCCACAGTCGAACTTCACACAACTTTCGCCCGATTCGAGATTCCTTGAGATTCTTCCATTCAACGTCGACCAGTCCACGCCAAATCAGTCGCCATGGTATGTTTGAAAAAAACATCTACAACAACCTCACGACCTTTGCTGTACAGTTTCGGGAACTAATTTTTCACGCCAAAATGCAGTCGGAAGCCAAGGACAAGAGCACCAACCCCATGCGCGAGCTGCGCGTCCAGAAGCTCGTGCTCAACATCAGTGTCGGCGAGTCTGGTGACAGACTTACCCGTGCTGCTAAGGTGCTCGAGCAGCTGAGCGGTCAGACTCCTGTCTACAGTAAGGACGCCCGAATCGATAAACCCCCGCTCGAAGGCGAATAGAAACACAACGGAAATTTTCTGCTGGAGACGATGGAAAGAATGGCATGGCTGACCGAGGTGGAATTGCGCAACAGGCAAGGCTCGCTACACCGTCCGTACCTTCGGTATCCGCCGTAACGAAAAGATCGCCGTCCACGTTACCGTCCGTGGCCCCAAGGCTGAGGAGATCCTCGAGCGTGGCCTCAAGGTCAAGGAGTACGAGCTCCGCAAGCGCAACTTCTCCGAGACCGGTAACTTCGGCTTCGGTATCTCCGAGCACATCGATCTGGGTATCAAGTACGACCCCAACATTGGTATCTACGGCATGGACTTCTACTGCTGCATGTGAGTTGGACTCTATACACTTGGGAGACAGGTTCTTCTGGGGGAGGAATATCAGGACTGACATAGGGACAGGACCCGCCCTGGTGAGCGTGTCGCCAAGCGCCGCCGCTGCAAGGCCGCCATCGGTGCCAACCACCGCATCAACCAGACCGAGACCATGCGGTGGTTCAAGCAGCGCTTCGACGGTATCATCCGGTAAATTCCTCTATTCGAATTCGGGGTTTCGTCAAAGCGGTGGGCTGTGTTTATGAATCGATCAAGGAAAAAATCTTCTGGCGGGCGTTCTTCTCTCGAATGGTGATATTCGCTCTGTCTTCTACCACGGCATGAGATATAGGCGTGTTAGAATATCAAACTACATTGTTCAAAAACGCATCCACTTTTCTCAATGAAGGCTTCACAAAGGGTGATGATTTCCGCTTAACCATTGATGAAAAGTATTACATGATGCTGCGCATGCGTATCCCTTTGGGGGTCCATGTCTGTTTTGCTTTGGCCGTGAGATTCAGGTTCTTCGTGAGCTTCGAGTCTTTTCCATCATCTCTCCTCTACCACGAGTGGTGATATGCGTAGCATTGGGCACAAGTATCTGGGACCGCGCCATAGACATTGATTATGTCGGCGTTTCTGTATTTGTAACGGAAGGCTTTTGCCGACAGCTCATTGTAGTTTCCAGCTGCCACCTTACCCTGGGCGCGGGCAACTAATATCTAGCTTATGGTCTACGTCGAGGAAGCCCGAAGCCTTCAAGCCGCGGACATACGGGCTTTGAATTGCTCTCCTACTGGTACCCGACAGGAATCAAGTGGCTTTATTCGCTATTTGTCTTGTTCGAAGAGATAACGCAAAAGAACTTGAAGGTGCAGCACTGAGAGTTCGAAGGCCAATGAGCCATAAGCTCATTTTGACACATCTTCTGTCCCAGCATCAAAGCATGGGCAGGACTCCAAGCCACTACATCTTAATACTCAATAACAAGAGAAGACGATCAACCAGACGTCAAAAAGAACCTAAGTCATCTGGTAGACGGACACCTGTAGCCCTGCCTCTTGAACCTATCAACCTATTTACCGCCAGTATATCCAGCCCACCACTTGGAAAAGAAGCCTCCAGGGTGCGACTGCTCGTTCCAGCTCTGTCTGCGCTGGGCAAAGGCGCCATCGTTTGAGTTTCGCTTCTGACTGGTCAGGCTCTCGAATAGAGTAGATGGGCCGTGGCCGCTGGACCTCCTTCGCTCGCCCAACGACGGAGGGCTGCGTGCACCTTCATTAACACCGGCATCTGCTTCTGATGCACTGGAGGACTATGGAATGTCAGTTTTAAGGTGCCATCTCCAGTAAGCACGGGATAAATTTGACATAGTGGCATACCCGTCTATCAGTCGACCCGAATGCATCCGTAGTAGAGGTTGACGGTCGTCTATAGTTTGAGGCGGCGCCTCCTCGCACCCAGACATTGTGGTGTTCATAACGATCGCCCGGACTACCGTGCCAATGGCGAGGCGGGGACTTGTCTTTATCCATTGCTTCGGATTGCGGGCTTTGATGGTTGAGCAAGACTACTATACGGAGGTCAGTCAGTTGACGATGCCACTCATTTAACCTGATATAAGGAATAGAGACCGCTCGCAATTATCAATGGAAACCAGGGGAAAATATAACGACTTACTTAAAAGGTAATTTCTGTGATCCACGTAATGATGAATTTGACTATTCCTGGACAACAGAAGTCCTCGGGAGAGTTTGACTTATATAGGGGAAAGAGGGGTAAGCAGGAAACCCAGGTCTGTTCTGTGGAACAAAATGTCGATAACAGAGCACGCCACTACTACTTCTTTTGAATAGAGCAGCATATGAACACTCCAATAGCGGATTGCTGACCCAGCCCTCGAACGCTTGATTGGAAAAGAGCTCCCATGGTCCCCCGAAAGATCAACGACTTAAATCCACGGCCACCGTCAGACCTTGTGTATTAATTATTGAAAGATGGGCCGTGATGGGCTCACGGGGCCGCTTCAGTCAATCATGATGTTAACTGCTTCCAATCGAAGCGAAGCTGACGTCAAGCGTCTTGCCCAGATGCGGGGAGCCATAAAGGACAGAACTTTGGAGGCGAGGACGAGCCACGGCTGGCTGGACGTCACCTGGTGGCACGAGACATGGTTACTTTGCTTGTTCTGCCTCAACGTGAGGGACTCGAATGCTTACCTTGGTTGGAGGCCACTGGTGAGCTCTCCCAGGGCTACTGGTTGAGGCTAAAGCCATGATGCAAGTTGACTCGGGCCTACCTTAGCCGGAGCATATTGTAACAGGTCGTCCGCATAACCACCACATGGATCAGTCTGCGAACACAAGCCTCAATTTGACTCCACAGTCCATATTGAAGGGAAGATGAAGAAGAAAGAGCCTCACGTGGGCAGCGGAGCCCATATCGGCGCCGAGGCGGATACCCAGCTAATTAATTCCCCGCATAGCTATCGTTATCGACTCCAGTCTCCAACTGGCAACTCCCCAACTCTGCCCATCCGTCGGATCTGCACAATTCGCTTTCCCAGGGTCATGCTGAAAGATAAGGTACTCCGTCTTTCAGATTGAACAAACGAACCAACTGACCAAATCCTAGACCAATTGACCTCAGACAACAAATATTCCTAGATCTCAAAAACGAAAATCCCCGAACTAGCAAGCTGCAACCCTTCAGTAATGGAGACCATTCAGCAGCCATATCTACAATCTCTCGGCCCCAGAGGCTACGTCCAAGGATATACCATCTCATCCAAAGCCCCTAGCACGCCACTTTGTCGCTATTTTGGCGGTCTCCGATATGCTCTGCCTCCGTCAAAACGCTGGCGGAAAGCTCAAAAGTTGCCCCCCAGATATAGTTACGGCACTAGGGACAGTCCCTTTCTTTGTCCAGGCGCTACGAACAGTTGTCCGCAAGCGATGCTCTTTGGCCTTCCAAGCACAGAAGCTGCGGATGAGGATTGCTTTCAGTGTAACGTCTGGGTTCCGTATGGGGAGCCTCCGGCAAACGGTATGTTAGCAATATTAACATATTTTATGAATCGAAAATCATACTGAGCCTTTCTCACAGGGTGGCCCGTTCTCATCTTCATCCGTACGTATATTTTCTATACAGGTATATGCGGATACTGATGCTCGGTAGACGGCGGGTTCTTGCAATTTGGCACGCCGAACTCCTTCTCAGCTGCAGCTCTTCTAGGTGAGACGGACTTCAACGCCATAATTGTCATGCCAGCCTACCGTTTAAATGTAATCGGCTTTCTCTATTCTTCAGAACTAGAGCAAGACGCCGCCTCCGTGGGTGAAACTGTCGGAAACCACGGCTTCTGGGACCAGCGCATGGCCCTGGAATGGATCAAGGAGAACATTGGCTTATTCGGCGGCAACGGCTCTCAAATCACCCTAGCCGGCTACTCTGCAGGTAAATATTTAACAAGTCTAAGCTCAATCCACCTTAAACGGTGCTAACATTGATCAACCAACCAGGCGCATACTCCGTCTGCTACCAACTAACCTACGACCTAACCCTCCCAGAGACCGAGTCCATCATCAAGCGAGCCTGCATCTGGTCTAACTCCTTCACCGTACAGCCCAAAAACCCAGCACTGGCCCAATCCCAATTCAACCAGCTGCTCTCTGCCCTCAACATCCCCATCTCACTACCAGCATCCGAAAAGCTCTCCCGCCTCCGCTCAACCCCTTCCTCAACCCTCATCTCCGCCGCAGCAAGCATAGACCTGCATGAGTTCCGCCCCACAACAGACAACGCCTTCATCCCAAACAACCTCTTCCACTCCCTCGACAACGGCACCTTCGCCAGAACCCTAGTCACCCGCAACATCCACATTATCACCGGTGAGTGCCGCGACGAACACTTCCTGTACGGGACATACCGCCGCCCCGAAAAGAATACCCTTGGCTCGCTCCGCGCTCGGCTCCTAGCGGATTACCCACGGCCCATCGTAGACGCCCTCATGAAGGTATACTACCCCAACGGCAAACTGCCGGCGGGCTGTACCGACTGGACATCCGACGCCTTCGGGCGAATTTACGCGGACATGCAGATCCACCACATGCAGCGCGGGTTCATCTACGCGCTGACGAACCCCATCACCAACGACACTAGTCTCGGCGCAAAAGTCTCAAAGCTCATCCACCGCTACCGCATGGAGTACCGTCTGAAATGTGCGGATGTCTCTGCCCCGCCTGAATGGGGGGTTACCCATGCTACGGATCAGTATATCTGGTTCTGGGGGAATGGGCAGGTCGTTCTTCCGGAGGAGAAGGAGATTATCAAGGATGCGGTCATTGGTCCGTTTATAAGGTTTGTGCATGGGGAGCAGGAGCTAGGATGGGGGACGAATGAACATAGGGAGATGAGGACGTTGAGGCCGGATGGGCGAGTGGAGATTTGGTGGGATGGGTTATGGGATGAAGCGGTTCGGACGTGGAGAGCGTTGAGGGAGATTGCGGAGTTTGGAGAAGGAAACGGAGGGGCTAGGCTTTAGCACCTCGTTCAATTAGATTAGATAGAATAGTACATAGATTCTAGAGAACGATCTATGTCAATCACATACTCAGAGAATCAAGCAAATAGGTTAACCAGTCAAAGATCACTTAGCAGTTAGTCCACAAGTTCGTTAATAACTTGAACTATGTATGTTGATCATCAAATCATAATAAAGCTAACAGACAAGAAACACGCAGCTAGTAAAAGAAACCCTAAAATTCCAGAGCCATAGACTGAGTCCGCAGCTAGTAGCTCTCTCTAACCAACACCAAAGTATCCGGACACCCTTGCCCTAAAACCCCCGTTCATATGAATTCAGTCACTTTTTGAATCAAGCCTTGGTAATCTTGCAGATGAGATCCTGCCCATCAACAGAGTCGCCCTCCTTGACACCCAATCCAGACACCTTTCCGCTGTGCGGGGCGGAGATGACCATTTCCTAGTGTATCGTTAGCATAGCACTGAGTTTTATGTGATGAGTAGGGACATGAACATACCATCTTCATGGCGCTGAGAACAGCAATGGGGTCACCCTTCTTGACCTCGGAGCCCTCGTGGACACGGATCTCAACAACAACACCGCTCATAGGAGCACCAACTTGGCTGCTGTCGCTGGAATCAGCCTTGGGGCGGGCAATGTTCTCGACGGACGCCTTCTTGTCATCGACGGAGACCTGGCGGACCTCTCCATTGACCTCGTAGAAGACCTCACGCTGGCCAGTCTGGTCGGAAAGAGGACCGATGGCGAGCAACTTGAGGATAAGGACCTTACCCTTCTCAAGCTCGACGTGGAACTCCTCGCCAATCTCTGGCTTGGCCAGGAAGAAGCGAGTTGGAAGGACGGACAGGTCACCGTACTTCTGGACGAACTTCTTGTAGTCCTCGAAGACCTTGGGGTACATGGCGTAACTGGCTATGTCATATTCGGTGACAGCGCCGAACTTCTCACGGATGTCGTTCTTGATCTTCACTAGGTCAAGCGGCTCAAGGAAGAGACCGGGGCGCTTGTCGAGCTTGCGGCGCTCACGGAGAGCCTTGGAGCGCAGAGGCTCAGGGAATCCACCGTAAGGCTGGCCCATAAGACCTTCGAGGAACTCAAGAACGGAACCAGGGAAGTCCAGCTCGCCCGCGCGATTAATGACATCCTCAGGGGTCAGCTTGTTGGACACAATGAATTGAGCCAGATCGCCAACGACCTTAGAGGTGGGAGTGACTTTGACGATATCGCCAAGCAGGTCGTTAGCAACCTCGTAAGCCTTCTTGGTCTCGGCCCACTGCTGGCCCAAGCCGAGCTGACTAGCCTGGAAGATGAGGTTGGTCAGTTGACCACCAGGAATTTCGTGCTCGTAAACTTCGGGATCAGGACCGGTGAGACCCGCCTCGAAGGGCGAGTAGAGCAGGCGCAGCTGAGCCCAGTAGGTGTCGAGAGCCCGGACTTGAGCACTATCAAGACCAGGGTCCTGCTCAGTACCCTCAAGAGAGGCAAGGATGGCACCAATGCTGGGCTGAGAGGTCATGCCGGACAAACTGTCAGTGGCTGCATCGACGGCATCGGCACCAGCCTGAGCACAGGCAATCATGGAAGCCACACCAGTACCGGCAGAGTCGTGGGTGTGGACATGAATGGGGAGGTCGGGGTAGCGCTCGCGGATACCACCGATAAGAAGGCGAGCAGCCTGGGGCTTCAGCACACCAGCCATGTCCTTGATACCGAGGACGTGGGGCTTGAGGGCGACGATCTTGTCAACCAGGTTGAGGTAGTATTCGAGGTTGTACTTCTTGGACGGGTTCAACATGTCACCGCTGTAACAGACGGTGGCTTCGACAACACCGCCAGCGGCGTGAACAGCCTTGATACCTACCTCAAGCTGGTCGATGTCGTTAAGGGCATCGAAGATACGGAAGATGTCGACACCGCACCTCTTGGCCTGCTTACAGAAGTGGTAGATGGCGTTGTCAGGGAGAGAGGAATAGGCCACGCCGTTGGCACCACGGAGCAGCATCTGGAAGGGGATGTTGGGAACAGCCTTGCGCAGCTTACGCAGACGGTCCCAGGGGTCCTCGTAGAGGAAACGCATGGCGACGTCGAAAGTGGCGCCACCCCAGCACTCCAGACTGTAAGCATTGGAGAGAGCATGGCTGGTCTCGTGGGCGATGTTCAGCAGGTCGATGGTACGGACACGGGTAGCGAGCAAAGACTGGTGGGCATCACGCCAGGTGGTGTCCATGATCAAGCAACCCTTGTTGGCACGGACCGCCTTGGCCCAAGCCTCAGGACCCTGCTGGTCAAGGATCTGCTTCCAGCCCTTGGTAGCGGGGGATGAGACGTCGATGGGCTTGCCAGCGGCATCATGGAGAGTGGGCTTAATGATATCAGTCTTGAGCTTAGGCTCACCGATCTGACCCTTGATGCTGCTGCCGTTGACAGCGACATCACCCAGGTAAGCAAGCAGCTTCTGAGCACGGTTCTGACTGCCAACCAAGGCAAACAGTTCAGGGGTATCATCAATGAAAGTGGTCCAGCAAGTGCCGTCAATGAAGGTAGGGTGGCTGAGCAAGGAGGTCAAGAAAGGAATGTTGGTCTTGACTCCGCGAATGCGGAACTCGACCAGGGCACGCACGACCTTGCGGCGCGCAATCTCGTAAGTTGAACCACGGCAAGTACACTTGACCAGCATGGAGTCGTAGTGGGGAGTGATGATGGCACCAGCAAAGCCGTTACCACCGTCAAGACGGACACCGTTACCACCAGCAGAACGGTACACTTCGATCTTACCGGTGTCGGGGGAGAAGCCCTTGGACGGGTCTTCGGTAGTGATGCGGCACTGGATAGCAAAACCGCGGGTGGAGATGCGGTCCTGGGTCAGGCCGAGCTGCTCAAGAGTAGCACCAGCGGCGATCTGGATCTGGGCAGCGACGATATCAATGCCGGTGATTTCTTCGGTAATGGTGTGCTCGACCTGGATACGGGGGTTGATCTCAATAAAGTAGTAGCGGTTCTGCTGGTCGACCAAGAACTCGGCGGTACCGGCGTTGCGGTAGTTGACAGATTTGGCCAGCTTGACGGCATCCGCAAGAATGCTGTCACGGACGTTCTGGGGGAGATCTTTTGCGGGGGCGATTTCAACGACCTTCTGGTGACGACGCTGGACAGAGCAGTCACGCTCGAAAAGGTGGACGACGTTGCCGTGGTTGTCACCCAACAGCTGGACCTCAATGTGCTTGGGCTTGTCAAGGAAACGCTCGACGAAGACTGTGCCGTTGCCAAAGGCTGAGCGAGCTTCCGAAGTAGCACGCTCGAAAGAGTCACGCAGATCAGCCTGGTTGCGGACAACACGCATACCACGACCACCACCACCAAAGGCAGCCTTGATAATGATGGGGAAGCCGTAGGTGTCAGTGAAGGCCTTGACTTCTTCGTAACGCTCGACGGGGCCCTCGGTACCGGGAACCACGGGAACATTGGCCTTGATGGCAAGTCGGCGGGCAGAGACCTTGTCACCCAGTCCCTCAATGGTCTCGGGAGTGGGACCGACAAAGACCATGCCCGCTTGCTCGACCTTCCGAGCAAACTCGGCGTTCTCTGACAGGAAACCATAGCCAGGGTGGATCAGGTGTACCCCGTGTTCCAGGGCGATCTTGACAATCTCGTCGATGGCGAGGTAAGCACCAACAGGGGTATATTGGCCACGCTTTCCAATCATGTAGGCCTCATCAGCCTTCTGACGGTGCATGGAAAGTCGGTCCTCATGTGAGAAGATGGCAACGGTCTGAAGTGACAGCTCGTGGGCTGTTCGAAAGATACGAATAGGAATCTCACCACGGTTGGCGACGAGGATCTTCTGGAACTGCATAATGGCCGAGTTGGCCCGCAGACGGTGGTGAACCGAATCCCGGTGATGAGGAGCATGATGGTTGTCGACGAACTCGGTATCGTCAATGGCCTCCTCGGGCTGGTTGTGTGGTACAATGGAAGCCATGATGGGTGATGGGGTGAGGTGAGGAGAAGAGAGGGCGGAGGGCGGGGTGAGGGGAAGAGAAGAGAAGAGCCCGGAAAGGGAGCAATCAAGATTGACAGGGGAGTAAAAGTGATCTAATGGTTCTGGGGGAGATCAGGGTAGCTAGTGGTCTTCAATAAATACGGAGCATTAGTTGAAGAAGCCAGAAAAAAAGCAGGAATGAGTCACCTTGGGGGAGAGGAGCTTCCCGGCGGAGAAGACGGGGATGGGCGCTATATGGCGGAGAGCAAGAAAAAGGCCCGGTTGCGGACCGGAAAAGAGAGGAAGCAGCGGGATGATCAATTGGAAGATGCAAGACAGGGGGTGGGATGAAGAGGAGAAGACGGAAGGGATAAAGCTGGAGAGAGAGGTGGATGGTTGAAGAAAGCTGGACCTCGAGGCGAGGCAAGGGCGTAGTATACGTAGGTTTGCAGGTGACGATGACGAAGGAGGGGCAGCCAGCGATCACTGATAGTCAGATCTAGCAAGTCTTTCCTCCTGTATATATCTAAATCTTGGTAGCTGCTCACCGGCACACCGGGCAGCTCTTGAAGAGTAGTCGTTTCTTTTTCTCCATGGTCCGGCGTGTTCTCCTCCGCCATGAGCTCATGATCACTCAACGTCTATCTCCTCCGCAATTCAGTCTCCTCCCTCCCATGTGTTTTTGTCCTCGACAGCCTACAATAACCGAGCCTTCGGGTGCTTCAGGAACTTCAGCTGTCTTGCACGTCTATCTACCTCGGGCCCTCGGGCTAATACTCCCCATATTCTATCCCCAGGCGAATAACATCATGTAAATGATGGGTAGTAGCTGCTGCGTCCCGAAGAGGAAACGGATGGGTCTCCCGGCCACTCAAAAGGCCGGAGTAGGAGTGCTATGCTCCGGGCCTCGGTCCTTCCATTGCGCTGCCCCAGTTTTGATTGAGTCGCACTAAAAAAGATCCACGATGCGTCCAGCCTGGTTCGTGCCGCATGAACAGGTCTCGTGATCCTGTCCCTTGCTCTGCTTCGTCCTCCCGTATCCACATCTTCTATCTCCCAAGACGGGACAAGAGTTCCCAACCCTGTCTGGACTGCATCTCCCTTCCCAGATCATCACACCGGAAGCCTCCCAAATATGCTTCACCCACCGTCCATGGATCCCCTACGCCCTCCCCATCCAATAATTTCTTGACCTCCTTGGCCCTCCCTCTTGGCCTCGGTCAAGGCTCGGTGTTTATCTGCGATTCTGTACATCGTGACGATTATTGCAGCGCACATCCCCTTGGCACCGCTCCCAGGTTACGCTTGGTTACTCTTATTGTATGCTCCACGCTCGGCGTTGTACATCAATTCAGGAAATGCTATTAACTACTAGTAATGCGTCCTCAGGCAAGGGGTCCAGAGGTCACAAGACGCAGGGAGGAATCGAGATCGTATCAAAAATAGTGAGATACACATGATGAGAAAAAAAAGAAAAGAAAATTTACCCCTCAAATACAACATCAAGACGCGCTTCTAGAAAGGACGGAACCCCGTAGCCTGCGGCGTTATTCCATTCGCCTGTCCGTAGACGGGAGGTGCTGGCGCTGCTGGACCCTGCGTCAGCATGAGTCTCGATCCGCCCAGAATGGGTGTGTTGTCTTCATCCTTCTTCTGTGTCACCTCCCGCGACTTCCGCTCCTCGTTATCCTTCTTGAGCATCTCAATGGTACGTGTTTGCTCGCAAAGGAAGTTAATCATGAACGGCATGGTGAAGTCCTGAAGACCGTAGCGCCATGAAATCTCCAGGATCACATCGGGACGGATCAGGTCGTAGCAAGCATAGAGCATGCCAACGTAACATTCGCGACTACCAATGTCCACAAACTATCATAAGATTAGCAAAACTGAAAATATAATAAGGGAGTGAGAAAACATACGTAGCGAAGAAGCTCCTCGACCACTTCGGACTTGGCAGAGATAGCCGCCGTCTCAATGGCATCCTTGTAAAGCTTGTCTTGCTTGGATAGTTCGATTGACTTAGCCCAGCGCTTGTTGTTGCGGTAGATGTTCGCCGCGATCTGGCGGAAGAAGATGAGGTCATGCTTCTCCAGGCGTTGGGCAAGCTCCACGGCGTCGAAGTTGTCGTGGTTATCCACTGAGTCGCGGAGGAGCTTGTAGTCCTCCTCCTCAATCAGCAGATCGTTGATCGCATCGTTAACCGCCCGCTTGTTCTGGGACTGGACGTTGAGGAGGAAAGGTTTGATCAGAGGAATGTTGTCCGAAGTCTGGAAGATGCGGACGACACGGTTGACGTCGATACGGGGAGTGAGCACCTGAAGCAGGTCGGTGAGGAGCAGCGGCTGCTCTTGCATGTAGAAGTTGAGGGCACGGTAGTAAATTTCCAGGTTGGCAACCTTGACGATAATGTCCTTGAAGGAGTGGTGTTCCCAGGCATCGGCAGCGCGCTCCATCATCGCGAGAGCAGCATTGTCCCATTCGTCATAGTGGCAGTAAAGGAAAACAAGCTCCGGCCATAGGTTAGCATCCTCGCAGGCCTTGATCATCTTGGGGATGTTGATACGGGACCAGAAGAGCTTGAGATGCTCCATGACACGGTCGGGGTGGTACTTGGAAAGAGCAATGCCTAACTCAGTAAACATTCCCATGTGCGCCCGCTCCAGTCCCAGACCGGCTTCAAGCACAGCAATCAGCTCATCAAAGTACCCATTGCGCTCATACTGTCGAACGAGATCTTGCAACTCCTCCGCGTGGACGATGAGGTTAAGACCACAGATCTGAGCAAGGCGGAACTCCTTCTTGTCAACGCAAGCCTGGTTGACCTGCTTCCACACCTTCACACTGTTGGCCTTGCGGGCACACTCGACGGCCGCTTGGTAGTCTTCAAGGTGTACCAATGTTGTGGCCAACTTAGCCCAGTTAGAGATACTCGTGTAGAAGATCTTGGCCGCCTGATGGTAGCCCTCCTCATAGGCCTTGTCACCGGAAGCCTCTACATTAGCAACGTTGGTCGTTCGTAGGAAGTCCTCAAGCTCTGCGAGCTGATCCAGGCGTGCATAGCAGAAGGCGAGGCCAGTGTCGATGGCGGGCTCGCGCAGTGTCTTACGAGCCATGTTTAAGTACTTGACAAGGTCCTCATCCTTGCCTGCATGCGTGGCAGTCTCAATGACTTCGTTGTAGTTGGATGGGTCGTTGGCATGAATGTAGGACTCAATCGAATCAGAGACACGAAGGCCATCCAGTTGAGCCTTGGCAACCTTGCTCCAGACATCAGGCAGCTCAACGCGCTCAGCGAACTCCTGCGCCCGGTCAATGCTGACGATGTTCTCGACGAGGACATTGACCGCTGAAATGTAGTTATTGACCTTCTTGTAGATCTCGAAAGCCTCTTCGTACAAGCCAACAGAGATACACATTTCGGCGATCTCATCCGGGTTGAATTCGTTAAGCTGATGGATGTAATCCATAAGGCGACCCTTGTCGGCCTTGGCAGCAGTGAGCATCAAGAGGTTCTGCAAGCTGCCGTTGTCGCTGAAAGGCGAGGGCTCGAGAATGATCTTCTCGAGAAGCTCGATCAGGTCACCGGGGAGATCGGCCTCCAAGAAAGCCTTAACGGCGACGGACACCTTGTCGGGCTCAGTGGATTCCGGAACAGCAGTGGCAACAACCTGATCAACAAGAGACCGGCGGTGCATGTTGTTTTCGCTGAGAACGAAAGACCAAATCTCGGGATCCGTTCTCTCAACAAGGTAACGAGCCTGTGCCCTGTACATGGCGTTCTCGTTTGTTATGTTGATGAGGTCCAAGTCGTTCTGACCCTTGCGGTAAGCAATGTAGGCGAGGTTGGGATCACGCTTCTCGCAGTACTTTCCAACAACCAGAGTATCGTACATATCGTTTTCCTTGAGGAACTTCTCTGGGTTGTTGTTGCTGTCAATGTAGATTTTGGCGAGAGCATTGTAGACCGCCTGCTGCTGGTTACCAGTAGCAAGTGTGGCCTCAAGGAAGGGCAGAAGGAGCTTGAGCCTATTGCGGCTCTCGACCTCAGAAACGAGCTCATCAATAGGGATTACAGATGGGTCAACCGTAGTGAGAAGGTTCTTGATGATGCTCTCGTCACAGTCAACGTCGAGTAACCCTCCAACAACAGCAGGGGTGCGCGAAGGGTTGACGCGTTGCACGTAGACCTCGATCGATTTGTATTGCTGGTTCTGGTAAAGGTACAAGACCAAGTCATGGACAAAGTTGAATCGGTCACAGACAGTAATAAGCGGCAACTGTTCGGTCAGACGAGCTTCTTTGAGGAAGTTCTTGACCTTCTCGGGGTTGTAGTAGTTGCTCTCCCGACAAATTCTCTCGACCTCAGAGATCTGGTTCATCGCAGTAGCAGCTTCGATGTACTTGAAATGGACCTCAGGATCCTCGGAGAGGTTGACGATGCTGCCAAGGTAATAGTAGAGACCTTCGGCGGTGCGGTACTTCTCCAAGAGGCTGATCAGACGACTAGGTCCAAGAAGGTCTGAGAACTTCGTAGAGATATGAACAACTGCTTGCAAGTTGTTGCGGATGTTGACCTCCAACATTGTGTCCATGCAGTCGAGAGTCTGTTCAACAGACAGACGACCAATGAAGTTCATCAGCCATTCGATGCTGAGTTGATCTGTGCGGACAATGTTGCGCTTGATGACGGCAGGGTCTTCGGTGTTTTCTAAGGCTCTCTGAATAAGGCCAGCGTTCTCGCAGAGCTGAGAGACACGGGGACGATCATAATGCGTAAAAATCTCATTCCCGAGAATGGCATCAGCCACTTGAGGAGCGTTGACAAGGTTCATCTCCAGTAGACGTGTTTGAAGGTGGCCATGCTCGGGCTTGTTATCCTTAAGAGCATCCAGCAGAAAAGAAGTGGCCTGTTGAACCATGTTCTGGGAGAGGAAAACATCCACAACACGGTCGAGATCAATGAGGGCGCCGGACTCTTCGTTGGCGAGCTGAGTGGCAAACTCAGCCCCCTTCTCCGGGTTCGCGCGAACGATGTGTTGAAGAAGCTGAGTGTAGTCTGGCTGGTATCCGACTTGCTTGGAGTAGGCAAGAATCTTGTCAAATTGACCAGTCTCGGCGAAACCGGCGATGACCTTGTTAGGAACATTGGCCTGAAGGTAAATGCTCAGGGCGAGGTTCATATCATATGGTCGGACAATGTCACCCAGTTCCTCGGAGCCCTCCAGCTTGTTTTCACGCATCCACTTCTCCAGCAAGTGTTTCCGGTTCTGCTGGAGAACAGGGCGGGAAAGTTCGATGCTTTCGTATTTGTTGAGCGTTCCCTTATCCAGCAACATACTGAAGTACTGCAAGATGACAGACATTTGGCCGGTTTGCGGGGCATTCTTGAACTTGTTAATGGTCTCCGGCGTCCTCAGGAACCCTCTAGGGGAGTTTGCGGCGGTTTTGGCGGCTTCGGAGTAGTTGCCTTGGGCGAGCAAATTGTCAAATTGCTGCTGGTAGAGGTGATCGGCACCGGGAAGTCCTGCCTTGGAGGCCAGCTTGACAGCAAGACCGGACATGGCCGGGTTTTCCATCAAGTACTGAATCACGTTGTCCTCGTCGACGCTGACAGATAGGACTTGGCCCTTGCGGTTGACGCCGATGAGACCGGCGGAGTCGGAATCAGGAGCAGTGGTAAATATCGTCTCGCTAGATATCCGGTTCATGTAGATGCAGGTACCAGTCTCCAGGTCATAAAGGTGGATGAAACCGTATTTAGTGACCATGTAAACGATGTCGTACTTGCGAGATACCTGCATGGCAACCGGAAAGTCGCTGCCCGCCTCCTGAGGGAAGTATACGTCCACGGCCTTCTTCTGGAATCTGGGGTTCGGCTCCTGGTGATCGATTTCAGCGATCTGCAACTTGGCACCAGTCTGTGTCCGCACGGCGAAACTGAAGAGCTTGTGCTCCAGTGGCGAACCCTCAACTCGAATTGAAGCGAAAGAGGCCGCATGTCCTTCAATGAATTGTGAGATCCCGCGTTCTCTGGAGTATAGCTGCATCGAGCCAACAACACGGCCCTGCTGCGAACTGATTCCGACAACGACCATCCACTTTTCCTCATCATTTACACGGTAGTTGATGATTTGGCAACCCTGAGTAAGATATTGTTAGCCCTTGAACCTCACACTTTCGCAATTGGCAATCGTGAGAGTACGTACGTTGAGGTTCGGAAGCCTGTCAAAGACCTTTATTGGCTGAGACTGGGTGGGATCAAAGACATCCCAGTGGTAGACCGAGTTTTCCGTCACCAAACCCAGACTCTTTTCGCTGAACCACTTCCAGTAAACAACATCTTCGTTCATGGCCGCAGACTTGAGCTTTTGCTTGGCTGAGAGGTCGAAGATCTGAATTGTTCGGCCCTGCGCCTTGAGAGCGATAATGTTCCTGGACCAGTGCATAATCGCACTGTCCGCGTTGATGGGTCGTTTAATGACTTCATTGTTGTTCTTCAAGTCAATGATGATAACCTGGGGTTTATCTTCGTCATTGAGTTTTTGGCGGACGCAGACGAAGTGATCCGATTCTAGAGTCTGTATGACGTATGGAGGTTAGCTATCGGGACAAAAGATACCAGGATAGGACAAGTGCAATTCAGATTAGACTTACACACGTGTTGAAACCAATCGAAGCCGGCTATTGGCACTTGATGTTAGCAGGTATACCGGCAGGAGGCGCGGCGGAGTTGGACAATAGCGTCGACGGCACGGGGCGGAGGCCACGGAGCTAGATCGCAAGAGCACATACCGCGATTTCAGCATTCGTCAACTGCAGGAAAGAAAACAGACGTTAGCATCCCGGACTCCTCCACAGAGAAAGCTATCGGAGAAAAGGGGGCTCACATTAATGAGCTCCGTGAATTTAATGGGAAGAGGAGCCATATTTACAAGGGCCGCAGGACGACCTAACCACCCGAAACGCCGCGCAAATCAATCGACTGAAATACAAAGAAGGGAGATGTATGTAGAAGAACAGATTGAGAATTGGCAAAGAAAAGGTAAGAAGGGGGGAGGAGGAAGAAGGTGGTGGAGAATTGAGGAACGGAGATGGGAGGTGTTGACACTGGGGAAGCCGAAGTGACCTCAGGAGGTTGCTGAGGTGTCGCTTACCCGCCGTCACGTGCACGTGCAATGCCTGAGCTAGTTTCAGCTCCAGTGAAGCAAACGGTGACTGATAAAGTCAAATAATCTGAGTTTCAATCCAGTTATAATCAAGAAACCTGGTGAGCGAGTTGTCAATTCTATTTTGTGATAGCTATGGTGGGATTTGAGGTCAGATGGTGAAGTTGGGTTCTAGAGCCAAGAACTATACCCAGCTCTCCCTAATTACCACCAAAGACCAGCTGAGGGTGCGAACTGGGGGTGCAAACTGGGGGTGCGAACAGGTTATGTCCTGTGCTTCTGGCAGTTCATTGAGGAAGAGAGTGTGTGTCTCTGTATGTATGTAAGCGCTGGGCTCAAGCCAGCTTTGCGGAGCAGTTATGTGCTTGAAGTGAACTAAATATATACTGGCGGATCACTTAGGAAAATTATTTTGCTTCTTCGCGAACTAGTGGGCGACGAGCTTTGAAGGTTATAGATTTGGTCTTAATCCAGGATATTGACTTGCCTCCATACAAGATGCTTGGAGATACTAGCAGGTGTTCTTCTCAAGTGTCTCCGCAACCTAGGCTCCAGTAGATCATGAGTGACATCTGCCGTTAAGCAAGGGGCGCTCCACACCTAGAGAGCTTTCCGAACCAAGATATCAGAAACAGCTCTGATTTAAAAAGCTTCCTAAGACTAAGATCTCTCTGTATTCTATCTGAGCCTCTCCTCAAGATTCACCTTAGAAGTCTGATTCTCTACCACAGCTGTGGTCACGTTCGTCTTATTACAAGATCTGGAAGAGATCACATACTGACCCTAGCGGCCGAACATCTGCTTTAATTATCTCAATTACCTAGTGTATGGGGTAGGCTTCATTTACATCACTGTATACAACATCTCACAGGCCAAATTAGACAGTAATTGATAGCATCAATTCTCATTTTGCGATCCTTAAGCAATCGAAACAATAAAGTCGTTACAAACATGTCATATAACAGGCAGGGCAATTGAATCCATGGGTATTCTTTTTCTGTACGTAGGCTACCTTGCTACTGCCTTCTACAAGGGAAGGCTCATCCAAGTTCTGAAAGTCTAGTGGTGGAAGAGACGAGTGCCCTGCTCGACGAAGATCATGCCGAGCTTCTCCGCGGTCTCGAAGACGGGAGTGTCGTTCTGGCTACCGCTGGGAGCAGCAATGTACTTGACACCAGAGCGGGCGGCGCGGAAAACGTTGTCGATGAAGGGGAACTATGAAGCGAGAGGTTAGTTGGAGATCATGGTGGTACGGTTGGTGCACTTACGAAAGCGTCCGAGGAGACGGTAACCTCGCCCAGCTCCTTGAGCCAGGATTCGCGCTCTTCCTGTGTGAATGACGCGGGGACCTCCTCAAAAACGCGCTCGTACTCGGCCTGCTCGATCTCGTTACGAGGGGTCTGGCCTGAGCACAGCAGGTCAATGGCGTTGCTCTTGTCAGCACGCTTGGTGCCGGCCTTCCACTTGATGTTCAGGACACGCTCGTGGAAACGCATCCACCAGTTGTCAGTCTTGTCACCAGCAAGACGTGTGCAGTGGATACGGCTCTGCTGACCAGCGCCCAGACCGACAACCTGACCGTTCAGGGCGTAGCAGACCGAGTTTGACTGGGTGTATTTGAGGGCAATGGTGGCAACGGTAAGATCTCTCAGAGCGGACTCGGGAAGAGACTTGAGATCCTTGGGAACGATGATGTTGTTGAAGGTCTTGGAGGGAGAAATGGTAATATCGTTGCGGTGCTGGTTAAGTTGAACACCGTAGACGGTACGGCTTTCCTCGCCAGCAGGAACGTAGGAGTCGTCCATCTGAAGGACAAGGTACTTGCCACCCTTCTTCTTGGACAGAATCTCGAGGGCCTCCTTCTCATACCCTGGGGCAACGACACCGTCAGAGACCTCGCGGGAGATGATCTTAGCGGTGGTAACGTCAACAACGTCGCTGAGAGCGAGGACATCGCCAAAGCTGGACATGCGGTCGGCACCGCGAGCACGAGCATAAGCCTGGGCCAAGCCGGAGGACTCAATACCAGCAATATCGTCGACCATGTAGACCTTGCGCTCCTTCTCGTTAAGGGGGACACCTACAGCGGCGCCAGCCGGGGAGACGTGCTTGAAACTGGCAGCAGCCGGCAGTCCGAGAGCCTGCTTGAGCTCCTTGACAAGAGCCCACGCGTTGAGAGCATCCAGAAGGTTGACGTATCCAGGGGAGCCGTTGAGAGCCTTGAAAGGTAGCTTGCCCTGAGGCATGCAAGCAGAGGCAGGCTTCTGGTGAGGGTTGGTTCCGTAGCGGAGAGAGAGGTGCTGCTCGCCGTTACCAGCATATTGCTTGCGGAAGAAGCCAGAGATGGCGGTATCGTAGTCCGCAGTGTGTTCGAAAGCCTTGAGGGCATAGGATCGGCGGCTGGTCTCAGTAATCTCACCAGCCTCGAGCTCTTTAAGGAACTCAGGGTAATCCTGGGGATCTGAGAGAATGGTAACGCGTGAGTGGTTCTTAGCGGCAGCACGGAGCAGAGTCACACCGCCGATATCAATCTCCTCCACAGCTTCTTCGATGGTGACGTTGACCTTGTTAACGGTCTCCTTGAAGGGGTACAGGTTGCAGACAACGAAGTCGACCTTGGCGATGTTCTGGTCGGCCAGATCTTTCTCGTCGGACTCAATATCACGGGCAAGAATACCGCCGTGGACGGCAGGGTGGAGGGTCTTCACACGACCACCGAGCATCTCAGGCGCGTGGGTGATAGCTGAAACATCTCTGGTGTCTGTCTGTCAGCCGCCGGCAACTGCACAAGCCCATCGATATATCCTCCACCGTGTCGACAACCCCATGGCGGAGAATCATGAAAGCCGGTAAATGAGAACGCACTCAACTGGGAATCCCGCCTCCCGAATCATCCTCGCGGTACCACCGGAGGCGAGCAGGCGGACATTGTGCTTGGCGAGGCCCTTTGCCAGGTCAAGAAGACCGGTCTTGTCGTAGACAGAGAGAATAGCTAGAGAAGGGCATTCGAGTCAGCCAGAGTCTTCATGACACACCAGAGAAGCCAGGGAAATGTGAACTGTGGGGACACAGTTTGACCCAGGTCTATACTTGGCAGAGAGCTGGGGAAGTTCCAGAATGCAGATTGGGGAAATTTAGGCCGGAGGCAGAGATGAGTATCCTCAATGACTTACCTGACTTTTTTTGAGACATCTTGAGATATTGACAACGGATTTCTGAATGCCAGAGGAAGAAAAGAAGTCAGACCCAGGGCCGATCAAGGAAAAAGGAAAGGTAAAAAAGATCGGACAGTCAGGAGCTCCCCACTATGATCTACCCCTCAATTGTACAATTTTTCGATGACAAGCCCTTGACAAGGAGGAATTGAACAGAATGATTGCTTAGATTGACTAAATTTGAAGTATATAAGCTCCAATCAATTCTTTTCACACTCCTTACCGTACGAATTGGCCCATTCTCCCTCGTTCTTCCATGCGCGGGGCAGGCCGCTTTCGGAGTCCTCCCACATCTTTTCTGACCGCTAAATGAATCGGATAGCACCCTATATTAAGCGACTGATTGAGATAACACCTTGAAATAGCGCCGTTCTGGACTCGTCACACAACTTGCCTAGTAATTTATTAGTAAACTTGTTCTCCACTGCCACCCCCCGACTGAACGAAATAGCACCCTTGATCATACTAGCACCCTCGATCATACTAACTAAACCGCGTATTTTGAAGCTATTCCGAACTTTTAAAAGTTGAATTTACATTAATACAATGGAGGAATCTCATTGGTTAATTCAAAAAGGGGTAATTATTCGTTTTAGACTTTGCGCCGCAGAGGCCTTGTACGCCTGCCAGTTCCTTCCTAACACGGCCAAAATTGAAGCTATTTAGAGCGGAGATTGTAGCGGTCGTAGCGGGAGCTGCAGTGGATGTTGCGGAGGCCTCGTACGCCCGCCAGCTCGATCCTAAAACGGAAATTGAGGCTATTCAGAGCGCGTTCTGGCAACTTAGTGACTGCGAAGAGATCTCAGGGTGAAGGCCTTGGTGGTGAGGAAATAACGTTGGCCGCCGCCAATTCCTATTGGCTACAGGGCGTTCTTGGCGGGGCCGCCTTTACTAGCTGAGACGCGGCGCTATACTATATTAGGCTTAATTTCGTACGGGTGTTATCTCATTCAGTCGCTTAGTATAGGGTGCTATCCGATTCATTTAGCGCTTTTCTGACATGCATGCTCTACATAACAGGCTGACTAACAGATATTCCCAGTGCACTTACTCGCCAGCAGGCAAAGCTAGCACGTGATGGTAGTACGCACAGACCACCACAGCACATACAAAACCGCGCGCACGAAATTTGCGCCGTTCTCTTTTTTCTTTTCTTCTACATGAACAACGCAAATTTCACATTCTTCAAAAAGCGTTCCTACAAAGGAAACTATCTTCAGGATAGGGACCTATGAAGTACGGAAATCGTCATACAGAATGGAGACAGACTGCAAAGCAGAGTATCGATCTTGGGTGCAGTGTCTGCCAGGCCATCCGGCTCTATGGGAGGGACTGCAATGATTGGTTCTACACCCTTCTTTCAGGAAGAAGACCTTATGATTGCTTCGTAGCGTAATACACTGGCTTATGAAAATTCACTAGCTTGACGAGACTTCTAATCTCGTTCGGAGTGGACGTATGCTGTTCGTATCTTGCTTTCAATTCTCGGGACTGGGGTTATGAAGACATACAACACGCGCGCAGAACATCTGACATTAATAAGAGAAGAGACCTTCAGATCATGAAACTTATTTTGGTTTCTGATAGAAAAGAGACCTTGAAGTATTCGGCCGAGAATACATTCACGACTTCAAGGTTTCGCGACGAGACCCGGCGAGCTGTCTGCCGATGTTTCCAAAGCATACACACGCGCAGAATAGAACGCTCGCAACCCACGTCCGGACCGCCATGCTCTCCTGTGTGAGCCCCGATACCAGGGTAGCCTCCGCACCGGTACCGTTGAGGGCAGGGATGGTTGATGCGGAAGACTCATTTGCTGGAATCAAGTCAGGCTTCAGGCCTAGCAACAGACCCATTCCGCCGATGGCCAAGGTCGTGGACAGAATGAAGCCAGTCTTGGTGCGGTCGATAAGGTACCACAAGACAGGGTTGACAAGGGCCAGTGTAAGAGATGCTTGGGTTGTGGACTCCCATGGTGTGCGACGCTGTAGGAAGCAGATACGTATGTTAGCTAGTGTTTCTGGAAACAGTTGACATGGGAGGGATTTTACCATGGCGAATGCAATCCCCACAAAAGCTCCGACACTGCGAACTACCGCAGACCATGAGAGAGCAAGCTCCGCGGAATCATTGCCCGACTGCTTCCCCTCTGCAACAGCCCCGTCTAGATACGAATCCAGCCAAGGAAGCACATTCCCAATGGCGACTCCGGTTAAGCCCCAGAATCCCAAATATTCCCATGAGCCATAGAAATGAGTGTATTCCAGCTTAACCGGTGTGATCCAGTGGTTTTCGTGTAGATGAATGGTGATGATGCCGTATACGACACCAAAGGCGAAGAGCAGCGCGCTCCTGATTGTCTGCGGTAGGATAACGCCGCGGAACAGGCCGTGACTGAGACGCGACCTGGTGCGGAGGACAGCAGCAGACTCTGTTCTGTTCCTAGCCAGCGTGGGCGGAACTTTTGGGCCATTCGGGTCTGCTTCTGTTCCCCAGGCACTGTCCTCATCGCGGACACCTTCGAAAGCCGTGGGTGAGTAGATCCCATAAAGAGTGGGCGATGTGAGGTTCATGATAGACTCATTGCGACTGATAGCGGCCGAGCCAGGTTCTTTGGGAGTCAGGGTGCCCGTGTTCGAGGGCTCTGCGGGAGTAGACGATCCGGAGGAGTCGTTGACGCGGAACACACGCTGCGGACGAGGACGAAGAACGCGGGCTTCGTCGTCGGACATGATGGACGTGTTTGTGCGATGGCAATATACCATACACTGGAAAAGGAGTTTCGTGGCTAAATAGCAGAGAAGCAAAAGGGTAGAGATCGAAAGCGAGAGCGGAGAGTTGTTAAGGTTGAAGTTCCCTATCGGCGGCGGACGGCGAGCTTAATAACAGACTGTGGGAGAGGCAAACAACAAGTTGACTCAACCATAAATAGCAGTCCCAATAATTCACAGGGATTGTTGCAGCAGTAGCCTGAAGAGGAGAAGAGGAGAGGAGGAGAAATATGTCGCTAGTGTGGAGCACTGAGCACTGGCCCATGCAAGAGAAGCTGGGGAGGGCACGGTTTATCAATTGACTGCGGTCTGCCAACAACAGTGGTACGAATGTAGGCAGACACCTAGGAGAAGTTCCTGGTACAGGTAGTAAATGCGTTCCTGGCTAGACAAGCGAATGACCATTGAGAAAAGCTTGATTACTGGATACAACAAACAGCATAAGGCATTATTTGTTGAGCGTCTCAGTAGATCTCTTCACGTTCAACAAAGTCTAGGTCATGTGCGCCACGCGCCAACGAGCGCCAACGAGTCATCTTCACAGTTTCACTAAACTCAGCTTGCATCTTGTCGATCACTACTCCAATCTTCGGCCGCAGCCTGCCGGACGTCATGAGGCTGGTGCTGAAGTGCTGAATGTTTACTCTTCTGGATATACTCCGGCAAGCCACCCTTTGTCACTAGGCAGTAGGCACTTGATAGGTTTGCGTTTTTCTTTTCCGCCGTGTTGCTTAGCCCCGTGATTCTAATCTGGACGAGGCGCAGGGGTGTATTAATTCTATTGGAATGCGGGACTATGAGTCTAGGAAGCATAAACAGGGTTCCGGTGAAGAAGTAATGGGGATAGAAACATGACCCCGGAGGCAAAGACATCGAATGCTGAAGACAACGAACACACGGGCTTCTAGCTTTTGAGAATACGAGCTTGAAAAGAAAAACCTAGTCCTACACACCATTGGATCCTGTCATGGTTAGGGGAACTCCTCATTTTTGGTGCTCATCCCCATCCCGGTTTGCCGTTTGCGTAGTCGGCCACCGAAACATCGCTTGCTGCATAACGGCCTTCTCCGCCGGGTACGGACAGATTATCGTCAGCCTCACCTTCGATATCCATGTCATCAAGCTCCTCGTCTTCCGCCTCCTCATCATCTTCATCAGATGACAAGGCGTCAACATCGTCAGCGTCCCCACCCAGGAAACTGTCGTCATATCCTAGTTCGGCGGCGCGCGAGACTTGAAGCCTGCGGGACGGCACGTCATCCTCATCGCCACTGCCTTCGCCCAGAAGCTCCCGATCAATGTCATCAAGAGCCCCCTCTCCTTCCGAATCACCAGGTGCCGGGGAGAGGGCATCATCCCGACTCGGTGTGTCCAACAGATGAGAAGTTGCTGCGGCCCCCTTTCCATCGCGTTGATTCCGGCTTCGACTGCCTTTCGAACGGGATGCAGCTGGCTTGGAAGTTGAGGCGTTCGGGGTGGACGCCGCCGCGGCCGCTCGAGCAAGCTTGCGTTTGGCATTGCGCTGGGCCCGGGCTTTGCTCTTGGCCGACAGTTTGCCGTCTAGATCATCGTCAATTTCCATTGCTTCCTCTCTTGCCTTCTGTCGTTCTTCCCGCTCCTTCTTGCGGTCTCTCCTCGGCCCGTTGGCATCCTCATAGTCCCATCGGTCCAGTCGTCTGGCCGCCTTGCGAATGACCGATAAGTAAAAACTCGCACACTCGCCAAAATCCTCTTCTTCCTCCGGATTTGGCAGAAGGCCTCCCTTTCCCCAGGATTTGTCATCATCGGTGTCATAGCCATCAGGTAGATTGTGCAACAAGCGTCCGTAACGGGCAAAGGAGGTCTCAATCATCCTCTCAGCACGGAGCAAGCGGTACGCATCAGCCTTCCGCTTCGCCAAGATGTACTCTATTCGTTGCCGTCGATTTCGCTCGACAGCTAATTGGTGTTGGGTAAGTGGTCGAGGCCGTCGGCTTGAACCTGAGTGATGAGGGGAAGCTTCAGTGACGAAACGATTCAGGACAGGATGGCCTGAGCCTGGAGGTGCCGGGGACGCGGCGTCGGGAGTGCGTTCCGCTTTTGTCCTTAGTACAATGCGCGGTGATGGGCCATCGAGACTGCCGTAGGCGTAGTCTTCGTCCCTAGGCATTTTCACTGTAGACCGAATTGACCCATCAGGGTTGCGGAACTCAATCAGGTCGTCGGAATCTGCCGCCGCTCTGTACGCATCTCCTTTGTTGCCGAATTGACGATAAAGAATTTTGGTGCCTGAACGTATTAGTGCGAGGCTTCTCACGAAGATTGGACGCAGCTTACCGGGCTCCATTTGCTTGTAATATTGGTAATCCCAATAGGGCACTTTAGACGAAGTATTAGTATGGGATTGGTGAAACCGGTGATTTAGTTAGACCTTACTTTTCTTGGGACGCTTGGGCGCTCTGGGAGTCGGCTCCTCTTCCTCCAGAATTCCTCAATAAGATGTCAGCAATGTCGGAGCAGTACATATCTAAGCGGTAGCTTACTTTTACGTTCCAAGCGCTTCTCCTCCCCATATTCGATTTCGGATTGAGTGTCAACATTTTCCTCATTGGCCTGCTCTTCGGTGAGGATATCGAAAGACGGAACTTTGATCGGCAAGCCTCCGGTTCCTTCACCCTCCAAACCAGGACCGAAGGGGTTATTGAGTGCAGCCTCGCGAGAGAAGTCACTCTCCAGATACCACCACATGAGCCACAGAAAGGCCTTTGCCCGAGTTTGACTGCTCAATGTCGACCGCATGACAAGGTCGAAGAAATCCCGGGGTGGAAAGAAATGCATCTCTGACACTTTGGGCGCATACTGCGCGAGGACGAAGATCAGGTTCACCGGGTTGGTACGGGGAATGTTTTCGCGTTTGATCTTATCCAGAGTATTAGGCTGATCCACATCCTCCGATGCACCCTTCAGAATAGACTTGAGGCGGGGAGCATCCTGTAGCTGCTTGTACGCGTTCGGATCCTGATGCGCCTGTAACGAAGGGATTGAGTGGTAGGTTCGCAGCTGAGCACGCATTTCGGGAAAGACTGAAATCAAACGTGGTAAGTAGCGACTTCAGTGATAACGAGGCGGGGCAAGCACGGGACAGAAACGTACAATTGAGGGTTGTATTCATCCGTCCAAAGTTGACCAGCAGACAAACCATGGCCATGCTGATGGCGGCCTGCTTATCGCTTTGGAGCTTGTCCTTGAGAATCTTGCTGGTCTTGCTGCTTCTTGCCATAGCGTCGATGTAGATATCTGCAAAGTCCAGGTTCTTCTCCCCATCGGGCCAACGGGTAAAGACCGGCGTCTTGTCTTCGAAGACAAGCTTGAGAAACTGATACTGGATATCTTTGCGCCACAAAGGAATACCGTCCTCCTTCTTCAAGTGCCTAATTTTGTTGCCAGAGTAGACCGATCCGATTGTCCCGTTCGGTTGGCGCCTTGTGCCGACCGTCATGTTATGAATTTGCTGTTCATCATGGGGTTCGGATTGCGCAAACGAATCGTCCACGCCCGCGCTCTCGACGTCGGCCATTGCGAATTGGAGCTGCAGAGGCCTTGTCTTGTGAAAAATAGAGGCTTCGATACGAGATCAAGGTGACGTGATGCTTTCTAGCGAGGTTTTCGACCACGTGCCCTGTAAGGGCGAAGCGCACTCGGCAAACGGCAGGGTAGAATTCGGGAAGCTATAATGCGGCAGAAGTAACCCAGTTGATGGGCGGATGGGCGTGATGAGAATAGTTGAGGTAAAGGTGAAAGAAAAAGGGAGATCGGGGTAGAGAAATGGGCGGGAGGAGGCGGAAGATGGGATGAAAGGGGTACTCGAGAGTGAAGAGTTGGGAGCCTCGGGGCAGCGCGAGAGCTGGGGTTGACGCTGGACCGCGATTATTATTCTAAGCCCATACATACACGCCCCGAATTGTAATGGCGAGCCAGTTTGCGATGTTAATTACCGCTAGTAATCGTCGGTAATGACCCATCTTTCTCAAGCCCTCATCCCGAGATATCCTATAAGATACTACGATTTACTTGAACTCGATGAGCGTCAAACTTTTGGTAAATTGCGACTAGCTCCTTCTCAAGACCCAGTCTCCATAGGCAGGCCGTCTTCGGCATATCGCTACTGACATGCGATGATAGATTCACGCTGCTCAACCACGAATAGTGCCAGCCCTCCACGGATCCGAGTAATGATCATAACAAAAGAGAGATCCCGTTCAATGTCAGCCTCCACAAGACACCTGTAGATTTTGGTGAAAGAGCAAGCCAACGCCAGATATAATGCAAAGAATCCCATCTCTCTATCATCCATCCGTCATGATTTCGCATACCACTGTTTCGTAGACGTAGTGCGCAGAAAGCAGTACCCGGCGAGGAAGAAGGCCTGAGGACTTCTCGTGAGGAAAAACAAAATGAGAATTAGGAGAAAACATAAGGCCCTAGTTCCGTAGAAGTCAAACTTCTGTCCCGCAAGCCTTTCCCTGCGCCAGAAAAGACTCATGTGAAACCGAACATCATAAGCAAGAGACCTAGGTCAGAGAAGGAGGTATGGTTTCAAGAGGACTAAAAAGAAAAACAAAAACACGTGCGTGTGAAGATGAAAAGGCATGAAAACGAACCCCCCTGAGGAACCGAAACTGGCAAAGAGAAGAACTCTATGTTGTAAGACACGGTCGATGCAGTTGCTGTAGCACCAAGCAGAGGAAAATCATAAAATGCACTTCGCTTTACACGAAAAAGTCGGATAGCCTTCTCGGCACACGTCGTCAATCTCCATATGGCCGCCTGAGAACAAAATGGGTATCTGGTAGAAGCGGTCGTAGGAGAAAGTCAACGCAGTCTATGATGTTCATGCAACGCCGACTCGAGAACTTTCGACCATAATGTAGAATGATCGAGAGTCGAACAACGAGCCCAGACCACATCGAAGGCCATGTCTAAAAACAAAATAAAAACGAACATGGAACGAGATTTGAAAATGCGTAGAAAGTAGCAGGTAACACCGCATATTGCTCAAGGGGGATCAACGAGGAAAACGAAATTCTAAATCGAGTCGTCGCAGTCATGACAAAGCCGGTCCTGTGATACGCTACCGGTGTAGCAAGCTCAGGACTTGTTCTGATCGTATCCCGTAGGAGGAAGAAACAAAAAGAAAAGAGGAGCCAATCAGACCCGACAGCTGCGTCAAAGACCACAACCTCTCGTTTACCACCAGGAAGAAGGTCCGGTAGGGCCAGACGGGTTGCCATAACCACCACCGCCGTAACCGCCGCCGTAGCTACCACCACCGCCGCCATAAGAGGGGCCACTGCTGTAACCACCACCACCCCCCCCACCGTATCCGCCAGCGGGAGCGCCAAAGCCACCACCACCGCCATACGAGGGAGCACCACCCATGCCGCCACCACCCATGCGACGCATGTCACGAGTAGCGTTGGCGCCGCGGCCACGGCCACCACGGCCTCCACGACCGCCGTATCCGCTACCTTCACGAGCAATGCTCTCCAAGAAGGAGGGGACTTCCTGGTGAGCTTCCTTCAGAAGATCAATCAGGTCGCGGACGACACCACGGTTGCCACGGTTAAAGAAAGCAGTGGCGATACCGGTGTTACCAGCACGACCGGTACGACCAATGCGGTGGACGTAGTCGTCAATATCGGTGGGAAGATCGTAGTTGATGACGTGGGTGACGTTGGGGATATCGAGACCACGAGCAGCGACAGCGGTAGCAACAAGGATGGGGTACCGGCCAGAACGGAACATCTCGAGGGCACGCTCACGCTCACGCTGGGTACGGTCACCGTGAATGGCGGTAGCGGGGAAGCGCTGGTTGATCAGGAACTCGGACAGGGCATCAGCCATACGCTTAGTCTCAACGAAGATAAGAGTGAGGCCAGTAGTGCCGTGGGTGTGAAGAATATCCAAAAGAACGGAGCGCTTGTCGTGATCCTCGACGTATTCGACCTTCTGTGTGATGTTCTCGGAAGTAGACCCAACACGGCCGACGGACAAGAAAACGTAGTCCTTCAGGAAGTCACGAGCCAACATCTGAATGTCACGGGGGAAGGTAGCCGAGAACATGAGAGTCTGGCGGTCGTTGACATTAGGCATATCCTCGCCCTCGACGATACGACGGATCTGAGGCTCGAAACCCATGTCCAACATGCGGTCAGCTTCGTCAAGAATCAAGTACTTTATGTTGACGAGGGAAATACGGCCGCGCTCGATGAGATCAACAAGACGACCAGGGGTGGCAACGAGGAGGTCGCAGCCACGCTCAATCTGGCGCAGTTGGGAGCCGATATCAGCACCACCATAGACAACGCAAGGGCGGACCCATGAGCGGTAAGCGAACTTGCGAGCCTCGTCAAAAATCTGAGAGACAAGTTCACGAGTAGGAGCCAGAATCAGCGAAGTGGGGTAAGCCTTACGCTGGCGACCGAACTGCCCGGCCGCGGAAGGAGGGGGAGCAGCAGGACCGTTCTGGTAAGCCTGGGACAGAATGGGGAAGAGGAAACCACCTGTCTTTCCGGAACCAGTCTGAGCGCAAGCCATGAGATCACGGCCGTTCATGACAATGGGGATCGAGTACTTCTGGACAGGCGTAGGAGTCTGGTAGCGGGCAAGGGCAATGTTCGAAATGAGGTGGTCGTCCAAAGGAGGGTTGGTGAATGTGTTCACGGGCTCAGGGACATCGTGACCGGAGGCCTCAACGGGGATATCATCGTAGTTTGCAAAGTTGATACCGGTGTTCTGTTTGGTGGGGTCGTTGGGGACACCGAAAAGTTCGCGCTCCAGACGGGCGTTCGCGGGGCCAGGGATATGCTTGCCGTCGCGCCACTGGCCGTCTCCGGATCCTCGGGCTGAGGCACCTGCGTAGCCGCCTCCGCCTCCGTGACCTGGGTTTCCGTAAGCATCTGGGTTGAATGATGGACGGCTGCCTTCAGTGGCAGTCCAGCCGGTGTTGCCGGTATCGGTGTTGGTGTTACCATTGGGACCACGGGGATTGAAATCAGGAGCGTTGGCATTGGCCCAGTTGCCGCCACGGGGACCTCTGTAAAAGCAAAAAAAGTCAGTGGACTGATGGTTCGAGCAAGATCCTAGGGCATTACGAAACCCTAGCATAGCTCAAATGTGACACACGTACCGAGGACCGCCCCACGAGCCACCTGCAGGGCCTGGGGGAGGAGCAGAGGCTCCATCGGCATTGGCACCAACCTGGCGCTGACGGAGGTGTGGGGGGATGTAGGCAGCGCGGCCTCCGCCGGAGGGAGGGCCTCCAGCGGGCGCATGCTGAGAGTCGTTGAGGGTAAGGCTACCCATGTTCAAACCGTCGGCCATTTTTGCGGTATTTCACAGACTGTTCGTGCGAACCGCTGGTAAGCCAAAAAGATCGCGAGAGGCGCAGGAAACGGGATGATGAGAAGAACCACGTACGACGTAAAAGGTCGAAAATGAGCTTGTCAAAAAGTGCGGATCTGCTCTCGCTTCGGACGGGACCAGAACAATCGATTATTTCTCGCGAATTGAGGCAAAAGAGAGCGGTAGAAACCAGAGCGAGGAAGATTCCTGTGATGCTCTATCGAGAATAGAACACAAAGAATCGGATGAAAAGAGAAAGTGTTTTGAAGAGAGAAACAAGGTGATCTCCCGATCTAACCCTCTATTAAGTGCAAAAAGGGAGAAAAAAGGAAATCGGTAAAAGAAAGGGATGATACGTGAGTCGGATTTGAAAAGAAAAAGACTTTTTGATTAGGATGTCTGGAGAAGAAGGGGGTTTAAGGAGGAGGATGGAGAGGGAAGAAGAAAAGAGAGTAAGAAGGTTTGTGGGCGAGGAGAGGAGGCAAGAAAGGCTTAGTCCGCAAGTGTCAGCCAGGCTCGCAGTGTTGCTTCACCAGCGTATTAAATTATTCCCAGTGGAACTACGCATAATAAAAAAAAAGTAATCCAGTGTTACTGTTTGGTTCTTACTCTCTGCTGCTGGATAAAGTTGCCTTCGTGTTCATCCAAGTAGTTACAGCGTGTGGTTCAGAGGATTTTTTTCTTTCTTCTGGGCGTCTCGCCGTCTACCGGTAAAACGAAGGCAAAAAAAGACCAAGTCCACCCAAGTCGAACCCCCAATCAGAACGCCGCCAAACAGTAGCGGGCTGGCCGCAGCGTTTGACCCCAGGGTCTCTCACTTTGGGAGATCTCTTATTATTACTCTTTAGTTTCGAAGTCTTACAGAGGAGAATTAATCCGGCCTGGAAGTAGGGAGTGTCCCTCTATGTCTTGACTAGTAACCATCCAAGTCTAGGGCTTGTTGTACATCGAGTTACTCAGTCGTACTCCGTACTGCCTCTTGGGCTCTGGCCCAACCCAACGCTATGATGCAAGGCCATGCGTGTAACAGGACCAGCCAAGTAACTTTTTGCCCGACAAGATCAAGTTTCTACTCTGGAGTACAAGTATCTACATCATAGATCGAATCTGAATGGATTCGCCCGGCACGCCACTACTCTGTGATCCTAGCGGGCATCATGTGACTACCTTTCGCCACTATACCGTGTATGCGGCGGGGACCATAGGGAGAGAGAATGGTCGGCTTTGATGTCAGACGAACGTGCACGGCGTGCAGCATACAGAGTGTACGAATACGGAGCGTAAGTCCACATTTATTTAATTTAGACAATGTTCTTTTCTTCTTCTTTCCCGTAGTAGCCCTTGATCTTCCTCCTGTTCTTTAACAAGAGCACAGCCACACCAATAACCACGACGAGCATTGCTACTCTTGGGAACATGGAAGAGGAGTGATCAAATGTGGCAGGCGTGTCTGCTACCTGGGTCGTTTCATATGGTTCAGACGGTTGGCTGGTCGGCAAGGCTTTCCATAACAGAACCCATCAGCATTGGGCTTCTATATGGCGGGTACAGAGCCGGGGACGGCTTTATAGCTCGTTGTGGCTACCTTTCTTGTCACCTTCCTCAGCTGCATCGGCCTCGAATTCTAGTTCGCCGCTCTTGACGATCTTGACGTCCTGTAGAGGCTTATCGCTGCGACCCTTGGGGACGTTCTGGATCTTGTCGACAATGTCGTAACCCTCAAGAACCTCGCCAAAAACGACGTGCTTGCCGTCGAGCCAGCTAGGCAGGTGTCAGCATTGATGTCATAAACAATGGAAAGACTCAAAGTAGCTTACGGAGTGACAGCAGTGGTGATGAAGAACTGGGAACCGTTGGTATCCCTGCCGGCGTTGGCCATGCTCAGGAGACCGGTCTTGGTGTGCCTCAGCTTGAAGTTCTCATCCTTGAACTTGGCGCCATAGATTGACTTTCCGCCAGTGCCTTGTTGGAGACTTGTCAATATCATATGTCCGAAATTACTCACTTCGTCGATATAACTTACCATCACCCTTGGTAAAGTCACCGCCCTGAATCATGAAGTCTTTGATCACCCGGTGGAAGTTGGACCCTTCATATCCGAAGCCCTTCTCGCCGGTAGCAAGAGCACTTGGAAGATGCACTGTCAGTATTTGAAGACTTATTGAGCTTAGCCAATTCATAGACCATACCGGAAATTCTCAGCCGTCTATAGACTAATATTAGTGCACGCACATGGGTCGATTCAGGGAGCGATACTTACCTCGGGAACAGTCTTGCCATAGAGGCCTAGGACAATTCGACCTAGGCTTTCATCGCCATGCTGAATGTCGAAGTAGACCTACAGATTGCAGAAGTTAGAAAACCGAACCGACAGGAATAATAGAGGCGTGATCATCCGGGCCAGGAGGGTAATGACTTACCTTGTTGGTAATCTTGGGTCCGCGAGGCTCAGCATTAACAAGAGCCAGGCCAACGGCCAAAACCAAAAAGAAAGATAAGAAAATGTTCTTAAGGTTCACCATTGTCCACGATGTCCCAATCCCTGGAAGATGGTAGTCAGAGGATTCGGTTGGAGATCAGGAGGAGACCAGAGCTTGAATGGCGGAGGACAGCTTGCGTTATCAAGAGACTAGCGGTAATTTATCCTGATAACGTTAATAAAAGGGATACAAAAGGATGGATTTTGCAGCCTGAGGCTGGAGGAGGGCCCGTGCGCTACCAATAACTACGATATGCATACCAGAGATACCGGAAGAACGCTGTTGCGAGTCTCAATTTCTCCCGCACTTAAGCAAAAACACCACTTGAAGTCCATCGAGATAAGACAAAACAGCAGTCAAAATGGTACGTCGGATACCAACCGTTCCTCGTAACCGCCAAAACAGAATACTAATCTCAAGCTAGGTGGTTTTCATCCTAGGCGTGAGCTTCCCCGAGACTCACCTCGTCAAGGCAAGAACCCCGTCATTGAAGCCTCAGCATATGGCGCCCCGGTTGACCGACCTCAAATCTAACCGGTCTTCTTGCTACAGAAATCCCTTCAGAAGTTCTTCGGTGTCGGCCCGCAAGTCTCGTCGCGCATCATGTCCCGCTTCCACATCCACGACACATGCAAGGTCGGTGACCTGGCGAACAAGCAGGTCCTTGACTTGACGGCCGTGCTCTCAGACATGAAGATTGAAAACGATCTCCGAAGGCAGGTCCTCGATAACATCAAGCGCTTGAAGGAGACGGGAACGTACCGCGGTCGACGACATGCGTTGGGGTTGCCGGTTCGAGGACAGAGAACGAGGAACAACGTGAGTTATTTCTACTGCTAATGGGATGGAGCCATGATATACTGATTGATTGCTATAGAACAAAATCCCCATCAGACTCAATCGTATCGACAGGCGACTTTAAATGCATTCGTCTTCTGGTTGTTTTGCTCAGTCCGCTTGAGTCGCTTTGACGGCCCGCTTAGGTTATTATGTGAGGGCATGGCAAGGCGTTGAATGTAAATATTATGTATTTTTTGGTAGTTTGCTTCTAGAAATGGACGGAATGTACGATATGACAGACATTAGTTTTGCACCGTAGGACGAGAGATTAATAAACTTTTGTTCATATGCAGGGCACCCAAGATTATGTATGCAAACTAATTAGACGATAGTACACCCTCGCCGCGGTTGATCTGAATCCGCTTGTCCTCACCAGCACTAACAATGCCCACCTCACGATCCCAGCACACGCTGAAGACTTTGACACCCTCGCCACCCACGCGTTTGCTGTTCGTCTTGCCCTCCTCCTCCAGGCTCTTGCGCGAAATGGAATATACGCTTTCGCCCACGGCTCCGCCTTTGTCGGTTTTCGTAGCACGCAGATCCCAGATACGGCATGTGCCATCATGACTACCACTGATAAGGCCATACGTGCTGTTCGGGTCACGGGCTAAGGAAACCACAGCGTTCGTATGGCCACGGAGTGTCATGGCCGAGATGGTGGCTGCCGAGGCACGTGGATCTATAAGAGTGATATGACGGGCAGATGTTCCTGTGGCGAGAAGGTTATGATCGGGCAGGTGTAGGAGGGAAAGAAGAGAATGGGACGTTGTCCGGGTGTCGACTAAAGCGGCGGTGACAAGATCCCACGTACGCAGCGAATGATCCCAAGATGCCGAATATCCGACTGTGGAGTCGTTCACGTCGAAAATCGCATCGGACACAGGTGCAGTATGGCCAGATAGGAGCGCCAACGAGCCGCGTTGTGAGACGCTCACGGCGGCGTTCAGCTTTCTCCTCTTGGACGTCCTAGATGCAGCTGATGGGAGCAGGTGTTCCGGCGCGGCGGGGGCGTCTGATTTTTTTGTCGACCAGAAACCAACGCTGTGATCTGCTGAAGCGGAGAGGATGCGATTTGAGGATGCGTGTGTGGCTAATGAGTTGATACCTGACTTATGCCCGTAAAGCTCGAGCTGCGGGGCAATGGTTCCTGAAAAGCCATCTTCACTCTCGGAGTACTTCCATAAGCGTACTGTTCGATCGAGACCTGCCGAAACAATTGAGTTTGGAGAGATGAATTTCGCGGCTTTGATAGAGGACGTATGTCCGCCTTCTGTGGGTGACGGAGAGGTTGCGATCACCTGAGAAGACATATTCCAGATCCGTAGAAGACCGTCATAGCTTCCGGACAAAATTCGTTCTTGGCCACGGGCTATAGATCCTGCTGAAGCGGGAGACGAAGCGGAAAGCACATCGACTGAGCTTACCCAGTCGTCATGCTCAAAGGAGGCAATATGCAAAGGCGGTATTAGGGCGCGGACGTATTCAATCTCCAACGTGGTTTCTGCTGATATTCCGTTTGCCGTGAGATATTCATCGATCGATGATCGGAGAAAGGATCCGTTGATAAGGAATTCGAATGGGACCGGCTTATCATTGCTCAAAAGATTGTTCACCAGTGTCGAAAGTGCATATCGCTTCAACCCTGCAGAGTCGATATTTAGTATGTTGCTCAATGAGACAAGTCGCAAACATATGACCGACCGGTAGGGACTAAGATTGGGCCAGTGTTGTCAGGCAAGGCGATGTCTTCTTGTTTACTGGTCAGCTGCACACGCACTTGCCGCTGAGCGGCTTGCGATGAGAGGGAATCCTGGCTGGTGTCCATTTTCGACTGTGAAATTGGAAAAAAAAAGAATGTAGCAGCCACGACAGTGAGTTCTGCGCATTCGCTGCGGACAGAAAATCTCCGCTTGGCGGAAGGAAAAAAAATCTACGGCGGGCGATGCGGCCATTTGCGCCAAGTGCGGAAAACTCCCCGCATCATGAGTTAGTCTAGGGCCTAGGCCATGAACATCAGAGTACCAACGCGAAATAGAAGTATTCGTGATAAGATATATACACTATAATCCCCTAGATACTCTCTTAATTTCTGCAATCGCCCTCCTTCTATGATCAGACTCTGCAAAAAGAGCCTCGATCAAATCAACAACCTCATCTGCCGAGAATTCGAGAGACAGCTCTCCTTCCACCCAGAGGAATTTGATGTCGGCCAAAGAACTCTCGAGGATGTTAATCAAGTACTGAAACTTGAGCCAATTTCTCACATAGACAGCGGTCATCGGAACCGGTCCAGCGTTGTCCGAGGTCTCAGGCAGGAACAAATCCTCTAGCTTCGATAACTGATTGCAGAAAGAAACCAGTTTCTGAGACTGGGTCTCGGATATATCACCCAAATCCACAATATCGATGATGATTTTCTCAGTCACTGTCGATACCAGAGACCCGATTGCCTGGAGCAAGGCTGAATGGGAGAGTATTGGCTGCCACTCCTTGTAAACAGTCCGCAGTCGATCCACGGTTGCGCTAACGGCATTCTCGCAGTCGCCAAGAAAAGGCTGTTCCGAACACTGACTAAAGCCCTGGGCACCATCCAATAAATCGGTGACAATTGTTCGCTGTGTTTGCATCTCTTTGCTGTACGCTAATTTGCCAAACTTTTCGAGTGCTTCGACGTCGCCATGGAGCCTCGAGAGTTGCTTGTCGTTTGCAACTTGACGCACTCGGTCTGCAAGATATAGACTGTCATTGTAAAGATACATCTGGCCAGCGTTGAGTTTGAGACTGTAAAAGGACGGCGCCGTTGCCTTGAACATGGCAAGGATTAAGGTTGGGAGAGCAAGAAGGCCGGCTCCAGAGGAGGATACGAGGGTGCTAGAATGTCTGGCACGTCTGTTAGCTTAGATGGTCTTAATGAGCTAGGTCAGGACATACGAGGGTCTGGATATGATCTCTGAGTCTGAGACCTGTTGCTGGATAATCTGGAGAATTGGGTCGGGCACATCGGTAATCGTGTAATGCTCCTTCAACGTTATCTCCCTGTGGCTATCGTGGGTTCCGGCTCTATCGGCAAGAGCTGCAGTTGACTTCTTTGGCTGAGATTTTTCTGCCTGAAGCTGGTCTTCGCCTTCGTCTTCGTCCCCGTCTCCCCAGCCCCAAGCTTCTCCAGCTTCATCGTCATCGGCGGCCGAGGCAATATCATCATTCGTGGCCTTAGAGTCATTCAAATCATTGTCTAAGCCCCAGGCGCTAACGTCTTCCTCGTCGTTCTTTGGGGCGTCGTCTTTTTCGTCATCCCAGCTGGCATCCCAATCATCCGAGGTTGAGTTGTCTACTAATACCTCATCTGATTCAGAAACCTGCCGCTTTTCGACCCTCTCTACCTGTCGGGGGTCCCCTTTGCTAACAGCAAGCACCTTGCGGACCTGGTCCAACGAGTCGACTCTCCGCCTAGTTAACCATAAACGCGGGGCTTGGTTTGTCCAGGAGACGAGTTCCTCCTGGCCATGCCATCCAAGGGACTCGATAGTCTTGGTAAATTGAAGGACGTGGTTCAAGGTGGCCTCGAAACGGCTCAAGTCATCGAGCCCCGTCGGTATCGCAGTTGACAGCCAGTGGGATATTAGCTTTGATGAAAGGGCAGGAATAAATGAATCAGAAAGTGATGTTAGAATGGACGCCGGCAAAGAACGTCGAATGAAGCTGAGAACTTTGACAATATGGCCCAGCACATCAGGAACTGAGGCTCGGGATGGCTTCGAATCAACCAGAATTAACGACTCTTCAATTTGGACGCCGTAACTACAGCCATCGGGATTAGAAAGCAGTATTGGATCTAGAATCGCGAAAAATAGCTCCTTTTGAAATTGGTTATTGGTTGAAGCAAGCTCATTGAGGCGCTCCAGGGCAGAGATAATCTCTACCAGTGCATCATCTACTGACCCTTCAGTACTGCGTTTCGGTGCAAGCTTGTGCATCACTTACCAGATATCGCCAATTTTCCGTGTTTGCTGTCAAGCTCAAGATGTTGATTCCAGCGGCCGCGAAGGAACTCGACAAATTCTCGACGCATAGCGGCGACGTTTTCTGAGAGCAACACCAACACATTAGTGTTCTTAAAACAGCTGTCTAGGCTTATAGCATGTTCGGTCGCCTCTAGCTTGTCAATTGCCTCCGTAAACTGGCCACCTTCGTAGAGTGGCCGTATGGCATTTAGCTGTTGACAGAGACTTTGGACCTGCTCTATTGTGTCCGTCACAGCCTGGTTAAACACAATCTCCGTCTCGACTAGCTCAACTTTGGCAGCTGCATCCCCCACCTTCAGTTCGAGTGGTATCGTGCTCTCGTGCTGCTTAACAATTTCCCGCGCAGTGAGTCGCGATCGTTCAAGGTCCGAGTGCAGCTGTTTCGCTTGTGATATCCAATCATCGATATCGAAATCATTATCGCGACTTAATGTGCTGATCTCTGTCTAATCACCGAAGATCAGCAGGTTGCCAACGGACCATAAACTTGGGAGTCGCGGCAATGCTTACCTCCACCTCGTCTCTGGCCTGCGTGATGAGCTCCAGTTCGTTTGAAAGAGCTGACAGCGGGAATTCAGCCGCAATTACCTGCTCTGAATCTGGATATGTGCCTTCGGCGGCAAACTCTAAGACTGCTTTGCATATCTCCGTCTCCGATGGATGTGACATGATGAATCGTGTCCTCGTGTGAGTTCCAAGTCCTCTGACCGGACAACCACCATCTGCGAAGGACAATCGAGTTCGGCGTGTTCCCAGTTAAGAACGCTAATCAGGGTCTTGACGGGTTCGAATTTCGAAATAATAAGACAAACGGGGTTTGTTGACGGGGTCCCTGTTCATGAGGACACCAGCGCTCGAGCCATGTGACTGCGGAGCTGGTACCTGACCGCCTTCTGTCGCATGTGGATTTTGTGCCTCATGGAGGGGCTCTTTGCGATCTCCCTTATTCAATTTCAGTGTCTCGAGCTACTATTTTTGAGAGACTCTGTTTCTAGCTCTGAGGGGGTCTTGGAGTGTCCACTTTCAAGTCCTTGGTTTGCTGATCTGGGAGGAGAACGGTATTATAGCTTTACTCCGCGCTTCCCCGGTGCGACGACCTCTCTACACAGGGATCGTCCGAGACAGCAAGTCAAATTGCCAGTCTCTACAAAAGTCATCGTGTTGGCTCGTTTATTCTCCCGAGGCCTGACTCTGACGCTGATTGCTCGATCTATGTGAGTTTGTAATGGCAAGCGTCCCATCAATTGTTATGTTGCATCTTGGTGGAACTCGCCTGGAGGCGTGATATACTAGCTGAATGTTTGCTGTTGGTTCCTTCTATTTTGGCTTTGCAACGCATCCCCCTTTTGTCTTGTCAACGCTTGATAGATTAGTTTCAAATCCTATTCTGACGGGCGTACAGTTGAGGTGATATCCATAATCTCTAGCTAATCATCTTCTCCAGATTCATCGTATCTAAAATACCAACGGCACCTGAAACTGTCAATAATATCCAAAGCCCTTTCATATCACTTGCCACGATGCCTGCTCCTCAGACGGGCCACTTCAAGCTACTCCAGAGGTTCAAGCCAGACTATTCGCCGAGCGAGTTCGTCCAATATGAATCGCAGAGAACAGGCATGACGGTGGTTGTCATTGATCAGAAAGGTCCAAAGGTTAATGGATATTTCGTCCTAGCAACAGAGATCCATGATGACTCCGGAGCACCTCACACCTTAGAGCACCTGGTCTTTATGGGGTCGCGGAACTACAGGTACAAGGGATTCCTCGACAAACTTGCAACACGGTTCTACTCAAACACCAACGCGTGGACGGCCACGGACCATACGGCGTATACATTGGACACGGCGGGCTGGGAAGCTTTCTCGCGCATGCTCCCTGTCTATTTGGAGCATGTGATCGCTCCAACGCTGACGGATGAAGGCTGCTACACCGAGGTTCACCACATAGATGGCACGGGTAATGATGCGGGAGTCGTGTACTCGGAAATGCAAGGAGTGCAAAACAATGCTGCCGAGCTTATTGACTTGGAGGCACGCCGGTTGACTTACCCTGAAGGCGTAGGGTTCCGCTACGAGACCGGGGGAATGATGGAGCAACTCCGTGTCCTCACAGCCGAGAGAATCAGGGCTTTCCATCGTGAAATGTACCAACCCAAGAATTTGTGTCTGATTATCACGGGTGAGGTCGACCATGCCAACTTGTTGGAGACGCTAGATCGATTTGAAGACACCATCCTTGATGTCATTCCCAGTCCGAATTCGCCATTCAAGCGACCCTGGGTTGATTCGAAGCAAGCCCCTCCTCTATCTCAGTCAGTGGTCAGAACGGTGGAATTTCCGGAGGAGGACGAGTCTTATGGAGAGCTAGAGATTCGGTTTCTAGGTCCAGACAGCACTGACCCTGTGCAAAGTGAGTTACCCGATGTTCTACTGACGTTCCACGCAAGTATCTAACAGCTTGTTAGCCGGTGCTGTCAATGTTATCCTACTTTATCTGGCCGGTTCATCTGCGTCTCTTTTGGATAACATTCTTGTCGAAAAAGAACAGCTTGCAAGTGCTGTGTACTACGCTACCGACGACCGCCCTAGTCTCGAGATCCGCTTCACTTTGACCAGTGTGGAGACAAAGAAGTTGGCTCAAGTTGAGAAGCGGTTCTTCGAAGTCCTGAAGGATGCGATGAGCAAGGACCTGGACATGAAATACTTGCACGAATGCATTGATCGTCAAAGACGGACTTGGAAATTCTCTACGGAAAGCTCCGCATCTTCGTTTGCAGAGTATGTTATCTCGGACTTCCTCTTCGGGAAAAAGGACGGCTCGACCTTGCTGGATGTTGCTTCTCTGAAAGAATACGAGATTCTAGAAAAGTGGACGCAGGATGACTGGCGTGAGTTTATCAAGAAGTGGATTTCGGATGCGCCTCATGTTACGATTCTGGGCACTCCATCTTCGAAGATGTCAGAGAGTTTGAAGAAGGATGAAGAAGCGCGAGTCGCAGCGCAAAAGGAAAAGCTGGGCGAGGATGGCTTAAAGAAGCTGGCTGAAAAGCTTGAGAAGGCCAAAGCCGAGAACGACAAGGAAATCCCTAGGGAGATGCTTGAGCGCTTCAGGATACCAGGAATTGAGTCCATCCATTTTGTGGAAACAATGACCGCCAGGTCTGGAGCTGCTCTGCACCTCGGCCGTCAGAACAACAAAGCTCAGCAAATTGTGGATGCTGATGGGTCAGATCTGCCGTTGTTCATTCACTTCGAGCATATTCCCAGCAGCTTTGTTCAATTGTCTCTTCTCATCTCGGCGGCGTCTATCCCGGTGCAGCTGCGTCCACTTTTGTCTGTGTACATGGAAGCCTTCTTTAACCTTCCAGTTGAGCGTGATGGCAAGACCATCGACTTTGAGCAGGTTGTTGTCGAGTTGGAAAGGGACACCGTTGGGTATAGCATTGAGGGTGGCCGAGGTCTCGGCAACTCGGAAATGCTACGCATTTCGTTCCAAGTTGAACTTGAACGGTACGGCACGGCGATTGCTTGGCTACGGGAACTCTCATGGAGCTCAATTTTCGACGTCAAACGACTCCGGACTATTACGAGTAGACTGCTTTCCGATGTCCCTGACTCTAAGCGGAGTGGTGATGACATGCTTGCGGCCGTACATGTCATGGTTCACTATGCAGCCGAGTCCATTGTTCGCGCGCGCAGCACTTTAGTCAAAGCACGATATCTCAAGAGGATTAAACGACAGCTGGCGGAGGAGCCGGACGTTGTCGTTTCACGTATGGAGGAGATCAGAAACGCTCTTTTCCAGTTCGAAAATATCCGAATATTGGTTATCGCCGATCTTGAGAAACTGCCTAACCCTGTCTCAACCTGGAAGCCTTTTGTTGAGCGCCTAGGCGCCAGTAAACCCCTCAAGCCCATCACATCCAGAAGGGCGCTGCTCAGTCCAGCAGGCAAGAGTCTAGGCGGAGAGGCGTACGTGGTTCCTATGCCAACGATTGATTCATCCTTTGCCTACGCCACCGCACGGGGTCTCGATTCTTACGTTGATCCCAAGCTTCCTGCGCTCCTGGTGGCAATTGCGTATATGAATGCCGTCGAAGGCCCTCTCTGGGTTGCTGTCCGCGGCAAGGGACTGGCATATGGCACCACTTTCGCATACAATATTGACACAGGATTCGTCAACTTCGACGTTTACCGCTCGCCCAACGCCCACAAGGCATTTGAGTCAAGCAAGGAAATTGTGCAGGCGCATCTTTCCGGAGAGGCACCCTTTGACCCATTGATGTTCGAGGGCGCAATCAGCAGCATCGTGGTCACTTTTGCAAATGAGCAAGTAACCCTCGCTAACGCGGCCCAGGGAAGCTTCACTCGACAGGTTGTGCGCGCCTTGCCGAGTGATTATAAGGAAAAAATTCTCAAGGAAGTCCGTGGCATCAACGTTGATGATGTCAAGCAGGCTCTACGGGAGATAATTCTTCCTCTTTTCTCTCCGGACACAGCGAATATCGTGATTACTTGCACTACTGTGCTGCAAGAGGTATGCCCTAGTTCTTTGTAGATTCTAGGATCAGATTACTAACTGTTTACTTCAGACGATAGAGAAGGGTCTCAAGGAGTCCGGGTTCTCCCCCGAGGTGCAGCCGCTCAAGGAATTCGAGGACGATTATGGACTTAAGGTCGGCAACAACAGCAATGGCGACGACGATGAAGATGAAGACGATGATGAGGATGAGTCCGGGTCGGAAGAAGACTCTGGTGATGATGATGAAGAAGATGAGGATGATGAGTGATGCCTTTATGACTCGATGAGTAGGCCAAGGTAGGCCGATCTATGGGTTAGGACGTCAGTATCATAGAACAAAGCCATCTCTGTAAGAGGTGCAGTAAGAACGAGTTGCTCGCCTGCAGCAACTGCAGTTGTGTTTAATTATTAGATATTGGTAGTCTGATGGTATATAATAGAGCCGCCTCCTAACGGCTGAGCCAACTTATGTTTAGCCAATAGTAGGTCTTAATTCCATGCATACTTGATTTTTACATTAACATATAATACAAAAAGACAACAGGAGATGCCATCATCTCCTATAGGAGCAGAGACATCTATCATGCCATCCCAGCAACAAAGTCGAATGGTCAGTCAAACCCATACACTTCCCGTCATAGATATACAAATCGACAAACGCATGCTCCAGAACACGGAACCTAACAACTCAAAGCAGCCAAGCCAGAGAAAAACAAATAAATTACCAACTCAGGCTCTTCCTCCCCTTAGCCCTCCGCCGAGCAATAATCTTCTGGCCCGACTTCGACCGCAGCCTAGCCAGGAATCCATGGCGACGCTTCTGCACCCGGCGCGAGGGGTTATACGTAAGGCGTTTTCCGCCGAGAGACGCACTGGCCGAGAAAGAGCGGGCTTGCTGTGAGATTGCGGACGTGGTAGTGAGAAGTGACTGTGTCTGTGCCTGAGATTGAGGCTGTTGTGATTGGAGTAGGGAGAGGGTTGGTCGTGGGGTTGCGGTGGTCGCGAGGGAGAAGGGTCGGAACTGGAATTGGTATTGTGAGGCGCGGGAGAGGGTGGGTGTCATTTGCCTGTGAGGGAGCACCCGTTAGCCTGATCCTTGTTATGGGGGTTGAAGCTGCTTGAATGCCGACGCACTTGGTTACTGAGGACGTAGCTGCCCTGAGGGCAGAGGGGACAGCCCGGCACTGGAGACAGAGCATTGTCGGTGAGCGGTCGGATGGAGATCTCGAGTATAGTTGGAGTAAGTTCCCGGGGAGGGGTTCAGAGGCTAGGTTGGTATGCGTGAAAGCGACGTGTACGGGGTACTCCGGAGCAGGTTGACTGTACGGATGAAGCGTCAAAATTCGGTGATCAACCTCCAGCGCCGGCGTGCACGTGCCACCTCCAACAACGAACTTTTTTTCTCCAAGTCCGCAGAGCCCTACAACATGACCAAACACTACCACTCTGCTCATATTACTGCTGTGGTACTCCATTGAAAATACTTACTCTACTGATTTTTGACTCGAGCTGTCGGTGCCCAGTCACGCCAACCAATCCTCTCCATACTCGAAGATCCTCTCAATACACCCGCCGCTAGAATTCATTATATCGAACGGGGCACGCCTCAGCAATAGATAGTCTACGAAACGCCAGACAAAATGGCCACGCAAGACCCGACCCCGCTTCCTCCTACAACAGTTCTCTCCTCGAAACCCATCTCGCAAAGCATCGCTCATGATTTCCTGGCCGCCTACCTAGACCGCGCAACCACCGACCCAGCACTCCAGCCGAACGCCGGAATCAGCGAGCACGGTCCAGTCTCACGTACAACCGCCGCCGCGCCAAATATCATCCTTCACAATCTGAAGCGCGTGCAGGCTGGACTCGCGGGCGAGGTCTTGGGGCGAGATTTGGCGATTGCGGAGATGAAAGAAGGTGCACAGCTGGCGCAGGCGCAGAACGCGAAGGAGAATGCACATGGGACGTGGGAGGATAAGGCACACTTTGAGCAGGACCAGGAGGGGCTTCAGGTCCACGATGCTAATGTTCGGGATGAGCCCGAGGCTATGGAGGTGGATAATGTTGATCAGATTGAGGGGGAGGCCGCTGCGACAACAGGGAACTTGGACAAGGAGGAGCGCAAGCGGTTGAAGAAGGAGAGGAGGAAGGCCGAGAAGAAGGCCAAGTTGAAGGACTCGGATGAGTAGGCTGTTGATCGTTTGGGATTTCAATCACATGTGTTGTTGGGGTTTAAAAGCATACCGGCGCATATCTGGGGACAGACTTAGGGTTTTCTTCAAGTTCGATTACACTTTTTCATTAAGCTTACGATAATTTTCTATTCTTTCGATTTGTTCTGCTGATCAGGAAGATTAGGTATTCAAAATGAGGCTTTCCTTGATACCCCTATGGAAATTTTGCAAGGTCATTGTAGCAAAGGGGTCAATATTATCAACCACTTAAAGTTCGCGGTCGGCAGCCTTGACAGGCTTATCACTGTCTTCCTCCTTGTGGTCTGTGACCTTTCCGCCCTTCCAGCCAAGGGCCTTGAGCCTCTCGGAGAGAATTGGGTGAGAGTAATGGTAGCTAGCGTACATCCAGTCCGCATCCATGGTGCTCAGGTTTTGGATTTGGAGCTTGAGAAGCGACTGGGAAAGCTCCTCGGAGTATCCGAGGTTCACAGCAAATGCGTCTGTGAATTATTAGCACGGTATTCATCACCACAATGTTTCTTCTGAATGAGTGCGTACCCGCTTCGAATTCGAACTTGCGACTAAGGATGTTCATCAGAAGCTTGACGACAGCATCCATTGGTGCCAGGGCATCAGAGAAGAGAAGGAATCCAATCATGATAGGCTGCTCGGTGTGAAAGCCGAAGGACTGGTAGAGCGATCTATTATTCACGAAGGCCGAGAAAAGAGCGAAGATATAGAACATGTGGAACTATGGGGTCAAGTCAGCTATGGTGCCCAAGTAGTGATGGTAACTGTCGCAACACATACTTGAGCAATGCCGAACAGCTTGGTGGTGTGGCTAAGGCTCCAGTGGCCAAGTTCGTGGCTCAGAACAGCGACCACTTCCTCGGGCTCGCTTTTCTCAATCAAGGTATCGTAGATGACAATGTGCTTCTTCCAGGGGAGGCCGAAAAAGTAGGCATTGCTGTGTGCACTGCGCTTGCTACCGTCAATGACATGCAATTCCTGGAGTGGAAAGTTGAGCTTCTTCGCCAGATTCTCAACGCCAGTCTTGATTGCACCGGGTTCAAGAGGAGACAATTTGTTGAACAAAGGCAGAATGACAATGGGGTAGATGGTGATGGCGAAGACCTGAACGAAGACACCAAAGAGCCAAAGGTAGTAGAAGCACGAAGTCCCGGTTTTCTGAACGATCTTAAGGACAGCACTGATAATGGGAGTGCCCAGAACGATACCGAGCATTTGTCCCTTGAGCAGGTCGGAGATCCAGAGCTTCACCGTCTGCTTGTTGAAGCCGAACTTCTCCTCAAGCACGAACGTGTTGTAGTAGGATATCGGGAGTGAGAGAACAGTGCTTATGAGGTTGAATCCAAAGAGAAACAGGAGCGTCTGGGGTATTTCACCCTGGAACCGAGCAGGAAGGTATTGCGCCAACATAAGGCCGCTGAGCCCCCATAGCTTGGGGAGCACATCGCCATAGATAAACGCGAGATTCTGGACTTGACCATATAAACCGGAGATGAAACCAAACTTTGCCTTTGCGCGACCGTATGCCTAAAAATTTTGACAATCTAGGTCAGCCAAGGCGTCACTCTTCGGGAGTCATCTAGGTACTTACCTGACTCTGATCATAAACCTTCTGAGAGACTTCGCCTTCGAGTACCTTCGGAGCCTTGGTTCGCTGAAGAACCTTGTACTGACGAAATGACAGAAGCCCTTCAAGGATGAATTGCCCTAGGGAAAAGCCGACGAGTACGTTTTTCCATGGGAAGAGGGGGCGGTCCAGTAGACGCGCCAGTTGCTGCAAGTCACGGCATCAGCTCCGCAGTCCTGGAAGATTTTTTGATGTAGAAACTGCAAGGAGCTAAATACTCACGTCGAGAATCCACATGGTAGATTGCCAGCACAACAGCAGAGGTATAGCTAGGTGCTGTAGTGTTGAGTTGTGAAGGCGGACAAAGGACAGCTTGAAATAGTCCCAGGAAAGCCATTAATGATGCAGCCTATTAGTCACCCTCCGCTGCAGATCATCTTCTACGTGCTATTGTTCGATGTGCATAACTGGAGGTTCTACTTTGCGTTTCATAGTAACTACTATGAGAAAACGCAGCAGTAATGATCTTATTGAAGTTCGTTGCATTTCGTAATCCCCTTGAATAGCTCGTCTAATGTCCATAGAAGTCGAAATCAAGAATGCGATAGGCACAATATAAACAAGTTTTTTCCCACTCCCAAAACGAAACAGCGTCATGACACTCATCAAAAGAAGTGGCCGTTACTACTTCATCCATCTTCTTGTCCTTTGATCAGCCGATCCACCCGTCGGAAATACGGCGCCCGTGATTTGCGAACCTTCAGCGGACTGACTTGCATGGGAACTCCCACGCGTTCTTGTCTTTGAGCTCTCGGCGGGTGGAAGAGGCGACATGTAGACCTTCAAGCGTTCTCTATGCAGAAATGACGTCTGATATACTCATTTATCACCACAGCACCTCTCCCCTCTCAAAGTCGTCCGCTGAGATTCCCTGGCAAAGGGGCTTCTCGCCCCTCCTCGATCACCTTCCGAGGCCTGGACTGAGCTTGGAAACATGTCTCCTCAATTTAGTTGACAATGGGCTCAAGGGTGTTACCACTGCTTTTTGTTAGACACATATACCTGTGCTGAGGGGATAGGGCTTGGGAATAGAAGACAAGGGATTTCAACTTACGCAACAATGTTGGCCCAACCGATCAGACGCCAGTGCTTCTCAATTCTTCGGCTAATGGCGATCTTCTCGCCGACTTCGGTACAAGCAGGGCTGGTCAAGCTGAGCTTAGCAGCATCGGCCTTGACACCGACAACCTTCGCACCAGTGGCCGTGGAACCAATGTTGACCATGAGAACCTCGTTCTTCGCCAGCTTGGCAACCTTGGCCTGCTTACCGTCGGCAGTCTTGACACCCAGAAGACGGCGCAACAGGAAGTAGTTGACCTCCAGTTCGGTATAGATGGCGGGCAGACGTCCGCGGTGTCCAAGGACGAAACCGACCAGACGATCAGCACGGCAAAGAGTAGGGTCAACACGAGTACCGACACCGATCAACCCACCAGGGACGGCGAACTTGAGGTCGTTGTGCTCGGCGAAGAGCGAGACGACCCGCGAAAAGATAGGGCGACATTGGATCTTGCCATTCTCGTCCTTGGTAACGAGACCGGGTCGGATTTCAATCTCGTCGTTCAGCTTCAGCACACCGGTCAGAATAGAACCACCAGCAACACCACCCTTCAGCTCGTCGATCTCCGCACCGGGCTTGTTCACGTCGAAAGATCGGATGACAATCATGTGAGGGGAGGCTGTGAAATCGCGAACGGGAACGGGGATGTGCGAAACGAGGTACTCGTTGACGGCGTCGATGTTGTACTTGAGTTGCGCGGAGATGGGGATGATGGGAGAACCGTCGGCAACGGTGCCACGGATAAACTTCAAGATGGACTGGTAATGCTGCATGGCTCCGTCCTCCCTCATCAAGTCAACCTTGTTCTGGAGAATGATGATGTGGCTAAGCTTCATGATTTCAATGGCTGCCAAGTGCTCCGAGGTTTGAGGTTGAGGGCAAGTTTCATTTCCGGCGATGAGCAAAAGAGCGGCGTCCATGACGGCGGCACCTGAAAGCATAGTACTCATGAGAATATCGTGACCAGGGCAATCGACGAAGCTGTATTGAACCTGGATTAGCAAAGCAGTCACTACTCCAACGGGACGCTCGATAATACGTACGAGACATGTCTTAAGAGACGGTAGTGACCGGAGCATCCATCCCTCTCACATGGCGGGTCAACCTCCTTCTCACTCTTATAACTCTTGTAGCATGTCGGCCGAGGGCAAGCGGGGTTGTCGCACTTGTAAATTTTGGCGTTGGCATAACCCAGCTTAATGGTAATGTTTCGCTCCAACTCGTTCTTGAATCGGACAGTCTGAACCTCGGAGATAGCCTTCACCACCGTTGACTTTCCGTGAGCGACGTGACCGATGGTACCAATGTTGATCGTAGCTTGGCGGGCGATAATTTCGGGCGACAGAGGAGTTAGTGTGGAAAGATCGAGTGTCTCTGGGTTCGGTTGCTCCGGGAGCTCTGGTCGTGTTGGCTGAGAGGGTATGGACTCCTTCTTGATCGCCGACTTCAGGGGCTTCTCCTCCTGCTCGAGAGGCTCTTGGTCCTCAATGTCATCCTGGCCGTTGGCGTTGAGAATGGGGGAGCCGGGCTGGGACTCGTCGTCTGAAAAATCGCCGTTGGTAGCCATAATTGCACTCGACAACGGGTCCACAGAAAAAAAGAGGGGGTAGAGGTGAGGGTGGGAGCGTTGACGTCGAGTGCTTGCTGGATGAAATTTGCTGGTTTTGCAAATCGACGGAGGCGATACGATCTTTAGGCCTGCACCGAGTTTAGTGGGGGTTGGTTTTGTGCAGTGGAGAGCGAGCAGGCGGTGGGCGGCGGCAGATGCTTTCTAGACAGCATACAGGTCGATTCTTGTTCTTTTCCCTCAGTTTAAATCTTACTATCTTGAAATTATGGGGGTTATCTTGTGCTGCATAGACTTTTTTGCTGGTTCTCGTTTGGCCAGCACCAGATGATCCGCGATGCTGGTTGGCATGGCCAACATAAATTGATTCAGGTGTGACTCATTCTATACCGAAATATATTTTTACTCCCGCTTAGGATACCTATGTATTCACGAAGCTATGTACTAGCTTTTACCAAGTCCAGCACAAATACTGACTAGTTTACATGGCGCTCAAGTGTACATGGCGTATTAGTCCAAAGCCATAAGGCCATAAGCAAGATGTGACGAGATGTAGACTTCATATTTGTCTCGTTCTTATTCATAATTTACATGTCAAAAGACACTGGGTATATACAACAGAGCAGTACCATTCAAGTACTGACGCCTATTCATCACCACTTTCCTCACTACTCGAAACATCCTCACTTCCCTCATCAGTAGACTCGAAATCCTCTGGCGTGGGTTCCTCAGCGGGCATCATGACAAAGGCTTTCAGACAGGTGACTCGATTTCCCGTCTCATAGGAGTTCAAGAGCTTGCCCACTTGGAGATCCTTCGTGTCACTAGACTTCTTCGAACCAGCATTGCGTAACTGGGCTCCAAGCAACCGCCAGACACGCACGACACCTTCACTATTCGCCGTGACCACCGCAAAGTCCTCGCCCTTGACCCCCGGCTGGCCCTTCAGGCTTAGTATCTCAAGGCCCTTTACCCTTCCCGGAAACCCTTGAGATTTGCCTCCAAGCTGCGCAATTGGCTCGGCGTGCGGAATAGACGAATCGTCGTCTTCGTCTGCTTTTCGCACGTTCTTCGTTGAGTAGAATATGACTCTGCCATCTTCCGTGGAGACTGCAAATAGCTCATCATCGCCCACCGAAACGTACTTGATCTCGTGCAATTTGCTTCGGGGTCCCGGAAAGACTCTGCAAATCGGCGTTGAATCCTGTCATCATGTTAGAGGAATCAATTGGCAACGGTGATAGACAGCTCACAATCCCAAAAAGCACAGCACCCCATTCAAACGCTACGGCGAACTCTTCTCCAGCCGTGTTCCAAGCTATTTTTCTTCCCTCTCCAGTGCTCCATCTGCCCTCCTTGACGCTTTGCAAAATCTCCCTGTCAAAGTTCAATACTCCGGCTTTCTTTCCCGTGACCAGGTTCCACAGTCGCATGCACTTCTCTCCCTTCCCCACACTCAGCATTAGCTTCATACTTGGGTGTACGGCAAAGTCATTGACACCAGACGGAGAGCCTCCGGGAGGTGCGGTATCACCACTAGGTCTGCCCTGGACCTTGGGATGAGGGGCTTTAATTGTAGAGACCACGGTCAAATCACGAGTTTTGCTGACTGAAATGGTGTTATCCTCAGCAGAAGCCAGCAGCTTCGACCGTGAAGGAAATACAAGAGAGGTGATAGGTGCGGCATGGTGAAGCAGGGCCCCAAGCTCCTTGTTCTTAGGATTTTCTAGAATCGTGTTACCGGCGAGGGTGGGAACTGTTGGATAGTGCTCGTTCACTGTCGGAGGCGCCGCAGACAGTGTATAGAGGTTGACGCGCTCATCACTACCACCGCTAGCCAAAATGACTCTCGGAGGCTCGGTAGAATCTGCCTTGGGCAACGGGGACAGGGCCAAACACTTGATCGCAGACGAATGGGCTTCGAACAAAAACGTATCCACAAATTGAACCAGTGAGGAACAATCAGAGGGTTCCTTGCCTTCATCTGAATAGCATGTCGATGAAATGGATGCCGTGAATCCATGTAGGACTCGCTCATATGAGCCTGTAACTATTTGTAACGTGATAGAGGCACTGTCGGTTGGTTCGGAGGACGAATATTCTCTTTTTTTTGTCGATTTGGCCAATTTTGCCGGTTGTACTGGCTGAGGCTCTTTGGCCACTTCATCTCTCTTGCGTTTGGCCATTACTGAAGCTGTATTGAATGCAGAAAAGAGAAATTTGTGGTGGCTCGTTGACTGTTGAGCATCAGAAAGCGGGCAACTTTTTTTTCTGCCAGACATTTCTCAGAGGCGGTGTGAGAAACTGGGGTGCCCGGCTTGGCGGCTTGGCGCAGGCAACAGGACGCTCTCTGGCCCAGCTTGATCACTATCGCGTCAACCACCTCAAACTTGATTTCCAGGGACACCAAGTTATATTGCTTGTGCACTTAGTGCATAGCACCTCTGGGATGCGGATTGGAATTTGAGAGACTTAACTGCCCTTAACCTAAGACAAGCCTAGCTGTAATCTATACCAGTAGACCAGCATACCTCATCCCAAGGGCTCCCCCATACCTGCTTCGCTGCTCCCGGTACCCTTCCAAAAAGCTTTCCAGTCAACCAACCACAACTCGACACCCTCCTCATCACCACGAACCCTCCCAAAAATCCCTTCACAGTGCCATCTCCGTGTTGAGTATCTTGCATCGCAGAACACCACAACCACAACCATATCATCTCTCCAGAGCGATTTTTTCCATCTGGATGACTTCGCTCAGCCTATTCCTCTTATTTTCAGAGCGTTAATCGGATGTTGTGTTCTTGAATTAGACTCGATGCTCCGGGAAGAGCTTCTTCGGTCTAAGCAAGATGAGATCGCGTGAGTATATTTATTTTTCAATGATTAATTTTAGTATAGTGCATTTTGCGATTTGATTTCATCGCTCACTGATATTTTTTAGACGTTGTTTGTTGTCGCGGAAGCGCAAATTGAGCGAGCTCTACTTTGCGACCGTAGGCTACGCGGGCGCGACCGACACTTTCGCCGACTCCGCGTATCAGGAAAAGGAGCAGACCTTTCTCGATGCCAACGATATCACAAAGTAAGTTATACTAACACATCACCCCCAACTATCTTGGTGCCTCATCTATATGTTTATCTATCGTTACTATATACCTCACGATCGCGCCTTGCTCACTGTTTCCCAGAGGTCGTTGGTTCAACGAAGCCACGCTCCCGCCCCTACCCAGTTATCCTGAGCCGCCGGTGCGCGAGACAAAAGCAGCCCCATTACTTGTACCCGCGTCAATCCCAGCGACTTTCAATGTTGTTCCGGCTAGCCCGCTCTCGCGAGGGGAGGCTCCTGTGCATGAAGCTGCTTCGCAAGGAGCTCCTGGGCTTGAAGCACAGAAAGCCACAGCGCCGCAGTTAGCAGAGGAGCAGCTGTCTCGCCACGGCACACAACCGCATGACAGCAAACCTTTACTTCTACTCGCCCCCGGAGCATCTGAAGGCTCACAAAAGCTTGATGGACTTGCTGCGAAGGCAAACCTGCAACATGGTCAAAAAAGCATCTCTTTGCCGGAAACTCCTCGCAGCTCCCAGGACTCTATCGACGGCATACCACGTGCAGATCAAACAGACACTGTTAAAGCCGTCTCACCACGCGAGTCAGCCATCTCCACGCCGAAGCCCCATCATGATCTGCACGAATCTCCGCTTCCAGGTCGCCCCATCCATGTCACCGAACAACCCTTATCCCCCGTCTCGTCCGCCGGGCCATATTCAAATAACACACCCGCTCCAACTGCTGGATCGCCAGCCACAAGCGCTACTGAGGAAGCGGCGGAGCCGGCCGAGAAACTTCCTACTCCAAAACCAACAGCGACTGTCCAAGAACAATCAACTTTTGTTCCGACCACCCCAGATGAGCAGCTTCGCTTCGAGGAGGCGCAGTCTCTCCAACAAAATGCTCTCCTGGCGAGCCAAGTCAAAGACGGCGCTGGCGCCGGGCCATTGGCAAATCAGGTTATCTCAAAGGATCTGCCGTCGACTTCCACGGCGACGAAGGCCACAGAAGATGCACTAGAATTCGCTCCGGAAGGAACCCTACCGGATACCGAGAAAGCAGTCTCGACTAGTGATGCTACAGCAGAGCCCAAAGCTCAGGCACAGCCAACACCGGTCCAAGATGTAAGTCAAGCAGAGGTTTCCGCCAAGGAGGCAGCGCCAGCTCCTCAGGCGACCAAGAAAGCAAGTCCACCCGTCCATCCGACACCTCCAATCGAGAGAATGACAACCAGAGTATCCTCCGGGGCAATCCGTCACAAGACTGTGTCAGAGATTTTGGGCGAAGCGCCGAAAACACCAGTTTCCCCGGTTGAAAAGCCACAAGCGGCCGAGAAACCTACTGATCTGTCACGAGCTGGTATCGGTAACTATGCGGACTCTGCAAAGCTACGCCTGAAAGATAGAAAAGCGCGCGAGAAGGAGAGAAGCAAACGTTCGACTGTTGTCTTTCCAAAACAGCAGCAACAGGATAAAGGTGCCACTATGGATCTTGTCCGCCAACAATCCGGCGATCTGGTGAAAATAAATGAAGAGCAAGACTATCTCTTTACTTTATTCCAGAATAAGGCCTACGCTCCACCCCGGAGTACTACTCTGTCTGCGTTGCTCTCCTCGGCACATAAAACTTTATCGACGAATAACCATCTTCTAGACTATCAGGAACAGATGGATTGTCGTATTTTACGCCGCATATATGATCTTCAGCATGCCAACAGATGGCCTCTGCGTCAGTTGAAACGCTCTGCTGAACCACCTCGGCAGGGGTCTCATTGGGATGTCCTTCTAGACCATATGAAATGGATGCGGACAGATTTTCGGGAAGAACGTAAGTGGAAGCTTGCTGCAGCGAAGAGTTGTGCGGATTGGTGTGCCGAGTATATTCACAGTGATCCCGAATCGCGGTCGATGTTGCGCGTCGAAGTCAGGATACCACCAAGAGAATCCCAAAGGAAGAACGAACCACAAGCCACTGCAATGGTTTCCCCTGCAGCGGATTTGGGGAACGACGCCATGGAAATTTCTCACCCTACGCCAGATTTGGTGCCTTCGAATGAAGAAGAAGATTCGGTCAGTGAAGGGTTCGTTGATGAACCACGACATGATATACATGACACTGTTGCTCCAGCAGCCATTTTCTCCTTGGGTTCTGATGAGTTCACGTTCTCCTTGGACATGACGCCGGCGGCGCAAAAACTTCTGGATGAATTACCTATTTACACACCTGTTCAGATTGCTCCAGATACACATCTTCCAACTTTCAAAGAGCCTCCAGATAGGTCGTGGAAGACTGAGATTCTTCCCGTTTCCAAGTATGCTCGCGGGAAGATTGTGTTCCATGAGAATGAACCAGCCAGAAAACGCAGCCGCTATGACTATTCGCAATACGACTCTGGCTCTGAGCATCCTGTCCGGGATCTTCCGCCCGAACAGACAAACGTTGCCCTATTTCAGCCGGAGAACAGGCATATTCGCGATCGCATTCATCCAGCCCAACCTTTTAGACCACCCACCGAGTATCCCATGCCCTCTCTCGGCTTTCTGGAATCAAGACAATCGTCTCAGTGGACTTACGCCGAAGACGAAGAACTTCGCAGCCTTGTCGAGGAGTATTCGTATAACTGGTCGCTGATATCTAGCTGTCTTACTCCACCATCCCAGTTCACGTCCGGCGCGGAGAGGCGAACACCTTGGGAATGCTTTGAGCGCTGGGCAGGAATAGAAGGCTTACCTTCTGACATGTCTAAAACACCGTATTTCAGGGCTTATCACCAACGGATTGACACTGCCCAGCGTAATGTTATGGCACAACAGGCTGCTGCTCAGCAGCAGCAGCAACAACAACAGCAGCAGGGCAATGGCGGCGGTAGTCAGCCGCCCATGCCTTTGATCCGCAGGAGAGGTACACAGCCTATCCGGGTTGACCGTCGGAGGTCTTCCAAGCACTTGGCGCTCCTCGACGCTATGAGGAAGCTCGCCAAGAAACGGGAGACTATACTGCAAAAGCAGCAACATGGTAAGCACGAGATAATCGAGCACGTTGGAAGAAGCTGACTCTGTTTCTCTCTAGCTTCACAGCTCGCTTCGCTGAGAAAGGCCAACGAGGCTAACCAGCCGAAGCCTCCGATATCATCCCCCGCGGAGTTCAGCCGTCTGAAGCATGAACGTGAACTCAAACTTCAAGAGAGACAGGAGCAATACCGCCAGCAAATGATTGCTCAACAGAGGGTGAGTTTGCTCCTTACCTTCATAAATGCTGCATAACTAATGTGGTTTCAAGGCGAGCCTAGCGGCCCGTGCTGGTCAAATGCCCAACCAGCAGCAAATGATGAATGCTCCTGGGCGAGCGCCCAACCCGATGCCTCATAACTCTAACGCTCCTTCTGTCGCGACCAATACTCCGAATGGTCTACCAAACGGAATGCCGAATCCATTGGCTAATATGCCGAATGGGGTACCACAAGGTGTTGGCGTCAATCAGGCTAGACCTCATGTTCAGGGAATGCAGGGAAATGGTGGGGTGGTGAATAATCAGATGCCTCCTAACCCCATGGCTATGAAAATGATGCCACAGACTGGGATGCAGCAAAACAACGGCGCCCGTCCCAACATGCCAATGCAAGCGTCCCCGGATAATGCTCGGGTGATCCGAGAGGCCAATCGCCTCCAAGAGCAACAGCGGCTCCTACAATCCAGACAGCAGCCTCCCCAGCATTCACTCCAGCAGCAACAAGCACCGCAACAGCAGAACCAGCAGCAACAATTGTCCCAGCAGCCCCAGCAAGCCCAGCAACAGTTCCACGCCCAGCCCCAGTTTGTGTCCCAAGGATCCAACTCTCCCAACCTGAACATGCCCACTGTGAACGGTACTCCAAACAACCAAGCCATGATGGCAGCTCTCCAGGCGGGAGGCGGAATGCAAAGTCCACCCTTCCATAACACTACAACCCAAGGCGTTTCTACACCTTCCCCGCGCATGGGCCAACCGAACACCCATTCAGGTGGAGCTGTGCCGACAACCATCAGCGCGATCCAGAACCAGATCCAAAAGGGCAATCCAAACATGCCAATAGAGCAAGTCAGACAACTAGCCACGGAACAACTCCATCGGTACTCGCAGCAACAGCGAATGTCCCAGGTTGCCATGAACGCAGCGGCGGGTAATCTTGGCGTGCAGCCCAATTATCAAATCCCTCATGATGGTAATTTCCAACCAGCTCAAGCAGGCATGAACGGCACTCCGAACATGCAGGTTCCACAGGCCCAGGGATTTTCTCCCATGATGCGAGTCTCTCAACCTGCTCAGCAAAACCGAGTGGGAACTGGGAGTTCCCCTGCGATGGGTGTAGCTGTGCCTCAACAGAGTCGAAGCGCGACTCCGCAAACTCAACGCAGTGGCAGCATTCAGACAGGTCCCATTCCAGGCGCGAGCAAGAGCCCAAACCATCCTCAAACTCAAACTATGGGTGCATAACCGCTTACCTATACCCTCCAAACTTCCCCGTCTCTTCAACTGTAAATATTATCTTTACCAACCTTTATTTCACCGATTCTCTTCAACACCCTCTCACGACCTGCAATACCACGACCGCGCAACAAAACCAAACCCCAACCATCCCCCCGTCGATGATTCTATCTTATATCCCCTACAATCTTATCGCTTACTCCTTCACCTACATTTCCACATTACCTCTACCGCTTGCACGCTCTCAAAATCCCCTTATTCTTCCCAACCCCCTTCCGCGCCAGTCTAACCCCGGATATTGCGATGCATGATCAATGATCGGAACCTTTTCGGGGATTTCTTTTCTTATTGTACCACTTGTACCGATAGGGCAGGCACGAAATTTAGCGATGTATTAGGATGGGCGCTTGGAATAGATTAAATTCTAGGAAAGGAAAGATTATTTGCGGCATGTTATTATTCTTGAGAAAAGACTTTACTATTATTGCGCATTTCGTCCTCGTTTATGAATGCTCCTGAGACTAGAGCTTGTCGCATTTGTACCGCAAATCAGACACCAAGTCCAGCTGTCTCAACTGCAAGGATAATAACAGCCAAGTGTACCGTGTCCACTCATCCTGACTATTGGCCACTTGTTCTTCATTGGTGGACGGTTGCAAGGACTGAGAGATATCGAAAGGGTCCCCCAACAGACATCCGAGACGCTAGGCAGACTGGGCCTCCTTTTCCTCAACCTTCATGTGGACATATTTGGTGAGTAGCGTAAAATCCTCCTGGAAGGGTTCATAACATCGGATCACTGGCTTTGCGCGTTTTTTCCCGATGCTCCTTGACCTTAACGGCTATAGTAGGGCCGGAAAGGGCACTAAGGACCATTAAAAGACCTCGAGCCCTGTGTATGTCGGAGGCCCTCTTACTGGCAAGGTGTTTCTAGTCCTTCTCTGCGTGCCTGGCCGAGTATGAACCCGACAACGCTGGCCGACTCAAAGAGATGGAGACGGACATTGACTAAGCCTAGCATTCTGATGCACACTTAACTTACCTGATTGCATGGGCTTGTTAGACCAGATCTCTGCTGGTAGTTCGGTAACCCTAATGAACAATCGCCTTTGTCCCTTAGGAGCACGATCATCGAGGAAAATGGAAAGTATGCCCGAAGACTGAGCGTTCTTTTGACCGGCTCCTTTAGCTTTCTCGCCCAATGGAATTTGTTACAACAGTACTTACTCTCTTGCTCTTGATCAGTTATTTATGTTTCGCTCCTTAGGTCATTAGATAGTTAGGGTACGGTTTCCATAGCCTAAACAATTTTGTCTTTATCACTTAATTAAAAATCCATTTTCTCAACTGGTGGCCGGTTGGCCTAATGGTAAGGCGTGGCTCTCCTAAAGCCAAGATTGCGGGTTCGAGTCCCGTATCGGTCGTTTTTTTCCCTCTTAATTTTTGTCTCCTCATCCTCTTATCGGTATGGACAGCAATTTGAAATCAGAAAACATAAGGAAGAGACTGTAGCAGTTCCTTCAACGCATTATTATTGTCAAGCGTGGCGACATCTATTCTCCCGGTTTTCTGCCACGCCCACCGCTCTCCCCCGCATCACGGCCACCAATTTGGCCTGGTCAACATGAATTAAACGCGCAAAAAAAGAGCGATGGGTGACCGGGGGACTCCTAGATACCTAAGAGCATCCTTAGAATGAAGTTGGCTTCAATCTAGCACTCATACCAACTGAGTCCTCACTCTGTTGGTTGAAAAACTGGCTGAGTATTGGCCATATCAGATACCTAACAGATTCGCCCAGGCACTAGAGCCATCTTCGAAGCTCCGCCATACGCAATTCTCTTGAGCCGCAACATCACCTAGCTAACAATACTGCGCGCATCATATTCTCCGATACGTAACGTGTATACCCGCCTCGCCTGGCTACTACCAACCACTCTTCCCTCGCATACCTCGAATAAAGAAAAACTCTGCTAGCCGACCATGTCCTCAAACACGCCGCCCGACGGCGGCAAGACCAACGGAATACCCATAAAGCCCGTCTCCCTCTCCTTGGGCTCCTCAAAAGCTGCGCCCAAAAAGCCAGCGCCCAGCGCAACGCTCGTGCGCCGCCCACACCGAAGCCTCCAACATCATGGCGACTCCGACTCCGACTCAGACGGTGGCGACAACGAACCGGCCTTTGAATCCGTCACGGGCTTCGACACACTTACAGGAAAGACGATTGGCGCTTCGACCGCGGAAGAGAAGCAGCCGTTGACGATTCCTGTGGCAAGCGGGAACAACTGGCGCGATCGGCCGGGTGTTGTGAGGAGACCGAAGAGCAAGAAAAATTTACTGCCGAAGGAGGTGCAGGCGTTGCAGGAGGCGCAGAGGAAGGGAGAAGTTCCCGGAGATGGCGATGCTGTTGGGCCCAGTATGGAGTATGGGTTGAGCTTTGCGAAGCAGTCGCAGCCGCAGGGTGAGGAGGGTGCTACGGATCAGAAGATGGAAGATGCGGCGCCCGTGGCTGCTCAGCCTGCTGAGGAAACGAAGCCGCTCACGGAGGACGAGATCGCGTTGCGGGCACTTGTGGGGGAAAGTAAAGGGGAGGTGGAGCGGAGGTCGGATCTGGTTATTGAGTCGAGGCGTGCGGGGGAGGAAGAGGATGAAGAGGAAGAGTACTACGACGGGCACAATAACGAAACGAGGTCCTTCCGGGCGGATGTTGCGGCGAGGCCCGAGCCCGCGACGCTGGACCAGTATAATGCTATTCCTGTAGAGGAGTTCGGCGCTGCCCTGCTGCGTGGTATGGGCTGGAAGGAGGGCCAAGCTGTTGGGAAGGGGAATTACGGTAGCGGGGACTCCAGCCGGGCGTCTACACCGCATGTCCCTGCTCGCCGTCCTGGGTTTCTAGGAATAGGCGCCAAGGATGTTTCCAATGGGAAATCAGAGGTTGAGTTCGGCGCCTGGGGCAAAGCAGCCATGCGCAAGGGGGCCAGGAAAGCTGGAGAGCCACCGAAGAACGGCGAAAGCAATACAGAAGGCGTTTACATGCCTGTGCTCATGCGGAACAAGAAGACCGGCGAGACGATCACGGAGGAAGAACTCTCGGTTATGGCAAAGGAAGCCAAGAAACGGGAGGATAGTGACGACTGGAAGGAGAGGAGGGATCGAAATCTCGAACGCAGTGGACGTGATAAGGACCGGCATCGGGATCGTGACCGCGATAGAGACACCCGGCGTCTAGAGTACGACGATGATGATCGGTACGAGGGTCGGCGGAATGGATCATCTCGAAGGGATCGGAGTCGCTCGACGAGTGATCGGCATTCTAGACGGCGGAGATATGAGGATGAGGATGGCGAGGGACGAGAAGATCGATATTATCGTGAACGAGATCGGGACCGCGAGCGTCGTTCAGACCGCGATAGGGACAGAGACCGAGATCGAAGGAGCCAGAAATACTATGACGATGATAGGCACAGCTCACGACACTCATCATCGAAGGAGTCTAGCAGACACAGAGATCGGGATAGGGACCGGGATAGCGATCGCGATTCTCATCGGCGAAGGAGATAGATGTTTAGCTGGCTACGTTTTTGACATATGCACTCGCCCTCTGTATAATAACGCTTGTATATCATGCAATGACCTGATAGAGAAAAGAATCCACCTTGGAACACATATACCCTGAACGGGGAGAATAATGAAAGTGTCATGTCGAGCTGCTCTCTCACACCAGGAAACAAAACTTTTCAGAGACTTCGATGTAAATGCAAATGAATATGTACTCCTCAGACAAACACCCATAGGTATATACCGTGTCAATCCAGCAAAACAAACAACAAGAACAAAAATAATGTCTAGTCGTACATGGCCTCATATGTATAATATTGCTCATTTAACCAAGCCCTTCGATCGTCATATTAAGCACCAAGCATAGCCACATCTTTCTCTTGCTCAGGCACGTCGTCAAAACCGTCAATGCCCTGTGTCGGAGCTCCAAGTGCACTAAGACCGACACCCCCATCCATCTCCCCAAGGACCCATTCGACGAGGTAACTCTCATCCTCAAGCTCTTCAATACGGCGGTAGTGTCGCTCGGTATATGAGGCCAAGGCTTGGAGAATATCCTTCATGGCAGCTGCGGCTCGTCCATCACCACCCCGCTTAGCCATGCTCGAAGAAGCAAGCTCAACGAAGATCGAGGCGGGATACGACCGGAAGAGAGCGAAGAGGATCCGCTGTGCGACTTTAGATTGGCGCGCATTGGTGTTCCAGTCTCGGAGACGGAGGAGGAGGGCGTAGAGGTTTGCGAGGTCAAGAGTTTGGAGGACCTCGTCAATAGACGGGTTGCCGGTGAGACTGTTTGCGCGAACTTCACTCGGGATGTCGCTGTTGTGAGGATCGTCGGCGGCATCAATGGCGGTGTTGAAGAGGGAGAGAAGGCGCCCGGGGTGGTTGAGCTGGAGGGCGAGAGTAATGGCTTCGCGGTAGGCGCCTGCGACGATATAGTTCTGCAGTTGCTGGTCTTGTTCGACGCGGGCGGAGTTTGCATTGACGGCGGCGGTGTATGTTGCGGATGTCGTGTCGGTCCAGAAGGTGACTGTTGAGTCTGCGGAGCCGGAGGCGATGGCGTAGGGGGAGGTGGATTTGGAGGTAGAGGAGGACTTGGCGTTGTCGCGAGCTCCGGATGGTGTAGGGCTGGCCAATGCCCAGACTCGATCGGTGTGGTTGTCGAGAGTTGTTTCGAGTTCACCTGTGTAGGGGGACCAGACCTTTACCAGTCCATCTGCGGCGGCGGATGCGATAAGGGGCCGGAGTTGAACAGAGTTGGTGTTCGCGGGAGCTGCGTCTTCGTCGTCATCGTCCTCGGTTTTACTGGACATATCAGGTGGTGGAAGCCAAAGCACCTTGAGTACGCTGTTTGTGTGGCCTTCAAACGTAAGGAGACAGCTGTAGTCGGACAAGCTCCAGAGCTTCACTGTTTTGTCACCTGAGCCCGTCACAATCATACCCCTATTAGTGCTGCTTTTGGCATCTGCACTGAGAATTGGAGTGCCCTTGGGAGAGAAACGTGCTGACCAAACACCTCTCTTGTGCCCGCGTAAGACACCCACGACGGATCCGTCGTCGGCAGACCAAATTTTCACGGTTCGGTCTTGTGAGGCCGAAGCAAAGAGTGCTGATGATGGACTTACGTCCAGAGCGTTGATGTCCTTGTCGTGGGCCTTGCGAGTAAAAAGCGCTTTTGGTGTGTGAGGACTGTCGACATCGGCAGCACCCAGCTTCCCGGTGTTCCACCGCTTAACTGTACGATCCTGGGAACCTGTTACGACAAATGGAGGTGGGTGATTTACTGGATCCCTGTATGCTGGTGTATCAGGAGGAGGCGAGTCTCGTGGGAAACTGATGGCTCCTAGAGACTCTGCATGACCTGTGAGAAGCGCGAAGCATGTATATGATGAACCATCCGGGTCGAGGCGCCATAAACGTGCCGTGTTATCCTTTGCACCTGTAGCAAGCCAATGGCCGGACCAGTCTACATCAATACAGATGATGATGTCGTCATGGCCATCCAGGTGAGCGACATCAGCACCAAAGTAGTCCTGCTTTTCTGTTGTTGGCTTATACTCGGATGCACCAACAGAGACAATCCGAATGCTCTCAGTGTTGGTTGCCAGAGCAAGCATAGAGCGGTCAGGACCGACGTAGGCGAGATCGATGATATCGTCATCGTTTCCTGAGATGCGCCTCACAATCGGTAGCGGATCAATCTTAGACCCAGGCTTGAGGTCGGATAGAGGATCCAGGGAGTGCAGCCTCAAGGTTTGGTCCGCATGTACCGTCATAGCGAAAGGCATCCCCGGAGTATAGTGGATCGCGATCACAGCCTCAAATTCAGGCGCAGCTTCCTGGTCTCCCGTGACCTCTCCTCCTCTGTTACAATCCCAAACACGCAACCGTCCATTCTCTCCTCCAACCAAGCATAGTCCGCTTTCAGCAACAAATGTGGCTGCCTCGGCGGTCTCTAGAACAGGGATGATCCTCCGGGTTTTGAATGTTCGCATATCCCACACAATGACGGTCTTATCTCGGCCGGCGGACAGTAGGGCGTTCTCCGTTAACGAGTATGAAAGGCTGCGCACAACTGAGACGTGAGAGTCAAGCGATGCGATGGATTTCTTTTTATTCAAGTCCCACACGCGCACTTTGCCCTCTTCACTACCAGAGGCCAGTCGGAAGGCACCAGTGGTTGAAGCGGGATCTATGTCCATCATCTCATCGTCTTCATTGTCGCCTGCACCTGCAGCCTTGCGTTTCGACTTCTTCTTCGAGGATGATTTCCCGTCGTTCTCTGCGGTTGGCGGTTGGAAGAAACATAAAGCCGTAATCACGCCGCCGTGGCCGTGGAAACTGTGTGTGATAAAACCGCCTCGAATATCCCAGACTTTGATTGAGCCATCCGCAGCTCCGGTCGCAAGCAGGGTACTGGTTGGGTCTGTTGCGGTCGTTACAACTGGCGCCGTGTGGGGTTTCAGGCTTCGAACGAGCTTGGTCTCAAGGGTAGAAGTGGTGTCATCGCGAGGGGAGAGAGAGTATATGCGCATTGACATAGATCGGGAGCAGAGAATAACGTGCGAGGCCGATGGGGTGACTGGACTCGTTAGTGCATTGGTTACGGCAGGTATAGAAGTGCAAGAGACGAACTGGCTAAGCTGGTAATGACCTCTCCATCCTAACCCGAGTTAGCAGCGTAAACATCCAAGTAGACGAAGACCTACCCCTTCAAGCGTAGCGAGCTGGTCGCCGGTTTCGAGGTCAACGACGAGCGCATCTTCATTAACGCAGGCGACCAGTAGGCGGCCACTGGCATCGAGTGCGGTGCTTCCTCCGGTATAGATGGGACGAAGCGTTCGAGACGCCTCGAAGGTCGTCTTGACGACGGCTTTGGACATGGCTGAGAGTTCTGAGAGAATTAGGATACTGAACAGTCTATCGCGCCATTTCAGTCTCCCAGAAACCGCTAAATAAGTATAACCAAGAGATCAATTCGTCTTCAGACTCGTCACTCGGAAACTTTTCGATCACTTTTTTTGAGGCAGAGTTTGGTGCGTTTGTTTTGTTTGAAAAACTGTCAAACAGCGGTCCAGATTGTCTGGTCTGTGCACAGTGCGCCAGGTACGTAGTAGACGCCGTAGCCGCAGCCGCCTGATATGATGATCTCAGCCATCTACACAGGGACAGTCATTCTTTGCATCCATCAAGGTTGTATTATCACATCGTCCCAATCATTCAGCTTTGGGACACGATGATTGCGAGCACGTAACTTGCGTACGATGGGACGACGCGCATACTTGAATCGACTGGCTTTGGTATGCTCTCCGCTTTCATTTACCTATCCCAGATATTGCTTTTCTGTTTCCTGTACATCGACAAGTGCTGCAAGTTAGCTGTTTCTAGGTCTGTACTGCCCAGCCAATGGACTATATGGACTGTCCAACAATGCCTGTGTCGTACTTAAAGTTTCAAGTCTTCTTACCCTTCCATGCTATAATGCATGGCCATTAAATATTTTTAAAGCTTGACATGCGCTTTGTGGTCTTTAATTAACCAGGTTAAAGGGCCGGTCTCCTTATGAACCCCCAGAGCCTGCTCCTGGGAATTTAGGAGAACACGCAACCTCTACACACCGGAGGATATCGCCTCTCTATGCGGACAGCTATGTCCAGCACTATGACGAGAGAGGCCACCCGGTCAATCCGGAGTCTAAGTCCTTTGGACGAGACCTAAGAAGAGCCAAGAATGACATTCTTTCGACAATGGGAATTGTCGTCAGCGAGGATGCAAATCGCGGCCGCAACGAACAGCAGAAGATCAATGCGATTGTGGCTGAGAATGACTACGGGTTGGTCATGGTGACACTGGACCAGATCTCTGTCTTTCTGGGCTCGTGGTGGACGACATCACTTACTGGTCGGATACAGGTAATGCTGCTTGCTATCATGTCGAATAGATGCGCTTGGGCTAATCATACAATCATCCAGACATTCAAAAGCTACGCCCATGTTCCTATCACAGAAATTATAAACCAAGAACGTGCTTCTCTTGGTGCTCTCGGCTTTTATTTTGCTGGGATCCCTGCATGGGCCATGTCAACATGTTTGTCTATCTGCCGCCATCACCCCTTGGAGCGCTTGATTTCCACAATCCAGAACTTCTTCCCGAATGATGACACAGGCTCAAAGCTTGTGAGAGCTTCCTTTACTATTCTGCATTCTGCGTATGTAGCCCGGGTCTTTATACGCGCCAAGTCTAATCGATTACAGAGCCCGAGGAGCACTCCTCGTCCTCGCAATGCAGACTTACATGTACTCTCTACTCCAGTCTCTCCATCTAATCCCTCCTACCTCCATGCCGAGTATTGGCCACTTTATGCCTTTCGGCGAATTCACCTCCATGCTTCTTCCGAGCTTTCCTCCAGACCTCTCATTCAACTCTCTGCTCGCCTTTGTCTTGAACATTATGAAAACACCTTCTCTCTTTTACATTTATGTCTATCTGCGGCCTGTGATCGAAGTCCGTCTCTACAGACTGATTCGCAGACGGTTACCGAAACCTACTATGACAGATGATCTTTCCATCAAAGTGGCCCTCGACAACGATCTCATTGATTGGATGGTGCCCACTCTGGGGCGCCGAGCTGTAGAGGAAACACAACGCAGCAGACTTTCTTTGATGGAAGACTTGTCTTATGAGCTGGATACTCTTTGGCAATGGCTGTCTTCAAGGTTTACTTTCAGCTCACGGCGGGCTTCTCTAGCCCAAGAGGCAGAACACCAAGATCACCCCGAACCTCCCCAGCCACAAGGTCATTCGTCTTATCGAGCCCTAGATCCAGAGGAACAGCACCGAAGACTGAGAAGCGCGCAGTGGCATCCTGCCGACCAGTCCATGTCTACCAACGGGTTCGATGCACATTCCAATGGTGGTCGGAGTGAGATATCAAACGAAGAAAATCAGACCCCTGACGCGGATAATATGGACCTTTTGAGACGCGCAAGGAATCTTACTCTTTCTACCCGCACGTCATCCCCGGGCCCAGACGCTCACCAACACGAGGCTGCCACGCTGAACAGAAGCCGAAGGCAATCACGCTCAGAGACACTTCTCTCTCGTACTCCATCTCCTACATCCTCGCAGTCATCACCCCGGGTCCGCGCACAGTTGATTCAAGATTCAGATGTCATCGCCATGCAATTGGAGCTGGAAAGCCGTCGTTCCCATCAGTGGAATGACACCACTGGCAACCAGGCGGACCTTCAGAATGTTGCTGCCGGACCGGCGGGCCGTCCCCCAATATCCGATCTGCTTGACACAATTGTATCTCAGCAAGACGGCCACGTAACGACAATACTCAATTCCCAGGCTCCTAATAATGATGGTCTCCAAGGTGTTATAACCGCTGTGACATCCTCCAATCTTGGGGAACCGATGACAGCCCTAACCCCTGGCCACCAACCAAATGGCATACCGACAGACCGAAACGCAACTGATTCTTCCATAGAACCAACAACCTCGGATCCGATGAATATCCTCCCTGACGTTGTAGAAGAACCACCACTCGACGACGCCAGCAACCACTTACCGAATCAAATTGACGAAGGCGCCGACTCCGAAATCATCCCACACATGGCCGATCCCAGCGTCCACCAGAACTCAACAACCGGAACTGTAACAACAACGACATCCAGCCCTTCCCACAGGGTAACCATCCTCTCCTCCTTTCCCGTGGACTCTCTAGCCTCCCATCTAGCGGCCATGATCACCACGGCTCTCTTCGCACCCCTCGAGTCATTCTACCTTCGATCACTGGCAAAATCATACTTTGCTTCCAAAGGAGCGCCAGCCATTCTCCGATCCGATGTTTACCCCCTCGGAGTATGGGGCGGCGGGCGCTCTAGCTCTAATACATTGGCTTATATGAGTAAACTGGCTCTTATGATGGGACTCCAGGCCGCAGTGAATGCTTCCGTTTGGGGTATCATATCGGGGGCTGCGATTCGGATCGGGAGGAAATGGTGCGGATGGGGTACGCTGTAGATCAAATTGACATGTAATAATGCACATAATCTAATAATTTCACCTTGTGTTACCTTGTGTCCTGAAGGCTTAAGGTAACTACATGTATTATTGATTTGGATATAGGACGAGTACTCTCGGATTGACAGCATCAATGCTCATATTATTTATACATGAAAACACCTTCCAGACTGTCTAACTCCAAGATTTCGCTCATTTCGAAGCGGCCTTCCCCTTATCCATACCAGGAACCCTCCTCCGCTCCCAAACCATAAGATACCCTTCTTTCGTGAAGAGCGTCTCGCTCTCTGCGCGTTTCACAAACAAATCCTGGATCTCTAACCACTCCGGCCCCCGTTGTTCGCCGCTATGCTGCTCATTTTGGACACGGGTGTTCTCGGCCGCCATGGCCTTATCATGCAGCTGCACAAGCCACGAGACCTTCTCGGTGCCTGCACCGGCGCCGCTGGACGAGGCGCCGCCGCCTGAGGCTGCATTGACGCCCTTCTCAGCGGCATCCTCTGTCCCGCCGGGTGCGGTGATTGTGGGGTCGAGGATAATGTTTGCTACGAGGTCGTAGAGGATTGGTTCGCCGGGAGGCCAGATCTCCGGGTTGGGTTCTACGTAGGGCGACATGTCGAGCGAGCGCGGGGATGGGAAAGTGACGATTGTCGGGTTGCGCTCGGAGACGAATCTATTTTTGCTGAAGCGCTTGATGTGGAACATGAGGTAGGGAGGAAGTGGATGGAGGAGACGGTGGCGGAGACGGTGGGCGAGCTTCTCGGAGGCGGTGATGCCATTGTACTTGTTGAGGAGGGTGGTCAGGGGGACTTGAGGGATAATGGATTCCCTGTTTGCGGATTGGAAGAGAGGTGTTGGAGGCAGGTCGAGGGTGAGGATGAGGAAGGGTGTTGTTTGACTGTTGATGGTGCCAGATTCTGTGAAGACCAGGCGAGCGTTCTGCGTGTCTGAGTGCGCTGTGATGGCTTGGCTTTCGATCCGGAGGCGGCCTTGGAACGCGGCGTGGACGACACTAGTTGCTTTTTTTGATGGTTTCCGGGAGCCACCAAGCGCGAGGTGTAGATTGTTTAGGAACCAGGATAGGAATTCCACTGGGTCAGACTGTTGGGTGAGGGTGAATCGCTTGGAGGACCGCAGAGCAATCTCTTGCAATAGTTCGTGAGGGGATACGTGGGACCGGAAGGCTTTGGGGTTCCAAAGCTTCCGCACGAGTGTACCAAAGCGCAGGACTAGTTGAGGTGTACCAGGCTGTGGGAAGTCGTGGAGAAGAAAGTAGTTGCGAATCGGAAGGACATGAGCGAGGGCCTGGGCAACGACGTTCAGGTAGTCGTTTGCCTTGATATTGTTCATACCAACAAAACCTAGAGATACCCCAGTTAGAATGACACCTAAGAGATGTATAAAAGCGGGAATGGGGTATACCTGGACGATAGCGTTTCCCCGACAGGTCGAAAGCATCGGTGACCTCCTTGTCTAGCTTCGCAACCTCATCCTTGGTGTAGTACGGATCGACCACGTATTTGATATCATCCAAGCTCTTGTTCTTGACTTCATAGCCCTCTGGTAAGACGTAGACCTTCTTCGTTCCCATGTTGACAAAGACATGGTGTGAAACCTCTAGGGCATGGAAGTAGGCGTGGGATTTGGGACCTCTGCCCTGGAAGTACTTGCCACACACAAGACAAGCGTAGACGTTGATATTCGACAAGCTGACCGAGCACAATTTTTCGAAGTCAAAGTCCAGGATCTGGCGATTGATCGTATCGAGGTAGAGGTCGCTGTATCCTTCCATCGGAGCGCTCTGGCGTTGAGGGGCCACAATCGCAGGTCGGTCGTCGTCCACTTCGTCGTCCTCTTCCTCCTCGCCTACTTGCGCGGCTTCTTGAAGTTCCTCTCCCTCTTGATCTGCGGCTGCAAGGATGTCATTTCCGTTGCGTTCATCGTTCTCCATCTCTTGTCCTGGAGCTCGGCGCAATGGTAGTGCTCCGTGACGCGGGTCATCTTCCGGCAGGTTGTCGTCTTCCACGCGGGCCTTCTTAGAGGCCGGAGAGCCAGCCGCAGCCTCTTGCTCCAGCGACAACTCTGCCTGTCTTTTGGACATCATGACTTGTTGGGGAAATGGCGAAACGAAAACTGTAGAGCTGCCAACGTTCTGGAAATCCTCGCGGCGGAAGAAGAATGTATGCAAACATGGCAAACAGAGCTCGACTTGCATCATTGCTCGCCAGCGGAGCAGCGGAGCAGAGCTCGCATTGACTTTCAAGACCAAACGGACTTTAAGATATAGTTACTCAGCTTTGAGGCTCATGTCGTGTCATTTCATTTATTGTCTACCTAGCAGCCATTGTCGGCTGGAAGACTACACTAGAGTCAAATGCAAGCGATCATCTCAGAAATCCCAAAGCCCATGATATCGGAAACTAATCCGAAAAGGATAAAATGCTTGTATGATACATTAAGCACTCTTGACAATTCGGTTATTATCGAATTCTACCTCCCTCACGCCATCTTTAGTCACCACCTTGACCAAAACCTACAAATCGTTAGCAATCCCATGTGACATATAGACCGGGACAAATTAACAACGTACCCCCTTGTAGTCAATCGGCAGCCGACGCTTCAACTCATCTGTGCACATCTCTAACAGTTTCATGCCCTGCTCCAGGGTAATGTCGGGATGGTGGTGCTTGTCAAGCGTTGATAGACAGTAGTACTGAGCATAGCCGTGAGCGGCATATGGGACTCGGGCCAACGAGGCGAGGTAGTCGATCCAGTATAGGTGTGGTTTCTGAGAGATAGGGTCTACTCCGCCGAGAAGAAGGTTCACTGTGTAGGGGTTTCGCGATCGCAGGCTGCGGGCCAGCTCTCCTCGAACGAAGTTAGCGACGGCGTTTGGGGACAGCTCGGTATCGTTTCGCATTGTGTATAGCTGGACATTGGCTTGAACGTATTCGGCGAATTGTACTGCGACGGGAAGCTCGAATTAGTTCTGTGACGTTGAAGCTCCGGCATAAATAAGCGCGAACGAACCCGTGTCTCCCGCCTCCCCAGAGAAAGCGACAAGGGTGTGCTCGTTTAGTTGCTTCGTCTTATCATCTTCGGCTTTGAGAATGGTGGGACCTCTCATAGCAGCCTTTGAAGCTGCCAGAATGACGAAGTCTTTGCCTGTGATACCAAGTAGAACCTCCCTATGACAGTGTCGGTCAGCATGGCTGGCACTAGCTATGTGGACGAGATGGGCACATACATGGTGACGATGTGAGTCTCGAGCTTTCGATAGCTGGTGCGGTAATTCGAGCAAAGATAGCAGTCTTAGTTGGAGGGAGATAAAAAAGCAGAATGAATGGATTGTCGTTTACTACTCTCTATCTCTGGCCGCGCGGAGCTTGACTGCCTGGACCTAGCTGTTGCTTTCCCGCAGCAGGCGGAGCTGTAGCGCTGACTCAGCCCAGCCTACGTATCACACCGCCTGCACGGACCACGGGCAGAAAAAAAAGTTCGAAAATGAACGGACGTCGGAAACTCAATGACCGAGTAGAACCGACGGAGTCAACTGTCTCAATTGGAGAACGCCCGTACAGGTCAATCTTCATTCGGTGCATTATTCTCGATGTCGTCGTTTTTCACCTTGCCGGCTTCTCAGAGGAAGCGCAAGAGGGAGGACCGCGCTGGAGCCCCCGCCTCAAAGAAACGGGGCGTCGATGCGGATGGAGTTGCGCGCAACAACAGTGGGAAAAAAACGAGAGAACGGGACGAATCAATCTCCGGAAGCGACTTAGATGAGGATGCGGAGAGTGTGGCGTCAGTAGCTTCAGAAGAGGAAAGTGGTTCGGAGTCGGATGAAGGGGAAACGGCGGCGGACCGAAGACTGAAATTGGCGGAGCGATATTTGGACAATGTTCGAGATGAGGTGGACTATTACGGTTTTGATGCTGCAGAGATTGACAGGGACTTGATTGCAGAGCGACTAAAGGAGGATGTGGTACGTGCGAAAGCACCCTACGACTCGATCTAGCATTGACCATATCATCAGGACGAATTCAAAGGGCGAGTATATCGTCAAATTGCCTCCGACTTGGCTTTTCCGGCCGCTTCACATGCATTTTTCCGAGCAGATACACAAACTACAACGTCAATTGCCATACACGCACCATATGTCTACACAGTTTCCAAGGACCGGACTTTGATCAAGTGGGAACTTGCAACGCCCGGCGCGGCAGCCGCAACATCTGAAGCAAAGGGAACATCAAAACGACCTCCCAGGCCACAGCGGAAGAAGCCGAAACAAGTGCGGTTTACACGGGGCCTACAGAAGGTTGCCGAGAGCGCAGAGGAGCAAGGCCACACCAAAAATATTTTGTCAGTGGCAGTATCCCCATCAGGGAAGTTTGTTGCTACCGGAGGAGAGGACAACAAGCTCATCATCTGGGATGCCGCTACCCTGACGCCCGTACAAACATTTTCCCAACATCGCGACTCCGTCAGCGGGCTGGCTTTTGCTCGCCATATCTCCACAATGAGCTCAGGCGAGCAACTGTTCTCCGGATCCTTCGATCGAACAATCAAGACCTGGTCTATCAGCACAGCTGGTCATGCCTACGTTGAGACATTGTTCGGTCATCAAGATAACGTCGCCTCAGTGGCCGCCATGACGATCGACCAGTGTATCAGTGTCGGAGCCCGCGATCGCACCGCCAGACTGTGGAAGGTAGTTGAAGAATCCCAGCTGATCTTCCGCGGCGGCTCGTCCAAAGACACTTACAAAGAGCATAACATCGACTGTATTGCCCCCTTACCACCTACTCACTTTGTCACTGGCTCCGACAACGGCGCTATCTCCTTATGGTCCGTCCACAAAAAGAAACCCCTCTACACCATACCCCACGCTCACGGCCTCGACCCGGTTCCCCCGGTAGAGGCAATTTCTCCCGAAGTTGATCGGGAAACCGCCGAATCGAACGCACGCTTCCTGAAGCCCACGCCTCGCTGGATCACAGCTCTAACCACCGTCCCGGGCACAGACATCGTCCTAAGCGGTAGCTGGGACGGCTGGATCCGTGCATGGAAGATCTCAGACGACAAGAGGACGATTCAACCTCTAGGCACTGTTGGCGGAGGCACCCTCTCCCCCGCGGACGCACCTGATACCCCTTCCAAGCAACTAGAGCAGAGTCTTGCATCTGCCAACCCATCCCATCGACAGAGCCTAAACACACTGCCCGAATCCGAGACCGAGCCACTCGTAAAGGGCGTAGTCAACGGCATCGCCGTCTTTGAGCGGCGCGCAGAAACCGCAAAGCCGGGGCAAATCCCCTCCGAGTCTAAATCAAAGTCATCAAAATCCGCCTCCGAAGCGCGCGGTCTTTGTATCGCCGTTGCAATTGGCAAAGAGCATCGCCTCGGACGCTGGAAATGTTACGGGAATAGCTACCACAAGGGGTCTACACCGGAAGGCCGAAATGGTGCTATGCTTCTTGAGGTTCCATTCTATGCTGATAGACTTGGTCAACAGGAGGAATGAACGGAGCCTTCGTGATCGACCTGTTGTACTCTTTATCATTCTACAGATGATTGTATTTATACTATTCCCAGCGGCATTTTAGCATTTTTGGAAAAGCAACTGCTATTTTATGATTCATCTTTGCCCTACTTGGATGATATGGTTTCCTACTGGGTTTAAGCTTAGTACAAATCGAAGATAGTGAGGATGTTAGTGGCCTTCAGTTAGTGAGGGTATTCGCTGAAAGGCTCGGCTATAAATGGGATTGCTTGAGATATCAAGTTATCATTGGCTAGCTATATCCACCTACTAGGTAGTTCCAGGGCACTACCTCTGTAAGGATAGACTGCTGCCATCTTGTTCCCTGCGGTAAGGATTTTTTGTCAATAGAAGTCACCAGAAATTTCCAGAATCGTTCTATAACATATGCAGGAATGAAAAAGCCATGAATGAGGCTCGCTTAAAAGGTATTTCCCCGGCGCCCGAAAACTCCAACAAACATTAGGTCATAAAAGTGAAAGATCTGCCCACAATTCCATGGTCAATAGCGCAAGAAACCGTATGTGCCGGTAATTGATCACGAATACGGAAATTAGAGAAAAAAAAGGTCATATCAAAGTACAGCCGGTCGAGCTCTTGCCCGTCTCACGGAAGGTCCAACTGGCCCTTCGTCCGAGTCATCATCTAGAGAGATAGCACCAGTAGCGGACGAGCCCACTGTTGGAGGCTGAGTTCGAGTACAGGCAGTGGTAGCGGTTGCACCATTAGCGCGAAGGGGAGAAGAGCTTGATAATAGGCTATACGTCGGTATGCGTCTGTTCCCGGTCACGGCAGGTCGAATGGGCTCCTCATCATCGTCATCATCATCATCATCGTCGTCGTCGTCCTCATTGTCGTCGTCGTCCTCCTCCTCATCGTCAGGGTCCTCATCGTCCAGCGAGTCCTCGTCTTCGTCGTCCTCATCGCTTGTTGAGCTTGCGTCTTCATCTGGCACCTCGTATGGATATGGATGGGTTGGGCTATGCCTCGAGGCGGGCGCGGGCGACGAGTCAAGTATGGTGTGCAAAACCGTCCCACCATGTTCGGGACCTCCAACCACGGTCGATCGATCCGAGTCCGAAGCATAGTCGTCAAGCTGCTCTCCATCATCGATAAAGGAGTCCATATCCTCGTCTTCTTCTTCGTCCATCTCGTCCTCATCGTCGCCGCCGTGGGGCGAATCATACGAATCGAAATCTGAATGACCGTGGTAATGTTCGTAGAATGCACGACGCATTGCACCAGGACCATGCATTTCATCAGGACCATACCCAGGGTGAAAGCGGAATATGGGTTGAAAAGCCCGGATGCCGGGGAACTGCGCTGGTGTTATTTCATCATCATACCACTCAGTTGCATCGAAGCCTGGCGCTTCCCCAAACCCATCCTCTATATCATCATCTACCTCTCCATAAGGATCATCCGTCATTTCAGAGTTCTCCTCCGAGTCACTTCTGGTATCGGACATCGAATCGTCTTCATGACGGTATCCGCAGTTCAAGCAGTCATCCTCCTCCAATTCATATGCACAGTGTGGACAGCGAACAACGCCATCTTCAATGTCGTAGATGGGTTGAGCAGGTCGGTGCCGCGTCTGATTGAATATGCCCCGAAAAATACCCCCTTCTTTCGGATCTTTATTTTTCTTATCCGCTTCTAACCTCTCGGCTTCTTCGGTTTGATGTGCTATGTGTTGATCGGTTGTTTCTCCCTTATCTAAAAGCTCTGCGCGGCTAGTGAACAACTGGACAACTGCACGGATCTAAGTTTGCGATTAGACCACGTCTGAAGATAAGCAAGCTATAGGACGGCCTACCAAATATGCAGGCGCTGGCTGCGATTTTACTGGGGCTCGACAATCAGGGCAAGTTTTGTTGTTCTTGCCTTCAGCAAACCATGAGGTCAGGCAGCCGTAGCAAAAAGTGTGTCCACAGGCAATGGTGAAAGGCTCGTAGAGTGGTCGGATGCAAATGCCGCATTGTAAAAGGCCGCGAATGTCATCAACATGACCTTGTAGTGTGTTGAAAAGCTGGTCACATAACATCGCGATTAGTATAACTTCAGTAAATCCACCAAAGCAACTCACCCCTGAGATATCCTGCGGCGCGGCAGCCTTTGTTCCGCTAAGGCCCTTGCCCAAAGCGGCTGTCGGAGGGGTGTGCCTCGACATTGTCCGCAAAGATTACTCCCACGGATATGAAGCGAAAGTGAGATTCGGATCGAGAGGTCCCTTCCCGGTGTTTCAAGGGAGTTTTGAATGCTTGCTAGAGGCCAGCAAAATGGACGATCGACGTACGGTAGTTGTTCAGGTAATTGAGGGAAGCACAGGCATAAGTTATAACGCGGGAGGATGAATCGCGGCTGAGCGATATACGGGAGTCTCTGGGACAGGAAATTTCGAAGAACAGCGGGGCGAGGATTCTGGAGTTGAGGGAGCGATACAAGGGGCCTCAAGCGTAGGGACTCGAGGATTCAGCAAGGAGGGCTATGATAACCGACCAGCGGTTTGCGAGCATGACTTTTTCTGTCGGGGATTGAGAGCAGCGCGCAGGAACCAAACCGATCAAACACGCGTGGTTGACAAAGCAATCATCGCCACTAGACTGGACCCTCACATGTCATGATGTTCCTGATCCTCATCTTCCCCCACACTGGTGTAAACGCTCAACTTATCTCAACTTTTGACTTACCATGAACCGTGAAGCGTCACCTATTCTTCTTGAGTATAGTCGGATCATGGCCGGGCTTACTCTAAATGTAGCAGCTGAAAGTCCCGACGTCGTCAATCGCCATATCCGTGTAGAATGGTGGATGCTCCTACTAACAGTCAATCTTCAGTTACAAGCAAGCAAGCCTGACCTCGCTGTTGTCTTCGCATACCGAACGCTTGCTATAGCTGTGACCGTGGCGGGCAGCGACCTCGCTTCAGACCCGCACTTCTTTCGCTGCTTGTCCCCATTTGCCTCAAGCCGATAGCCATAACGCTGGAAATGGAGACTGACCTCGTTCACCTGCAGGAAACTCACACGTCCTGTAGGGCTACATGATGCCGGTTCTCCCTTGTATGGCTTCTCAATGTTGGGCAGGTCCGCTGGTCTTCTTGGCCATATGCATCTTCCTGCTACTCAGTCAACTTATTTTGTTATGTTACTGATCCGAGTTCAAGCGTGCCGGCTGTTGAACGCAACTGAGAGCTGCATCTTGCTTGATTAGCATTCTATCAGTTTCGGGTCAGCGATATTTCATCACAACAAATACAGATCTCCACAGTAACTCGAAACTGGCGCTTTCAAGCAGATACCAAAGGTGGGGGGAAATAGATCAACGTTTCCAAAGCAACAAGCGCTCAAAGCATCAAAAAGGCAGACTGTCAACCTAATATCAAGTCATCACGTATATCCGAGCCAGCAGAAACCTCAACTATCGTGATATATCGTGTGTACTAAGTTGTGGCCAGAATGCCCATCAAAAAAATACCGGACACGATCATGCCACTGCGACTCGGCTTCTTTTGTTGATCTCTCCAGTTTGAGTTCGAAGTGGCTATCATCTACCCTGCCTGAAACTACTTTGCCGTCCTCGACTATCTCCTTGTTCATATTCTCCGGGAATTCGATTTTATCTTCGAATAAATTGCTTCGAATGATGCGTGTCGAATGGTCGCGGGCCCGGGGGCCCGCTGCTGATCCCGCATCAGTCTATTGGCGTGTCGAAAACGATCTTGAAGCATGTCGAAGCGGTACTCAAAGAACTATAACTTTAAGTATAATTCCCCAAGCTCCGAGATGCGCCGAACCATGGTAAGGATTGTGTCGTCTTTGATTAGCGAAGAACGTGGTCGGAACGAGGTCATCATAATAGTGATTTTTTCGGTTTCTCCCAGCCGCGAAGAGCTCGGTGCTCAATGTAGCGACCCTGAAGGATTACGGTTTAACCCTACAAGCGTGAGCATGCACCAGCGTATAACGAGTTCTGATCCTTACCATCTGAGGGCCACGGACTTTGACCACCTCACCATCTGCGTTCCTAAAAGCGGTCTCGCCTCCTATCATGTCTGTACAGTCCGAAAGCACGGTCACACACACTAAAGGGTAACTGTCCGTATACTAATCAATAATCGGTCTTCCCAAGCGCAGCTTGACGCCCCTTCGTTGGCTGCTCGGCTTGTCATCTCCATCACTTCATCGAGTGCCATGTTTATTTCTTCGCTGTAGACAGCGAGGTTGACATGCCCTATTTCAAAGTCCATGGCGGGAACGAACCCGCCCCTGCGAGCTTGGGAATGATCGCAAGAGTCTCAGACTTCTTCCAAGCGTCGCCTACGACTGGTGCGCAGCTGTTGAATCCGAGTCAGTCCATTGTGATGCTGGAAGTTGGAGGGATAACTCACTCTGCTGCGTATCCCCTGAGTTGACCCTGGGCAGGCTCGCTTGAGTACTTCCATTTGGAGAAGACCTCATTTGCTGAGGACTTCTTCCTCGTTTGCTGAATGGCCTCGGAAGAGGACCACGGGAAGGGTTCAAATACTTCTACTGGGGATATCCCACGGCTTTGTGAATAGCCAAATTCTTCCATATTGTGCACTCTGGCAGACGTGGTGTGGCTCAAATGCTTGGACGGCTCGAACAAGACTGTGTCTACTGTTCTCGAGGTGGTCATATCCTTCATCTTCAGACCGGCGTGTACTATTGAGTCGGGTAGAGTTGCTGAGGTAAGTGTTCCTACGGTAGCCATTGTCTATACCACTACCGACGAGCAGTCCCTAACTAAGTATTGAGCCTGAGGATAAAGCTGTGACATATCTTTGATGTCCTCTTGTTGGTCTGGTATGTTCTATATCTGTCTTTTTTTTTATGTTATAAAATCGGCGCTTCGTCTCTTACTACTAGTCGGTCATCAAGGGCACACAATGTAACAAGAACATCGAGCTTCTGAACCCACAATATCAGAATACCTTTTCCTGTCATAAATGGATACCCTTAAGCCAGTAGTGCGCGATATGGTACCATAATCACAGCAATAAATAGTATGTAAAACCGATTACAACCAGCGCCAAGAATGCTGTAGGTATGTGTCTGCATTTAGATCTCCGTGCCAAGACTCCGCCGGCGATCTGTTCTCCAATCTTTTCCGACCCTAGTATCTAGACCTAGACCAACATCCATCCATCGGCTATCTAGGCTTGTAATCTTTGTCTACGACAAACACCCATTATCATCGCTGGCATATTGCTTTTGAGAGCCTTCTATAGCTTTCACCTGCAGATACCGGATCTTACCCACTATGGCCTCCCACCCGGAGCAGCAGGCGTCCTCTTCGGCGGACGTCTCTTCCAATTCCTGGGGGAAAGTGGAGCGAAAGTTCACCAAGTGCGTTGGCCCTCTATATTATCTTATTAATGTGACCTCTTGATTCGCATCCACTGTGAAATTCCTGAAACAAGTTGTCACTGTTTCATGGCCAGGAATGTCCAAACAAGACCAGTCACACCCAGTTTCCCCCAGGGCTGTTCGGTTTGCCGTTGCCTCATTAGGCTGACTTGATCTGCTGTCTTCCAGCAAATCGGCTAGCGAATACTATGATCCCTGTCAGGACTTTGCGGACCGAAGTCTCAAGTGCATGAAACGAAACCCTGATGATAAGGAAATGTGCCACGACTACTTCCAGTACGTGTTTCCCTGCGCTGCCTTAACCTTATCCGGCCCAATACCCTCGCTGTCTACTCTACTTGACCCATGTGGATGTAGCTCTAAACCCTGTGAACCCCGAGATCTACACTTAGTTCGTTGGCTTGATCTCACTGACACTCAACCTTAGAGCATATCGTGATTGCAAGAAGCAATGGGTAAGTACAACTACCGTACCCTGCTACCCATCTTTTGGTTTCAGGATACATTGATCACAGTTTTCAAAGTGACTTCATTTCACGATGTCTCCAGCCTCTCTGTCTGCATTCATAAGGAGCTGACAAGTCGGCAGTTAACGCAGAAGAAGCTCGGTTTGGCTCCAACCAAACAGTGAAGCAGATGACGACCCTACTCGTCCCTTAACCTGCGTGGTGAAAGCGCCGCTGTTGCGAACCTCAGTCTATATCCGCCATAGCAAGGCTGTTGGGTCTTTGGGCAGCACCCCGAGCTGTCCACATCCAAAAGGTTCGCGTTGCAGGCTTCTGGCTACTGCGAAATCACGGGTTGAAATAACGGGCCCCTGGACGTCCTGCAGGATGCTCGTACTCAAGGTCATCGGACAGAGCATTGGCGCTTGAACACCGAGATTCTTTTGGCCGCAACGAACTACTTCCATTCCTGGTATTCTGGCTTTATCCTCGCAATTCGGTTAGCTACATTGTACGACAAGTGTTTCCTCACATCTTCCTGGGCTCATTTGAGCTATTGCTGCCTTTGGATGTATTTTCCTTGCTCCGCTGGCCTTGATGCTTGCCCGTGGGCTGTATGTATTACTGTATATATATAATATCTCCTCTCAACACCAATGGCTTCCCTTTTTTCCTTTTGTTGGAGTATAAACGGGCCTATAGCCAATTGGCTTTTACAGCCTAGCGTATATGCTAACAAGTTATGAGCCCGGAGTGGTCTTTATGGACTTGGAGTCCGTTTGCATACAAACACGGATGCTTTATAGATCAGACTCTTGACCAATCCTTACCTGTGTGCCTTTATCCATAAAACCTAGCCTAGTCTAACAATCCTAAATACCATAAGAGGACTAGTGCAAGGTAAAACATCTACCAAGGGTAAAACAGAGCTATATAAGCCGACTTTCCAGGGGGTGTGTTGGAGTATAAGGACGGGCCTATAGCCAATTGGTTTTTATGGCCTAGGGGTAGACCTATGCTAACACCTTTTTGTGGATTTGTATGCCGCATGAGGATTGACATGTCGAAGCCGGATATTTTGTTTTCGGCTCCCATCCGACTCGTGGTTGCTAACGGCCAAACTATAGATTGACCGTGGGCTTTGATACCTCATCGGCATCGATGAGATAACAGACGTAGATCCATCATCATTTGGACCAACTCGCAGCAAGACGCAGACGGTGGTTAGGCTTTACTCAAAAGTTCCATCGAGTCTGACAGCATAAGCATTCCGACCTTCAAAGCAAAAAAGGAAAAGGTTCTCTATCTCATACATTTTCTCTCCTTTTGCACCTGGCTCTGGGATTTATACCAATGTCCCTGTCATCACCGCCTTCCGCAAGTGACTTCCCCGCCCACTTTAAACCGCCAGAATGAAGAGAAATATTCCCCCCTCGTCATCCTTTGATTACCTTCCCCGCACAACGTGTGCTGTGCTTGAGTGCGCAGCATACGATCCTTTCTTACCATTTCTCTCTCACCGACGTTCGTTAACCCGATCAGAGATCAAATATCTGTATTTTGAACATTAAAACCTTCCACAATGTCGACCAATGATGTCGTGTTTCAGCGGCGGAATAAGCAGATTGAAGATGCCATTGACGGGCAGAATCTGAAGCAGGCGCTGCAGCTGATCGAGAAGAGAATTAAAAAGGGAGAGGACACACCATTCTTGAGGGTACGTTCTTTTGATCGTTCAATGTGAACTGTACTGCCGGTTTGCCTTACTGCTTCCTTAAAAGAACATATCATCCCTTGACCCGTTTCATGCTATTCGGACTCGCTGACATTCTGGATAGTCATGGAGGGCGCATGTCCTCTTCCGACACGCCGACGAAGCCCACCGCCAGCGGGGTATCGCGGAGACCCTCCAGCTCTGCAAAGGGGACCCGGCGGTGACAGACCTCGACACCTTGGACATGTTGTATGAGACGCTTCAGAAGATTGGCGGACATGAGGAGACTATGAGAAGTATATGGGAGAGGGCAGCGAAAGCCAAACCGCAGGTTCGAGATATACAGACGAGGTGGTTCGATTTTGCTTTCGAAAGTGACGACTGGAAGTCAGCGCAGAAGGTGCGTGTGCTTCGATTCTTCGATGCTCGGTAAAAGGTCGCAGACTAAAGCCCTCCGATTTCACAGGCTGCCATGTCCCTGCAGAATAACTTCCCAAAGAAGCGAAAGTACTATATTCGGGCCATCTTCCTCTGCTATCTCCTCGCAGTCGACGAAGCAAGCTCCGAAATGGACCGGAAACTCTTCGGGACCCTTGCCTATCGCATGGTATCTAAAGCTGCTGAAAGCGTCCCGTCCGATCCGGTATGTTGTGCCCGTTCAGTGTTCTTCCTGCCACCCTCGTCCCCTACTTTTCGTGACTCTTTCGAGCCAGAATGGTAATATTTATGCCCAAAATATAGAAGGAATTACTGAGCCCTCCTAGAGCTATCCAAACAGCCGAGGAGCTATTGTTACTTGTTAAGATCTTTGAATCTCAAGGAAAACATGCCGAAATTGTCAAAATCTTGGATAGTAACAACCTTGGCATCAAGTCCAGGATTGTTCAGAACGACTGGTCTTTCGTTGGCGTCAAGCTCACCAGTTTAGAAAAGGCTGAGTTGTGGTCTGAGGGCTTGTCATACGCCAAGGAACTTCTCGCTATCCCCTCCACTGAAGAACAGAAGAAGGCTATTCAAGAGCGCGACGACTGGGCCGTGTGGCATTTGCTTGTCACCGCCACCCAGAAGTTAGACAACGCCGAGTATGTTCTGACTGTGACGTCCCATCGAGGATGATGTTGACTGACGCCCTCTAGGACGACGTCTGAGACGCAAAGTCTCATTTCTAACTTCATTGCCGCTCAGCCCAAGTCAAGAAACGCGCAATTGGCGCGCCTCGACTTGACACATTCCAGCTTCCAGTCCGGAGCGTTGAAACAGGAAAACTTGCTGTCTGATTGTCAGGCTTACTTTGACCACAGCAAAAATAAACTTTACTGCTTCGGTGACCTTTTGGGTTATCTCCCCTCTTTGGATAAAGAATCTATCACGACTTTCGTAGAATATGCGTCGGGAGCTTCCGTACAGAATGAGGTGTGTGACCAGCAATCGGCGGTTGAGTACTCTTGCTAACCGCTCATAAGGCCACTGGCCCATTCAAAGGGGTTGCCGTGATCAACGCGCTCAAGTTGGAATATTGCTTCCTTTTCTCTTCCTTTGCTTCAAGTGTGTCGAGAGAGAAAGTGGAAGAGTTTGTCTCGCGCTGCTTGAAAGAGTATCGCGACACTGAGCGTCCTGGCCGAAGCTCTGCCCCGTCTACCATTGAAAGTCAACCGAGTGATGACCTATGCATTCTCGCAGCGATGTGCTTGCTTCGCTTCAGCGGCAACTGGGTGTCGAGTAAACAGGAAGAAGTCCCTGACATTATGCTCATTCGCGCAGCGGCGATTTTGGAGCGTCTGATCGTCGATTCCCCGCACAACTACCAAGCGTTGCTACTTCTTGTGCGACTATATCTCCGATTGGGCGCAGGCTCTCTCGCATTGAAAACGTTCAGCAAGCTTTCGGTCAAGCAAATGCAGTTCGAGACAGTTGCTCATAATCTCTTTACGCGTCTTGCGACCATCCATCCCCACTCAGCACCGCCGATTGACGGCGCAGAATACAAGGATTTTAACCCTCAATCAGCCTTCGTACAGGCTATGATATTCTATCTAAGTGCAAACGCCACGTCGGCCAGGCACCGCTCGAATGGCTTGGAATACGGCAGCTTTGTGAACGTCGAGGGAACCATCGAGCTTCAAAGGCGACTTAGACAAAGTATATGTCGCAGGATGTGGGCGCTAGAAGTCAAACGGGTGCAAAGATTGGCTGGCGGAGAACCTGTTGGACGTTACGACGAGATAGGTTTGTACCACTCAACTAGGATCATGAGCTACCCGCTAACCACTATGTAGCGAGAGATCCTTCACCGTTAGTTGACCAGCGTACGTTCGATGCTTTTATGAACTGCGAGGCTCCTGGTCAAGCCACTTTCGAGCAACTGATGCGCGTAGGCCCTCTGCCTCAAGTACGTTATCTTCCCACAGTATATGACATGACTACTAACGGATTTAGGATCGATGGGTGAGGTCAGCTCAGATGACAGATAGACTTTCGGGATTGCTTAAGGACATGGCGGCTCAAAAGCCAATTTCAGAAGTGCCTGAGATCCCTGCGCTTGACGGTCTCACAGGGACTAGCGTGGAGTCTGAAATGACACTTTCGGAGATCGAGTGTACAAACACTAATTTCAACCTGCTGAGATTGGCTGTGTACCTTAGCGGTTCAAAGTCTGTCACGTCTGAGCAAATCGACGAGAGTCTTAGCCAGGTGGAAGGATGGTTGAACTCCAAGTTAGAGGCTCTAAGCATAGGTGGGAACAGTGTCTCCCCAATCATGTCAGAGACAGCCATTTGCTTGAAGGCGGATGCTCCATATGCTCCGACCTGGCGATTCTTCCATGCTGTTGTAAGCATTCTTGACTCTGTCAAGGCGTTGGTTTCTCTGTGCACCACTGCATCGAAGAAAGCTCCCAAGGGCGCCAAGTTACCCAAGGATCGAGTTGAAACGTTACTTGATCTAGGGCGGAAGGTACACCAGGGTGTCCAGGCGAACATCCGCGCGCTCAAGAAGCAGGTTTCTGAGTCAGGGAAGCTTGGCTCGTTGATTGACCTGGTCGTCACTGGCAGTGGCACTGGTGAAGATGGCGCCCAGCTTCGCAGTGAGTTGGAGAAAGTGCTCGATACGTCTACCCTGGAACTCTTCTGCGGCGAATTGATGGAAAGCTGGGACGAGGCTCTTGGCGGAGTGTTGGCTGTGCGGATGTGATCTGCTTTACTGGCATATAGATATATCTACTTGAGAAATATAGAGATGTCGTCTTCCGTCTGCTAGTTGATCTGCTGAAACTATCCAGATTCTGGGGCCGGCTAGGTACATACCACGCCGCCAACTCTCTTTATTTCAACTCCACTCTCTACGGATGCACTCCTCCGTATACCCCTGCTTCGGATTGAGGCACAACGGCATCGCGATAATAAACTGTCCGACAGAAATTGTTTGTGTCCCACCTCACACCAATGTCACCCAGCTCACGAGGTTGGGAGATCATGACCGAATGACCGATGTTCGAGAATCGACGGGAATGCCGTTCCGCTGCAAGCAAGGGATCTCCACGAAATGAATACCGACGTTTCGTGTGGCTAGTTCGGTTTCCCCTCGATTTTTCAACTATCTCTGAAATCTCTCGCCCCCTTACTTACTCGCCGTCCGGCGGCTATGCTGCGTCCACTGCAGGAAAAGATCCTCCGAGCACCTGGACCTATGTCTTGACCAGGGAGGGGTTACACTGCAGTTCGCGCACCCCTCGATGTCTAATCAGGACGGAAAGCTGCAATCCCCTCCCTGACATGAAGTGATCCCTCTCGGCGGACTTTGCATTTGCTTGTCTTGTTACATCTCTTCGCTCCGGCTACTTCTCTCCCAGTGCCCCCTTTCGACTCTGACATATCAAGCAGAGCGAAACTTGAAGATGCACCCGCCATCAGCTTTGACTTAACTTTCCCGTGTTTGAAACCTTATACACGGAGCTTCTCTGATCGTCTTCGTGGAATGAGCCCGGGCCAGTCTGACAAACGCTTTTCATATCGTCAGCTATCAGCATGGTCAGCCTCGGGGTACTTATTCGCCAGTCCGCTGTCCAGGTTGCGGATCAGTCTTACGACTATCAGAACTCTGCACGAATGTGGGATATAGTTACTCAGTCGGTGTGCCTCAGCGCCAGCACGATCTGTATAGGCATGCGGATGTACACGAAGTTGCTAATACTGAAAACGCCAGGATGGGAAGACTGTATGTGCTTTGAAACTCGCAACCTCCTAGCGAACGTGACTAAATTGAGATCCTAGTTATCTGTGTTTTAGCTTGGGTATAGTGACTGCGAAGCTTCTTCTCCAGATATCGCTCAATTGCTAACAGAGTCTTTCTAGCTCGGTTTGATCGCCTATGCCGTAATAACCATCGAATTGGACAAGCATGGCAACGGAGTCCACATGACTACAGTTGCTGTGGTAGATAAGCCGCAGTACAAGAAAGTGAGATTCCCTCCCTGCCTGGTGCGTGGCGGCTTTTGTTGACAGTGTGAGTTATGTGTAGCTGGCCAATGCTTCGCAAATCCTCTATGCGCCTCTGATATTCATTACGAAGCTGTCCATCTTCCTCCTGTATCTGCGCGTGTTTGCGCCGGCTCGTCGAGGCGTGACTTATATATCCATCCACCTGCTGATCTGGTTCAACCTGGCTTTCTACCTGGCCAACTTCTTTTTGAAGGTCTTCCAATGTGTTCCGCGTGCTAAGATCTGGTACCCGGAAATTGCAGGTCATTGCATCAACATCAATATTCCAATTCTTGTGACTGCCGCGATCAATGTGCTGTCTGATCTCTTAATGCTCTGCCTACCAATCATCTGCGTTTGGCGGCTGCAGATGTCGACTAAACGAAAGCTAGGCGTCTCTGCTATATTTGCTGCTGGTATTTTGTAAGTTCATATGCTTGGTACTTTCCTTGGTATAATAGGCCAGAAGTGCTAATCCTAATCTCTAGCGGATGCTTTGCAAGTATAATGCGTCTCGAAGTCAGCGTCAGAAACAGACACACTAAGGACCAGACATACGACTGGTACAGTGAGATTCTTTGGACGTAAGTTCATCATCCAAGCCATTGAATATAATTATACAATCATGCTGAGATTAGGCGACTCCAGCACGGCCGAAATCACCTGCGGGATCCTCGCGAGCTGTCTCCCCGCTCTACCGACCTTCTTCCGCCACTTCATTGGCAAAGCCAGAACGGTTCTCTCGATAAGCCGCACAAAAGTGTCTTCGAACCAGAGCCATGACCGCTCGCTTGAGAAACCGACAGAGTTATATACTCTATCATATCCGCGCGGCCGGAAACGTCAGCTATTTACTGGTGACTGCTCGCTCGATCAATGCGGGGAACTGGATGATGACAGGACACAGATCTTCACTGGACCTAGCTTTTCGACGACCGAAGCTAAGGTTGGAGGATCTAGTCCTGCAGTCCAGGGGTCCCATCATCGGGAGGGTGCCGGGTTGAGTGTAGAGGACGCCAGTGGTCCTTGTGGAGGGATCCTGAAAATCGTCGAGGTAGACGTGGAATCGGGGCCTGGACAATTTGGTAGATAGTCCTCGTCTTGATATAACTGCAATAAATATCACACTACACTCACGAGCCCCATAATCCATCAACCCCAACCTTTCCCCAGCGTACATAGACCCTAAGTTTTGATTGTTGCCTGAACCACAAGGCAAGAGTATCCGTAAATCTTGGCACTAGCCCTAGCCCTAGACTAGCCCTCGCTACGCACTGAAGGCGGTGGACCCACCCGCCGAACCCAGAAACACTGGAGGAACTTTGCGTATCTCGACAACTTCAGCCAACAACCTCCTCGTCGCCAATCAGTCGTCTCACCGATAACCACCGTCGCGATGGCTCAAGAACGTTCCGGTATCGCGGTTGGTCTCAACAAGGGCCACGTACGTATTCTGCTTTCCTTGCTCTGATGTCCTGCAATGGTGGATGAGATTTTCGATGCATGGATGGATGGATGAATGGATGGGTCGGAGTTTTCGATGTCGAGTCGAGTCGAGCGAGTCGAACGCAACAACGAACGGTCATATTTGCGATATTCGGGGGTGTGAACAATTATGGAGGGTATTCTAGGATGGATCGGGATAAAAAATATCGGAAGTCTGGGCGATAAAAAAAACTGAACGGATTCCACCACGAAAAACGACATTCAACAGTCACGGCCACTGGCAATAATGTGTCGAGATAACCTTCGGGAAAACGTCGCAACTGCGTCAACAAACCTATTCTCATATCGGCTCGATTCAACCAGCTCTCAGCTCTTCTCGACGAACACGAAAACTCCGGACCATGCCTTCCATTCATCGCGCGATATATCTATCTATTCATTGGCACGGACTTGATGATGCGCAGGTTGAGTTTGACTAACCGGGATCGACTACTATAGAAAACCACCCCCCTTAACACCCCCAAGACCCGCATCAGCCGCTCCAAGGGCAAGGCCTCCCGCCGCACCGCTTTCGTTCGCGACATCGCCCGTGAGGTCGTCGGTCTCGCTCCCTATGAGCGCCGTGTCATTGAACTTCTGAGGAACGCTCAGGACAAGCGCGCCAGGAAGCTCGCCAAGAAGAGGGTATGTCTGCCGCAGGCTTTCTTGGTTGATTATGGAATGAGGATGGGTCGTGGCTAGCAGGTGTCGGTTGAAAACACCAGCACAGTACGGTTTCATCTCTATGAACAGACTGTGCTGCGAACCCACACGCTGAACACACCCAACCCATTCATACACTATCTTTCAACGAGAACCAAGCTAACAATTTTTTCTCCACAGCTCGGTACCTTCACCCGCGGCAAGAGAAAGGTCGAGGACATGCAGCGCGTCATCGCTGAGGCCCGCCGTGTCGGTGCTCACTAAATTTGAACTTTGGCATCTTATTCCCGTTTTCTTCTTCTACCTACTGTCTATGTCTCTCCAAATTAGCCGAGAACGAGATGAATGAAAACAAAGTTACAAAAAAGTGAGAACAAGTGACGTCCTCTTTTCTCATTCCTTCCCTGCGTCGAGTCTAGGATGGCGTTGTCTGTTATGTTATGAATAATGGGAATGTACCTACCAACTCAGAAGACCTCAGGCGCGGCCCTAGGAAAGATGGGTTAGGTTTGGTAGGCAAAAAGCATGGGTCTGGATTGATCAATCCGAAACGAATACCAAATATCAAATTCACATTGGCAGTTGTTTTCCATGGCCGATCGCGTTCAGTAGTCAGCCAACAGTACAACTGGATCATCTCGCTGCAGCCTTACGACGGCCATTTTGCTTCCTCTTGTCTCGTGTAGTACTCAACTTCTTTTTTTGGTCAACCAACCTATCTACTTGGCAGACCGGAACGACCACAGAGAATCGGAGACTGACCAATAGTATAGCCAAATGAAAAGCATTACAAGGGGATAATGTCTAGATTCTCAAGACCGGGCTCGGGTAATATCAAGTTGCCCGTATGGGAAGAAACGCAGCTCCATGCCTGGCCATGTGACTTCCCCTTATCTCCAGAAGTGGAGGACCTTCCGGGGATTGATTTAAGATCTTTTCCCATCCTCATCACTCTCAGCAGTGCTCTGGCCACGTGACGGACTTAGGGTTGGCATAGTAAGTGTCAAGCTGTGTATTATCTACAGAGCCGTTCGCCCATTACTTTATTGAAGAGTTCTTGTCTGGTATCGTCGAGAGATAGTGTCATGGACAGAAACACTCGAATTGTCGTCGTGGGAGCCGGCATCTTCGGCCTCTCAATGGCCCACCAGCTCGCATCCGAGGGCTACAAGAACGTCGTCGTGCTGGACAGGCACATGCCACCTGTGAGTTCCTAACAATTTTCCATGATACCGTCCTAAACCCAGTAGGTCCCCAATGGCTCCTCTACGGATATTTCCCGCGTCATCCGCTTCGACTACGCAGACACAGACTATCTAGACATGGCCTTGGAAGCGTACAGGAAGTGGTCCCAGCTTCCACGCTACCAAGGCATATACTACCAGGCCCCTTATATCCTCACTGGCAACACCAGCGCCCACGGGCAGGCGTGGATCAAAAAGACAACCGCAGCACTTGACAAGCGCCAGCTTCTCTGGGCGAAGATCGAGTCTGCGCATGACGCTAAGCGCATGTACCCTGTGCTCAGCGGACCTCTCGCCGCTGGTCCTTTCAATGGATACCTCCAACTACAGGCTGGCTGGGCAGACGCTGGCAAGGCTATTGCGCAACTACGCGATGATTGCCTCGAGCTCGGCGTATCCTTTATCTGCGGCGCCCGCGGAACAGTTGTTGGGCTTGAACAGACGGGCAAGGCTGTCACTGCAGTGCGGACTCTAGCTGGCACAGTTGTAAATGGAGACCACTTTATTCTGACTACAGGCGCCTGGACCTCAAACTTAGTCCCCATGTACAACTCCGCGCTCGCAACGGCGCAGGTGGTAGGGTACATGCAGCTGACAGCGGCCGAGATGCAAAAATACAAGGGCCTACCAATCTACGCGAACTTTGCGACGGGGTGGTTCAACTTCCCACCACACGAGGAGACGCAGATGCTGAAGATGGCAATCCACGGGTGGGGATACACACACGCACTCAGCGAGACGGACTCGGAAATCCTCAATTCAAAGGCTCTTTCCTCACCGCCGCTGATGCCCCCGCGTGAGCGCGCAAACTTCACACCCCTGGATGGGGAGCGCCGGCTCCGGGAGGGCCTGCGCGAGATGCTGCCGGAGCTGGGAGACCGTCCGTTTGCGAAGACTGCGTTGTGCTGGTACACGGATACTCCGTCGGGTGATTTCATTATGGATTTCCATCCAGACTTTGAGAATGTGTTTATTGGTGGCGGAGGCAGTGGGCACGCTTTCAAGTTCTTGCCCGTTCTTGGAGACTACCTAGGCCGTGCGTGGAATAGGACGCTCCCGCCGCGTTTGGCGGATAAATGGCGCTTTCATAAGGAGTATGAGCATAGGGCGGATGCTTTCCTGGGCGATGGGAGCCGTGGAGGTCCGCAGCGTCGGGAGTTGGACACTCAGGAGCGAGCGAAGCTGTAATTTGGTACATTGGCCGTGTACGCCGTTTGGTTTTATGCCAATTTATGGAGTTTGCCGTCCAAGTTTTTTGATCCTAATATTCTGGTCCTCTAAGAAAGCAACGGAAAGGCGTCGGAAGAAGATCGGTCACTTCACATAGTAGGGCCAAAGCTGGCCTTCAGAGACCTAGGCAGACTGCTGCGGATATTAGCGTCTTTCTCGCATAGATAATTAGCAGATGATGGCGAGAAAGCGGACTTCTTCATATCAAAACCAGTCGCTGGTGCTCGCCATCGCTGCCATCCGAATCTTTCTTATCCTGCCTGGCCAAGAAGCTTCTCCGACTTCACCAGGAGTGCAAGCTGGCTGCAGCTCAAAAGATCCGGGCGAAGCTCAGCCATGCGGATAAAGCATTGATTGGAGTTGTACTCTCTAATAGAAAGGCCGTCATGTCGCATAATTATTTGGTAGTGAGGAGGGTAGATCATGGAAGCTGCTGGGAGCACCGAGCGTCAGCTGAAGATGCTCGCAAGCCTCTAAATCCGGTATTAGACTTGGAACAGCAGGATCATTAAATCGAGACAAAGATTTGCCAGGGGAATATGAATATAGGAAAGGAGAAAGGGCTTTGCCGTCTACCTAAGTTCGGTCTTGGTGGCATGTGTATTGGGAGGATGAGGAAGATAGCGTCCAGCAACTGACTAGACTGGGACCGAAATCTACTGGGCTTGTGGCCAAGCCTCCGGAATAAGGGCTCGCCAGTCAAACTGCTTTGAACAAGGCTTTAGTTAGTGGTAGTTTCATAAGGGATTGAGTGCAGGCCAACAGTATGTGATCGTCTATATCGCACCTCCTTAAATCCTTGCTTCAACATCAAAGCCCGCTTTCATAAATCATGTCATTGATAATAGAGACAATATCATATCAGTGTCATCAAGAACTGTCTAGAAGATATACAAACTGGCTATGTCGAAGTATTCATTTCTTCCCTGGCAATTTTGACAACCATTTTGGGACCTTGCGGCCCCCAGACTTCTCGCCATCCTGCTTGCCTGAATCACTTGGTTTTAGAGATACCACGACATCCTCAGACGTGTCCATAGCATCTTGGGGCTGTTCGATCTTGTGTTCTTGGGCCGTAGTCTGAAGTTCTGTTCTAAGAAGACCGGAGCGGCTTTGCTGGGTCGCTGGAGATGCAGACGCATGCCAAGAGAAGTTAACCAGAACGCGGCCGGTCATGCCGTGGTCTTTGATGAGAAGACTCTTTTCTGAATCAGGGAGGATACTCTGGAAAGGGACGTGGGGTTGGTGGGATTTTGAAGCGGCGGGCCCGGAGAAGTTTGTGAGAATAAATTTCTCTGTGGTATATTGCGCGGCGAGACAGCTGCGGACAAAACCATAGAGGGTTTTGCCCGTGTCTTGTTGTCCGAATTTGGAGACTATTTGACTTTGGTCTGGGAGTCGGATCTTCACTTCAACTTCCTTAATGGCTGCGCGACGTTCCTCTTCTGCTTTAGCCGCAGCTGCAATTTCGGCATCTGATCGAAGCCGCGTGTTTCTGCTGGATGCTTGAAGTCGTCGTTGATGGATCTGGGCGTGCTCAATGGAGGGTACGTAGTCGGCATCGTTGTATGCAATTTGTGTCGACTGAGGCGCGTTGCTTGATGGAGGGGCAAAAACAGTCACGGGTCGAGATAAATCAGCCGAAGGTTCAGACTGTTGAAGGGGGAGATTCGAGGCGGGTTCTGATGATGTTTTTGTGGGTTGTTCTGTGACAGGCTCTTCTGGGGCCTCATCGGAGGCGGATACTGGTGTTTGAGGGGTTAGCGGATTGTTCTCTTTGTCGGTATCTGGTCCCGACTTTGGTGTCGACGTCTGTTCTGCTGTAGCCTCATCCTCGGATGGCATGAAGTATTCGTGGATTTCCGTCATTGCTTCCTCCAGTGGCCGGTCTGTTCGGCGGAAGCTCAATCGCACCAGCACATTTCCACTGTTGAACCCGTACTGCGCCAGTGACTTTTGGAAGTCCGGTAGTGTGGACAGCTCGCGATCCAGTATCTGTACCACTGGGGTCTCGTAGAACAAACGTCCGGATCCTTGCCCCTCGATGACGGGAACCCCTCGGCCGGTGAGGTTGCGGATGGATGCACTGCCAGCGACTCCCGCTTCGAATTTGCGAAGGAGCATCCATATACTGGTAGTGCTGGGAAATTTGTCCATGAGCCGTCCATTTGGCGCTCCACGGACTTCTGACGGCGGGAGTTGAAGGGCGACTGTGACGACGGATGGGGAACGAGAGAGCTGTACAAGTTCTAGTTTTGCACCGGGAGAGAGGCCAGTAAGACGAAATGCTAGCGACAGATCGAGCTGTTTACTTTTATGTCTGAGAATGCAAAGTTAGCACAACTCTTTTTCCTCCGCACTGGACCATGGCGGCAATTAGATTCTTGGAAAGAAGAGTACTGCTTACTTCAGTCCATACTGACTGGCGTCCAACCCGAGCTTCTTGCATGCTTCTTGTAGAATGTCGGTAAGGTATTTTCCGGGAGTTGTTTTGATTGTGGCTCTTCGAGCTGTCGAGTCGAGAACTACGACATGAGAGCTCATTATTGCGGGGGTCAATACCCAACCACGTCTATTTATGGAAGTTGTTAGTCCAGCAGGAGGATTTCAACAAAGTGATCACTTTCAGGCGAGCGATGGTTCAAGATAGAATAATAGGGTACCAGCTGTTGAGTCGCGATGAAGCATGGGGAGAGGAGCGAGCAGGCAGCGGGCGGCGCGTCATCGGAAGAAGCTGAGAGGCCAACGCCGACCTTCCACCTCAGTTCCGCTCCAGAGGTAGAGCTCCAGCTTCATCTTCATCCATCACTTCCATCCCCATCGTCGCCCACCACCTCCCTTGTTCCTTCGCTCTTCCCTCTCTCCAATACTGAGACATCTTGATCTTTCTTTTGTTTTAGTTTCTCAATTCGTCATCGCCATGGTACGTGAGCTTCCTGCTCCCCCTTCACCAAACACTTAGCTGACCAACTCATCCAGAGCAACCCGTTCGATATCAGTACGCTTCCACCTCCATCCCCGGCCCTCATATCGCCTATTAGACTATAAACTAATCCGAACTCATAGATGGTGGCGCATGCGTTGCCATGGTCGGCAAGGACTGCGTCGCAATTGCCTGCGATCTCCGACTTGGAATGCAAGCTCTGACCGTCTCCAACAACTTCCCCAAGATCTTCAACTATGCCCCTGGAACATATCTCGGCCTGACAGGTCTTGCTACCGACGTCTCTACCGTCTCAGACCTCTTCCGCCTTAAAGTGAACATGTACCGCCTCCGCGAAGAACGGCACATTGCACCACAGACCCTCGCCAACCTCGTCAGCTCATCGCTCTACGAGAGGCGCTTCGGAGCATACTTTGTCAGTCCCGTTATTGCAGGAATCAACAACACAACGGGGAAGCCTTTTATTTGCGGCTTTGACAGTATCGGGTGTATCGATTTCGCCAAAGATTTCATTGTGAGCGGAACCGCGAGCGATCAGCTGTTTGGTACTTGTGAAGGCCTGTGGGAGCCGGATATGGTATGAATTTACAATTTTGGGTGCGCTAAGGCAGGCAGGCTAACTTGATCGTGCAGTCCCCCGAAGACTTGTTCGAAACCATCTCTCAGGCGCTCCTCAGTGCTGTCGACAGAGATGCCCTGTCCGGTTGGGGTGCCCAGGTGTTTATCATAGAGAAAGACAAGGTGACCCAGCGACTACTGAAGGGACGACAAGACTAGACGGTGCGCGTCGGAGTTATTGGGTTATACTGTTCTATTGATGCCATTCTCATAGCCTCTGAAACATACGTCTGGGAAGAGTAAAATGCCTCCGTCTGCTACAGTAGTGAGCGATATATTTCGTACGCTCGGGGAAGAGCAGGTAATGCTGGATAAATCTGAAAGCTGTGCTCAAAAGCAACTTGCTGGTTTTTGGCGGGTTGTATACAGTTTAGTAGTAAAGATCTTATGGCAACCTCACATCGGCAGCTCAGGAGTCTCTCCCAAGCGGACAGGTACCAGCCGCACTTGGATTCCGCAAGACTTAAAAGAGAATCCAGTAGTCTTGATCGGAACATCAGATACAGCATCTGGGCCTCGCCGCTTCGGTCTGAATTTGGTGACTTTGGCCTTCACACGATCAAGCATTAACTATGCCAACAGGAGCCAGCCGTACTTAACGATCCATAGGCTCGTCGGCACTGCCAGCGAGGTAGAGAATAGGGACATGTCTAATATGCAATAGTTGCATCATCTGCTTTCAGCTCATGAATTCAAAAGGGTCCAGTGGGGTACGTGAGTTCTCTACTCCGTACTTTGCTCCTCTGCTGGAAGTGAGGCGTTTAGTCGGCGTGCTCGCTTAGGGAACATCCCCTCTATGTTTTCGGACAATCAAACTAATCAGGGCTGCTGAGGACATGAGGCAATATTCCAACAGGACAGTCTGACTTAGCCGGTGCTCGTCAGATATATAGTCTGGTTTCAATCTGCAGCCGACGATGAGCTCTCTCTAGGATATTGTCGGTTTCCTGCGGGGTGCTCATCAGGCCCTTAAGGTTTATAATGGCTGGTTTCACGTGCCCAGCAGCCATTCCCACTGGTACCAGAGCTACGGTCAGGGCTGTGGTTATGCTGCCGACCTGAACCCTGGGAACCGGATCGTGATACTCTAGATAAACAACCAAAAATACTACATAACATATCTAAATAAAGTACGTAGTGAGGTTCTACTGCATTATTATTGTTGCGTTTGCTCGACTTTAACAGCGCTTGAGGTGATCCCCGCGTCTAGACCGGCCGATCGGCCCCCAATAATAAGACAGACTCCATAGTCGACAAGCCACCGACTCTAATTCTCTGCTGTTCCCCTCCTCGTCTCGTCGACCCTTCACCTTCTTTCTTGGGCTCTGCCTGTCTTCATTGCCTTGATGAGCTTTCGCAAGCTTCATCTAACCAATATCACACAATAAACGACGTGGAAAAACCGGTGGCATTATCGATCGGCGTTTGCTCCGTCCGACTCCGCCAACGTCGGAAATTGACGCTCGTGCGACTCTTTTATCTTGCCATCGCCAACGAGTTTAGAAATTCTACAATCTTGGGTCAATCTTTATAGAAATTTCCCGAGGGGTTCCCTGACGGGACGCCTGCTCTTTGCGCAGAGTCTCACCTCGCGGCGGGCCAGCGTGGTTCGTCTCCCAAGCCGACGGCGCTTGACGTATGTATCTGATAGTAACCTAGCAAGCCCTTTACTGACCACAAGAACTGGACTAGTCCGAAAGCCATGCGCTGTTTTCTTTCTCAAGAAGTAGCCCGCAACTCGTTGGTCTCTTATCTATCGCCCTCAGTCTCTTGGCGTCCTCCCATACCTACATAAACCTGTTCGCATTGCGGTCCTCAACTCCGCGCATAACTTTCCATACATCATGCCTGAACCAATGGACTCGGACTGGCCCAACTCTTCAGCCTCCGGGCCTACCCTTTCGTTCCTCCCGCAAGCGCCCATTACCGCTTTTCGGGCCGAGGATTCGCAGATGGAAAACTCTGGGCAGGGCGTCGCCAGCCCTGAGTATGCTGCAATCGAAGAATTAGCAGCGTTTAAGAAAGAGCTGCGCGTTCTGGACCTCGAATCCTTTTGGAGCAAGCTTATGGAGCACACTTCTTCGTTGTGCAATGCTCAGTATGCCTTCGTAGCCCGAAGGGTTAGGGCTGACGAAACAGCTCAAGAGATAGCTGGACACAAACCCTCTCTCTTTGGCACGGCCTACTACTACAATGATGGACTCCAGACTATCGGAATGCATCGGCATCAGTACTTCGCTGGTGGAAATCCCCTGTCGCATATGGATTTCAATAAGCCGTGCTTGATCCCAGAGAACCTGAGCTCGTACTTTTCGTCCGATAGGGACAAGCTACCTTTCGCTGCGGAGGGTTACCTGGCAATTCCGCTATTTTCGGGGGATGAATGTCTCGCTTATTTGGGATTGATGTGGTCAGATGTGGGATTACAGAGTCGAAAGCTTTCATGGTCCTTTATTGAAACAGTGCTCTTCTCTTTGGAGGATTTAGTTGTTCAGCGAATCCAGGAGGATAGTGGTGCGACTGAACAGCAGCGGTCTGCTTCTGAATCGGCCTCAGGCGCAGGGGATATACTCGATGAATTGGTACCGCCTTCGCAAGGCGCGCACTTTTCTTCTCAACATCTTAAACCATTTGCGCGCAGTCTGTCGCATGAGCTTCGAACACCAATGCAGGGGATTGTTGGAATGTTGGATGTCATGCATGCCACCGTGCGCGATGCACTTATCGGCAAACCCTCTCCGAAAACTGCATACGTTTTTCAATCGCTCAAGGAGAGCATCGAGATGGTTCAAGGTTCGTGCGGCCTTCAATTTACCGTGACTGTTGATGCTAATGTATGGAGTAGATAGTGCAAGACGGGCTGTTGAAGCAGCCGATAACGTCGTACATGCTTATGATCTCAACATGGAGGTTCCTGAAACCCCTCAGGTGGAGCGGGACAGCAACGTCTTTGCCAAGTCTCCCATTTCAATATCAGAGAGCCGGCCAAACGTGTTCATCGATGGAAGCAATATTGCCGCTAATCCCTACAAACGACGGAGGAGTAATCCGCCGGAGTTTGGGAAGTCTCCTACTCCAAAACCAAAAGTCCGCCGAGTCACGTCGCCAAAAGAGCTTTCGCCGCGTACCGAGGAGGTAAAGAATGCTGTACATGAGACGGATAAGATCTTCAACACTCCAACTCCTGTTCATCAGATCGAGGCAGTAATGGCTAGCATGGTCAATCCTCGGCCCTCCTTAGCTGTCCGAAGATCCGCACCTCACCTTCTGCTGGAAGGTATCAACCTCAATTTTCAGAGCCCAGCACTCCGCTTCACCAAGCTCCGTGATCTTCTTCGCTTAGTGGTTAACGAGTCTCTCCATGTCGGCGGCAGGCCCGACTTTGTGGTCAGCAATGCGACGGAGTTCGGCGAGATGATCGAGGTTCGGACGCGGTCATCAAATGGAGAAGTATTTTCTAAAACAATCGACTGGTCCGTGGACGGCGCAGTACCCGACGCTCTTTTCGTGGATGACAGAGACCTGGCCAAGCTGATATCTTGCGTCTTTCTGAACGCGGTCAAATTCACAAACAATGGTCTGATCACGGTCAAGGCCACGCTCAGCCGCAAAGCCAACGAAATCCTGATCAATGTCCACGACACCGGACCCGGTATCCCTATGGCGTTCCTGCCTAATCTCTTCAAACCCTTTGCCCGGGAAGATGCGTCAATCACGCGAAGCAAAGACGGACTAGGTCTTGGACTGCTGGTGGCAAAAGGTTTAGCCAGGAAGATGGGCGGTGACTTGGTCTGCGTTCGCTCGTCGACTTCTGGGCCAGACCGCGGTTCTGAATTCGAAATCAGGATTCCCGTCAACGCACCCGAAGCCGCTCGCCCACTGGCTTCGTCAATGCAGTTAACCCCTCCCAATATCCACGACTCCTCGAGGCTCAGCAGCGCTAGCAATTCGACTCCAGACTCTTCTGTACTCTCACCACTGATACCCTTGTTACCACCTGCACCAACGCCTACCCAAGAGCCCACTCCCGCTCCTACAGATGAGTCACGTACACCAACTCCCGCCCGTTCAGTACCCAGTCCAAGCCCCGCCAGGGGGCAAACCTCAGACGCAAAGTTTGGGGAAAAGCACCCACTTACCTTCTTAGTAGCCGAAGACAACAAGATCAACCGGCGGGTTCTGGTTCACATGTTGAAGCGACTCGGCTACCAAGAGATTTATGAAGCCGGAAACGGCAAAGAGGCCGTGCGCACAATGCAGAATATCCTCGATTCGCAGAACACTGAGAATGCCGCAATTCATGCGCAGAAGCCCTCGGAGCGCCAGACGACCGCAAGTGACTTTCTCGTGCCCGGGCCACCGCTCCGTCAGAAGAAACCAGTGGATGTCATCCTGATGGACCTCTGGATGCCCGAAATGGACGGATACGAGGCCACGTCGAAGATTTTTCAGATGGTCAACGAGCATCACCATCAACATCCTCATATCCCGTCACAGTCACAGCTGAACCCTGCCGGAACCCCCCAATCACAACCACCCACCGTCCTTGCCGTCAGCGCAGACGTCACAGACGAGGCTCTCAGCCGCGCCACCAAAGTCGGCATGAAGGGCTACATGACGAAACCCTATAGACTGATAGACCTGGAACGCCTGATTGCGGGCTTCTGCTGCAGCGATGCTGCGCCACAGCCGCAGGTCAATGATTCAACGAACGCATGATATCACTTTGTTCTCTCTTAATAAATAATAAATAAACACGCAATATATACGTAGCTTACATATGACACATGGATGGTTGATTGCCTTTACACGCACGTCATGATTTTGGCAGCTTTCACGGCCTGAGCTCTCGTTCAATCGACAGGATCATCTCCCGGAATACAGATCAATTTTTTGGATAGCCATTTCCTGCTGCTGGAATAGATCGCACTGTGTACGTGGTTGTCGCTGCTTTTATTGATAGAGATCCTTATGATTATATGAACACAATCCGATAAACATCATCATCATCATCATCATCATCATCATCATCATCATCTCTATTCTATACCAAAACAGGTTGTCTCGGTAGTCTGCCTGGGAGTTTGTATGGAATTGTCCAACTGGGCCTTGGTCTAAAGCAGTTTTCCCGTCCACTCACGCAGCCGCCAACAACATCTCAGCCTTTCGAGCAGGATACGAACTCCAAGTGAAGGCTATCATGTTCTCTGGCATTTCAGCGTCAGGGACATAGGTCCGTAGAGTCTCCAACATCTCTCTCCGGCGCTCATCGGGCACCTGGGACATCAACATTACGGTCACGGCATGGGCATAGCGGGTCTCGTTGTACAGGGAGAGTCGCTGGCTAACTTGCTCTGGAACTACATCAGGTGGGAAGAGGGTACCCAGAGCCGCACAGTCCTCGAAAGCTTGGGCACCGCCTTGGCCCTGGTCTAGAAGGGAAACATTAGCCTCGCTGGTCTTTCCTCGTAGGCGAGAAAGGGCAGTGACGCACGGGGTAGGATTGGATGTGCCGCGTCTCCGATCAGTGCGAGCTTGCCCTTGACGAAGGTCTGTGGAGGGCGACGAGATGCCAGGCTCCATAGTTTCATGTCTTCGGCGAGGCGGCATAGCTCCTGCAGCTCTGGGGAGAATCCCTGGAATGTGTTGACGAGGCTATCCACACTCCCAGAATCCAGCCAGGAAGAGTACTTCGCCATTGTTGAAGAGTCTGCAGGGTGAATCCCTGCGCAGTTCAGCAGAGTTCCTTGGCGGCATGGGTACATCACCAGGCGACGATCTGGTGCAATGAATGCTTTGACGCCATCCAGGCCTATCTTGTCCAGAAGCGCAGCCGTCAAAGGGTTTGCGCGCAATTTAGGAACCGGGATAAGGAATCGGAAGCAGTTCTGCCCCGTGCTTTCTTTCGTCGGTTCCTCGCCGGTGACGGCACTAACTGATCTCGACTGTAATACATATGTTAGCAGGTTAGAAACGTCAAAGTGATCAAGTATTGTGTACACTTACGTGAGCCCCATCGGCACCGACAATCAAGTCACCCGTGTACACGGTCCCGTCTTCTAGCTTGACGAGCCCTAACTCACTATCCTAGAATACCGAATGTCTGAGATCCACACATGATAAGTACCTGGAGGTTACAGCCAACTCACCACCAATGCAACTCGAGACGCAAGCCTGATATCAATTTGCTTGCCATTAACCTTCTTTGCCGCCGCGTCACGGAGGGCGTTGTGTAAATCGACTCGGTGGGTGAGCAACCAGCTGTCAGACATATGCAATGCTTCCTGGGTGTCCTTGGTTATCTATAAAGCGCACCATTGTTACCAGTCATGCTCCTTGAGCAGAAACCAGGAAAGGGAAGACAAAGGCTCACAATTTCTTTCCCAAGGCGGTTGCCCAGCGCATCCCAAGACCATGCACCGTTGCAGTGCACAGCCTGCAGAGCTTCCAGATCGACATCCAGACTCTTTAGAATGCGGGTCGCATTTGGAGCCATGCTTATTGCTGCTCCAACTTCGTTCTGGAACCGGGATTGCTCAAGGACCTGGGAAGGGGGGAGGAAGAGTATAAGTTCAGTAGGCATAGGTTCGAATCCGAAAGGGGAGCCGTACCACGACATCATGGCCGGATTGGTGAAGAGCAATGGCGGCAGCCAGGCCCGCAAGCCCTGCACCAACAATGACGACTTTCAGGGGCATTTCGAGATGACTTTGGGTGCGGTCGTGTGTGTGAGAGAGGGGTGGATGGAGGGGGGCACAACCAAATCTTGGAAGACGCCGTGCGAGCGGGAACCCGCAGCAGGGCTGTCACCTCTCGACCTTGCAGACTGCAGATTCCATTCAATGAGATTGAAGGCCTTCAGACCTTGAAAATAAACTGGCAAACAGGGGAACAGGGACTACTTCGGCAGTACTGGTGTCGGGTAACCGCACCCGTCGTCATACTCCTATCCCAGATGCCCTTGACCTTAAGTAGGCGGGAGATGATCCGAGCCCTACTTTGAGGTTAGCAATTGATTATAGCTTGACTAGATGTGAGAAATGAGCTGTCATCTGCCATGGCATTGAGTTACCTCCCCCTGCCTTGGTGTTGCGGGATCAAACCAACCGGCGACCTACTGCGGCATGAGTAACATATCTACGCGGTAAAATGCCAGATTGTAAAGATAGACCAGAAGTGGCGTCATGATGATAGCTGGCTGCTGACCTATGGGGTATCTACGGAGTAACAAAATACTCCGGGGTGAGGCTGTAAAAGCTTGCTTGGGAATTGCTTTTTATCTAGAGTAAGAGATGATGCCGAATGGCCATAATCATGGTCGGTCTACCTAGTCCTACTGTCCTGCAGACCATGCATGCACATGTCAATAGATCGCAGAGCTTAGCCTGTAGAAGCGATAGGGCGATCTGCCACGATTTACGGGTCTGATGCCCGATGGCGTTTGCAGCTCGTATTCCAGCCTGGACTCCCTAGAGGCGTCGGCCCCTGATATAAAAACAGGCATCCCTGTCTTTCAGTGGCTGGAGTTGCCATCGTCTCATGCACTTACACGTACTTGATCACCATGCTGTATCTTTCAGATACTGAATCCTCATCCTACTCAGACTCCATGGGATCAGTCGACATGCCTACCGACTCTGTTCGGATACTCATGCTCCATGGTATGGCAGCCTCTTCCTTTAACGTGGACCCTTTCAATGCATTAGGGTAGTAGCATCATGCTCATTATGTCAGTGGTGGTAGTGGTACTGAACCTCTCATCTGTCTAGGCCATGGCGAATCGGGGCAGAAGTTTCTATACAAGACAAAGGCTCTATGCCAGCACATTCGGAAGTCAACATACGAACAGCTGCAGCGCGATGTGTTGTTCGTTTTCGCTGATGCTCCAATATCAAGCGGCCCTTGCAGTGCTGATTCCAGGGCATGGGCCCTTGGTGACCACCAAAAAGACCGACTTAGTCACTATGAGAGCACTGTCAGTTCTGTGATGGAAATTCTGAAAAAAGAAGGGCCATTTGAGGGCATCATCGGCTTTTCCACGGGCGCTAGCCTGTCTGTCATTATGGCCTCGTTGTTGGAGGACAGGCGGCGTTGCGAGGAAATCTTCAGGTTGCCTGTACGTAAAGCCCATCCGCACCACCCAACCGCAGCATTAGATGCAATTGAGCCTGGCTAAAGGTAGTTGAGAACCGGCAGGTTTCCCATCCACCACTTCGTTTCGTTGTGTCATACTCTGGCTTCATGCTGGGGCATCGGGCCTATCGAGACATCTACAACCCTCTGATCCGTACTCCGGTTGCGCATTTTATAGGCGAGGTGGATCCAATAATACCCAATTCGCTGACATTAGCACTGGCGAAGCGCTGCGCCAACACTGTAGTGCATTCATTCTGGGGCTCTCATTATGTTCCCCGTTCGCGCGTATCATATGCCCAAACGTCACAGTTCATATTGACCCAGTTGTCACGCGCAGAAGATGCAGAGACATCGTCCGATGATAATTGGATTTGGGATTGAGAGTGCTTTCGTACGGAGCTGGCCGGTGTTCTTATTAGCGTAACGAAACGTTGAATGGTGTATATCCTAGCATAAGAAATTTTGAGCGACTACATGGCGATGCTCTTCACATACCAGCACAATGTAGTGAGAAACCCTGAAGCCTTTCGGGCAGAGGCAATAACGCGTCCATGGAGTCGGCAATATAGTAAGACCTCGATGCTGCAGACGAATGCGTTCTGGTTGTTCAGGTCCACATGGAAGATACATACATACCTAGACTTTGGCCGAAAATCGACTGGGTGCCCCATTTACCATGTCCCATGATTACCTTGGAAATGGATAGCTTCGTAATAGGTCTGCTGGTTTAATCGCCTACCTGCCTAAGAGCTCCATATTTGTTCCTCCTTGCGGCTTGATAGCCACATCATGATCACCGGCAATGATAACCCTAAAACAACTAGGCCGCGCATGTCATCCAGGAATCCGTCGGGGAGTGAGTGATCTGCAGTTTGGCTGATGAATTGACCGAACAAGACGACCATCATGAGATCTTGCATGAGTCAAGAGTCATGGCAGCGATGACATTGCGTCTTCAGCCGGCCACATCCTGATATAGATACTCCGCACTCCGATCCCGAAAAATCTGCCAGCGGGCATTGATGGATGGCGATGATGTAAAGGGATAAGGACGTAGGAGCGACGTAGGAGCGCTTCAAGGCTGGACTTCGGCAGGCTACCACAGCTACTTATGCCGTAGTTGCAGTGACCTGGGCACATCCATGGATGTCATCGGTTTCTGCCGATTCCTTTAGGTGGAAGTCAGATCTGGCTAGACTCGAGCGGGGTTTAATATCGGGATCATCCCTAATCTCGATAGCCTGGATAGGTTGAATTCTGGCACGAAAGGAGATACTTTCGAATGATGGTCAAACCTTGGAACCGGAGAGAAGGTGACAAAAGGGGAAGGAGGGTGCATAGGTGCCCTGTCCATGTGTCACGTGCACGTGGTATAAGTTTAGAGTACAGTCGAGTTCAAGGAAATTCGATTACCCTCGTATCATCAAGAGAACGCTATGTAGTAGGAACATATCATTGACTTCGCAAAGTCGGAATTCGTCATGGATAACCATACACACCCTCTACCAGAACCGCCGATTCAATAGGCTCCTGTTCGCTTCCAACAACCACGTTCTTGAATCCCCTAGGTCAACTTCTGCTTGATGAAGAATGAACGGAGATGAGATAATTGCCAAGCGCATGCGACCGATAGCACGGCGAGCTGCATCAAAGTCCAACGGACAACACGTGAGTTAGTCGCCTCGGATTGATCACGGAACTCGGCTTCGCGTTCCTAAGTAGCGTAAAATGATTAGCACTTGCCCAGAGCAAGAGAAAGCCTAATCCCCAAAGAAAGAAGGCGTACGAAGAGGAGCACATACTCTCTGGAACACCTGCTCTCGCCTAATGTCCTGCAACCGGCTGTTCAGGTCCTTCACCCGCTGCACCAAATCCGTCATCTTCCCCTTGTCCTCGCTCTCAATCTTGCTCGTCTCGCCTATTGCCATGTCCAGTGTCACCCTAACAGCACCGGTGGGAGCACCAGACAGCCACCCGCCCGTAGCGGCGTTTGTCTCGGGCGTGATGCAAATCTTGTGGTTTCCAGGGTCGGCGGCGGAGAAGGTAAATCGGCCGGAGTGCGAGTCACGTTTGTTGACGACGCGGTGGTCGTTGTCGAAGACCTCGTCGACGGTGATGAGCATCTTCAAAGATGGGTCGACGGCATATGTGCCCGTGCCGGAGGTTTGGTCGAGGACCTCGCTGGAGTAGGTTCCTGTTCGCCGAGAAGGTGTGATTAGAGCTTGTCTCCTGGTGCGGGCCGTATGTAGGACTTACCAACGACAAGGGTGTCCTTTGGAAGCTCCTCATAGAAGCATCTTGTTTGGCGGCCGTCCACGTAGAAGTAGAGGGCGTTTGCTGGAATGGAGAGGCAAAGAATTGCATAAACGGCGAGAGTGGAGGATAACCAGGAGGATGACTTCGAAGGAGCCATAATGGCAATTTGGGGGGATTATTCAATGTGAGGTAGCGGGCTGGGCTGGATGAAGATGTCAATGTTAATGTTATGCTGTCCAGATCCAGGCCACGAGCGGGAGTGGGCTTGGCGCGAATTCTCATTCCTCCGACGGCTCTGCGGCTTCAGTCAATCACTCCTCCATCTCTCTGTCGACGCTACATACGTCCAGTTCATCTTGATTGATCTGATACTTAGAAGGTGATTGATACGTTGGCTTGGTGACTGTTGGATTATATCAAGGGTGCGCTAGACGACCATGGCTGCCGCCGATGTTCGCGACATGCTCGACTTGCCCGCGGAGGGCCAACCGCGACCTCACAAGAAACAGAAAGTTGTGGAGAAGAGGCCAGGTGCGTCTTGAACGATCGCAAATTGACCAACTCTAATACTTTACAGAGGGAATTACCCGTGAACTCTTCGCGCTTCTAGGAGAACGAGCACCCCCGATCGCGATCAACGAGAACAGATACAAGGGACGGCCGAAATGGCAGACCAAAGCTCGCGTGCGGCCTTGGTACGCAATGCCCTCAAAAGGTTAATGATAACTCGGAATGCTAATCTTCGTTAGGCGTATGACCCCCTTCTCGAACGAGGCGCGATCGGATGACCTCGTTTTACGACACTGGCAGAGAGAACCCGGATCAACACAGACGCCGGCGATTGAGGATATGAAAATGGAGGGAGAAACGACAGAGCAGCAAGGAGAACAGAAATCCAATGAACCACAGTACCCGTTTGCTAAGTACAATATCAAAATAAACGTTCCCAAACGATATACTACGGACGAATACAACCGCCATCTGAGGAGCGACGAGTGGTCGCGAGAAGAGACGGATTATTTGATGGACTTGGTAGAGGAGTATCATCTCCGCTGGGTGGTCATTGCCGATCGATACGATTTCCAACCGCGACCAGTCGACAATCCCGACGACAACACAGATACGTCGACCGCACTGGTACCCAGCAAACAATTCAGAACCATGGAGCAGATGAAAGCCCGCTACTACTTCATCGCCGCCTCAATGCTCGCCCTCGAAACTCCACCATCCACCATGTCGCCGCCAGAGTTTGAGCTGCATGAAATGATGACGAAGTTCGACCCCGAGCGCGAGCGCCACCGCAAGGAACTTGCCGCCCTCCAATTAAACCGCACAGCGGACGAAGTCCGCGAGGAAACCGTCCTCCTCGAAGAACTCAAGCGCATCGCAGCCAACGAGCAGGAATTCGTCACTGAACGCAGAGAGCTCTACTCCCGCCTCGACATCCCCGTCAGCGTCAGCAACGCAACGAACTACCACAACAGCCAGGGCCTCTCCCACCTCCTTCAAACCCTTCTCCAAGCAGATAAGAGCAAAAAGCGCCGCTCTATTCTCGGTCCCGACGGCATCGTTCCTACACCAGGCGGCCAAACCCCCACGATCCCCAATGGCCCTGGCAGCGCCCGCGACAGCAGCAGAGCAGACACGCCCAACGGTGGCACCACACAACCCGCAACAACCAAAAAGGCCGCCGCAGCAGCCAACAAGGAAGCAGCGCAGCAAGCAATTCGTACCCTTACGCCTGCAGAAGAAGCCCGCTACGGCGTGCAACACCACGACCGCCTTGCACCAGGCGTGCAATTCCGCTCTGATCGCGTTCAAAAACTCACGCAGGCGAAATCCCACGTCCAGACACAGAAACTTGGTGCCGCGCTCGCTGAGCTGGAGGTGCCGCTTCGTCTGGTCATGCCGACGGAGCGAGTGGTCAAGAACTTTGAGAAGCTGATTCACTCCGTCAACCTCCTGCTGGACGCGCGCAAGGTCGCTGAGAAGGTGGAGAGCGAGATCCGTGTATTGGAAGCGGCGAAGGAGGAGCGGGAACGGAAGGCAAAGGAGTTTAAGGAGAAGGATAAGCCTGAGGTCAAGTCGGAGCAGCGCGATGAAGATGCTCCTGTTCCACCTGCGCCTGTGTCTGGTGCTGTAGGCAGTGCTCCGCAGAGTGGGCAACCTGTCAATGCAAGCGAAGGACAAGCGAATCCGGATGCCTCGTCTACTGCGAATAATCCTGCCAGTGGTGAACCGGCTACGAAAGAAAAGGAGGGCGTCTCTCATAAGCGTTCTGCCAGCGTGCTCAGCAATGGAAGTGACAAGAGCTCCAAGCGGCAGAAGAAATGATTTGCGTCTTATGCCGTTTCCCCTCACGAACCCCTCAATATACCAATGTACGATTATCTATTCTCAATCCCCTGTTTCCGATTCGCTATCAATACTTTTAGCATTCGATTTTCGCACATATTAAGCCTAATCATACATGGACGTGTGCTTCGTCCCTCTCTTCGAAAAACTAATATGATCAGTTGCCATTATCTTTCTTTTCTCTTTCCGTAGAATCCATCATTCAGGGATCGAGCACTCCTCCAGACATTCCTCATACAAGCTGTCCCAATCACCCGAACTTCCTGTGCTCGTCCGGACGGGCGGCCTTGCTTGAGGACTCTGGAAATCATGATGACCATCTAGCTGGTGTCTCGAGTATGCAGGATCGTGATTGTGCATCTCACGCGGCCTCTCTTTGCTAGCAGGAGCTCTCAGTTTGAGCACTCGTGTCGCAGTCCGTTGCGCGACGGGGAATCGGTCCGATGCAGCAATGTTCGCTACGGCGCGGTCCGCTCGTTTTTCAAGATTACGGGCGAGTTCCGAGACCTTGCGCTTCGCCGCCCACGCACCGCCTCTCCGGCGCAGCGTTGCTAGTTTCTCAATCAGTTGTGCTTCTGCATGCTCGGACGATCCAACACTGCCCTGGTGAGGTGCTTGCTGCCCACCCGAGCTCTGCGATGGACGAACCCAGGAGCAAAATTCCCAAGGATTTTCTGCGTCAAGATTGGGTCCGGCGTGGGGTTTTTTCTTGTTTGTGAGTATCCCGAACATGGAAGAGCCACCGGAATCACAGCTTGCTGCGTCACTATTATTGCTCGGCTTTAGAGTTGAGTTTGAGCCAGCCCAGCGGGGGAAGCCGAGCCTTTGAAGGATAGCTGATATATCGAAGCTCGACCGGTTTGCTTTCAGAGGTCCTCGATTTGTCTCTGCTGCCAATGGTGACCTCTGCTTTACTGAGTTCCCCGTGATGCTACCCGCGGGCGAACCATTAGGGCTATCGGTGGCACCGCAACCTCCAGGTCCTGCATGCCCGTAATGCATCTGATCTGGTAGTTCGCTTGGATTCTCTGGCGGTACAAGCGTATATCCATATCCAATACGTCGACCTTCGGACATCCACCCTATGCTTATTCTGCGAGAAGAACTATTGTCGCCCCCGTGTGAACCGACCCCTGCATGGCCGATCGATCGATCTGATCCAAATCGCTCAGTGAATTTACTTTTCAAGGCGTGGGCTTCTTCAGCAGTGGTAGCAGAAATAGCTGCATAGTCGGATGGCAAATAAGTTCGTCTTGCCGGTAAGTTGCCGGATGAGCCCTGTGAAAAACTGGGAATGTTCGACTCATCTTGATCAAGACCGGCGGACGATATGCTAGTCTTTGGAGAGTACGGCGATCGTGGATCTTGAATGCTCCCAGGCAGTTCAGAGAGCTTTGCTTCCGCCACGTCCCAGATTGGGGGCATCGGTGGACTGTTAAGTGTTCCATATTTGTTGGGATTCCATAACATCGCATTGCTAGTCGATCGATTTTCATCGAATGGATTGCTCTGGGTTTGTATATAGGTAGTGGATCCAGATGAAGCGAGCATTCTGTGGATGTTCATTTCCCCCAGGTGCACGGACTGCTCGCCATGTGTGATTAATGCTCTTTGTGGTCGCTGGTGCCGTTTCCTAACAGCTATTTGCGGAGGACAGCCGGATACAGACTCCGCAGACGTGGCATAGCCCTGTGGCTGTTGGGCATGAAGAGTAGGGTAGACCATCGCTCCGGTGTTGCGTCCGCTGCCAGAACCTTGACTCGCACTCTCTTCAAGGCTGTCTGCTATAGGCATCGGAGACCCTGTTGGAGCCGGGGGTGAATGAGGGCGGTGCATGTCTTGTGCTCTTACTACGGGTGCTGGCGCTTGCATTGGCGATGGCCGTTCTTGCGCCCATGCTCTGGTCCCACTGGAGCAGGGGCTGGAGGGTTCATTGCGGAGAGTCCCAAGGGGACTGCCAAGTTCCACATTTTGGAAACTGGTCGAGGGAGACTCCTGTACAGCGTGTGGGGGTTGATGTTCGTGATCTCGAGAGGGCCAGAGCAACTGAGATTCGCCGCCTTCCCCGTGGTGTACGGGTTGTTCATATCCGACGCCTTTGGTATCCACGGTTAATCCAAACGTATGCTCTCGCGACGGCTCCAAGCCAGGCTCAGGAAGAGGCGGAGGTTGACGATGAGGAGAAACTCCTATCCCATTCCCGGGGCGGTGTTCTGCCGTGTAGACTTGATGCTTCGGCGTTCCAATGTACTGCGCATCGCTATCGTACCCTCTTTCGCTCACCAAGCTGCCGCCTAACTCATGAGAGGTAACTTGCGCCGCATGGCTGCCGGGGTGCTTAGAAGAATGCAGGAATGGGATCAATGGCCCTCGATCTGACTTTTTGGGCTGTCTATGCAACTGCCGAGCATCCCGAGAGAACCGCCTGCGAAGCTTACCCGAGATGCCTGACGAGATGCTTAGGCGATGCTCGCTTCGATCAGTTGGGTGGGATACGGCTAGGTCAATCAGCGGGTTGGCCCCAAACGGGGGCAGAAAAGCATTGCGGCTTGCATCGTTCACCTTCAAGGGATCCATTGACGGGAGAGGAGCGGTCCCTCTGATTCAGCTGGTACTGCTCAGCCTCGGATGAATCTGAGGCTTTCCGATAATTTCGAAGCCGCGGGCAGAAGAGGAAACCCATCTAGCATTGGTTGCTCCCTCAGGAGAGCACATACCATTGACAAAGATGCGGATGACGCGGCACCGAAGAAACGGACAGGTTCAAGAGAGATAGTAGAACCATCTCCGAGTCGTTGGCAGCCAGGCGTAAGAGCATGGCCATCTCCGTCCACTTGAGGAAGGAGCGTTCCCTGTCAGGGTACTCCATGGTTCCAAAAGAGGAAGGCACGGCCATGGCCCTGCCCGCACGGACCGTCCATGAGCCAACTAGTCAAGCCTTCAGCCTAGAGGTATAAGTTTAAGTATAAAGTTATCATTGAATGTCGGCGATTAAAGCATTCTTGTAGAAAAGCTGCTTCTAGCCGTCAGCATATGCAGGAGACCACCTTGGTATCGGATTAATCTTTCCTTACAGGGATTGGGTACATCTCTGTGCCAGCATACTCCGTAGAGTCCGTACTCCGTGTCAGCTTACTCCGTTGATAGGTACTACAGTACGGAGTACTACCGTATGGGACACTACTGATCAGTCCGTTCAACCTCACGCCGGACTGCTAGTGTACTACTACTAGGGTTACTTGAGATGAATCTCACATCAGCTAATCAATTAGTATTTCATTTTCAGCAGACTATAGCTTAGTACTAGTTTTTGCAGATAGGGCCGATCCCGGAGCAGTCTCGGTCTCGGAGGCGATCTAGATTCGGAGTGGTTTTTTTCTCTGACACACGAACTGATCCATGTGCCACCCAAAAATACGCAAAGCCAATGCTCCTTTTAATCACGCCATTTCTACTAGATACTCGCAGCCGAAAACAAGCAGCACCATCACAATACAAGTCAATGCAGTAATACTGCATGAGATACATCCTTTTACAGTAAATGAGCAGTTCAAGATGAGTCAATGATGGACTGATCGGCAAAATGGTGCAGTTGTGTCGAAAGTCGACACTGATAGTCCTGTAATTGTACGGTGTAATTGTACGGTACCACCCCGTATAGCGTACCTACCCCGCCTCCGGTCTTTCTGATTCGCCGAATTCCACACCGAAGGGACCTCGACTTTTTCCCCTCCATTTACTATTTAGCTGTCGTTCACCCCCTTCTCCCTCTTCTTTCTTCATCCCCCTTTTCTTTTTATCCTCTCTCCTACAAGAGACTTGTGAATTGTCTCTTGCTCCCCTCCTAATCCTCTTCGCTTGTATTTCTGTTCTTTTCAAGCTATTCTCTCTTTCTTCTCCTTACGACCCCGCCTCAACCGCTTTTTCTCTGTCCTCCGGACGCATACACCTGTCAGAATGGTTCAATCGTATGTTCTACCCGAGTCTCTACGTGTTACCTTTGCTCAATACTGATATCCTGTTTTCTACAGCGCCGTTCTTGGTTTCCCGCGTATGGGAAAGCTCCGTGACCTCAAGAAGGCCACGGAAGCTTATTGGGGTGACAAGATCTCTCGTGATGAGCTCCTGAGCGAGGGAAAGAGACTTCGTGCTGAGCACTGGAAGATTCAGAAGGATGCTGGTGTCGACATCATCCCCAGCAACGACTTTGCTTTCTACGACCAGGTCCTTGACCACATCCAGCTCTTCGGCGTTGTTCCTGAGCGTTACACCAAGTACAACCTTCACCCTCTGGACGAATACTTCGCCATGGGCCGCGGTCTTCAGAAGCCTGCCAAGGATGGTCAGGATGCTATCGATGTTCCTTCCTTGGAGATGGTCAAGTGGTTTGACTCCAACTACCACTACGTCAAGCCTACCCTCCAGGATAACCAGACCTTCAAGCTTGCTGCCAACCCCAAGCCCGTTGTCGAGTACCTCGAGGCTAAGGAGGCTGGTGTCATTACCCGTCCCGTCATCCTTGGCCCTGTCTCTTTCCTGACCCTCGCCAAGGCCGACCGTGGTCAGACCGTGAACCCCATCACCAAGATCAACGAGCTTCTTCCCCTCTACGTCGAGCTCCTTGCCAAGCTCAAGGAGGCTGGCGTTGAGGATGTCCAGATTGACGAGCCTGTCCTTGTCTTTGACCTTCCCCTCGCTTCCAAGAACGCTTTCAAGCCTGCTTACGAGAAGCTCGGCTCTCTTGGTACCCAGGCTCCTCGCCTTGTCCTGGCCACCTACTTCGGTGACATTGTCCACAACATCGACGTCCTTCCTGCCCTTCAGAGCCTTTACGGTATTCACATCGATCTTGTCCGCAACCCTGAGCAGCTTGAGTCTGTTGTCAATGCCCTTGGTCCCAAGCAGGTTCTTTCTGCCGGTGTTGTTGACGGCCGTAACATCTGGAAGACCAACTTCAAGGCTGCCATCGAGAAGGTTGAGCTTGCTATCCAGAAGCTCGGCAAGGAACGTGTCATTGTCTCTACCTCCAGCTCTCTCCTCCACGTTCCCCACACTCTCGCCAGCGAGAAGAACCTCGACCCCGAGGTCCAGGATTGGTTCAGCTTTGCTGTTGAGAAGACCAGCGAAGTTGTCGTGATTGCCAAGGCTGTCACTGACGGCCCTGCTACCGTTCGCGAACAGCTCGAGGCCAACGCCAAGTCTGTTCAGGCTCGTGCCTCCTCCAAGCGTACCAACGATCCCAAGGTCAAGGAGCGCCAGGCCGCCGTCACTCCTGAGCAGCACAACCGCAAGTCTCCCTTCCCTGTCCGTCTTGCCAAGCAGGAGGAGTCCATTAAGCTTCCTCTCTTCCCTACCACCACTATCGGTTCCTTCCCTCAGACCAAGGACATCCGTATCCAGCGAAACAAGTTCACCAAGGGCGAGATCACTGCTGAGGAGTATGAGAAGTTCATTGAGAAGGAGATTGCCGATGTTGTCAAGATCCAGGAGGAGCTTGACCTGGACGTTTTGGTCCACGGTGAGCCCGAGCGTAACGACATGGTTCAGTACTTCGGTGAGCGCCTCACTGGTTACGTCTTCACCACCCACGCTTGGGTTCAGAGTTACGGTTCTCGTTGCGTGCGTCCCCCCATCATTGTCGGTGACATCTCGCGTCCCGCTCCTATGACTGTCAAGGAGTCCAAGTACGCAGTCTCGATTTCGTCTAAGCCCATGAAGGGTATGCTTACTGGACCCATCACCTGTCTCCGCTGGTCTTTCCCTCGTGACGATGTCCACCAGTCTGTGCAGGCTCAACAGCTCGCTCTCGCTCTCCGCGACGAGGTTGTTGACCTTGAGGAGGCCGGTGTCAAGGTCATTCAAGTCGACGAGCCCGCTCTCCGTGAGGGTCTTCCTCTCCGTGCTGGCAAGGAGCGCGAGGACTACCTCCAGTGGGCCGTTGCCGCTTTCCGTCTGTCCACCAGCGGTGTGTCTGACGGCACTCAGATCCACTCTCACTTCTGTTACTCCGAGTTCCAGGACTTCTTCCACGCCATTGCCGCGCTGGATGCCGATGTTCTGTCCATCGAGAACAGCAAGTCTGACGCCAAGCTGCTCCAGGTCTTCATCGACGAGGCTTACCCCCGTCACATTGGTCCTGGTGTCTACGACATTCACTCTCCCCGTGTTCCCAGCGAACAGGAGATCAAGGACCGTGTCGAGGAGATGCTCGCGTACCTGCGCCCTGACCAGCTCTGGATCAACCCTGACTGTGGTCTGAAGACCCGTCAGTGGCCCGAGACCAAGGCTGCTCTCTCCAACATGGTCCAGGCGGCCAAGTATTTCCGTGAGAAGTACGCTAAATAATTTTAACAACCTAATAATTTGTGGTGGGGGCGGCATTGTCAACCATGTCGTCCCGAGAAGGATGAAAATCTTTTCTTTCCTTTAATGAGTTATGATGATGATACCAAAAGTTCAACATATGGGTTCGGGTTATATTAGAGATATCCTGGGGGTAACGGAGTTCAACATTTTACGACATTCAACATCGGCATTGGCCAAGCATCGACATGATTCCCCTGGCATGGGTTCATTTCTTAATCATCTTTGGGGTTACAGGAGCATGAGCGATGGCCGGTTGGGCCGATGTCCATATATTTCAACAATGTGTATATCACACCAGAGGTTCAATACATTACCTCTCACTTCATTCATACTTGCTTTCCTTCTTTCATTGTAAGCCGACTCGTAGGTTGATTTTCGTAACTTATAAAATTGGCCTTTCTTACCTGACTGTTGGACTTGGACGACAACGCCTTCCTTGCAAGGAAATTTTGAGAGATTCGATGCTAGTTAATCCCTTAACATCTGCTTTGTAGTCAACACAAACAAGATACCATCCACAAGGTTATGACTATTGTACAATGTCCCTTTCTGATATACAAACAAAGGTAAGAGAAGCTCCAGGATATTCCACCCTACAACCAAGAAACAAACGGCACAACCGCTCCCCTCCCACCAACACCTTCCTCTCCCTCCCCAAACCTCTCAACATACCACTTCCTTCCCCACCGCGCATGCGGCAACATATTAGTCACCGCATTGACAACAAACACCATCGCCGGCAACGGCAGCACAGGCACACCCATCTTCCCTGCCGCCCAAACCGCAGGGAGAAGCCAGGGCGCAAGGCGCAGCGTTGATCTAGGCCCGAATCCAACGCCGGACGACGCGCCGCCCATGCCCATGCCCATGCCCATTCCTGGCATGCCGCCAGTCGTGCTTGTGAAGGCCGTACTAAGAGCATCAGGGATTAAAGATGGCGGCGAGAGAGCAGGGAAGACGGCTGTGCCGACGAGAGTGAAGCCGGTCCATTCGAGCCACTCAAAGACGTAGTGCGGGTAGAGGATTGAGGCGAAGAGGCCGGATTTTGGGGGGATAGTGTAGACTTTGTGGTATTTGTTTGACTTCTTTTCTTCTGGTGCGTCTTTTGCGTCGTCGGTCTGGTGCGCTTGTTTGTCTGCTGCTTCCCGGCGGAGCGCGAACAGAGTACGCTCCGCGTAGATATTCCCAGCCATTCCGATGGAAAAAAGGGCGAGTCCAACGGCCGGTATCATCAGTGATGTCCCTGCTGTACTGGCAAGACTATCCTCCAGGACCTTCTCGGGCGTCATCATTGAAGCCCGCGCCGAGGTTAACCCCAAGGAAGGATAGTACCCGGGCACAGTGGTAACATTGTACCCTACAAGCCAACAGGCAAGGCAAGTGGAGTTCATCCAGTTGAAGAGCACAGCCGATGCCGCAATAAAAACATGAATAGGCGACATGCTCGGTGCTGCAAAGAATGGAGATATGATTGCCCGGTTCACGTAATGGATCACATACAACGACGCAACGAGTTTATTTGGGAGCGGGAGAGTCTGGATATTTAGGTTTGGTACTTTGGTGGGAAGCGTTGTGAGGATATAGATGAGATTAACCGGGCCGACAATCTCCATAGCGAACCAGGCGATGCGGCCCGGGATATTGAAGATCGAATTGTTGGAGGAGGTTTTGCCCGCTGGATGCCAGGATGTGAGCCATTGGGCTATCGTGACCTGGGTGTTTGTTAGTATTTGGCAGGGATGTTCCAAGGGCTGGGTGTGATACGAGGGGAAAGTATTGCCAGATGTTGAGGAGTGTTACGTAGGCCTCTGGGGTTGGGATGATGAAGTCTCGTAGGGAAGAGAGGGTATTGAGCGTTGAGGAGAGACACGACCCCATTGTTTTGGTTGGTAAGTAAAGCCGCACTTGAAAGCTAGCTCAAGGTTTGATCTAAGATAAAGTAGATACTCGGAGTAAAGTGGTTCGGGGTAGCCCCGATTGAATGATACAACTCGGAGAATTGTTGCGGTTCACGCCAGAAACTCGGCTGTACTCAAATACCCATGTCAAAAAGAGAAAATAATACGGAGCTCGCAGGGTACGTCAAGTGCAAGAGCTCGGGGTAGAAGAAACAATTGAAGTCGGAGCAAGGCTAGGTGATGTAGTTCGAGATCGATCGGATCGAAGCTTATGAAATCCGTGATGTCAGTGCCGCACGTGACCGCTCTACAAAAGAAAAACAAAAAACAAAGACATCATGCATCAGTATCGTATTGTGTCATATACTCCCTACCTCCGTAGACTGCAGAATGCTATTTGGTAGTCCTTCAGCCCGTGGAGGTATCCATCGGATCAGCCTGTGCCTGCTGCCCCTGTCGCCGCTCTGCAGTCTTTTGCCGCTTGAATTCCTCAATCTTCGCTTTGAGCTCGGTATCTAGAGATCTCTTAGCCGAACTGTAAACCTTAGAGAATAAGCAAAAATTCATACCAGGTGTAACGTCCTCCATCTTCAGTGGAACTCGGTTGAAGGGATCATGAGGGTCGCTCAGCAAATGGGCACGGAGGGTTGAGCGGTCGATAGAGATGTTCGACGCAGGGAGGATAACAGGGTCTTGCATCAGGGTGTACATAAGAGGATCCAAGAACTCATCTGGAACCTCTCCAAGATCTTCTTCTTCTTGCTCATCCGCTTCCTTAGCTTCCTTGACCTTCCGTCGAAGTTGATCCCAGCGCTTAAGCTCCTCGGGAGATTTGAGGTTCCACTTATGCAGGATCTCGGCGGCCTTCTCGAAGTTGGCGGGCTTGTAGGAGCGTCCATCACGAGCAACGGCGACAATGAAATTCTGCTTGCCCATCAAGTTCAGATATACATCCACAATCTCACTCAGTAATGCACGTGGTCTGAACCCGTATTCGTGCAGGTTCTCGACTCGCAGGTTGGAGCTCTTCGGGCCAACCATGGCATCCAGGTTGTAATCTAGCATATCTGCCAATCTCTGAACAATTTCGGGCATCGTAAACGACTCTGCTAGAGCTTCTGTGAAGAGCTTAAGCATGGCCACGGTCTCGTTAGTCAACTGCATGTACGACTTGGCGCTGCGTTGGGCCTGTGCAAGACGCTCTTCCTTCTCCTGGCGGATTGTCGGGTCCATGCTGGCCCCTTCAGTGCGCAGCTCCAATTGAGTGTTGTAGATGGTCTTGAAGCTGCCAAATGACTCGTCGAGCACATATGTAACGTCGTTGAGAAGCAAGTTGACGAACTGAACGAAGAAATCCAGGTGGTGCTTGGCTTGGTTGAGAAGCTTCGCGCGGTAGAGCGTATTGGGCCAGACACACTTGATAATCTGGAAGATCTCGTACCGAATGTTGAATTTATCGTAGAACTGGGTATGGGCACCCGTGTGTTCGGCTTGAATGTAAAAGTTCATGCAAGCATGCAGCAAGTACTCATTAGCAAAGGGCATGGAGTTGAGCAGGTCAACCAGGACTCCCGTTCCGCCACCAGGGCGAGGCCATGTCCCTCGAAACAGGATCGAAACGAGCCCTGCTTTAAGATAAGGATTCTTGATGTACTCTGAGCACTCCAAAAAGGCAATGCACAGCATAACCAGCTCGTCACCTTGGGTCGCCGTGATAATCTGCGGCATGCACCACATGATGAACTTGAAGTTGCTGACAATATCATCAACAAAGTACTCAGGAAGGCACTTGAAGACTTCAGGCGGCTGTTCTGGCAGAGGCAAAACAAGCTGCTCTTTGGGAAAGTTCTTGCCGGAGGCCACTCTGAGCAGCCAAACAACAACATAACGCATGAATGTCATAGACCGGAACTGCCACTGATCATCGAATAATACGCCTTGAAGACTGTACTTCAACGCGAGCCCCATGTCTAGTTTATCCTTATACTTCTTCAATTGCGTCTCGAACAGTCTCAGCTGCATTGGGTTGCTCGACCATTTATGCCTTTCTGCCTCCAGTTTAACCAGAGTACTTTCCATATGCTTCAGGTCTCTTTCAAGAGTGTCGAGTTTAGAGGTTAGCGATTCACTTCCGTAATGATGGGCAGCTACTGTCAAAAAGAAAATTTCCGTGATGAAGTTGTTTGTGCCTTCAGCCTTCTTTGCGTAGAAGGCATCCGAAGCGTGCTGGTCAGCATTGATTTTGGTCTCATCGCGCATGTCAACACGAGGGTTTCGATGCAGATATTGGATATCAATTCTATCGATCTTACAAGTCGTTAGCTTAGAGTCTGTGTTTCCACAGAACGAACTTACTTTAGTGAAGTTCGCATCCATAAAAGGTTGACAGAGATGATCCAGACAGGTGGTAAGATTGAACATGAACCCGTCAGAAGAAACAGTGGCCGGGTCGACCTGCATTGCCCGTCTCTTGTGGTTGATGTTCAAAGCCGCCGCAAACCAGTCCAAAATCCTATTTCTCGCCTCTGCCGATGCTCTAACCATATGGTTGATGATGTCAAGAATATCAGAGCCAAGCAACTCTTGCACCATGCGGATTGACCGCTGGGCATTCAAGATGTAACCCTGGTCCCGCGTTTTAGGAGCCGAAAAGAAAGACATCGTCGCGTCACCTTGCAAAGGCGATAGGCGGAACCAGGGTCCGAGAAGTGTCTCCTTTTCGAACGAAGCGGGATCCCGCGACGCGTTGAAAATGGTCGACTCTGTGATAGCAGAAGCTATGGCGGAATGGCGGACAAGGTTTCGCAAGGCCTGCTAGAGTTGAGAGAAGTTAAAAAGAAAGAGCGGATGAACGTACAGTCACGTATGGCTTGTAATCATCGTTGATGCCCATCGAGGATAGCTCCCGACTCAATTCCTCAACAGCTGCAATAAAGGCAGGCTTGACGGACTCATCCTCCGCAAACCGCTTGACGGCCTCGCTTAAGAACTCTAGATCCACACCCTTGTCATCTTCCGGGTCTAAAAGGAGATGCGGCTTGAGAGCCGATCGCCCGCTAGGTTCGGATCTATACAGGCTAGTCAGTAACTATCCCTGTTTCGCAGCAAGAATGAAGCGCACCCAAACATTTCCGGCATAGTAAGAGCAAACAGAGCATAGCTCATACAAAGCCGCCGCGCCTCACAAATCACACCAAACTTAGGGTCGTCATCGCGAGCCTTCCGAAAGCCCTTATGCAGCCTCGTCACCCGCTTCCAGCAAGGCAGTAGATAATCCAGGGGTTTCCCATCAGGCTGACTCGACGCCGCTTCTAACAGAGCCTGGTCTAAGACAGAGGCGCTGATGCGCAAGCTCAGATTCTGGTCCTGCAGTTCACTCCGCACGCCGGGAAGGAACGTCAATCTCTGCCCGTGGATATCCGTCTGTCGGTTCTGGTCTAGCGTCAACTTGAAGACTGCGCCCAATGTCCGGTCCTCAAATGCTTCAAGTGTATCTTCTTGCTTGGGCGGGGGCGGGGTGTTTGAAACGGGCGTCACAGATCCGGATTGCGGTCGCTGCTTGGCGGGCGCTGAGGACGTCGGCGTGATCTTGATTCGTTTCCCTTCTGATCCTTCTTGTTCTGTTTGTGATGTTGATGGTGCACTGTTCTTGCTGGATTGTGGTCGTGACGCTTCTGGCGTTTGTGTTTGAGGGGTAGAGGTTGAGGATGACTGCTCACTGCTCGGTTCCGCGGACTGTGGTGGATTCGAATTCGCAAGCTTTGCTAGACGCTTCATGCGGATCTATGAACAAGAGTTGTTATCGACGGTTTCAGACAAACTGGGAATGGTTATGCAGGTTCAAACAAACCTTATCCGCCTCGGACATGTTATCGCCCATACTCGATGGCCGGGAAGCGATACAGGTACCGCACCGAGTAGAGAGCTTCCGAGTTTCGCAGTGAGTGAAAGAGGGTAAGTAGTAAGGCCCGTTAAGAATGATATAAAAAGACGACCAAAAGAGACGAGGACCCAAAATTCAACAGAGCGAAGGGCCTACCGGGGTATAAGCAGCGAGATGCAAGTCACCAGACAGAGTTTCTGTGATGATCGTTGAGGTTCGCCTGCAGCGACGAAATCTTACTAAGTCAGTTGGAGCCGGAGTTGCAGTCCGCAGGAGTGAATAATACATCACTCCGAGCCAAGTGTCTTCTCTTCTTTTATATCTAGAGAAAGGTTTTATATTTAGTGACTTTCAATATACATCATTTTCTTTTCATCACTTGCCTTTATGCGCTTGATGGCACAAAGAAATCATAGCTTGAATTGAGGTTCCATCCATGCAACGCCAATATCTACATTATTATCCAGATGACATGAAGAAAAATAATGATCATTAGACGACCGCAAACGAGAATTAAAATAGAATCGAGTATCAAAGCAGTCATCTCACGTCACTTAGTACTTTCTCTTCAGCGGTAAGGAATCTAACCGCCGACAACTCTTCAGCTCCATTGCTCTAGCTTCTTTGATCTTCTCAACATCAGGGAAGAACCAGCCCTGCGCATCCTGGATCATGCGATCCCGGGCCAGAATCTCGCCTTCACACTCATACCTGAGCTTTTTGACATAGTCGACTTCCACCTGTTTGTCCAGATTGCGGAATTCTCGGGAGCTGAAGTCGGTTACATCTTTCGGGTTGAGGAAGTAGTCTATCTTGATTTCGGGTGTTGTCCGTTGCTGCGTATGAGGAGGAATAGGGTCGAATCGATATGATGGGCCCGAAGGTGTAGAGCCACTAGAGAAGAGGGAGGAAAGTAAAGGGAGCACAAAGAGGAGGATCAATGGCAGAAGCTGCCGGAACATAGATGCGACAGATGGCGTAGGCTCGGGCTGTGCATCTTCGCGAGGCCGCCTTCGAGGTCGAGTCCCTCCAAACTGATGAACCCTGAAGCCAGGCCCGCCTCCCATGTTGAAAACGAACTGCGGACCGCCTACAATCTAGTCAGTAAACGATGCGGAGAAACAATGCAGACAGCAACCATACCGAACGGGCCAAAGCCACCACCAAGCCCACCATTGAAGAACCGATTGAACAACTCCTCGGGAGAGATTTCATCCTCAAACCCACCACCTCCTCGAGGAAAACCACCACCTCCGAACCCGCCGCCGAACGGCGAGGCACCAGCACCAGCAGGACCAGCGCTCGGCTGGAACCTACTATCAGGATCCCCGCCAAACTTATCATATCTCGACCTCTTATCCGAATCCGACAAGACTTGGAACGCGCGCGAGACCACTAGCCGAAATCCTTGTCAGACGCATTCCGCAGCCAACAAAATCAATTGCCATTCGAGTATATCACTCACTTTTGAACGCCTCATCCGCCCCTTCATACCCGTTCTTATCAGGATGAGTGACCAAACTCAATTTCCTATATGCCTTCTTGATCTCGCTGTCCGTTGCCGTCTTCTCAACCGATAAAATCTCATAGAACGCCGTCGCGCTGCATTTTCGTATCCTGATTACGGCCGCCTTTTGCTCGGGTGTGTATTTGCGGTCCTGATTCCCTTGGTTGTGGGCTCGGGAATTCGCTGAGCCACCTGTGTCAGCTCCAGATGCGGTAGCCGACGGCATATCGAGTGAGCCTTCTCAAAGGCTTAACGATGGCTAATGCTGCGTCTCCGTCTGTGATCTGAATATCGCGATCTGTAGCGTGCTGGCTATATGGCGACAGTTGGATTCGGAGGAAGAATATATGTTGTTCTTAGTCTATGCACAAGAACCTTATATCCCAAGAGCAATGGTAAGTGAAGCGGCAAGTAGAATGACAGGTGGAGAGTGCCGGCGTTGGCGTTGGCGGAGTTCTGGCGATTGATAAACGTGGTGAGACTGAGGTTCGGTTCTGCGCTAAGGCCGTTCGGCGTTGAGCGGCCGTCACCGGGCTGCTTCTGGGCGGTGAATTATACAAGTCTTCTTCTATTCAACTATACATCGCTTCCTATACGTCAATAATCCTACGGAATACTCTCAAGATCAATCGAAGTAGTAGTTTTTGTCCAAAATACCACGGCGGACCAGCGACCAAAAATGGAGAAGACCAAACAGACCTTCGTTCAGCAATTCAGAGCATGGGGAGGTAAGTATCGCAAGCAACAACAGCTTCGACGACCACATCAAATCCAAACTCCCTTGAACCTTTGCAGCTAACTCTTGACTTCTACAGAAAACCCCTTTCCACCAACGCTCCTTGCATCCCTCATCACAGCACAATACATGCGACCATTCCAGACGCTACCGATGCTCTTCCCCCCAGTCCTTCTCTTCACCAGCTATGCGAACATCTCAGGCTTCAAGACAGACAGCGCGGGAATGAGCGCCGCCTGGTCAGGTCTCTACCTTCTGCTGGCGGGGCGCCGGCGACAGCCGTTCATGAAGAAATGGGGTGCGCGAGGGATCACGCGGGGAGTGACAATGGGTCTTTGTTTGACTAATATGGTTGGTGGCGGGCTGGCATATATGTTGGGGAAGGAAGAGGAAGAGGATGATGCTTAAGTTATGAAAGATCAGTGTGAATTCGGCGGATTTCTCGCTGGATTTGTCTGATCATGGAGGAATGTATAATATGGTCGTATCAGATGCGGTTGAGCATGGGTTGGTGTTTGGTTGGGTATTGATATTTATGTACTACCATTTTGGAGGGGATCAACTTCTATTTGTCTCTTCAAGCGAGTTACTCCGAGTATGGCTGCTCTGAGAGGATGAAGTCTCGAACCGTTACCGGTACCAACCAGTCGAGGTCTTGCGGGTTTGTCTGGGCAGCTTCTCGCGCCTTTGTCGAGCTTACGGCTCGCTCTTCGGCCCTTCTTCCTTCCACAAGTTGGATCTGCTGAGCCCATTCTCGCTTGCCTCCCTCGTTCTCTCGCCCTCCCCGGGCTAGGTCGGCAACATAGTCTTCCTGCTCAGCTTTATCACCCCATTCATCGTCCGGGCGTATTGTCACCCGCAACTTGTGCTTGGAGAGGAATGGTTCCAGCGGCATGAGACTATGCTCCGGTGGATAGTACTTGGTGTTGAAGATCCGGATCAGAGTATCGTAGCCGGTGAGATGGACCTGCCGAGTGCCCTCGGGATACACACCCGCAGCCTCGATCGCCGTTGCTTTGTCCACAAAGTAAGGCTTCTTCGTTACACCGATATCAACGACAGGAAGATCTGCAGCCGGCATCTCCGATTCTAGAAACGTTAGGACCTCCTGGGCGCAGAGCTGCATCATGATCAAGCGGTCCTCGAAAGAGGCTGGTTTGGAGGGCTTATCGGCATTCTGGGTTGCGAGTAAGAGAAGAACGCGACAAGGCTGATCCCTGCTCTCTGAGACGGCAGAGCACGCAATGCGGCGGTGGGCGAGAGTTGGGGGGTTGAATGATGAATCCAGAACATGCAGGACTTCTGAAGATGACGGGGCGCGGGGTCCAGCGCCGCCATGGGATACCGACGTGATGATCTCGAAGTCCTTTGGGGAGTCGAGGAAGCGTTTCAGGGCTGAACTGTACTGTGCCCGTCTAGTCCGGAACGTCTCGAGCGAGGAGTCCATTGTTGATGAAGCCGAGGTGATTCGTCGGAAGTCGCAGGGTGAGTATATTCTCCCGTGCGGGGCATTTGAGTCTCAACCGCAGCTGCGGACGCCGCGGGCGCTATGATGAGATTGATACATACCCTTGGGACGGGGGTTTCAGGATGAAAACGTGGTAAATTGAGGACTTCATGGTTCTATGTAATGACTCTGCAAATGAAACAGTCAGTAAGTTCAAAGCTGGTATCGGAACTATGACAGATGCATATCCAAGCAGTCGGTAACTACTCCCAAAGCCATTCGATGTACCCCGTAGGCGCCGGCACCTCCTGTCCAATTCCATGGACGACAAGTGGAAATTAGATGTCGAATGCAAGCCTGCAATTGGCTTTCTTGCAAGATGATGTGGCTGAGTTATAATAACCACGAATATAAGCTGGCCCCAGTCCTGCCGCTTGAAACGCTGGCGCACATGTCAGCATTCAACGGTAACATGGCCAAGGCGCCGAGATCAATCCCGTCGATGCCATGTCAGGAACATATGCAGGGACGGAGATATTAGGGGCATATGCCATACTGCCACAGTCGCAGACCGTGCCTGAGAGTTTGGACATCAGACTCATCACCATATCTCCACTCCGATATGGACGGCTGATTGTCATGATCGACAACAGTGTGGTCTGGTATCTGCAGTCGATCCTCGTTCAAGATTAACAACAGGATCTCAGACAAGCGAGCAGGGGTGTGTCATCTCAAAAATGAACAGCGGTGACCCCCGTTGCCAGCGCTCGGCAGGTTCAGGAGATGAGCTGATGAAGCACGGTGGGGTCGAAATGGCGAGATGAAACGAGCCAAACGGCCTCCCACCGGGGCCTCGGACTCTATTCCCTAGTGTGCCTCTCAGTAGTCACGACTTTATTGCTGTGCCCTCAGACTAAGAGTCGCAGCAGCGCATCAATCAACATCGCTAGAGCCATGGCCGAGCATACGGGACAATAAGAGATCCCAATTAATATTGCTAGCATCGGCCTGTAAAAAAGACAAGGATATACTCCGCGCGTAGGACAGTCCGCCGTAATATTAAGGTCTGGCCATTGGGGCGTCTCAGATCTGGCCGTCTCCAGATTTAATCAAACGCCGCGCCAGGCAACGCTTTCCTCTCCTCCCTCTCTCCTTCTTTTTCTTCTCCCTCTTCCCCTCCTCATCGCTTCGAGTTCTCTCCGGCAGAGCATTCTCTCGCTTCCACTCTCTCAGTGTCAGAGACACGTTCATTCCTTCCAGTCACTCATTCAGCCTGCTTCAGCGAATTGATTTCGCTCTCGCTCCGCTCTCTACAACACTCGAGCCGCTCTCTCTCTCTACCAGAAGACATTGACTGTCGTCCGCAATGCGTTTTGCTCCCAAGCTCTCTGTTGCCCTTCTGGGTGCCTTGGCTGTGGCCAGCGAGGCTACCCACGGCCACCGTGCCCATGACAACCTCTTCCACCGCAGGGCTGTCAGGCCTGGCGGCAGTGGCAGTGAGACCACGACAACCCCGGCTACGACGGACTATGTGACCGTCTTCCCAACCCCTGAGGCTTCAACTGAGACTGCGCCTGTTCCAGAGGCCGAGACTTCCGTCTCTTCTGCTTCTGAGGAGACTCCGGTTCCTTCGGCTCCTGCTGAGACTCCTGTTGTCTCTGTGCCCGAGACCCCTTCTGCTGTTACTCCGGTTCCTGAGGAGACTTCTGCTGTTCCTGTCCCCGAGTCTTCTGCGCCTGTTGTTCCTGCGCCTGAGACCCCGTCTGCTGTCACGCCTGTCCCTCAGCAGACCTCCGCTGTTCCTGTTCCCGAGTCCCCCTCTGCACCCGTTGTTCCTGTGCCAGAGACCCCGTCTGCTCCTGTTGTCCCTGCGCCTGAGACTCCTTCCGCACCTGTTTCCGTACCCAGCTCTGGCGTCATCCCCCAGTCTAGCAGCAGCATTCCCCTGATCCGCCCAAGCTCTAGCAGCGCTGTCGTGACCCCAACCCCAACCCCAGCTCCCGTTGAAGAGTGTGTTACTCTCACTTACACCTTGACCGGAAGCACCACCGTCAGTGTTGTTACGACCACCGTCACTCGCCCAGTGGCTACTGCCACTCCCACTTCTACCGAGGACTGCGTGACCATCACCTACACCTTGACCGGAAGCACCATCACCAGTGTTGTGACCACCACCATCGACCGCCCTACGGCTACCAGCACTGCCTACGTTACTGGTGCTCCTTCTACCGAGACCGTGACTGTCACCTACACTGAGAACGGCAGTGCCTCCACCACTGTTGTCACAGCCACCGCCCAGCCCCCTGTCAGCACCGAAGTTGTTACGGTCACCATCACGGAGAACGGATCTACTTCGACGAGCGTTGTGACTGCCACGGGCACTGGTACTACCCAGGTCCCAGCAACCACTGGCGCTGCCTCCGATTATGAGACCATTACTTACACCACGACTGAGGGTACTGTGACCAGTGTCGTCACGACCACCATCCACAAGACATCCACTCGCACTCAGACTGTCTACGCCGTGAGTATTCCCCTGCATATGATAAATTAGCAACGCTGACCGCCAATCCAGACTCCCACAGGTGCAGACGCTGTTGGCTCTGGGGCTGACACTACCATGACCTCCACTACTACCGCAGTCTACACTGTCACCCCTGTTGCCTCTGAGACCGCCGGCTCTGGCTCCGGCTCCGGCTCCGGTTCTGGTTCTGGCTCCGGCTCCGACTCTAGCTCTGGAGGCTCCGACTCTGAGACCTGCGCTCCGGAAACCGTTACCGTTACCGAATCCTTCACCGTCACCGTGGTACGTTGAATATGACCTTCCACAAATCATCTGCTAATGATCTAGACTGCGAACCCCACCGCTGCTGCTACCTACACCTCGCCCGACACCAATCTCCAGATCTCCAGTATCTCCAGCGCAAGCCCTGAACAAACTTCTTCGCCTGGATCCGGCTCCAGCGGCTCTAGCGATGACGATGACGAGGATGAGGACGACGAGGACTGCGACGAGTACGACGAGGATGAGGAAGAGGAGAGCACCGCTTCCCCTAGCATCATTCCTTCTTCCACTCCTTCGCCTTTTCCCCGCCCTCCATTCGGCAGCGCCTCCCCTACCCCGAGCCCTAAGCCCTCTGGTTTCGTAACCGCCAGCCGTCAGCCCTACCCCACCCACTGGCGCCGCCGCAACGTCTAAACGCTTGAATGTTCAAGCAACAGGAGTGGCATGGCTCGAGTATTCAGGGAATACTGGCATGGTTACCATTTCTTGACAGTTTTCAGCATCATTTAGATTTGTTTCCTTATCGTCGTACGTTCTCTGCGATTATCTTCACTTCTTCTGGTAGAATCTTAGGTTCTACGCTTTGACCAACTCTTTTTTCTATACTTCTATGTATGTATGTTAAAAGCCACCGTTCACGATTGACGACCGTCAATTATATCCGTCAATATTGCACTACATACACTTTACTTATTTGTAGTCTAAACCGTAAATTAAATGATGTATGTGGTAAGGTCTGTACCTACGGTTTGCTCTAACCATGCACCCTGCTTCTATCGATGATATATTTATCCTACATATAGTGTATCGCAGTATATCCCAATCAGCTCCACATCAGGTCGCTCAACAGAAATGTCCTTACATCAGGGGTATCACAACGCGTCAAAAACAGCTCGCAAGCACACCACAACAGTCCAGCTAGCATCCGCCGAATCAGGGCGGAGCATCAACACCAACAACGACGGCCCCTATCCCATCACGCACAACCCTTTTCTTCATCCCTTCCCACTCGAGCCACGTCACGCCCTGAACGAGGCAATCGGCCATGTCGTCGAGTTTGGTAATGTCGATGTCAGCTGCACCGGCACCTGCACCTAAATCTGACACTGATGACCGGGCTGCTTTGGTTTTGGACTTTGCTCTTGGCTTGGTAGTCTTCTTCCACTTCGCCATGTAAGCGTCTACCCACGGCCGGACAGTTTCGCTATCACTGTGGGTTGGAAATGAAAAGAGATTGTTCTCTAGCCATGATCCGACGAGGTCAATTTTGAGTTTCTTGCCTTCACGACTGCTGCCCGTTTTCTTCTTTTTCTTTGCAGTGCCATCGTCCGAGCCAGGATCAACATCAGAGCCGGAAGCAGAAGAGGTAGTAGGAGGACCCCAGAATCTCCCCACCCTCGCCGGCTCAATCGCGATAACCTCCGGCCCCATCTTTTGAGCCGATCTTTGCTGCTGGTGCTGCTGCATCTTCAAGGAATGCAACACAGCCCAAAGCATCCCCTCAAACACACCGACGCGTAAACTCCACTCCTGCACCGCGGACCCGCCACTAGACCGGAATCGCTGTCGCTCAATCAGCACGTGTGTCGGGTTATACTTGGCCAACATGGCGGATATGACGCTGTGCGCGTGAGTTGCGTAGATGGGAAGGGAAAAGGGGGCTTTCTCTGCTTTCCCCTTTGCCTTTTGGCCAGTGGGTGATGGGGTGTCATCCGTAACGACGTCTGTAGATTCGGCTGGAGATGAAGAGATTGTGTTTGAGGTTGGGAATATAGAGGTATCAAGGTACCGCTCGAACTCCGCAACCGAAAGCCCTCTGTCTAGTGGAAGAGAGACACGTCGCCAGGCTTCCAGACTGATATCCACCTTTCCCTTTGCAGCTCTCTGCTCGGACGCTGGCTTGGACTTGCTTTCTCGTAACATCTCGATTAACGTTCCAGGGAAAGAATCCGGGCCAGACCCACGCACATTCAAGACCGCGAATGCCAGGTTCCGGATCCCCATGTCGATGCTGAGGATTCTCAGCACTTTGCCCTGTTCCTTCCTTCCCCCCTTCCTTCCATTGGCCTTGGCCGTCTCATTGCTCGAAGCCACCTCTCGCCCATGTTGCTCTTGATAGAGCTCCAGTCCCCGCTCCAGCCCCTCCAAGAGAACAGCCTTGGTGCCTGATCTGGGGAGGCCTGTCCTCTGAGCTAGATGCTGGAGTTGTTTTGTTTTCAGGGTTGAAAGCCACGGGAATGGGGATGTAGATGTTGCATAATGATTGAGTATTTGAGAGGATGACTTTAGTTTAGATCTTCCCAGGGGATGCAGGGTGAGACGCATTTGTTTTGCGCCAAAGTACTTGCGATACTTGAAGGGAAGATTTCTCGCTAGTATTTCGATATCTCAAACCAAATGTTGAACTATTTAATTTATCCGTGCAGGGCGATTACATAAGTCAAATATATAAATACGGAATTACGCCGAGCTTAGGACATAAAACTTTGAACGTTCAGTGAAGATAATATATTATTGTAGCCTTGCGGTGCGTATTATTATCACACATAAGTATAACTCAAGAATGCTTTCTATTCCAACAGCAATGCCCGAAACGACGCCGCCAAGATAATATATGCCCTGACGCCAGACCTGCAATTGCCATGCAAGACGCTAAACCGCAATCATAAAGAGATAAAGGATGGGTTGATGATTTACTCTGCAGATGCCTTCGGTCGTCACGGACTAAAACGGGAGGCGATCGTATGTTATGGTCATTGTTATCTCGGCTTCGGACGGGAAGATAGACTCTTCGGTCAATGGCACGCTCTCGCGCACATAGAGCATGGGCGCCCACACTTTCCAGTGCAGCACGCCGATGTGCGCTAATCTTGTCGCAATGCGCTCTATATCGTAGTGTTGGTCGGCCGTCTGAGCACATGGCCGCTGATTCTCGCAAATGGCAAGCGGCGACATGTTCAGGTATCGCTTAGCCGTAATGAATGTGGCCTTCAGCAGCTTCTCTCGAAGAGAACCCTGGAAGAGCTGGAACAGGCCATACTCGTTCGACAGATGCCATTCGAGCGAGCCCTCAATTGGACCAATGATATCGTCGGAGATATGGGCGTCACCACAGCATTCCGTGGCAAGCCGCGCAATTTCCAAGGCGATATACCGCACGTTCTTCAACCAAGGGGGGGATCCCCTAATGCAATCCTCAGTCTCCTCCATCAATGTCCCAATGCGAGACCGAAAGGTAGCGTATGTCTGGGTCGGAGCGTGAAGGTACCGTTTCCGAGAATGAATGTAAAGTTGGAAGATGTACCAGCAAATTTCGAGATTGATGGCGTTCTGCAATCCGCCTCGCAGTTGCCATAGCCGCTCTGAATCAAAGGCAAAGGTGTCCGGGAATGCATCAGGGCTATGGAATTGTAGCAAGCATTCACTTAACCCCTGAAAAAGAAGAGAAAGCGGCCCAAAGCTATCGGTTTGTGCGGCGTCCTCCATCCTGCGCAGCTGGCGTTCTTTAAGATCCTGGTACCAAAGTTGAGAAGACTCGACCTCAAACTCGCCTTTTGCAATCTTACTTCTGAAGTACTCCTGGAGAAATGGAATGGTATCTTCGATGAGAAGAACACGAAACGCCTTGATCTGGTGGTTGGCGACATCCAGCTTCATAGCCTCCAAGATTGCAAACAAGGTTTGAAGACCGCGGACAATCTCCGCCGCGTTCTGTGACTGCGACCCCGAGGTAATCTGCTTCACCATACTATCCGCCCATTCGTCTCGCATCGGCGCGCAATGTGTCTTGAGCAGCGCCGCAAGCCATTTCGCAATCCCCACCATGTCAAGGACTCCTTTCTGAATCTGCTGCATCAATAGAGGAACCTCAAGATTCTGCATGATACTAGGATGGTCGCGCTCCGGAACCAGGGTTTTAAGGACGTCTTGCAGGGTCTCGAAAAGGCCTGGAAGTCGGGGCTCAAAGCTTGGTCTTTCGTTGTGATGGCTCTCAGACTTGTCATCCACTCCGCAGCATGCGCAGAACGCATAAACTTTGATCTCAGTAGCCATCGCATCCCAATAGTCTGCAGCATCCTTTCGTTTTTTTCTGCCTTTCTCGCCGTCGAGATCAGGTTTGAAATGAAGGTCGCGGTCGAAGTTGGCATCCATGCGGAGATTGATGTTGCTCATGATGCAAGGTAGATCAAGCTCGCTCAACGTGCCCTTGGTGACCGGAGGATACCTGTTTGCTGCAATCAACAGATTCGTCTCCTTAGGATCGAGACCCAAAGCCGCAGGAATCTCAATGGCCTTTGAGGATGGTGAGTGTCCGCATTGCGGGGTCATGGACGAGCTCGGCGCCAGCGTCAGCGAGGGCTGGCCAGTAGGTTGAGGGTAGAACTCCTTCTGCTGTCGACGATCTCCATTTGCAGATTCGTTTGAATTCCTCGAGTCTGAGCCGCGACTTAGAGAGTTGGCTTTGGGTGACTCTTTAGAGTGACCTTTTCCGTTATAGGGTTCCCGCGGACACTCCGAGCCCTCCTCTTGCTTTCCCGGTGCGTCCCGACGACGGGCTTCCTTGGTCTTTTGGAGGTCCATCTTGCATTCGCGCCTGACTCACGAAAACCCGAGTAGCGGTGGAGGGCAAGGTTGCGGAGGTAGCAGGAGAACCTGGAAACAAAGGAGAATAAAGCCCAAGAATGGTAGTAGCACGCTAAGGAGTTGTCAGGGTCACGAGCATGTCCTCTTTACGGACGCAAGGCACTGTCAGTGACCCTTACCCCGTTGTCGGGTCGATCAACCGAGGAGAATAGAATCCCTTCCCAGAGAAGCCCTTCGGTCAGTCCTTGCCTGGTTTAGGGGAGAAACAATGTAAGGCAGGGGTAGTGAGATGGCCAAAACTTACCTGCAGATAGGAGTGATTGATCGCCAATCGGCTTCCCAGAAAGGCAATGATTATGCCAGAATAATGGATGATAGTGCGAAATATCTCCCGCTGCTTTTCGCTCGCTCTCTCCTTTCCAACAGGAGCTATCTGATTGAAACGTAGAGGGAATATGAGAAAAGCAGCAACGACAGAAGAGGCCTGAAGAGTTGGTAAAGAGAAAGGAGGGAAGGAAGCGAAGAGCAATTAATAAAAGGGAAGATGCAGGCAGAGTGCGGATAGGTCAAAGAGCAGCAAACAAAGCGCTGGCGGCGACTGCTTGTATAGGACTTCAGCAGATCAGTCAGAGGAGCACAGGGAAGGAGCCAGGAGTACGGAGTAGGACGAGGCGCTCTGATATAGACCAATGACAAGGTAAAGGAGACATACTACTACTCTGTTCTGAATATCAAAACAGTAACAGCAGATATAGCGGATGGATATAGAGACAAAGGTCTATTATTACTGAGATCAGACAAGTGTGGTTGGGGGTTATGATTAGGAGGATGAGAACAGCAATTGGAATGCGACGGGCCGATTATTATCAGAGAAACCTGGAACCAAGTTGCTAGAATCAAGAATTAAAAAGAAAGGACTGAGAAAAGAGAGAAGGGGAGATAAAAAGGTGAGGCTTTGTCTGCAAGCGGCCTCAGGGACGATCAGAGACTCAGAGAGCCAGAAGCAGAAGCAAAGATGGATCTGTGGCCGCCCTGACTTGCAAGTGGAATCCCTGCTGAGCGCTGATGAGACCGGAGGCGACGGCCAGCGGAATGGAGGCCAAGAAGTGTGCTGGACACAAACTTATGCCCCTATCCGAAAACAGGACTGCGAGAACCTTAAGCTGGAATGTGACTCCTATACCGGTCCGTCCTCGAAGGATGGTCCTAGGGCGTTTGGATGCACCTTACCGTGCTGCTGCAGCCAGAGCACAATTGGAGACTGAAGCATGAGGATGCGCATCGAAAAAGCAATCACCTCTGCATTCCTGACAGGCTCATCCCATCCGGCCAGCGGACGGAGTACTTTGTCGCCTTACCAAGTTACCACTACTGACCAGCGGGCTCAGCATCATCGATTCTGGGTCGAATCTCGGCTCCTCCACTGTCTCGGAAGATGCCGACCGGCTTCGTTCCGTTCCAATGTCGACTACATTTCCTTTTACCAAAACGCTTGACTTTCTCGATTTGTTGCCTTCTCACTCTGATTTCGTCTGCTTACCACGCTTCAGAGTTCAGCTCCGGCTCTGTGTGAGTTGGCTGATCGCGGCCTTCCCGAGCAATTGAGTTGAAGTCTATAATTATACTCCGTAGCCCCAGCGGAGACCCATTCTCGTCACCGACATTTCGGTTCAGCGATAATGGAGAATTGCGGGCGACTCCTGGGGATTTGTGATATCATGATATCGCGTTACACGCCGTTTTCGAACGGGTTTACCAACCGGGAGCCAAGTCATGACTAAATGCTGCATGGCGGTCGAAGCCTCAATTGCAATACTCCGTAGAAAGTAATGCTGCAACAACCTACGCGCATGGGGATCGCCGATTTGTGGCGACGAGTTCGAGGGATCACCGGCAGAGTAACATCCTGTGGGTGGTTACGCCGCCCCGGGATGGTGGTTATAGCAAAAATGACAGGCATATTGTGCAATTCACCGTGAGCATGACCGCTTCAGGCATGTTTTCCCCGTCAAGCCTTGGATATCCTGATGCCCGCTCGACGGATTGATGGCGAGGTCATTCAAGGACGGCGTACGGAGTGAAAGTCTGGAGAATCATGTGGCTGGTTTCTCCAGCACGGCACGCGAATGAGGAGCGGCAGATTATGGCCGTCTATCGCCTCACTTTACTGTCAAGGCTAATAAAATTCTTCGCAATCCGCACACCACACGGTAGTCTAGGTCGCCTCATTCTTAAGCCGGGTCGAGACGGATGCGATTCGATTGGAAACAAGTTGTTTACATCCAGCTATCGCGAAACAGTGGCCTCGTTGTTTCAAGGTTTTCAAGCCCGCTTTGCCTCCCGTCCTCGCGAGTCGTGTCAAACCAACGCAGGTGGCGAAGCACCAGCAATGCGACTGCTCTTATCATCCAGGTTTGTTGGCAGTTGGCACCCACGTTAGGGCTGAGAAAAGGGGGGCAGGCATGGCCTAACTCGACCGGCTTAGCGGCTATGACTCGAGCGCGGCCATCTCGCGGCGTAAGATTTCAGCAATTGCGGAGGTGGCGCCAAACAAAGATAGATTGATTCTAATCTAAGACTCTTAGATATCTAGCGAGGCATGAGAGCAGAACAAAGCAGAACAATGGTGAATTGTTGAAGCTCGAAAAAAGGTTTCAAGGATTCAAAGAGATGAGTTCAAGCCATCACGTGACGAGCTAGGTAGATGAGATTAGTCAACTATTTGCCTGACGGCCTTGTGCTCTCCCACTCCTCTTTATCTTCTCCTTCTTTGAATTCATTCATGCTGTGCCATCATGACATCCGAGGCATAAGACTCGATTACCGGAGATCTGTAGGATGGGCTCCGACTTTCAGAGCAGCCCAGTCATCAGTGGCATGACCACTCTTCCGACACAGTGACTAGAGTCACTGGACAGTGTCTAAGCTGCCTTGCATTCATCATCAACGGCCGACTAGCGAGCCTCAGACTAGATGTAGGCCAAGGAAGAAAGATATCTGTGCAACTAGAGCCTCCATCAAATGTCTATGGTCTAGGTTCTCACGAATACGCTCCATATGATCCATGAAACTCTTCAGCAATGGGCCGCGGTTTAAAAACCACTTCCGGCCTCAATGAGCTATAGAGCTCATTGAGGTCAGGATATGGAAAGTGTTCATTTCCACCAGGGCTGGCCTACTTCTGGATTTCTTCTGTTGCGCCTGGCGAACAATATGCACTGTGCCTTCTTTTCTTTTCCGGAACATCGTGCGTCCAGCAACCTCATGTAAGACGACTTTTCTCATGCTACGGTATATCTCTTCATCGATCAGTGGCATTGGCATCATGAATCCTGTTCTGAGCTTTGCTTTGACGGTGGCCTTATTTATCTTCAATCCAGCATGCGGAGCCCCAGATGTCCCCCAGTTCAAAGTCTCGGCTGCTCTTCCTTGATAGCGCTGACCACCGGCAATGGCCTAATCTCGTTCGATAGCAACTCAACTCGCCCGTTGCAAATTCATATTCATGGACCAAATTCGAACATATTCTGTATGTTGACCAGCCCATCGGGACCGGATTCTTGACTGCAAGCGAGCCCTACCCGGCCACTGACAACAACATTGTGACCATCCACTTTAACAACTGGCTTCAATCATTCTTCGCTCTTTTCCCTCATCTTCAGGCGAAGTAGGTGCATCTTCTAGAAGAGTTGTCGGCTGGCATATGCATGCCGTCCTTTGCCTCCATCATTGTCGACAACCAGGACTCGTTTCCCATTGACTTCCGGTATATGCCCTTTGGAGATGGAACAATTGGCAAGGGAGCCGCCATGGCGTCAGTCACGATTGTAAGGTTCTTGAAGTTGTAGCAGTCCGTTACTCGATTGCCTGACGATATCTTGGCTGCTTTCAAAGAGGCAAGTGAGACATGTGGCTTTGATGACATTTAGAACAAGCAGCACAATTCCTCCTAAAGGCACCATTCATATGCCTGAAGGTATAGAGGGCTTGAACTCTAAGCATCGGCGCTGGCTCAGTGATATAATTGATAGAACCTGTAGCACCAATCCGACCACTGCCGAAGAGATACAGACAGCAATGCATTCCTTTTGCTATGGACCATGTGCAACCTTCTCCACGGCATGGGACTACATGGTTACTAGACAACGAGCCGTGCGACTTTGACATCTACGACATTAGCCATGACTGTCGCACAATCGACCACTTCAGCCTTGTCACTCAGTACTTCAGCCGTAGCGACCTCCAAATGGCGCTGAATGTGCTTCAGCCTCATCTCCAACTCCTCATCCAACAACTAGCCCTACCAGTGGCGGCCCTCCAGCACCGTCACTATACCCACACTGTAACGACTAGCGAGACTGTGCTCAACGCGCTTGGCAGCGGCCAACCCCCACAGCCCCCGTTTACTCTATCCTCCGGGACTTAATCGCATCACACAACATCTCCCTCCACCTCTACTCCGGCGAGTACGACATGCTGATCAACCACTACGGCGCGGAGCTCACCTTGCAAAACATGACGTGGAACGGCGCTCAAGGCTTCTCCCCTTCAATAAACCGTGCTTTTTATTCGGACGACGCCGCGCCGGCGCTTTCCGCCTCACATGCCCGCGGAGTTAGCAGCAACGGTGCGCACAAACACAACAACAAAAGTCCATTACCAGAAGCCGGGAACTGGGTTTCCGACCGCGGTGTAACGTACCACCGGTTCAAGGGTGCGGGTCAGTGTTCTCCTCCACGTGAGATGTTTGCTTATATGCGGGACGTCGTTGTGGCCGGTACGGTGTAGAGGCTAGCACGGAGGCAGGCGGCTTTCTTACTAGTCAGTAGTAGTCCGTCTGTATGGAGCAAACTCACTTTTCTGGCCGTTTGCTATCGTACTTTTGTCCTTTTTTCCCTCTTCCTGCTGCTGCTGTATCCAGTTGCAACTTACCCGCACACGCCGCATTGCATGTACGTACATGGCAGGGATGAGACGAACTCGAACTCGGTCTCGACTCGAGAATTCTTGCAAGCCGACTGGAGGATTTAAGAATGGACGGCTGTGAGGCGAGACTCCTGGCTTCCCACTAGGTGATTCACTCCGTGACTTCATTTCCATGAGATCCTCTCTGGTTTTTGCTGTTTGTTTCGTTTATCATCCAATGCATTCCGTACATATGATAGTACATTTGACTTGAACAAGAACATAAGGTGAACATGCTAATCAAAAGTAAGTAAACATACAAAAAAATCTTAATACATGCCCCGAACAGTCCGAATATACTGCCTAACCTCTTACGCCATGCACATTTAACATTCCTTTTGCACACCGTCCTGAGACTCCACCCGATGTCGCAATCAAAAAAAGACTTAGAGAATCAAAGCAAGCAAATAAAACACGGTCCATGCCGCTAGTGCTCGTACGTAAATGTACAAATACACATGTTCATAGTTCACGAGCCCTCAAATAACAAGGAAAAATGGCAAATTTGTATGGTCTAGCCAGGTCTATCACAGCCACTTCTACAGAGTAAATAGATTAGACTAGCGGGAAGGACCCGATAAGCATAAGCGCCCAGTAGTGGACTAGTGGTGTCCTGGTGTTCCGCGGATCTACCTGAAAGACGAGAAGCGAAAGCACGAGGACCGTGCGTCTGCGCTCACTCTAATCGGGAAATATGTTTTATGCAGGACTCCGAGTGCGGTGCTTAGGATTAGGAGCTGGAGAGGGCCTGGCCTGTCTTCGACTCTTCGGTGCTGCCAAAGGCAGCCCTACTCCCAATACAGCGGGTCGATGGACAAAGTACGGAGAATTTCGGGTTGTGCTCACATCCCTCTCTTCCCACCCACTCTCTGACGAGGGAAAATTGAGGTTGAGGAGGGCACATGCGAAGATGATCCCGACTGCGTAACGGCTAAGCCACGGAAAGCGCGGGGTTGGCGTTACACATGAGCGGGTCATCGTCGTGAGAAGAACGGTGCCTGGTTTGGCATTGACAGCAAGGAGTCGGCTCGCTGGAAGACGTCACCCTCGAAGAACTTGTCGCTGTATGCACTTGCGGGTGTGGAAGGTACGGTCGCCTGTGCTGCTGGCCCAAGAGCAGCGCTAAGGGGCGTTGCCGGAAGGGCAATAGAAGGCGAAAGACTTGTGTTGAGCTGATGGTGATGTTGGTGATGATGATGATGATGCTGCTGCTGCTGATGATGTGAACTTTGAGACGGCAAAGGGGGCCCGTATATGGCCGGAGGAGCATTCCCGGGGGCCATGTCTGCAAGATATGACCATGGAGAAGCCTCAATCAAGCGACCTGCTTCTCTGCTAGACTTTTGGACCGGTCGAAGGATCACGATCACTTCAGATGGGAGTAGATGCATGCTCCGCACTTCGCGCATATCCGTTACTAACTCGACAAAAGACTGCATAAAGGCTTTGCAGAGTTGCCAAAACTCGCGCTGGTTTCGCATCCCGCCGCCTGGCTCCTTGATTTTCATATTGGACAGACGAAGCCCGAGAGCTTCGGATACCTCCAAGCATACTCGGCAGCGGCGAATGAGATTGTTCCAGAGCATTTGAATGTCTTCAAATTCTCGATTCTGCTCCGCGACCTCAAGGTTTCTTGTGAAGTGGCGGCGGGCAACAGGTAATGCTTGAAGAGCAGCTGTATATGCAGCGGTGAGCTGATAGAAGATCTTTTCGAAGATTCGCTCCTCTTCTATCTCGTCTAAGCCCGTCAAGGGGTTGATTCTAGGTACGACCGAGGTGGGCATTGGGGGGAACGACTCGCCTGACCGAGGGGTAGCAAGAGACGAAGGTATAGAGGTATTGATATGATTTGACCGACTGCTTGACCGGCTTCGCGCCCCATAGCTAAACGGAGTCGAAGCAAAGCCCGGAGAGCTAACGGCGGACTGGAATGTCGCTGAGGCTGGTAATGGCCCATTCATGCCGATTTGTGGATGTAGAATTGTTGTATCGCTACGGAGCCGACGGGTCGAGAACGACGGCTCTCTACCACGCGTTGGGGTAACAGTTGGACCATGGAACCTGTCAGAGTCCGCGGACTCTCTGCTGATCTCAGGAACTGGGGGTCTTGCGGTAGGCTTCGGTCGAGACCCAACGGGCACTTCCAAGCAAGCACAAGCGTTGCGAAGCTCAACCACGCTACCGAATATCATAAGCATCAGCGAACGAATATAGCGCGAGTCGCCGTTGGCAACGATTCTGTCAAGACTGTTGCGTAGCTGGGTTCCAACATGAGAATACGCCATGATACACGTCTCGCATTCCCTTTTGACCGCCTCATATGAGGCTCGCATGGGCTCTGCATCGTCTGCCCGTGACTTTTCTGCAATTTCAAGAGCTTCGTTAAGTCTATCCACATGCGTAGAAGCATTATAGAAGACAATTTCGAGGCTGTTTCGACGGTGGTCATCCCGTTTTATGACATTGATCAGCGCATAGACATGAGACTGGACTTGGAAAAGGGCGAAGAGAATTCCTTTAGCACTTCTTATAATAGGGTCACCAGTTTCCCATTCGCCCTTGTGCTCTGGCAGGCTCGACATCCGATTCACGAATCCATCTCTGGGTCTCCTGCGCTCCCTTGGACTGCTAGGACTAGATGAATTGCTGATGGATGGCCTTGTCCGAAGGATAGAGCCATAACTGAGTCCACGGAGATGGCTATTTCGGTACGGTCGCATCTCATCCAACGTGCCCAAGTCGGTATTTTTCCGACTGACGACTCCCATGCGCTTAGATCGTGTGGCAAAGGAGGCTTGTATAATGCCCTCGCTATTGCTTCGGTTCCGCTCGTTAGCCCCCGGGATGGGTCCGGGTCGCTGGAGGCCATGCAAGGCACCGCCATGTCCAGAAGCAATGCGGTAATGGGACTTGAGGGGAATGGGAGGCGGCCGGGTTAATGACGGGGACTTGGGATCAGTGCTGTCGCCGGTGCTCGGGATAACTGGGAAGCGACTGCTCACCCCCCTTTTGACAGGCTTCGGAGTGTCCAAGACTCCGTCACTATGCGGTCAAAATCAGCTCAAGTCTCAAACCAGCTAAAGTTGCTAAGTATACCTTTCGTTGCTTTTTTCAAAGTCGTTAGGGGTAGCAGGCTGCCGCGTCTTGAGATATCTTTTTAATTCAGCTGTTAAAGCAACTTCCTTCTCGTTATCACTCATTGTCGAAGACGCAATCTCAAGCTCAGATGTTTCTATTGCTTTGCGGAGCGGATGTCGCAGAGGATTTCCGGCTACTTTGAGGATCTGAAGTTTGTTCATATCTGACACACCAAGTGGTAGGTCGTCAAGACGGTTCTGCATCACCGACAGGACTCGGAGAGATGTCAACTTTTTAATTTCTTCCGGAAGTTGGCTTATCTTGTTGCGGCTCAAATCCAATATCTCGAGTAGTGGCAGTTTAATCACCTGAACGAATGTCAGAAAGCTTAAGATAAGAGATCGAGCAAACAGGACGTACTCCTCTAGGAAATTCACGGAAGTTGTTGGCTCTGACATTAAGATAACGAAGATGAGCGCACTCTGCAAACCGGTAGGGTATATGCACCAGCTGATTGTTCGATAACGAGAGTCTACGGCGGGGTCAGCTTCATGTTAGAAGAAGTTTCAATGATTTCTATGCGACTGAGGCTCGGGAGGCGCTGTTTTGCTGCATACCGTTCCACTTCATCCTTGATAGCATCCACAACGGGCTCCGGGATGCGACTAATGTTTGAGTGACCCAAATCGATGGTCAACTTCGGCTTGACCACATCACCAACTGCCTCACTTCCTGCCAAGGAGCGTTTCGTTTCTTGAATCCCATTCTCTACCGCTCGGCGCGCAAGCTGGATTGTTTCCTCCGGGGTAAGCGGTTCACGCGACTTTGCAGATTTGTTGCTTCTATCCCCGATAGACTCGTTGACCAATGTGGCTTCATCCTCACTCTTGGTTGACCCTTCAGTATTAGATGACGATGAAGATGAGGGCGCCGCTGATTCCGGGTTATGTCGACTGGCATCTTCCTCTTCGAGATCTCGGTATGAGTGAGGCATTCTCAGAGTATCCTCCGGGCGAACCATGGTAGAAATCATGGTGAAATGGAAGAGAGCGGCGGCGATTCATCCACTCAACGCATGCATTCAGTCTTGACCCCTCGGACAATCAATCAAACAGCCTGGAGATCTCCGCAGCGAATGTCTGGGCCGGAACCGAGCATGTTCGACAACGGAGTATTGGGATACTAGCAATAACCCCGGACGAGAGAGCGTAAGGATAGAGAAGAGCGAGAAATCGAGAGCAGCGTAGACGAACGAAGGATCGAGTTTGTTCAAAGCGCGAAACAAAGCCGGGGCCGAGACCGTCCGTTGTGTTGGACAAACTTGGAATAGACCGTGGCTCGTCTGACTTGATCGGTGGGGAGCAAAGGGGTATAAAATATAGTAATCGGACAGTTGCAGACTGAGACGAAAACTGACAGGCTGTATATGTCGAAGACTTGGGAGTCCCTGCGTGTGGTTCTCAACCGCGATGGGTCTGTCTCATAGGGTAGGAACGGTCTAGGCGGTTAGCGAGATACTGCCTGGATTTGCGGCCTCGTCTGAAAGACGAAAGATGATATAAATAGCATTAAACCTGAGCAATACCGCTGCAAAGACCATGTGTTCCTGTGCCCGCAAAATTAGGCGGGACAAATTGAGGTTGAGGTTGAGGTGAAACGGCCGGAGAACCCCAAGTTCGTGTCTCCGATGTTCGCGTCTCCGATGATAACAGCGACTGGCCTGGTCATACAGTCCAACAAAGCCCAATTTGATACACTTCAGAATGGATCTTGGTTGATCTTGTTCTTAAATATAATAATTTAAGTTGTTATATTTTCAGGTTTTTTTTGCGCATTCTAAATGGATATCGAAACAAATGCAGCTCCCCATCACGTAAATCGACTCGCCGGGAGGTGTACAAGAGCGGAAAAGACAAGCAAACAGAGTGCAGTAATATACATGAGCCATAATATAAACTACTTCCTCCCAGTCCAGAGCCGACTGGAGAAACCAACCCAATCAAGGGAGGCTCTCGCGTGCACCATGAGGACCGTCCTCTGCTAACGCAGAGTCGACAATCTGTGCTTCCGTCTTCGCCCATGACTTCCAGGCCTCGAACTGCTGGTTCTCAAGTTCCATGCCAATCTCCAGGCGAGTAGGCCCGAAGACCGCACCTGTAGCCTCCGCCTCCTCGGCAGCTACTCGACGCTCAATGTCTTCTTGTAGACGGAGTCGGTAGAATTCGCGGCGCGCGATGTCGTAAGCACGACTCTCTGTCATGTTGGGAATGTTATGCAGGAGCCACAACTGTCGTTGTACGACACTAGGATATTGGATGTTAGCCACCAGTACCGATAACCTAGCTAGGAGGATATCTCCAGGGGACCAATACGTACCTCTCGCCATCCAGCTTCTTGCCCGGCTGCTGCATCCTGCTCCAGTCATAGTTCTCAAAGTCCTTTCCAGAAACCTCAACAAGAATTCTAGGTCTTGCCAGTTCCCAAGGATGGTCACTGAAGAACTTTTTGCGCAGGTGATCCTCCTCGTACTTGATCTCAACGGGCAAAAACATGCGGCTGGCTTTCTTTGGCTTCACGCGCTTCTGTTGGACCGAAAACACGGCCGAAGGCCGTGAGTTTCCCGGCAAGGTCTTCAGGCGTTGCCGTACAAGTTGGTGCTGCTGAGGTCGGTCGCGCACGAGAATCTGGGCAGGGGGAATATCGCCAACAATATCAGCCCATTGAGGGACAGAACCTTTCTTCCCAGCGGCGAATGAGTCGATTGCGGTTTTCCGCACGCGGAGTGCTGTGAGGTTGAATTTCCCCATCGTCAATAGGCGGCAGCTGCTATGCTGTGGTGGGTGACGCTAGCGAGGATCGTAAGCGGCGATTGAATGACTATTAGCAATTCTCCGGGAGAGCGGCTTCGTGCAGTGAGCTCCGGAGGTGAAGCAAGGTTGAATGATCGCTTGTTGGAGGAGCCGTGTTCGACGAGGAGCTGGCGGCTTGATGAGGAAAAGATGGATTGGCAATGGACGGCTCCGATTGGCCCGAGCGCAGACTCCGCTCCGTCCAGAAAAGCGCATCTGCTCAAATATTGAACCCAGACAGCGACCAAGAGGACTCAACTGCAATTCCACGCTGAGAACACCTGTGTCTCTTTGCGCCGCCCTTGAATACTCAATTTTACGTCCTCCTCCACTCTCTGCTCAATATACAAGTCTCTCCAGACTTATTTGGGTTATGCATGGCTGAATCGAGACCACAATGTCTGCCATCCCATGCCTCAGCCCAATAAGTCCCAGAGCCCACCACACCTGCGATCACTACCTGCGCAGGGATCGAGTAGGGGCTTACCCTCCGACCCTGAGCCTATGCGTCATCAGGCATCTTTCCTCTCAAATGCTTCCGTCCGGCGAATCGGCTCCTCTCCTCGTGCCCGACCGGTCGCGACGTCTGTAGCGGACATATTTATCCGCTCCTTGGTGGTAGCTGGCTACTGTCACGAACACTCCCCTCGAAGCAGGGGGATTAGCACAACATCAGCGAAGACCTCGTGGGGATCCGCGGGGAACAGGGCCTTGGGGAGAGGCCGCAGGCTGGCTCCGGCCAAACATCTACCGAAGTTTATAAACCGAATTGAAAGCTTTGGATTACGCCGACCAAAGACACAAAGGATCTTTACTTCCACGGTCGCACAGCGGGTGGAAGTTCCTGATTCCGAAGATAATCGGATAAACGATTCATCGACACCGCAATCTTCGCACGCGACACCCGTCAACTATGCGAGACTAAACCGTCCGAGCGATCCCAATTCTGCGTCACGGCGGCTACAGCACGAACATACGAGTCTTGAACCATCACCTCACAACATTGCTTCTCACGAGGATCGGAAGCATGTTACAAGTCGCGCCACAGACCACGAAGTGAGCAACGAGGAAAACCCCGTTCGACTTGCAGACAGGACCGAAAGCTACAAGAGCGCTGCAAAAAGACTATACCATGATACAGCCGAGGTCTTTAAGGAATTGCTGGGAGATAAAGGATGGGAAGAGGCAACTCTTGCTGCTGCCGCTTTCGACCCATTTCCACCGAGATTCGATAACTCGCAAAGCTCTGTGAATTTTAGCACTGTCCGACAATTTGAGGAACACATTGCAGACAAATCAAAGTCGAATCATTTCCTATTCTCGCTTTACAGGGAACTTCCGTCTCCCGGGGTGAAGCATCTCTCACGGCGCTCTCGCGGGCTGCTTCTGCGTAGGTTCGCCAATCCACCGGATTGCCGTTGGATCGATTCCCGACGTTATCTAGCTCTGGTGGAAGATATGTTGGCTGCAAACTATTCGATGTCACGGTCGCTTTGGTCCTCTGCTATCTATCTAGCAGGTCGATCCTCAGGCAACGCGGTTACTAAAGGTGGCTTGATACGGGCAATCGGTGTATGGAATCAGATGGAGCATTTAGCGGGAATTCGATCAGACAGCGCGGTTTTCACGATTTTATTCACTACAGCGATCAAAGCAGGCCAATACTCAGTCGCCGAGCGCTTCGTCGAAGAAATGGCGAAGAGGAAGATACAGTTTGATCGCATGGGAAAGATCAGCAATATATTCTATCGGGGAGTAATTGGGGACGCTGATGGCGTCTGTCGGGCTTTTGATGAGTATATTAATACCGGAGAGCTTGTTGACACCGCGGTGATGAACTGTCTTATGACCTCCCTTCTCAATGCTGGTGAACCTGGGTCCGCGATGCAAGTATACCAGCGCCTATTGCAGACTCGATCCGAGACGCGAATTGCGCGACAAGGTCTCACGGCAGATCTGGTCGCTTACCGGAAATTCTCCAAGAAGACCGGTCGTGTTTTTCAGGCGTCAGCGTCTCTGAAAAGCAAACTCCCACAACATCACAGTGCCCTTCAAGAAGCCCTTCCGACAGGCCCCGATACGCGAACTTTTCATATACTTTTGGCTCATCATGCGCACAAATCTGGGGATTTGAATGCGTTCGAATCGGTCCTAATGGATATGGAAAAGACCTTTGCTGTACCGCCACGCGGCCTGATCTTTCTGCTGCTTTTCGAAGGGTTTGCCCGCCATGGCCGACGCAACAGAGGCTGGACGGTGGCAAAACTGCGAATGGTTTGGCGAGCCTATCTCCGGGATCTCTATGAGTCCAAGATTAGAACCCAGCACCAATCATTTGCTTTGCCGCCAAATTATGTCTGGCATAACCCGTTGAGAGACGATGGCACTGCAACCCCCAGTGTGTTGATGAGCAGTTCCACTGAGCTATATATGCCCTTGCCTTTCGCTACAACGGAGGCATCTCAAGGGCAAGAAGAACACCAACCAAGTGTGTATGGGCAAGAAGAACGCCAATCAAGTGTATATGGGCAAGAAGAACGCCAATCAAGTGTATATGGGCAAGAAGAACCCCAACCAAGTATATATGGGGATGATGACCTATATAGACCGGATTTGGATGTTGATTTCTACCTA